GAATGTGTATGGACTGTGTCCGTACTCATCCGATACTCAAAGATGTCCAATTCCTGGGCCGCAATGAGATACTGAGAGAGATCCGTGTTTCGAGGGATCAGCACGTGCTCGCGCGATGGATTCAATTTCTCGTGGCTCTTGCGGCCCCGTGTCAAGTTGCAATTCAGGAATACTTTCAGCCATTGCGCTGCACTTAAGGCATGAGTGTCCACGCACGGAACATGTGATCCACCGCCCGGAAGAACACGATCAGGCAGAGCGCACCTGAAGTCTTGCAACTGTCTTAGTTCCAAGCTCTTCCTTTCCCCAAGCTCTGGAATCGGAAGACGCTTCCTAGCAGCCTGCCCGGCCCGCACGCGACAGGCTGCACGGAGTTCGTTCGCTTGAGCCTCAGAGATCACCTTTGATTTCTGAAGGTCGTTCACGTCGGCTTCCGCGAGAGCGTCGGGGTCTAGGCCCAAGCTCCTCACTCTGTCTGCCATGCCGGGAAACTTGACGTGCAATGTCCGGCTTGAGCTGCAAACCCCTGCAAAGAATGCAACCAGCTTCAACCAATTCCAACAATGCGTTGCCGTGTTGCCTGTCTTTTGTCAATACATGCGCGCATTTACCGTAACGCAGGAACCACGCCAAACACTCAAGTATGTCCTATTCTAGATTTATTTCAATATCAGATAATTTGAGGAACTTTCTATACATAAAAAAGTGTGTATATATATATATAGATATATCGGCCAAGGAAAAAACAATAAATTGAATTTTTCTCGTTTAAGATATCAATATCTGGCGGAAGGGGAATGAGCCACTTTAGCAGGCAATGCGGCGCACATTCATGGCCCTGTCGGATTCATGGGAAATTTAGCAAGCAAGTTCTTACGAACAGATTTTTAATCTTGTGCAAGACCAGACGTTTTACAGCTGGACGAACCTCCATCTCAACCACCTCTCGCGATCCAGGACTTCCCCTTTTCGCAGAACTCGGTTTTGCCACCACAGCTTCAAGTGGGCCGTTGCTGCCCAAATCGTTTTCATCGAACGTCAGGCATCGGAACCTCGGACAACAAAGGCAGCTGTATTGGAGCACAAAGATGAGCCAAGCTCAGCCTCAGGCGTGGTGTGTCAAGGGCGGCGTTAGTGGCTTAATCAGCGGGTAGTAGGTGCTACCTGGTCATGCGCCCAAACAAGCGAAAAATCATGAATCAAAGCATCTTAAATCATGGCAGGCCCACGTGGGACATACAAGTCGCCAGGTCGCCTGGAGGTTGCACCGGACCATACCACCAACACTCCACCAGGAAGCGCTAGGCACAGAAGAAAGTACCTACTGAGCATCTGGCTCTATTCGCATTGTCTTCTGCCTGACAAGGAGGGGTCCATGGTCGTATGCGGAGCATGAGTCGACGTAATAAACATGTTCTTCTGCAGGCTCCCAAATTTGCTCTTCAAAAAAGAGGGCAGAGCACGCGCTCGCAGGGCGTAGCCATTTTTTTTTCCCCTGCAGGGTCGGCTTCCAAAGGCTCAGCGGCGTCCTCAATACACCCGATCATGAAAATGTTTGACATATAAACTTGAAGTTCCTGACCATGCCGCCAGCCTTTGCCCGCGAGCGTCTTCGAAGCCTGCTTCCAATGTTCCGGCTCCTGTTCTTTGCTTTGTTGCACATTGCAACATTCTGCTGAACATAGACATGACACATCTGCCATTCACAATCACATGACCGTGAGCTCAGGGTTTAGGGCCTGTTTAGGGTCTAGGGTTGAGGATTCACATTCAAGGTTAGGCGAACCCCAAACATCCCCAAACCGATTTCATCGTGTGGAGTGTATACAGCAGGCCCTAGACCTGGAGAGTGATCCCTAGCCGACATACAATTCCTCAGCAAGTCAAGATTTACACCTCTGGACCTTTCTTTGCAAGGACCAACAGCATTGAGCCCGTCCTCGGCGATGAAGCTCACCAGCACAGACGCCTGCAAAAAGGGGGACAACAGGACGCTTCAAAGGTGAACTCTGCAAAAGCAAACTGAGCTGAGCGAAGGCCGAGGATGGAGGTTGCACGCTCCTTTCCGCTCTTGTTCGCCATTTTCTCCTCGGCTTTTCGAATCGCCTGCGCCATTGCACCATACATAATTCCACGAATCACCGGAAAAAACTGGGGACAGATGCTGGCAGAGCGCCTCGGTAGCTTTGCCAACTTCATCTTCTGGCACGGGTGTGCCATTCACCTTTCAGCAGTGCTGCTCTTACCGGAAGAAGAGATCTCGAAATCTTTCCAGCGCAGGGAAAAGCACAAAAAAGTAGAAGTCTCTGATGACAGCTTCGGCGCCTCCAGCACCGTCCAGCCGATTTGTACACCAGCCGGTATGGCAGCACCTGAGTAGCAAAGCCCCCGATGGTCTCCCTTGTTCACATTGACAAACGTGACAAACGCTTGGGGGGCAAGCCGCCATCTGCAAGGTCCACCACCAATGCTCCATCAAGCCTCGTTTCGCTGGTGTGTCAGGTTAACATCACTTGCCCGACATGATCCATCTCCAATGCAAGGCAGGCCCAGCTTGCATCCAGCCAACAGCAATCAAGCAGGTAAAAACCAGGGTTGGAAAGGGTTGTGGCTCTTTCTGGATCGCACAGAAGCGTGGCCTTTCGAGCACGAGCCATTGAAACTGGTGTTCATTTCATTTTCGAGCCAAGGATCTTGTTTGCCAAAAGGGCTGAATGCCCCCTCGCAATGCAAAAGTTGGCATGTTAAGCTTCTGCCGGCTTTGCGCCAGCACTCTTTCTCATGCGGAGGTGGCCACCGCGCCTTTCTGCCATACGCTCCTTCAGCGTGCCACGTTCCCTGGAACGCTTCCCTTTGAGGGGCTCTTCGAATCTCTGCCCTGTCGCCGTCGGCGATGTGAAGGAACTGCGCAACTGAACAAAAGGAAAATGGGCTAAGTAAGCTCCAGACTCCATACCGAAGGGCCTCGACCTTGGGTAAAGTTTAGTGCTTCTGCTGCACATTGTACACAACAAGTTGCGCACACTGACCGTACTCAGAGACTATCTTCGAAACCGGCTTGCTAAGGCTAAGGATTGCTGATCCCCCCAAGTCCTGGGCTTATCCTTGAAGGCGCTGGCAGAGCAAAGCTGCACCTGACGTCTTACGTGCTCTATCTCTCTCACACACTCTCTCAATTCCTTCCTGCGCCTTTGACTCCCCCAAGGTGGGGGGGTCTCACTCGCTCACTCTCTTCTTCTTGTTGTTCTTCTTTCTTTTTCTGCTTCTTCTTCTTCTTCTTCTGCTTCTTCTTCTTCTTCTTGATGTGCTGGGGCTTACAGAACCCCTCCCTCTCTGGGCATGTCAATGACAGAGCATATCTCGTTATCCAAGCACCTCACTTCCTCAAGACTTTTGCACAAACCAGCGAGTGCCATGCAGTATTCAAGGTCGCCGCGCCTCCCGTGTTGCTACGGGCCCCGCTTTACCTCCGCTGGAACTGTTCCAAGCTGCATCCACATGCGACTGCTGCGCAGGGCATCGCCAGCATGGTCTCAGTCCCAAGCTTTTCTTCTCCTTCTTGTCCTTTTTCTGCTTCTTTTCCTTGGCCTCTGCCTGCCAAGAAAAAAGCTTCAGAACTTGAGCATGCCCGAAAAAGCCAATTTGTCTAAGGGCGGCTTGTGACCGAGGCTTTTAAGTAAACGAGGTTGAAATCTTGGACTTGATGGGCACGCCTCTGGCGGGAAAGCCTGTGGACCAACTATCCGTCGAGGTTCCGCTGGAGCAGGCGGAACTTTCGCCTGACCATGGACTCTCAAATGGTCCAACTACCGAACATGACAAAGTCTCGCACCTCTACCGGATGGGGATCTCGCTCCTCTATTCTTTGCTTCTTCTCCTCGGCTGGTCCATTGCTGCAGACAGCTGAACGTTCATGTCACCACCTCAAGACATCCCTCTCCTGCTCATGGTCTTTCTCCTTGACCTTCTTATCCTTCAAAGGATCTTGCGCTTGCCATGGGCAGTAAAGCGGTGGATGCAAACCAGAGCATGGCACAGCAGACTACACATGGTTCACAAGAAGTGTTTTGAGTCCTTCGCTTTGTCTTTTTCCTTTTCCGCTTTCTTATGTTCCTTGAAGCCACAAAATCACGCACCTCGAACAGCTCCAAGCAGGCGGACAAGTTTCGGCGATGCTCAGGCACGCACTTTTCTTCTTTCTTTCTCCTGAACTAGACTAAGTGTTCATGTTGCACAAGGCACACTTCCCCTCTCCACGTGCGTCAGGACAACCTAGGAAGTCCATAAGCCTCAGCATCCGGCAGCTCCGCTTTTGCCAACATCCGGACTGCTCAAGGGTCCTCTTCGTCATCTTTCTGCTTGTGTTTCTTGTCTGCTTTCTCTTTCTTGTCTTTTTTTGGCTTGCTGTCTATGTCGTCCTGCAGGTGCGGAGGCTCAGCATGAACGCGTGCGTGTTGTTACTGTTTAACGCAGACGTCCTTGTGCTTCTTCTCCTTCTTCTGCTTTTTGTTGGGCATGGGATCATCCTGGGTGCAAACAAAGCCCCAGACGACAGGCCGTCATGAACTGCGACAGCTGGGGAATAAGAAGATCCCCAACTTTTCTCCTCGAACTTATATCTGCCATGCAATGACTGAGCGCTCGCTCTTTAGCAACTTGCCTCACTCGAGTCATCGCTTTTCTTCCTCTTGCCCATGGCTCTAAGGCTGCAGGCAATTGACTCCGAATAGCGGTGTGCCAGGGCTTGTGCTAGACTTTAGCGGGGCCTTATGCAACAAAGCGCAGACCAACTCTGTTCCGCTGCGCGTACTTCATGAGGCTCCTTTCCATTTCTTCTGCTCATAAGCAGGTCGTCTCCAGCTTGCCCTTCGGCTCTGAATTTGCAGAGGCTTTGCATGCGTTGCACACTAAGCAGCTGTCCTTGGACCTGAGCAGCCTTGCTCATGATTGAAATTGTTCGAGAGATCCACTACACGGCTTGCCAGGCCATGCTTTCTTTCTCAATCCACAAGCTCAGCTTGCCTGACCACTCCGGTGTTGTGCAGGAACCTGGCTGCGAGATCATGATTCGGCTTATACTTGTTTAGCCCACAATGCATTCAGCACAGCGGACTTCGTTAGCAGACATGCCCTTACAACCATCACAGCTGTAAGCTCTCGTGCGCAATCCAGGCCGGAGCACGTGTCTTCCACTTCTTGTTGCACCTTTGGGTGTCCCCCCCAAACAAGGGAGTACCTGCCACATGGTGGCACAAGGCTGAGCCATCACCAGAGCAAAGCCTACATTGATCATCCCCGCGCACCAGCGGCCGTAGAAGATGTGACCTGAATCATACATCGTTGACCAAAAACGGAGTTGGGGTGTGGTGGGTGGCTACGCTCCGGACCTACACCCTTCTTGTGGAGAGGTCGGGCAGTGTGTCGCCAGCCCAGGTCAAGGATTCTGACAAAGCATGCAAATTGGCAAGCACGCTTGGGGCCAAACAGATCAGAACACCTTAACACCAGACCCTGGCCTGAAGAGGGCTCCGTCCCGCTCAACGATCACTCGTGAGGCTTCCCTCGAGGTCAGCATCTCTGCCAATTTTATGCAGCCAAAGCTTGTAGGGCTTAAGCTTCATGATGGGACAAGAAACCAGAAAACACCAGCCGAGGCGCTTCATGAGGAGCTTTGTTTCAGCGGCGGGAAACCTGCCGTGCACCTGAATGCCGCAACCGCGGAAGCCAGATGGAGGGCGTCTGAATCAAACTTTCCGCGCCCGAATATTCGCCTCGGCTTTCTGCCGAGAAGCGTTTGGAACAAGCAGACACGGGATTCGGTCTCCTTCCCCCTAACCCAGCCCTTCCCCCCATGCCAAATTTTGTGACGGATTTGACCCTCCCTAGAACTGCCGGACCCTCTCGGGACCCCCCCCAAGAGTCCTGAGTTTTTTGAGGCCTTTCCCGGCCCGGCTGCCGAGCCGGCGCGCGCAAGCATTTACAATTGACACCTATGGCAGCACATGCAAATGCCAGGCTGCCGGGCCAGAACAAGCGTTTCAAAGAAGACCATTGCAACACGGCGAGATCACTTGATCTCGCGTTCCGCAAGGCTGAGACTCATAGTGTTCCAAATGTCAACATGGGCCTCCTCCCCTGCATGGGCTTATGCTGGGTTTCAAAGTCCATGTTGTCTGACGGGTTGAGTTTGGAAATGGGATGCGGACCTCAATGTTGAAACCGGCATAACATCTGGACTCATCATCTTTCAGCACGATCAAGATGACAGTCCAAAGATCTTCAACATGTCCTTCAACATGGTCGCGAACTGCAGCAGCAGCGCGGCCCTTTTTAGTGACCGCGGTTCATGATGTTCATGTTTGCGGCGGCAGAGTAAATACAACCAACATTCAGCTTGGCATGTTCAAGCCGGTCTCTTATCCGTGGATCCAAGAGGACATCGAGTTTCGATTCATCTTGGAAGGCATAAAGCGGAGCCATGGGCTCGGAACGCATTGACCGAAAACAACTGCAAGTCATGCACACGGGACCTGCAGAGAAAAGGCCTTGTTCCTCTTAACAAGCCGTAGAAAACAAACACTCAACGGGTTGGTTCTGGGAAAAGACGCGGATCCTCATCTCTGCCCGTACAGTCCTACAGTACAGTATGAATTATACTCTACGAGTACAATGTAACCTTCGAATCGAATTGTCAGGAACGCCTGCTTAGAGACAAGTTTGGTTGATGGCATCTTTTTCGGAGACCGGGCTCCGGCGCAAACAGCCTTGAACAATGCTTACTCTGCCTGCAAACGTCACTGTTCTGCTGCGGGCTGCTCATCTGCTGCTCTGTAGAATCTGTAGAACAGGTTGCAGGCAGCGTCATGCTCGTTTTTTGGATGCCATGGGCCAAACTTGCCGGTCTAGTGCGTCCTGAGTCCGCAAACATCTCATGCATCTCACTGGCGGCTCACACAGCTCACACCGCGTAGAAGCTGTTGAGGGACCTCTCGCTCATGGTGGCCTGAGCATGAGAAATGACATAGCTATGCAGACACTACGCAGACACTATGCAGACACTACGCAGACACTATGCAGACACTACGCAGACACTATGCAGACACATGAAGACCCTCAAGACTGCAGAAGCTTCGACTGAATCTCTTCTCTCCAGCGCAGATGCATCTGCTTGGGGTGCCCCACCCAGTCTGGAGGCCGCTCTGAAGATTGCAAGGAGGCCGTGCGGACGATGTTCTGCACAGCACACGCAGCTTGCCACCCCCTCCTTGCAGACCCTAAACACATCCTAAACCCGAAGCACTAAACCACCGTCTGAGAGCTGTGCCTGCGAAGACTCTGACTCATTTTCTTGCTGGAGGGCCTGGTGGCGCGCTGTGTTGCACATCTTGCGGCTGAATCCACTCACTTCAATGAAGGTAGTTCTTTTGGAGGCATCTCAGGGCTGGGGTTCTCTCAACAGTGGGCTGGGAGGCCCTTTTGGCAATGAAAGTGCTGTTGTTCTTCCTCCTAGCTTCGGGATGCTTGGGTTGCCCACAAAACACCGTTTGCCTGAGGCCGGAGTCTCAGCCCTGCCGCCCTGCCTCGCCAGGGCTGCCTTGCTCTGCAAGCGGAATCTGGCGATCGCCCTGCACAGAATCACAAGCTCTGCTTCCTAAACCCTGTATGTTTGTCTTAGAGTCTTAACGGTTTTGAGCATGCGAATGTGGTTTTTGGTGCTTGCGAGTCTTCAGCTGACCTCATGGCATATGCATGCATACGCTATGACCTAGTTGCGCGGCGCAACGTGCTTAGGCCCTGCTAGTCCGGAGGGGACCTGAAAGGAGGCCTTGGCATGAAGAGCTCAAGAGCTCTTGGTCTCTGCATGTTCAGTCCTCGAAAGATCCGTTTTTGGGTTCCTGTCAAAAAAGCGGCCCCTTTTAGATAGAGAACTGACAGCATGCAACGTCTGAAGCAATTAAGGAAAACAACAGCGCGCTCAAGCTTCACACTGAACGTGCTGTTGACACGAACCTCCGAGCCGTTCTGCGGAGAGGCCGTAGTGGTCGCAGGGGGTGAAGGCACCCAAACAGTCTGGCAACCGCAGGTCACCACGGCTCGACTGATGTGCCTTGCCTCAGACTTGCAAGCGGCCTCGGCCTTTGGGCTGTCCAGGTTGAGGTGCGCACAAGGCACCTGGAGACTTGCAGTCCGTCACCCCTACGAGATCCTTGCAGGGTTGAGGACTCCCCAAGGACTGCCCAGCCTGCGGCAAAGGTAAGGAGCTCGGGGACAAAGTTGGCAGCGTGATCTGCACGAGATCCAACAGCTCTTACAATGTTAGAGGCTCAAGTCTCTGAATCCAGCAGCCTATACACGAAAACGAAGCCTCCTCGCCGCACGGTGACAATGATGGATGAACAACCTCCCGATCACACAGTCTAGGCTGAAACTCTACTATGGAGCATATCGATTCGCTTGAAAGCGAATGGTACATTAGCGCAAGTAGGGCTGCCACTGCCGGCCTGGGACATCTTCACGAGGAGCTTGGACTGCAGAAGGTTGACCCAGCACTGCAATGCCTTCACAAGCACAAGGACCCACTCTCACAACAGCTACCATGTGACTAGCATCAGCATTTTGCCCGGGCCCCGAAACACAACAGTGGAGTTCTCTCTGAGATGAGAATCTTCTGAAATGGTTGGCATCTTGCAGTCCCATGCTGCTTCGGGTTCGTGGGTTCTTGGAGTGGGGAGCCTACACGAATACCTACACGAATACGTGTTTGGTGTTTTGCAAGTGCTTTGCAAACAAGCACCAGGATTGCGCCGTGGGAGGTCATTTCCGGGAATGGTCAGTCAGTCTACACCAGAGTACAGTTTGCACGCGCTATGGCGCCGGATGCGAGTTGAACACGCTTGCGCCAGGGTGCGTGGGAAACGTACCTGCCCAGCACCTAGATTGAGAGGACTTTGGATTTGAGCAGCACACGAAATTCCCAACAATTCCAACCTGTGACGTACGGGTGAGATGGCTCATGCCCCACACTTGCTTCACCTGAAGCCCACAGGACTGCAGCAATCCAAGTGGTTGAGTGTGGATACCTCTTGCTTCAACAAGGGCCCAACTGCCAATTCACAGACCGGCCTTACCCACGTATAGCAGCACGCAACAGACTTAGCCGCAAGCCCTTGCCAGCCTGCTTCGTCTTGAACATGAGGTCAATCTGTCGCGGATTGCACTTGTCGTTGAAAGTGCACCGCACCTTCTTCAGGAAAGCTCTGCAACTGACACAGCGTACGCACATGTACACACTAAACAGGGGGGCCTGTCTTATTTTGTCTCATGAGGCTTATGTGGCCGGCGGAAAGATCAACTAAGCATCAGGCCACCTCATCTGTGTAGTACGACTTCAGTGCCTGTGCCATTCTCCACACATGGATGATGTCTTCATATGTGGTTTATGCAGGGGAATTACCATGTGGGCCCTAGGTCACACGTCAATCTGTCGGTGAAACAACGAAACTACACTGGCCCCTGACATTCTGCCGTAGGCTGCTTGGGAAATACGGAACGGAAACATGTATGGTAACATGGGGCATAGGGCATAGGGTGTACTTCCTCGAAGCCTTTCAGGGAAGAGCCTTGTGTCCCAGTCTTTCCATGTGTCTCCCTGTGCATCGGTGCAGCCTGTGCTGGGCGCTCTGAGGCAACTTCCGGACTGCTTTCGTCCACCTGCCAGGGCCCTCTGAATTCTGCAAGGGTGACAGAAGTGCTTCCTGAGAACCGACCGTGTCGGGACATGCCGAGGGTTGAGTCCAAAGCTTCATGTTGCAGCCTTCAGAGCTCCTAGCCTTCTAACCCCCTTCCCCCGAGATTCACTTTGCTTGTACCAGTAGGAGTACTCACAACATATTGGCTGTCTTTGCTTTGCATCCACTGGGGGTGGGGGGGGGTGGGAGCGGGGGCAGGAACAAGCCCACCGACCTGAGGCAGCAGGGGCTGGACGTAGTGATAGATGGAGACGTCCTGTCCAAAGCCAGAGCTGTGGTTCAGGGCTTAGGGCTTCGGGGGGTCCGGAACAAGCAGACCAGGATCTGTTCCTTTTGTTCCCGCAACCACATCACCACCCACGACTTTGCGGGCACTGCAATCAGATGCTGTGCGGGGGCTAGGCTGTGGGGCGGGTCACGTGGCTTGGTTGCCCTAAAATAACCCCCAAACCCCCCAAGCCCGCATGGACCCTACCAAGCTCACTCACGCACGCAGCGCCTGCGGGTTGGGCCATGACGGCAGGCGCAAGTGTTTGCAACTTATGGAAACCCCCCCCCAAAAGGGGACCAAGATCGAAAGGATGGCAAGTGCACCTCCCAAGCATAGTGGAAGTTGTGCTTCTCTCGGCTTATCCTCCTGTCCAGCCTCAATTCCGACAGGATGCCTTTTTGCAGGTGCCCACCAAAAAGCAGGAACGTTGCCTCAACGTGCTGCGAGTCTAACACAGTCGGTCCCCCACAAGCTGAAGTTCTCGCCGCCCTTGTGCACACAAACGAAGTACCTTCAGAGTAGACATGGAGGCTAGCAGGCTAGCAGTCGAAGGGCTTTGCCGGCTTGTGCTCTCCAGAAAACTTCCGGCCAAGCAGCTCGGAGAATCGGTTACCGATCTCGCCAACTCGCAGCATGAGGGGCAGCCCGTGCTCAACAAGATTCCTCGAGTCAACGACGGCAAGGCATCGATCAGGTGCAGGTTGGCTGCATTATCCGATGGACCTGGACGTGTGACGTGAGTATGATCCGACATAAGCACTGGCAGCAGGGCGTCCTGTTCAGTGAGAATGATTCGACCTGGCTCGCGGAACTGTCATTTCGGAGGAAGAAGGGTGCAAGCTTTGGAGGGTTTCGATGTCTATGAGCCGCCTCCAAGCACTGCGAATCCAAAGGATCGCCAATGGTCACGCTCTCAGCCTGAAGTCTCCGGAGAATCGCACGGTCCACTGCGACTTTGCGAGATGCTTGCAGATTCCAGAGGTTAGTTATTGGATTGCCAAAAAGACTTGCTCCACCCACGCCTGTCTTGTCCAGTCTGGCACGGAATTGAACCAGGATTCCTGCCAAGTGGACCCATGCAAGCTAGAGGCACTACCAAAAACACCCCCGAAGCGAGTCGCAGCATGCCCAAATATGCCCAACGTGGCCGGTGCTACCGAAGCTTGAGTCGGATGCTGGGTGATGCAGCCCTCCAGGGTTGAGCGCAGCGATTCATCATCACAGGTTGCGCCACCTGGCATTTTCCATGATCGTTGTGTCTTTTGAGGGTTGGTGCAGGGCCATCTCGCAAGATCTCAAGAGTTGTGAAAAGTCATCAGGGTAGGCATCGGCAGGCCCAGCAGGCCTGCTGCAGCACAGCGCACGCACTGCCTGCAGCACGCGAGCTGCCGCGAATCTTTAGTAGACTCATAGAGACGTTTGAGGACAGGCCCACTAAGGTTCATGCCCATCAGTGAGGCAGAGGTCTTTGAACTTCCTGCGTGCCCACATCTGCTCACGGCTTTGCAGACTTGTGGGACTCTCAGGCTTTACAGACCGATTTGTTGGAATGCTGCCTTTGCCGCTTTCTTTTGCATGGAGCCGTCCCAACTGCTCGTTTCCGCTGCAGAACTGATCTGAGCTCGTTGAGCTCCCTTTGAGACCAGGCACAATTTCCGCTCGGCAGCAAGCATGCTGAATGCTGCAGAGTTAATTTCAAAATGCCGAAGCCCCTTGGGCTTCCATGCAGGGCAAAACAAAATTTCCGCTCGGCAGCAAGCATGCTGAATGCTGCAGAGTCATTCCTAATTTCAAAACGCTGAAGCCCCTTGGGCTTCCATGCAAGGCAAAACAAAACTGCTGTACAAAGCCGATAGTGCACAAGAGGTGCACGACCACTATGCAAAGGACAAGACCTCACAGAGATGACGATAGGTCCGACAAGCCGATAAAGGTACTTGCAAAAGCAATCGTTCAGCATCCTCGGACTGTGAAGTCTGATCCGCCGAATTTACTTGAACAACGGGAGTGTTGTGCTAAGGCTGCTCGAACTTCCGCAATCTTCCGTGAGCGTGCAGGCTCGATCACGAGTGCCGCCTGACAGCTTGCCGACAAGCATTTCATGTCACAGATCCAAGCTCTGCCATGCGACTGTCGTTTAGCATCGTCTGAGGCAGCCCGCTCGCAAGGTATGAGGAACTCCTCATTCATGCGCATATCGAAACGGACCTTGCGCAGTCATTGCCCAGGCAGGACATGCTTCGAAGAAGTCCAAACCAGGCTGGCAAGCTATGACCGGCTAAGACCTTGCAACTCAACATGCCCCGGGAACGAGAATGGATTCTTGAGTGAACTACAGTGACTACAGTGAAACGCTGACAAGGCAGCTTGATGCTGCTTGCTTGCCTTCGGAGCATCCACCCGATTCCTGCAGACTTCTGGCTGTTTGGCTTGCCATGTCGTGCGATGCTGGAGTCGTCCCTCCGCTGCCAATTGTGCTCAAGGCTTTTTCCATTTTACTACAAACTTCTACGTGCCGTTCCCCGAACATGTCCGTCCTAGCTGCAGACACTGCAGACGTCAGCTGTGGCAGCGATGGAAGAGAAGCAGAGCGACTACCTGAATGGGTCGGCATCTTCCTTTTAACTTTGGGCTGCTCACCACCATCTGTGCAATGGTGCACAAGTAGCAGGTAGCTCTTTCCAAGTTGCCCAGGCTGCGAGTCCGATTGGGGAGGCCCCCGCGAACCTTCGTCCATGCGGCTATGCCGGATGGCTAGGACTAGGAGCCAGGACACGCTCTGGCAGGCGTTAACAGCAGCACTTCCATAGGCCCAGACTTGATGGAAGTCTGCCGGAATCTGTTTGCCGTCACTGCTCCTGTGCAGCCGCAGGCTGCGAACTTGAACAGGTGCTACTTCATGCGGTGCAGTGCCAACATCCGGAAGACAATTGCAGCCGCCTCCTCTCTTCACTGCATAGTGGAGCTGGTACCTTCCGCGCCAATTGCATCTTTGCAGTTGGCACCTCAGGGCGTATCTTGGAGAGCGCCGATGAGTTCAGCTGGTCTGAGCCCGGAAGCCTCTGGAAGGCGTTCAGGCCATTTGCGGCACTCCCAGTGCAGCCCATCCTGGCAAACTTGCGAAACATCGCAAGAAAACTTGTGCTCATTGAAGGAATGCTTGGGGAGATTTGGGCCTGTGCTTGAAGCACTGGCGACAAGCCAGCTGCCAAGCGCCGGCCGAGGCTACCCAGGGCAAGGCCACGAGAGCAGTAGCCTCCACATGCATCACTGATGCCTCTGACCAGCCTTTTGGCACCTCAACGCACTCCTGACCTTTCCGCACCGGTGGCAAGTGGAACTCCTGCGAAGTCGCTTTGACTTCGACATCCAGTGGCAAAAGGAAACAAGCACATCAAGACATGCTGGATGACGATGAGCAGCTACTGGCTAATTAAGGAAAAGCCTCCTGCACTTTGGGTGCAACTCTGCAGGTCCACCGGTGATTGATGGCTGAATGTGGTTTACACAATTTCCTGCTTGTTGTAAATCGTGATAAGGAAGCAACCCCTTCACCGCAATGTACGTTGTATGTGGCATTTACTCATCTTTAACCCAACCTCAGTGGGACCATCCATCATCACTCGAGACCCCCCATGGAGGTTTAAGGCCATACCATATTTGGGCTTCGGATGCAGATGATCCGGACAGAGACGCATGGCAAGCCTTTGAAAGCCGTAGATTGCGACTGCCTTCTAAATTGCTGCAAAAAGATGGCACCCCTCCTCGACACCGGTCTTCACTTGAGCGTGGGCTGCCGCGGCCATTCTGTAATGCTGCGGAACTACAACAAAGACAAGTTGTTAGTTTTTTCTGTATAGGTCTCAAAACAGCAACAAAACATGCTGGACTAGGCTGCAGTGTGCCAGGTAACAAACTACTGAAGTACTCGCAACGTGTCGCGGCAAGCTGAGATTCGGGAGCTCCGGCGCGGCTGGGCAACTGAGCTTTGAACATGAACTCCTCGATCTCGAAATGACTTCTAAACTCTAAACCTCCAAAGCCTAAGCTTCCGACATTCGGGGTACCTTCTTGGGGTCCTTATCAGAAGGGATCCTACTATATCAGGGTCTACTTTCGGGTTCCCTTATTTTCGTAAACCCCCAGCGAAGGCTGCCAAGCCCAGCACTCAAGCCTGCGCATCTCGCAAGCGCTGGGTTCACCTGGGCAGAGAAGTACTGTGAGCAGGTCCCCTTCTTCGAGCTCTTTGTGTCGGGCTCCTTTTTTGGGCGCATCCTCCAGTTCTCGAGACCAAATAGCACAATATAGGGATCCTGATTTGAAAGAACCCCCGCATGGACGACCGCGCTGGCTCTCAAGGTACTGAGTGCCAGGGCCTGCCAAACCGACCTGTGCACCTTTTCCGGGGGCATGCGCCACTCGTTTGCACGGACAGCCCTCCTCTCCGCAACCACTCATTTCATGGTAGCAGATTAGAGACTGCATTGAGGAGCTAGTCAGCCACTGGTGACAGGCCAAGAGAATCTGAGGAAACAAGATGTCACCGAAGTGGGTAGCTCGCGCAGCCACTGCTCTTCCGAGCGTGAGACCGTGTGAGACACTCAACTTTGGGCGGCGGGATTGCGGCGGGGCAATTGCTGCAAATGGCATCTGGATCCTACAGCACATGTCACATGAAGAACAGCACGAAGTCCGTGGAATTGCGGGTTCCGCAGGCAAAGCAGCGCTCTTGTGCGCTGCGCTGCGTGTTGCAGCGGTCTTTCCTACCTGTACATTGAAGTGGTAAAGAAGATACACTTTGGCACCCTCAACACGTGTCCAAGCCACCGTGATGTGGCCAGTCCTCCTCCGTTTCTTCGTGTTCTGGGATTATCATGGCATCTTTGTCCATGAATCCTGAGCGCAGTTGAGAATGGCATACTACGGCATAGCACCACCAGAGATAATCACCAAATCCATATGTCACATCATAACACAAGGGAACCCCGAAAGGCGTACTCCCAGGCGACCCTGGACCTCAACCCTTCAAAAAGGACTTCGACCAAGGACAGAGAAGGGTTTGCGGAACTTTATGTTCTCCACAACCGCCTCTGATCTCGCCCGACAGAGACGGACTTAAACGAACTTTTTCCACGGTTCACGCGGTGTCCGTCCTTTGGGGGGGGGGGTGCCTTCTGTTTGCCCCTGACCATTAGATCTGCTCTGAATCTGCTGCTCAGCTACGTGCGACGGCATTCAGCATGTCCACCTGCGTCGCCTCACGAGCAGAGCGGCCCGAGCGCGTTTCTGATTCTGCTTGTGTCGAGATGGGTCCGTTCTTTACGGTCTGCATAGTCGTGCATCGAAGTCTAATGAGTCGAGCAGGACATGCACCACTGTGTCCTAAACCCTAACCCTGAAAACCTAAAACTCTAAACCCTAAACTGGCCCTAAACCCTAAACCCTAAACCCTGTGCGTGCCTTGAGATGCTCGAGGCCCTGCTCATGCAGCTGGAGCAGCTCGAAGTGGCAGCGGCCCACGTCAGGAGTCCGTCGGCGTAAGCGCTCAATGGTGTTGACCTCAGTGTGGAACTGAGGTCGAGTGGGTTTGGGTCATGCCATGGGTTCCTGGGATTTTGTTGACCTCAGAATAGAGCTGAGGTCGAGGGGGTTTTAGGGACTTCATGCCATGGGTTCCTGAGTTCTTCTTGATCTTCATGCCAAGTAGCCGTTGTGTGTCCTTATTGGCAGCTGAGGCAAGCATGACCCACTAGCTGGAGGCTTGCTTACATTGGCGCTTCTCAAGTAAGTAGTGGTGGAAAGCCAGGTCTCTTCGCCACTGATGCAGGATGTTGCGGCACACCGCGTTGAGGTTCCCCAGACTACTGGCAGCCATACCCTTTTCAACATACCTGAGCCGGTGCTACACATCAGTACTTCAGTACTTCAAAACTTGTGCTAGCAAAGCCTACTTACTGCAGTCGCTAGAGGTTGCCAGGTTCAGTTCTCTTGCACGCTCCTTGAAGATTCTAAACCATCCTGAAACATCTCGAAACTCAACATCATCCAGCTGCTTGATCAAGGTCTGTCTGCTGTCAGACAGAGCCGCCTGAGCAAAAGAGGCCACAAAGCAATCTCCACTCCGAAGTCGAACAGGAAGATTTTAGAGTGATGCTTATTACAGTAGTTATTCATATGGCATGATCTGGCATGCACTGCATGACATCGAGTCATAACGGGGCTGGCGCCGCTTACTTCGTAAAGATCGCTTGCGTGGTGCAATATTACCACCAGGCTCCCCTTGGCTTTCGTAGCTAATTCTGCGAAGCGCCTGCAACTCTGGGAGCTTCTTCAACTCCTCCCTGGCTTCCTGCAGATCTGCAGAGATCTGCAAAGTGCACGAAAGATCCGGCTCATTGTTTCGCGCGCGGCTGATGGTCCTCGAGCTCCCGCTCCACAGCTCTTCGCCGTTGTACCTTTCATGTCCAGTAAGCCTAAGGGCTGCTTCCGTGCTGCCCACGGAGTTTTTTTTGCTTTGGGGGGGGATGTAACTGAAGGCCTCTTCACGCAGCTGCTCCTGCAGCTCACAAATCTTCTCCATGTGCTCCTAGGCCATTGCGAGTCGCTGTCGACTGCCACTGCTTTAGATATTCCGATAAGAAGCCTTGGCATGACGTCGGCGTACATCTCTCTCCTTTGGCAGGTGGCAGCAAGGGGAGGGGGGCTTGGCCCGACAACACGCTGTCGAAGCAGCAATGGTATATGAATTGTCAAGGGGCGATCCATTTTGCATAGGGTGTGCCCACCCAAAGCTCTGCCGTTTCCCCGGGAACATCGGAGTTGAAATCCTCGATGGCCACTTCGCTGCGAATCAATGAATGAACTGCAACCCACTGCACCAGCATCAGAGGCACACCACACATAATCCGAGGCGCCACATGGTACTTGAAAGAATTCTGAAGATTCTTCATGGTCTCTGCGGTGCCGTCTGGTGTGGCGGGTCCTGCGTCGAGTATGTTCGAAGTGTGCTGACGACCCGCTTCCATTCACAGCCCAGCGCCCTTGGGCGCTGGGGCTTGTCAGGTGCCAACTCAAAAGGTCCTACACCGATAGCATCTGGGCTTACCATCGAGTTGTCCTGAAATGCGGCTACACGATGCTGTTTACAAGCAGAGACCAAGAAAAGGCATCTCAGCTATCTGAGCTCTCCGAGCTGTGCATCCGAGCAGCCCGGAGGTGTGCCTCTCGCGTGCAGGCACCCCCGGCGCCCAGCACGGCCATGCCACGGGACACAAGGCTCCGGTGCTGCATCCTTTCTCGCTCGACTATGAAAGGCCCTTGCCAAATGGCTGCAAAAATTCCCGGTCGTAGTGCGGCTGCAAAAAGTGCACAGCCGGTACCTGCGTTGATCTGCATGGCAAGTGACTGCAACATCCGTTTCAGGTCCGGGCAGTAGCAGTGGCTTCCCAGTGAAAGCTGTCCAAAGCTGCTCCTGGGAGATCAGGGACTCCTTCTAGCAAATCCAATATTGAACATGCACCCCAGAACTAGCAGGAATCAGCTGCCAGGAACTAGCTGTTTCAAGGCATCCGAAACTTTTTCGCGTGTCAGATTCGGGGGCCAACCTTCAGGTTCATAGGCTCATCTTTGTCTGGCAAACCGAGCCAGAAACCGCCGCACCACTTGCGGAGAGCTCGTGTCAGAAAACTTTGGCAAGCGGTGACGCTGATTGTGTTGCAGCACGAGGGGTTGCATGTAAAGGAGAGTGGTAGTGTCAAAGCGCGAAGCGGAGTACCATCCGTCCGTGCTGTAGTCCCCTATAAAAAGGCATGGCAGTGTTAGGGTGCCCCGAGGACCGAGGTATGGCGCCGGGACATTGCGAGGTAGGCCCCACCCGCCGACCGACTCGAAGTGACCCGGGTTCACGGCCCCACTGAAACTCACCACGAAGCGTGGCATAAAGGCCCCGAGAAATCGAGGATCTCCACGATGATGCAGCAGCGCGATCGAATGCACCTGAACTACCCTGCAGTAGACAGGGGGAAGCTTCTCTGACATGTCGGAGAGCTGTGTGTGTGTGTGCACATGCAGAACGTATAATGTATAGACTGTATAGACGCCATGCCCACTTCCATGCAGTGCTTTCTCTTCTTCTTTTTTGGCGGGGGGAGGGGGTAGTTGTCATAGGGAGCCTTATGTCCAGAAAAGGGAACGTGATTCGCCGGGCCATGAGACTGAAAACAGAAAGGGAAGTGCCCAACGCCACCGAACCGAGGCACCATCTCGGCCCCTTGTGAGAACCCCACCACACCATCGTACGGTGGGCTCGCACCCTGGAGCTCTTCTGCGATCTTCGTCAGGGACATCTCCATCTCCGCCCAGTCCAGGGGTCGATCTCCTTTGCCTTCCTCATCATACCTCCACCACATGTGCCTGTCTGCACGCGTGAGGTCTGGATATGGTGCAGCAATGCACCGGCACTCAACTTCCAAGTTCGCAGGGTCATCGTTGGCCAGCACTTCTTGTAAGAAGTTCTCCAAGTGTTGACAGAACTGGCGATGTTTGTCTCCATGCCCATGCAGTGCCAGCAGCCTCAAAAGCTTGGGCTCGGATGCCTTTCTCGAGGATGACACATTGATGACAACCATCCTACAGGGTTTGGTCTGAGCATCTGCAGCTGGAGCCAATGATGCGGATGCGCCCACTCTATCCGAGATCTGCACACTCAACCGGAGCATCTTCACATCGCATAACTCAAAGCAGCTCTAAGCCTAAGCACGGGTCCATGTGGCGGTGTCCAGGCTCGAAGGCCTTGAAGGCTGTGGAGCAACCTTAGGCCGCTCGCCGCGATAAACTGTGACCAAAGATCAAAGACGGTCCGCCCAAGTTCAGTCCCCCAGCTTCGCGCCTTGTCAGTCGCGTCCGTCTCAGGCCCTGCGATGCTGGGGCTGGCCCCCATAAGGCGCTGCGGAAGCCCTGCAAGGTGCTTGCGAGTTCGTACGCGGAGAATCCGCAGGAGCAAGGTTGGTCATACTGGCTAAGGTCTCAGCTGCACCCTCCCTGCGCGGACAGCGCAGCAGGAAACCCACTTGGAGCCAACGCTTCGGAGAAGTCGGCATTCGACTCTGAGAGCGCCCACAGTACTCTCAGGCAGCAGAGATCTGAAGAGCTGAGCCAATGTTGACCCTCCAACTCCAGCTCAACACTGGCGTGACATTTACAGTGAAAAGGCCCAGGTCTGCAGCCACCATCTCACAATGCCTCGATATGCCTCGATGATATCTGAGCTCTCCTGGTGTGGCGGCTGACTTAAGCGTCACTCCCTAGGACTCGCTAGGCAACCCGACCGCAGCTTTGTACTGCGAGCAGTTGCCTTGGAGCTCCTAGAGTATTCCTAGGTCCTAGAGTTACGAGGCGGCCCAACAGTCCATTGCTGTTGCGCTGCCCCAAAGCCAAACAAGTCCCTGAGGCTTCTGGCAGCCATGAGGACCGCTGGGAATGTTCAGCCCCATCTATCTGCGACGCAGATTCGCTAAATGGCTAAGTAAGCAATTTGAGAGACTGGGAGACTCCCCTGGCGCAGAATCGGGTTTGTTCAGATACACGATGCGGCAAGCGCAGGTATTTCAAGTCGAATGAGTGGTGTAGCGGGTGTTGCGCTGGAGGACAAAAGGCAAGCGCTTTGACGAGTCCACCGCAAGCAGCCGAGTGCGTCACACCAACATGCTGCTGCCCAGGAGCTTTTGCGGGTTCTGAAGCAGGGCTGGATCCAACAACGAGTTGAAAGACTAGAGACTCTTCGACATCAGTGCAGGGCGAATGCTTGGATAACACAACAATTAAACTAAACTAAACTAAACTAAACTAAACTAAACTAAACTAAGCAACATACAGCAGCTTTGCAATGACCACACAGGGCCCAGCGGCCTTTCTCCAGGACGTGCGGTAGGTGTCCTGGCGCCCGGCATGATTGTCCATCCTTGCCAGAGCTTGACACTGAGCTGCACAAAACAAAAGTCAACTCACACGGTCTGAGCGGCTTTTGGTAGCCATCAATGTACTTCTTGCCGTGCACTGCCTATCAGGAAACAGGCAAAACTGCTCGGGACCCGAACATATGGAAGCCTTAAGGTTATGAATGAAACTTCGGCCCACAACTTTTTCAAAGAACGCCTCTGTGGTTTCCCAGGTGCCAGCACCAACGAAGTGGTCCTACCGATTCCAATCTCTGTCTTCGACGCAGCAGAGAAAAGAAACAAGCTGGGCGCACACGAGGCTTGTTGGCATGCCGGCGGCCACCAGCGGCCGGCTCATCCTTTCGCTTGTCAGGTGTCGGTGTTGCACCTACGGCCTAGCGGAACGCCACTGTAGGACCGTAGGAGCTTGGAGCCAGGCAGTGTTGGTGCCTCGGGCTGCAGACAGTTGTGTGGGTGAACCGCCGATGTTGTTAGAGATTGTCTTAGACTCACGGATGCAACAGCGCCCTGGTTCTTATCCAATGGTGTTGAAATTGAAAAAATCAATGTGTTTTCGGGGGCCGTGGCACCATTCGAGACATATCTGCATTCGTTTCACACAACTGCCCGCCACTTATGCAAGAGTAGTGGTCATCGTGAGCGGTGTGGGTACCATTCGCAAAGACAGTGGATCTTGGATGTGGCCGTGATGGTAGCTAAAGTAGTAGCGTGCGACCTGGGTTCACTCACGAAGCTCGCTTGGACACTAAGATCCCCACAGCCGAAATGTGCCATGTGGTCTTCACTGATGTGGTTCGATGGCCTAGCCAGCGTGCGGCCGGTCTTTTTTCAGCAGACCGGGACAGCTCCAGCTGTGATACCTGTTAACCGGCGCTGGCCCGCTTGCACCACCAGCCATCAAGGCTCTTTCTCGGGCCTTGTAGGGATAGCTTGCTGGAGAGGGGTACACAGATCGCACCACGACGTTTGTCAAGCAAGCAGCTACCCTCGTGCCTCATTTTCTTTCTTCTGTTCCATGAGGTTGTCCACTGTTGGAATATACCTGCAAGGCTACACTCGGTAAAGTAAAGGCAAAATACCTGTCCAGAACTGCAGAAGCTGATTGGAATCCGAAGTGAAGCGGTGTCCCTCCAGCCCGGGGTTGGCAGTTAGACTCCGAGTCCGGTGCTAAAAGTATAGTGGAGGGCTCATGGTTTCTGATTCTGACTTGAACTTTGGTGTCCGAAATAACCCGCTATGAAGCACACCGGGTAGGTATTACACCCTATATCCCATCTGCAATATCCTCCAGGTTACTAATTAAGTCCAAGCATGTTCAACATAGTTTGAGCTTCAACTCAACTCCTCGGCCGGCCTGCGGCCTTCCAATGTCGCTCGCAGTGAGGTGATGCCCTGCGGCTCGGCGGAAGAAACGCCATGAGTCACCTCACGCACACTCCAAGAGGGTGGAGGGGCATTCAAGAAAAGGGGCTGAGGGACGCTTTGGGTCGGGTGCTGCTGGGGATGCTAGGGTCTTTTGGGGTTGCAAGGACACCTCGATATTGCTCCTGCAGGAAGGCATCCCGTCGTACCCCCACGCAAACCCTGGACCGCGCTGTGCGTGAGGATCCTGCCATGTTCTGCTTCGGGAAGAGATGCCTGGACGCTGAGGATGCGGCTTCATAACCCTCTTAAACCCCATAAGGGAAAGCAAAACACATTCCAAGGGCCTAACTGGTCATGCAAATGTTTGCTCAGTTGGGGGTGGAAATTCTGGTTGAGGGTTTCAGAAGGTTGGGAGCATGGGCCCCCCCGCCTTTTCCCTTCACCTCCAGCTCGGCCGGTTTGGATGCCCAGCTTGGGATCCTTCGCGCTGCTTCGGGTTTCGAGGTGGGGGCTTCAACTAGGGTCTCGGGTTTGTCGGACTCTGGGGGGCTTCAGGAACTCAGGGGCTTCGAGTGGCTTTTGGGATGTTGGGGTTTTGGGCTTACGTGTAACGTGCAGAGAGGGACGACCGCATCCGGAACGCTCTAATGACGAGGGCAGGGAGTGAGAGCGGCAGGGCAGCCGTCGCTGGAGTGGCTGGTTTTGTTGTCGCAACTCGCTGACACAGGTGGAACCGTTCCCCATGTTCGGCACATGTAGCTGCTCTCGGGTCTCCCGGAGCAGCCCCTCCCCCCTCCTCCCCCCTGCTACGGACATCGTGAGCCTGGCCCACCCCAAAAGGCCCAACCTTCCCAGGCCTTCACAGTACTGGACCCTTATCTTCTGCTTAAGACGCTTTCGAGACAATGCGCCCTCGGTCATCCCAACTGCTGGCGCTGGGAATCCTGAATCCCTCATCGCAAAATCTGAAAGTGTGCTATGGCATGCGGCATTGCAGTTTCCAAAAAAGGGGCACAGGCTTAATTTCCGTATTTGGGGAATGAGGAAGGCTTCCTCGATCTCAACGGGAAGAACACTCACAGCAAGCTAGCGAGGCGAGCCTCCTTGAAGGCATTCTGCTGCATCTTGAGGTCCTTGTAATTGTCGCGCGAGGCACCCACTGCCTCTGCATTAGACCTCAGGGCAGGGAGAGGGGCCGGAGGCTCGGAAAAGTATCTAAGGGGGAATGAGGCAGCTGTCCGGCCTGCTGGTTGGCAGGTCGGAATCAACCCTCTGATCAACCTTCTGCCGCTGAGTCGCCATCTCCTCGGGATCAGGGAACTGAGTGCCGAGTGCAACTGAGAGAGTAGCATGTGGTATAGCCGGATCATCACCGGATGTGGCCTGCGTCTCTTGCGCGAAGGAACCTGACCCAAGGATTCAGGATCGTCACGCATGGTCCCGTCCAAGAAACCCTGGCTCCGCCGAGGAAAGGGCGTGGCACGAAATGGCCCGTGCCATAGCCTTTGGGGCGCCAGTCGGACTATCATACAAGCAGACCCATGCGAATCCCCACCTCCGGATCGGCCCTGTTCTGGCTTCTGATTCGTGAGCTGCTCCTCCAGTTGATGCGCTCAGCTCTATTTGTGGCCCTCGCACGTTGATCATACTTTCGCCTGCATCTGCAGGATCCAGCGTGTCATGTCATCGCAACGGCCGGAAGGCAGGGACGGGCATGCAGCCTCGAAGGTCGCAGGGCAGCTCTTTACAGGGGTTAGAATGCTTCAGCACCAAGGCAATCATGCTGACTGCAGTCAGAATTCAATTTATGACTTCCTCGCATGTTCCGTCATCTCAAGGAAGGCAGATACAAAGAAGGTGAAACACGGAACATGCGCTGCACCCTTTTGGGTGGCTCTTGCTCCCGGCTCCTCTCATCAGTTCCCAATGAGACCTGCCGATATCACCCAACATCCCGCTGCGGTTCAGATGCACAGCTACACCGGCACACCGCTCCGCTCGAACCACGATGGCTCTGCGCGATGGCTCTGCGCGATACGCAGTCGAGCCCTGCCATGCTGGCACATCATGGCTATATCCGTGACTAGCCCATTCTGTTCGTCCAGTCAGTGGTGCCATACATATAGCGGCAGAACGGTGCGATCTTGCTGCCGGGGCCACTGTTCTCCAGGCGTGGAAACTCCCCCACTGACTTGGAGAATTTGTTTGAAAGGCCAAATCGGGGTGGCCTCATCTCAGTCGGATACCTGGAGCCGTACACAGAATTGCTGGTCGTGTATATGCACGCGCCCCCTGCTCGCTGGAATGTGGCGGATGGCCCCACGATATTGGGCGTGAAGAAGCATCGGGGATGTGAAAGGCTGGATTCATCCTCCATGATGCTCTCGTCAGCAAGATCCGGAAACCGCAGCTGATTTGGCTGAAGATGGCTGCTCGAAAAATGCAAAGAGAAATCAAGTTGTGACTCGCAGCTCCTAGCAGCATGTCTCAGCAGGAGCAGCCCTGATCGTCATCATGCACACCATATGAGCCCCTCTCTGCCTCGCCGATCGCATCTCGGATCGCCTAAGGCAAAAGCATTCGGCTTGCCCGGAGGCTTCTCAACACTTGTCGCCACTGAGGCACGGGCCAAGGCGCGTTTCCGCAACGCGGACTGGTTCAGTGTCTGTGCAGGACCAGCACTGGGTATGCAACGTACGCGTACACGCACCATCTTTCTGATGTAATGTGTATAATATATATATACACACATATGTATGCATATGTAGGGTATAAGAGGAAAATATGTGTGATATATATATGTATACTAGAGTTGTAGCGAAAAATAGACAAATACCTGCATAGACATACACGCACTAAACACGTTTCATGCGCAGTCCAGGTTCGCCTCCAGCTGCGAGAAAGTCCAGAGCTGCAAAACCTCATCCCAGCGCGTGCGTTCAGTTTGACAGACTTGGGGCGGGCGAGATGCGGCGAGCCTTTCCATTCACAGTCACCTGCCAGGTTCGCAAGTCCGCTGGTTCCTTCCACCCGTTCCTCGTTTACCAATCCTTCAATAGAGGTGTTGAGTGCTGGGTTCATGCACAATCTTGCCGGACATGCCTCGCCCGTCGCTGCAGGTGAGGCGTGTGTGTAGGTCGGGAAGAGCCTCAGAGCCGTTCGGGACCGACTGGCCGTGTCAACCATCTTCAAGCGCGAAGGTAGTCTGAAGACTTGACTTCGCAAGAGGCAGAGAAACAGCACAGACGAAGAAGTTTTCTCCTATACCTAGGCACCAAGCTTTCGAGCGTCGCCATCCTGACGTCCCAGGATCTCGCCTGGATCGTGAAATGGGCTGTATACGATCGTGTACACTTGGCATATCTTTTAACATGTACTATAGAGCATATATTTTTGCTGTATATACTACATAGTGCATAGGAACTACTATACCGTATATATCAGAATCATGCGGCAGCTATCGGTGAAAGCCGGGGGCACCGTCCACGTTCCGCTCTCTGCCAGCGAGGAACAGCTCTGAATCGATCATCTTGTCCTGGCGGAATTGTGCTAGACCTACCCAAACACCACAGTGCTGAGCTGCCTTGCGCAATCTCAGTAACCCCATGAAACCCCCCACCCTGTCTGCCATGGGCCAGTCCATGATTGCAACGTGTGTGTTTCTGCTCAGGAGCTCGCAGGGTTCGGCTACACTGCTACACCTTAAGCAGCGTAGGTAGATGTCCCAGTCTGTGTCTCTAAGCGTACATGACATGCTCTTGGCTGGGGCCCAAGTCCGCTTGTTTCGACTGGGGAGCCGTGGAAATCCGCGGAGCATCATGGAGCCATGTGAGGGTTTACGGTACTAGGGGGTACCTTAGTATCAGGGGAACCTACTATTTGGGGTCTATACTAGGGGTCCCTTAGTATCGTAAACCCCCGGCTGAGCGACTGGCCCCATGTCGTTGCAGGAGAGTCTTGCTTTTCGTCTGGCCACAGACGTCCGAGATAGGGGATCCTTGCCGCGGTACTGTGGGTCGGACGCATGATGAGCTGATGAGCTGTAAACTTACCATGACTATTCAAGCCTTCAATTGGCTAGGGCATTCTGGCATCCAGAATTCCCTTGATGCCTCTGCTCAGCCAGGAACATGATAACTTCTCAATGATAACATGCATGCAACAGTAACATGCCTATCGAGTCATACTTGGGGGCCTAAGAAAGTCGGGGTGCACCTAGGTCATACTCTTTAGCAAATTCTCGGAGCAAGGTCTCAACTATTGTGCAACCTTGGCTCCTCTATGAGAGTGACATGAGTGCCTTTGGCACGAGATGTCTTTATTCTACAGCCGGGCCGGCGTAGCCTGCCCGGCTCTGAGAATCCGCAGCTTCGTGGACGCGAAGATAAGAATCACGCTGGTCGCACCTCCCCTGGGTGAGTCAACACTCGATGACATGCCAAGGTCTATGCTTTTATGCTACATTTCACGAGTCGCGCAGGTTCAATGACAAGACTGAACTTAGACTTGGCTTACAGTTACAGAAGCCTTCGCCGTAGAAGGTGTCCCTCGTGGCCCATTATGGTCAGGCAGGATTGTGGAGGCTTGCTAGCAATTCTTAAATCAGTCCTCTTGACCAGGTATGCCGATAACTACAAAAATCATACCTAGCCGACCTAGCCCTCATGTTCACGTTGAGTTTGCATGAAGCCCTGTCGCAAAACGAGGTCGGGACATGTCGACCGCCCCTTGCGCACGCTGTTGATGAAGTAAAACTGGCAGGGGCGATTCAGAGCACCAAGAGCAATCTTGCCGGACCGTGACTCCTAGAGCTCTTGGGCACAGGTCGGGCGCGCCGGAGCAAAGAGAAAGCACGCAACGCCCACCACGAGAAAAGCGATGCCAAGGAATGGGTTCCTGACAGCGATGAGGATCCGTGCCAACGCGTCTTCTCATCGAAGCCCTGCCTTCCTCCGACCATCGAACTGGTGGTCATGATGAAAGCCTGCTGGGATGTATCTATGATCTCTGGTATGAATACAAAACAAGTCGATGACTATCTGTGCCCGTGGCAGCCCATGGATCCTAACATCTGCAGTCTCTGCGTCTGCAGTCGGCCTTTCGTCCGTAGTACTCCTTGACAGGGAATCTGTGCACCACGTAGACTTTCAGCCTGAGGCATGGCGGGAACAGAAACGCAACCATCCAAAATCAGCCGAAACAAGGCCGCCAAAAACCAGAAGAGTAGATCCCACAGTAAAGCGCTAAGCCCAGATGTTGCACCCTGCTGGCTGAAACAGTCGAAGCTGATTTCTCCCTCGATAGACATAAGCGATTAGATAACATTGGAATGTTTAATACAACCCCCCCCCCCCCTCCCCACCCCCACCACCACCCCCCCCCCCAAATGGATTACGGTCATTTACCGTCTTCTCCCCGCCTTAAGCCTTTAATCCAGAGGCCAGGACTTAGACATCCAATCCAAGAGGCCAGGGCATCGAAATCCAGAGCCAAGGCGAGTCCCAAAAAGAGTGCCCGTTATGGGAGGTCCGGCGGGTGGCTCCTGGACCACCCCTTCTTCCGGATTGATCGCGACCCATTGCGCCTGTGGTTCTTTTACAGGGAATTCTGGGTTTGGCTCGGATGGGATTCCACCCCCAGGGGCCGTTCAGATTCAAAGGCGCGGCCTCCAATTTAAGCCAAGAAACGGGGCATCGGAGCTTTTCTTTTTTGCCGTGAAAACAAGCCCAGACCGGATCCCGGGAGCAACTTGACTTTGCAGAAGACCCCACCCTGCACCCCCAAACGGTCATAGGGTCCTGAAGAGCCCGACAAACTTGACATCATAGAGGGGGGGCCCCTACTAAACAGGGCGCAACATTAAAATCCCGAGATCGGCGCCTGGTGCCAGCCTTGATGTCTCGGTCCACCTGATTCCGCGCATCATGTCTGAGGCAGAACATGCGGTCTGCACGGCTACAGTCCTGGGGATTAAGGCCCGTGCTCTCCCCCAAACCTTTCTAAAGGTTGGCAGGGCGGATGTCCTCATCCACCTCATGGACGGCTCAATCGAGAACAAGGCTAACAAGACTGTGCCTTGCAACTTGGCAACGGAAAAATCTAGGCGATCCCGCACTAAGAAGTGGCCGCTGGCAATCCCCCAATCCTGCTGTTGATGTCGAAGACGCTAGGGTCCAGTGGGGCATTTGGCACCGCATGCGTAAGCTTAGCGGCGTTGGTCCTTCACCTGGCGCATGACGTAGTCATCCCCGGTACAGGAGAAGGGCGAATTCTCTCTGATGAAGTTGCAGGAAGCAGCACCTGCATCCAGTGCACACATCATACGCGGTTCTCCCACACGAAGCCTTCTCACATGCGTAGCAGGGTGTCCCTCATCGAACCTGTCACGTAGCCCTGGCAGTCGGGAACTTCCCTTGGGGACCTGACAACGGAAAGCCCTCTCGTCCAACCCTACACGAAGGCTGGGCAATGCTGGGCATCGGTCCCGTCTGCATCATCGATCCTGCAAGCACAATTGCAAACCCAATGCCTGGACAGTTGAATGACTCTTGAGTCCTGGTTGCTACCTCTATGGGGGCAAACGGCTTGTCTGGCCCCAAGTGAACCTGAGTTGTAGCGTGTGCGCCCACGCGCGCCCAGTTTGATCACAGTTCATCGGACCCCAGACTGCCCTGCCTGGTAACACTCCACAGGTGGGAAGTAGCTCAACATCCACATGTTGAGGGCATGCCTTGGGTACTGAGACGTACCACGGCACAATGACCAATGACCACAATCTCAAAGTCCCCGGCTGGTTTTGCAAGCCCGGCCTGCGTGGATTCTCGGCCTGTGACACCCGTGCAATCCCGTGCATACATTTGCACTTACTGGAACATGGAGTGGCCGAGAGAGCAGAGAGGGAGAACGTGAAAGAACTCTGTCAGCCTCAGGATCCAGGTTGCTGAAGCGCGCTATATCGCCAGCCCAAGCAATGGATTTTGCAGAGCTGTCAACCTGCCACAGATTTGTCACAGCTTCGTGACGTCGCAGATGGAAAAAAAAACTCCACCACTTCCGCTACTTTCGGTTCATCTGTCGCCCCAGCTGCCTCTAACCGTGACTCAGAAGTTGCAGTTTTCTCTGCAATCACAAAGCTGTCATTGAAGACCTTGGCCAGTGTGACCATCTGGATGAAGCTGGACTGCATATCATCGCAACCAAAGCAAGGTTCAGGCTGTCCATGCAACCAATCCGCACGGGTAGTTCGTGCCTGACAGTTGTGGGCATCACCCGCGGAGCCATGTTCATGCCATGACAAACAGGCAGAAAGCGCGGCCATCCGTCTCTGCGCGGGGAACGCACACCTTCCGCAAAATGCTTCGGAGGACAGCGGCTCCGGGTTTGTTGGATATGCCCTCTCTGCCTGAGGAGCCACCTTGCTACTGGCAAGCTCAGGATCCATCAGCTGAGTGTCGTCCTGCCAATGCTTGCACCCTTCTTCGTGCACCTGCTACCTCCCACAGCCTACCGCTCCCTGAAGCGCCTCTCTTTTCTCAGAGAATGAAATCACAACGCATGTGGGTTTCACGATGCTTCACCTATGACCACGGTCAGACCAAGGCACCCGATTTTCGACGTACATCCGGTGATTCTGGTGAAAGCCAGACAGCTGATAATAGACCTCAGGCAGAGGGTGTCATCGGAGTCATCTGGTATATGGCCTGCCTCAAGACAGAGGGCGAAAGGGCTGAGGCACGCACCCATATGGGTGCACTCATGTCGCTGTCCACTTCGATTTCAAACGAAACTGGCAACGGCAAGGCATGAAGAACATTGAAGAACACTGGTGCGGGCAGCCCAGGCGCCTACGCCGTTTGAGGGGTCGACCGGGTCGTCCGTGTAGTCGTGAAATAACTCAACGACACCCTGCACATGTCCCATGTACAACGGCAAATGCAGCTGAAGATACTCAAAGGTATATCTCCTACATCCTCTCCAATGTCAAACTGAAGCACCGGCCTGGTTAGTGAAATGCAACACGACTCCTAGCCTCGGATGGACCCACTTCCTTCCGATTTCCCAAGCCCGTCTGAGTCAAAGCTGCCACTCTCACTCAGCGCATCGCACTAGGAAGCAGCAGCCAGCTACGATGTAGATTGTGAGGACCACACCTCCACCGCGAAGATAAGCGGAATGTCGTACCATGCCAGCTTTCCAATGAGATGATGCGTGTGTGTGTGTGTGTGTGTGTGTGTGTGTGTGTGTGTGTGTGTGTGTGTGTGTGTGTGTGTGTGTGTGTGTGTGTGTGTGTGTGTGTGTGTGTGTGTGTGTGTGTGTGTGTGTGTGTGTGTGTGTGTGTGTGTGTGTGTGTGTGTGTGTGTGTGTGTGTGTGTGTGTGTGTGTGTGTGTGTGTGTGTGTGTGTGTGTGTGTGTGTGTGTGTGTGTGTGTGTGTGTGTGTGTGTGTGTGTGTGTGTGTGTGTGGTGGTGTGTGTGTGTGTGTGTGTGTGTGTGTGTGTGGGTGTGTGTGTGTGTGTGTGTGTGTGTGTGTGTGTGTGTGTGTGTGTGTGTGTGTGTGTGTGTGTGTGTGTGTGTGTGTGTGTGTGTGTGTGTGTGTGTGTGTGTGTGTGTGTGTGTTGTGTGTGTTGTGTGTGTGTGTGTGTGTGCTGTGTGTGTGTGTGTGTGGTGTGTGTGTGTGTGCTGTGTGTGTGTGTGTGTGTGTGTGTGTGTGTGGTGTGTGTGCTGTGTGTGTGTGTGTGCTGTGTGTGTGTGTGTGTGTGTGTGTGTGTGTGTGTGTGTGTGTGTGTGTGTGTGTGTGTGTGTGTGTGTGTGTGTGTGTGTTGTGTGTTGTGTGGTGTGTGTGTGTGTGTGTGTGTGTGTTGTGTGTTGTGTGTTGTGTGTCGTGTGTGTGTTGTTTGTGTGTGTGTGTGTGTGTGTGTGTGTCCGTCCCAACCTTCTTTTGCTTTTTGGTCAGTCAGGGGGGGGGGGGGGGGAAATCTTTGGAGGGCAGGGCTTCTGGATTCGCATCTTCCAGAAACAGCAGCGCCTGGGCTGGGCACCGGCTGATAAGACCGTAGCCTTCTCTGAATCCATCGATTTCTCCTTTGGGAGCCACGCAGCCTGGCTGAACCAATCCCAGCGAACCCAAAAGCTGAGCAGGTGCCTATGTAGAAGCAAGCCAGGTGTGCCCACAACAGCAACAACAGCCTTTTCGCTCTGCATCCTCATACGCGCGTTCTGCAGCAAATGTTGCAGATTGTTGCAGCACCACTCCACTTGACACATCCAGTGCAGCTACCACGCGCTACGGCAGTGTCCTGGGCTGCCATGAGCCTCAGGACCCGCAAGGTCCCGACATGTTTTCAAGCTTGCAGAGAGCCGAAATCAATGGTGCTGTGCATGTGCGGACCAAAGTTTGCAACATCGCATGAAAGACACAATAGACGGCAAGGCGGGACCACTGTCAAACGCCCTTTTCCTCCGACCTTCCATGATCCGATAACACAATGCCACAAGGCCTACCAGAAAGATGACGGCGGGGGCGCGAGATTCCATTCAAGCATTCAAGTGATTCAAGTCTGGATGTCTGCATCGCCACTGCCAGTGGCCACGGTGGCGCCTGTGGCCCCTTCCAAGCCGGCTGTCCAGCTCATGCGCCACCGGTTTTTAGGGTTGCCACATTCTCCGGAGGGTCTGCCGCGGCCAAGATGGGTGTGCTCCACCCTCACTCTCCCCACTTTGCTTTCCTGACACGCGGCGGGGACTCCTAACCAAGGGAACTTACGGCGTAGCAGCATAGGCGTCACTGGGGAGTGTGGCTTTTTGTAAGGATGGGCTCGGAGTGCTGTACCTATTTAACTAGGTGCACAATACGCATCCTTCCTGCAGAGAAAGCTCCTTGAGGAGCAATCCCCACAAGCCCTCCGTACCCCAAACCCCAAAAGCCTTAAACGTTGAAACCAAGTGGTCCCTAGCCTAACACCTCCATACTCCCTAAGCCCTAAACACCTACAACCTTAAATTTCTTGAACGGCTCTGAAGCCCTAAATGTCCTAGTCTGGGCTGCACTTAGGAGGGTAGCTACAAATTAAGTTTTTAGCTGCCTTCTTAAGAAACCCAATGAACCCAAAGAGGCTAAGGATCTAAAGTTGCAGTAAAGAACCACAAAGTAATTAATAACCAAACACCCGAAGGCGCTTGAACGAAGACCCCTGAACCCGTTTTAACCCTCAACCCTCCCAACGACCCTGAACCCGAAACCCTTGACGCCTCAAAAAACACCATGAGCCGACTGAAGCCAACAACCCGAAACCCTAAACTCGGAGTCACTCCGAGACCCTATACCCTATAACCCCTAAGCCGTATAGACCTTGAACTTTCATCTGATGCTTGCCTCCAAGCTCAGTTGAAGTTTTCACGGCGAGCCCTGCGAGGCTTGAGAGCTTCGGGTTTGAGGTACCAGTTGAGGGTTGAGGGTTGAGGGTTTGGGGGTTCGATTGGGCTAGGGCCAGGGTTCAGGTTTGAGGGTGAAGGGGATTTCTGGGGATCAGGGTTTCTGGGTAACCCCGGTGTGTTCAGGTTTAGAAGGTAAGGGGCTTTATGGGGGCTAGCGCTTGCTTTGGAGTTCAGAGTTACGGGTTCAGGGGTTGCATGGGGGCTCGGATTTACGGGGGTCCAGGGATCAGGGGTTGCAGGGGGTGTTTCGGGTGAGGGGAAGTGTATGTTCATGGGTTTTGGAGTTTAAGGATTTCAGGGAGTTCGAGCGTAGGGTTTAGGGTTTCGAACTCAGGAAACGGACGCTGGGATTGATTACAGACCAGGACGGCGCAATGCCGACAAGCACCAGGAAAGGCGGGGGGTGAGGCGGGGGGGGGCGGAAGGATTTAGGGGCTCTTCCCCTTCGGCATATACAGCCCAACTCTTTCCATATGGTTGTTGTTGAAATCTGGTCCCGTTTCGGGTGCCTGATACAATATGGGCCCATATATTTATAGGCTGTATGTTTATGTGGCTTTTTGGGCCCCGACTATTGAAGAGCCAGCACAGCCACAAAACGGCATAAAAGCCCAAGGGACGGCCCTGTAAAAGCCCTGTCCTTGAGTTCTGGGCTTTGGGTTTATAGGGTTTAGAGTTTAGGGTTTGGGGTTCGGGTTGAGGGCTTAGGGTTTACAGGGTTTATGGGGTTTAGGGTTTCAGGCCTTGGCGGCGGGCTCCGTGAGTAAGACCTCGACGAGCTGGGCCGTCGCCTTCTCGGGTTCTCGCGCTCGTGCCTGGAAACGAGGTGCAACTGCTAGGGCGGCTGGAATTGTGCGTTTGCCGCTACTTGGAAGTTCATGGGTACTATAAGTAGGGTTATGAGTAGGGTAACTCTAGTTATAAACTTCTTTGGGGCACTTATAACCCTACTTATAGGCACCAATGAACCTTCCAGTAGTGGAGTTGGTAGCAGGGGGTGCATAAGATGCATAAGACCCTCAGCAACAAGCGGCCTCATGAAGAGCTCGCGAGCTGTCAGATGTTTATTGCCGCCATTGCTGATGTCGTCACCTCGGGTGTCCCCCCCGAAGCGATCACCTCCTTTGCCTCCTTTTCCCTTGCCCCTATCGTCTCGGCGATCATCTCGGCGGTCATCTCGGCGGTCGTAGTCGCGGCGGTCATCGCGGCGGTCATCACGGCGGTCATAGTCCCGGCGGTCGTCTCGGCGGTCATCTCGGCGGTCATCCCGGCGGTCATCCCGTCGGTCATAGCCACCGCGGCGATCATCCCGATCATAGCCGCGCCCGCCGCCCCCGCCACCCCCGCCGCCGTCAAGGGACACGTTCACAGCTCGCATCTTGCCTTTGCGATCGTCGTACTCCGCATCGAAGCGGACTTTGTCTCCCTTGCCCAGGCCCTTGCAACCTTGCAGGCCGGAGGCGTGGCAGAACAGATCCTCGCTGCCGTCATCTGGTCCTGCACAGTGAAGTGCAACTGGCCATGCTGATAAGATGCCTCCAGATGATATCAGTGCGGTGCCATGCGGTGCCTATGAAGCCAAAGCCCTTGTCTTCGACCCAGTTCTTCACAATGCCAGACTTCGACATGTCTCCTGTGCAGGTTTGTGGACGGTTTGGTCGCTCTTCCAAGCTCTTCCAACCGCAGCCCACACGACACACCGTCCTGACAGCACGGCGCAAAGGCACGCAAGCTACCCCTCCCCCCCCCGATCCCGCAGCCCCTTGGAGCCTGATAGGAGCAACAGGAGCCACAGCCTCCTCGGCCCACCCCTAAAACCCTGAAACCTAAAGCCTACATGAGACTCTTTTTTCGTACAGTTTTCGTAGTAACTACCCCCTACTTAGGAGGGATAACCCATAAAGAGGCGAACTCAGAACCACCAAGCCCCGAAACCCCAAGCCCCCAAAACCAAATCCCCTGCCTGACACTGCAACTTGTAGGGCTAGGGTTTTCTGGGTTGAGGGCAGCTGAATTCTCAATGAATATTACCTCGACTCGTGCCCTCAAGCTCTACAGTATTGCATGGCTTTAGCCGAGTGGCTCTGATAAGATCTTGGGCTCAGCAAAGTCAGTAAATAATCTTTACAGCTGCTTCGACCACGAGGTTCTTTTCAAGACAGGGTCAAGCATCAGAAGCTGTTGCAGCGTCGATTGCTGGAGCAATCATCGAAGGGAAAAGCCAGGCCCTGCTACGCGGTCCCTTGGGTGCAAAGACAAGCCGCGCCGCATTCCGTCACGCAAAAGTCGTGCGATCCTTCTACGACTCTACTACTGCAACTTCTTGTCGTTCGTCGCGGGAACGTGGGACAGCGGGCGCGAACCATCAGCGTCTGCCCAACCATCAGCGCCTGCCCTTGATCGGGCGTGCCTTACAAGATGCACTTGCAACTACTGAAATGCAGACTCTTTCTCAGCCTCCCGCCGTCTCCTAGCATGACCCCCCATGAATTGGACGCATTACGCATCGAAACTTCCGTCGATTCTTGCAACTGCGAGAGGGACAGGGCAGGGAGAAGGGCAGAAAGGGAAAGCCATTAGGCAGAAGGAGAGGCAGAGCAAGGCAGCGAAAGATGTTCACAGATGAGCTGAAGGCAGATATCCCAACTTCCCATCTACTAAGAGTCAGCATAAGCTTCCTGGCTCTGTGGACCCGCCTTGGCCTTGGCCCCGGTGGGCACGGAGGGTGCGGAGCCAGAGCCGCGCGCCTGAGCCAGAGCCCTCTCCTGCCGCCGCCGCACCTCGCGGCGTTCACATGCGAGCCACGGTTTAGGGTTTAGGGTTTGGGGGTTTTAGGGGCGTTGTTGGGGTTGGGGTCTCGGAGTTTGCGGTTTAGAGCCCCCGACCTTGTCAGATGAGGGCATCAGAAAGACCAGCAAGAACAGCAGAACGAATATGCCAACCACCTCAGGGCTGTCCCCGTTCGATGGCTAGAACCGCTGGGGAATCCATGCGCCAAGCTACGGGCAACATAGAAAGGCTACCTATCACCCCAAGACCCCAAGAGCTTGAGACTGAACTCTGAGTGAATCAGAGGGCAATCCAAAGTCGATCTTCAAGGGCATCACGAAGGCAAAGGTTCCGGAAAGCGCCACTGGCCCCCAGGGGCATGGCAGCATGTAGCAGCTGGAGAGCTACTCCGCTTCTCAGAATGCTACAGCTACAGCGCGCTTCTTAAGCACTTCGGAGTGGTCGCATGAACTGGTCTCCCTGAAGCTGAAGAATGGAGTTGTCATGTCGTAAGCATTCATGTTGTTCACGTTGCAAAAGCTCCAACGGAGCCTGGAGAGGATGCTGCAACACCATGCGGCGTACAGGACGTGGGCACAAAGGCACATCATCTTGCCCGCATGTGCCCGGCTGCTTTTCATTTGCAGTAGCGTTAACAGTTGTGCTCTGGCTCTCCCGGGACATGAACAAACTGCATGCTCCTGCATGAACGTTCTTGGCCTATGTGCAACTAAATTAAAATGTCGGGGCCGACTGCCATTCCAGCGCCGCTCCATTGAGACCATCCACAGCGAAAGCTGCATCAGAGCCTCCGCGAACGCACATCTGAAAAACAACGGGTGAAACATAAATTGCGGCATCAGAGACCTCGCAGTGCATGCAGGAGTTGGATACTTTTTGTCATATTCTGCTGCAGCACATTCCTTGTGGTTTTTGAGAGTTCAGGCATACGTTGATCAGCCTACTGGGCACCGATGTGCTTAAGGGACCCACATCCACAAAATTCCCGTTATCAGTCTTCTTGCTCCCTCATCTCGACATGAGCCGAAGACAGCCGAAGAATAATACACACCCTTGCTTGTTGTATTGGCACAACTGCTGTAGAGAGTCGGCCAAGTGCTCATGCCCACACAGACAGACTGCACTCCCGGAGGGAGGGCGCGCCGTATCCCCAACAAGTTTGGAAACCCAAGCCCCCGACAAACAACAAACCAACCCCCCGACACAAAAACAACGAGCACCCACGACAACAACTTGCAAAAACCTAAGTTGGGATGGAGTTGTTGGTTCGTCGCGCAAACGAGATCGTTTGCTCCGTTCAATAAACGAGGTCGCTTGCTCCCATTCGGGGGTTTTCGCGGGCCAGGTCCAGAGACAGGCTCTGGTTTCCGACCTGCGCCTCCCCGGGACCAAAGCCGACGACCACCTCCCCGGAGAGCAAACGATCTCGTTTTCGCTACGATCCATCCTCTTCCATACGGAAAGCCCGAAAAAAGCCTTTCAGGAGCCCCCCCCCCCCCCCCCCAGGCTCAAATAAGCCCCCCCAAAAACCAAACGACGTACGATTTGGTTCTCTCTTTCCACATTCGCAGCCAAATTGCACGTCGTTTGCCCTGAGCCCCAAAAAAGCCTTTCAGGAGCCCCCGGACCCCTTCCGCCTCCTTGTGGACCCCTTCCCCCTCGAAAAGGTCCCGGATGCACTGGACCCCTTCCCCCTGGAAGAGCCCAGAAACCGGACAGAAACCGGACCGGATGCCTCGTCCGGGACACCTCCACCCAGACCCAGAAAACTGCAGAACTAAAACGCTGTTCTGCATAACCTTGTTGGTGTTTTGCAGTGTCTGTTGTGGTTTCAACCCTAACTCAGTCGTGGCTAGTTGGTTTCTTGTCGTGGGTGTGTACAACCTAGTTGTGGATAAGGCCCACTCTCGCAGGCACCAACGGCGCTAGCTTGGCAAGCAGGATCGATTGAGCTTGGACCAGGGAGCCAGAGCATAACAGAACATCGACATCAGCACATCGTTTTCTAGGGCGCGGACCAGTGACTACAGGTCAAACTGGGCACGGGGACCTTGGCAGAGATTTCCAGCCTGTGCCGCATGGCCAGGGCAGAGATGGGCAGAGGCAGCCGAGGCCCTGTCCAGTTAGGCCAGAAGGCAGTGGCAAAGGCTGGGGCACCTGCGCTGTGGAAACAATAGGATAAATGCACACATATGTCTAACATAGTTAGTTATGTCTGTTTCCTGTGGGAGGATACCCCGCCTGCACAGGCACCTGCACAGCATGCGGCGCAACGCTGCTCGACTGTGACAGTCGTGGGTCTCGCTTGACCTGTTCACACAGATAACCTGCACACCGGTCTTGCAGCAAGTCCTGTGCCATCATGTGCCACCGGACCTGCGTAGCTTGAGCGGGTGCACTGAATCTGTGGCGGCGGGGCTGCATCCTTACACAAACATCCCACTGCCAAGATAGCATTCAATTGCCCTTCTTGCTTGCTTTCGATCCCTCCCCGCCTCTATCTCTCTAAGCCCCGGGCGCGGCATTGGGCGACGACATCGGCTGGCCTGAGAACGAAGCGCACACATGGGCTCTCAGAGGCTTGTCGACCTCGGTAATGGTCATCGATCTTCAGTACCCGACAGCTGAAGGGCAGCTGCGTCGTCGGAGCCTGGATCGAAACCATATCTTAACACATCGCGAGCGTTTAGAAAACGGTTCTGCGTGGCAGCAGTTTCCGAAGGATCATATTGCCGAGGAATATCAGCTCCACGGCGGTCCTGCGCCATGGTCCCGTGACTGGCTGGCATTGCGCTGCTTGCCTCACAACGTGAGATCACTGTTTTTTTGCACCCGAAATCAGGGCATGATAAGGTAGTTGGGCAGACGGTTCGTGCCGTTAACACTGTCTTCTCATGTCTGCCGGTTCGAAGCCCAAAAGATGCTCGGGCAATTAGGCATCTGAATGGACGTTGCGACAGGTTCGCGCACCTGGACCTCGTTTCACGCCAATCATCTATCAACGCTATCTTCCAAGCTGTTCTAGGCTAGCACGTCAGTATACGTGCAGCAAGATGCCCGTGCCCTTCCTCGGAAGAGTTTTATAAGTTAACGAAAATCAAATGGTTGGCAACTCTGCGCCATTGGAACCACTACTATTCGTCGTGCCAAACTTTGCACCACTTCATCCTGCAAAGCCGAATGTGCAAGCCGGGCACCAAACAGGGTACCAGTAACAGCACTACGACGGCACATCGCGCGTGTAGCTCACAGACCGAATCCCCGTGCCATGGGCCATCAGCGATGTGGCAACGTGTGAGGTTAGGAGAACTCATGACAACTTCCGAGGAGACTCTTGGAGTTTGATCCCAAAGCTTGTGATTGCATTGCCAATGAGGCGAAGACGTGCGGTAAGGAATGTTATGAATGATACGGCACCAGGTGCACACCGAATGGTTCGAAGATGTTCGAAGTGTCGAATGCTGAGCGCACGGCTACGGCCACCAGTGGGGCAGTGACGGCGACAACCCTGAGTCTTTCTCTGGTTTTGGGTTTGCACAGCTTGGGACCCGAGATGCTGCAAAGGGTTTGCGAGCTCAGTCTCGGACGAGGGCCGCCCAAACTGCGGCATGACAGGGACAGCGGACTGTCCTCGAAGCACACTGAACTTGAAAACCGAATTAGAGCGCCAGCCCCCTTATCGGCAGAAGAAACCGGCCTGCACTTAGATGCCTCGACACAGGAGCTACAGGGGTGGCGCGACCACTGTAGGACCTCTGCACCTCGGCATCAAGTGTGCCACCATTGTGCATCATTGTGCAACTGAAATAACATCCGACCCATGTGCCGCTGAGGCTTGCTGGGGACATTACCCACGCTGCGCCCTGCCTGGCCAGAAGAGAGGCGTACCGGTGTACCAGGTTCCGAGTTTGCACCAACTTGAACTGAAGATCTCTCTGCCCGTGTTCATGCGCTTGCGCATGCGTACGCAGACCTACACTGTGACCTACACTTCGGCTCAATCTCGCCAGGCTGGCACACCCGTGGCAGGTGTGTGCGCAGCGTGCCCGTGCCCCACCCAGCCTGCAAGTGCTTGACACTGGGCAGCGGAATGCAGTGGATGTTCTCAATTTTTTGGGTTCGTTTCTACATCTCTGAGATGGCGACCCCCGACTTGCGGCGACGCTGCTGGAGTTGCTGGTGCTGTCCGGATGGATGGAGTCACTGACCCCTTTGAGCCTCGGCACAGCTCAGAAGCATCCACAAGCACAGTCTTTCAGGGTCAACACCCCACATGAGCTGAGGCGAGGACCCATTCGCAATTCGGAGGCCTACATGTCAACTTTACTCCACTGCCTCTTTCATGTTTTTCGCAGGGCTGAGCTCACCTGCGTCCCAGGTGGCGTTGCAACATCAGTGTCGGCAACGGTCGGCGGAGCTACCTTGTCAAGGACACTGCCAGGCATGCTGCATGTACCATTTTTTTACAGTATCTGTTGATCCTTTCCAGTCCCTTCGACACACCTGCAAGTGGCTAGGGCTTTCACTTTGACAGCCTTCGTCACTCGGCATGGGTCCTCTCCTTGTCCACAGCTGCGACCCATCAACACGTTAATGGGCTACCCGTCCCTGCTCGATCCCGTCCTCGTGCGCCCACACTTGCAAAGTCTTCTCGTGGCGGGCTGTCCACAGAATTGCCTCGCGAAGGAGGGCCTGAGCCAAAGAAGACGTGTGTGCTGGTCACCTAATACCATCTTGCTGATCTGAGGGCTTCGCAGAAAATACGCCTCAATCGCTCGCTGAGCAACGGATCTTCGGCCTGTTTCAGGAAACAGCGAAACAGTATGCACTGGGCATGCACAGTTATGGTCAGTCACACTTGGATTCCTCATTGAACTAGCAACTGGCGTGTGCTCGACGATCTGAGGTCATGGCCCGCTGAGCCAGCTGTTGCACTGCTCTGGAAGTAAGTCCATCGCCATCCATCATCTCTGAGCGCCTCAGCGAGGAGGAAAAGCGCGGAGCGGTCCGCATCACTTCGTCTCGGCCGGCCGGGAGGCCTCTATAGGCCTGGCCGGGCCTAAACCTTCCCTCTCGCGCACCCCACTCTTCCAGTATGCAAACTCACAGAGAAGCCCTACAAGAGCTGAACAGCGGACATGGGCTGAGTGTGCAGCTCATGAGAGATCTCCTGGGTTAGAGTCAGAGTCGAGAGCCAATTCTAAAGTCAGTAAGAAAGGCAAGAAGACATGCACTAAAATTGAGCTCGTCCTTGTCGCGCGGGCCTTCAGAGAAGCTGCTGCTGACTCATGTTTCGTTGTATAGCACACGAGCCGAAGCCCGAGCCTTGTGGCTGTTGCCGGATATGCTCCTCGTGGAAACATCTCTTTCATCTTTCAGACCGCCATAGACCGCCGTGCTAGGCTGCCCTAATATCCCAGTATCCCATTTCCAGTGTATCCTCAGCCAAGAAGTCCACGAGCGCATGGACCTCTTCACAATATTTATAAGGGAAACTGGAAGAAGTCTTGTTGGACGTGAGACTTTTGGCCTGCTCCTGCACATGCAAGCACGACTGCGCGGCTTCCTCCTGCCGCGCCTCGGCCTCAAACAAACTGGGCCAAACTCGCAGTCACTCCCCGATGCAACGCATTTGGACATGATTTACACGAGGCCGAGGCTTCTCTCATCCACCTGTCGCTGGGCACCTGGTATATGCGTGACCTGCCCTGCTGAACCTGATCTGGCCTTTCCTTTAAGCCTCTGTTCTTGCTGTCTAGTCATTAAGAAGTGAGCGCCACCATGCTTCAGCAGGGTCGGAACTGATTTGCAAGAGGCTGTGCGACTATCCGAGAAGGAAGAGTTTGCATTCGCTTGCTAACATTTGACCTCAGCATGATCTCCTTTTCTATCTTCCTCGGCATCGAACGATCCGCAGTGCTGCCCGGCAGTAGGATGATCTTGCTCTGGTGGCACATGCTGCCAAATGAGCTAACGCTCGTGATTGGAAGCCTCAAACAGACAGAGGTTGCTGTCAAGGGTTAAATCTGCAAGACTCGAATTTACACGACATGGTCAAGAGTTCCCTATGCTCATGGTTGCTCATGTGGAGTTGCCTGCTGGCGTCAGCCACGCCGGCTTCGCAGCACTGACTGTGCGCCGACATGCAGCATCAACGCAAGCGGCCAGTGAACCAAAGCGAACCTTGCGACCCACCAGGCCTGGCCGGAAGAAGAACATGAAGAACGTGCGCAGTCCACGACAGCGGTGTCATCTCCGAAAATGCCAAGGTGCCTGGAGCGTAGTGGGCATACTTAGCCGAGTTCGTCATCAGCGCTCGGCTGGACGGAGGCAACACCGATGTCGGCGCCGGCACAACCTGCTGACCGGAAGCAGTGCGCTCTGCCGCATGCAGCGTCTGCCACAACTTGTGCACTGGTCAGATGCGCATGATGCTGCTGTACCAGATCACGGGCCTCCCCCAACATGCACCAGCAGGTGTCGCTCACCAGCTGCACGCCAAAAGCTTCCAAGGTTGCCGAGTAGCCTCTTTCCCGAGCTTCGGCTAGGACCTTCTTCGCTCGTGACTTACTGCTACGTCCGACACATTCTGCGTGACTGCAAAAAAAATGCCTTCGTTACAATCTGCATCATGCAATGCTCGCTGCTCCTGCCTGCGGGCCAGAAGTCACCACGACCGCCACCGCTGGATGTTTCTCCCGTCCCCCGCACAGCTCGGCCAAACGCCGATGCTCCTCCAGTGAGAAGTGTGGGTTGCCAAGTGCCACGAGGTCAATCTCGCCCTCCTCATCGGCATCCTTGTCAGAGTCTTCACAGACAAGGATCTTATGCGACATCTTGCAGGTAGATTGCCAGATGGCTCATACCGATTTGAGAAACACTTCGACCTATTCTGTCTATTTCTCCATGCGCCAAAGAAGGTGGTGCAGGTTGGCACCTCAGAGACCTTGCACAACGGTGCCCAGAAAGGCTGCACAACCACATCATTTTGGGTCTTTGTAACCGTGCGTCGTGCGCCGTGCCGTGCGGAGCTAGTGGCGGGAATGCCAGGTGTCTCCACTGGTCACAGACCTGCCAATAGCTCCGCATGGGTTCCCTGCATCCTCTGCCGCACTCAGCGGCTTCAGGCAAGCCAAGGAGACCCGGGCATTGCAGCCTATGTAGGTTTCCGCTCCCCCGCCAGCCTACGGTTCTGTCTAAATGCCACAATGTAGCAGTACTCCCTGCGCCATCGCCGGCGATGGATATGAACTACATGTGAGAACGCAAAGCTCAAGCCACACGGATGGTTCTTTCACTTGAGTGCCGCGAAGCGGCCAGGTCTTTCCAAGCAGCCATGAGGTCGTCCTGACCAATTTGAACCACCTGGAACAGGCGCTACAATGCCCACCAAAACGCTGGGAAAGCTCTGATCTTTTTTATCTTCTACACCAATGTAGGAAAACAATAGAAACAAGAGTTTAGCACGAAATTGTTGGTGCTTCTGTGGTTCCCTTCTCCAGACAATTAGCTCTGGACAATTAGCTCTGGATTTAACAGTTTTCTAAGGGTTTGGGAAGGAGACAAGTAACCCTAGAGGTCATCTTTGGTAGTTCTGGGTCCTTTGAAGGGAGATAACTCTGGATTTATTTGTTTGCTTAGGGCGCTATGAGGGGAACTTGAGCCGCGGGGGTCAGGCGACGAAAGCTCTCGCGCAGGAGGCCACCGAGGGAGGTCACAGAGGTCCAAGATTTGCGTTTGGAGTTTAGGCTCAGGGGACGTCTCCGGAAAATAGGATGGCTTGCTTGTCTTCGAGGCTAGGCGTCCATAAAGCAACCCCGTTTTTTTTAATGAAAGGAGGCCAATCACGCCGGCCAACTGAAGCCGAAAAAGCAGGCTGCGCGCCACGCCCCAAACTGCCCCGTGCCCAAAAACAGACCCAATTGGCGCCACTGTTTGGGCCCGCGCCCCCCCCCCTTCCCCCCAGACCAACCAGGCCTTCGGGCAGAACAAGTTCTGGGCATTGAGACGAAAAGGCTCTCTGGGAAGAGCTTTCGTGATTAACTCTGGAGTGTAATTGCGTTTGAACCCGCGGCTTGGAACCGAAGCGAAGTACCGACGGCTTGCTATTTTGCGAAGCGAGGTACAGATGACTTGCTCTTTGACGGACCACCACACAATATATTAAATCTGGAGCTAATTGCTTTTTGAGGTTCCGAGGCAAACAAACAATTAAATGTAGAGAACCTGTGAGATTGAGATTAACTCTGGAGTTCATTCTTTTCTCGTCGTGGGGTTCGGACCCCGCCCCTGACGGACAACTGTCTCCCGATTTAAGTGTGTTAAACTCTTGTTTCCATTGCCTTCCTACACCAATGGCAGGCTAAGTGGGTGCTGGCCTTCAGCTCGCGCCCGAATGAAGCACTGCTCAGGTCGGGGGCCTGCATCAGAAATAACTCCATCCAACTGAGGGACGCGCGCGAGCCACAAATGCACTGAAGTAGACCACAGATCGTTGCGGATCTCATGACCCTAAACCCTAAACCCTAAACCCAGAACCCTGAACCCTGAAGGGCATTCCATCTGCTCCTCAGGAGTGAGGCCCACCAGGTGGAACATGGCCGCGGAGGAGCTGGTGCCAAAGGCCGCGCTGAAGGCCTCGCGAACTCGGGGCTGCTCTCTTGCTCTCATTCTCTGGAGCCCGCACGTCTGGGCACGAGATCCCTCACGTCTCCCTAACCAGTACAGCGGGCATCAGTGAGCGACCTTGAAGTGTCCACATTTTACGTGTATATATATATATATATATAGATAAATATAAATATATATATATATAGATATACAGCTAGATGTGTTTACATACAAGATAAACCTCCAAGTTCGGTGGGGTGTGGCCTTCAAGTCATCCCTTGTCGGCGTCAAGCCTTCCAGACCTGTGATGGCTGGCACCGAGTGGGGCGATCTCAGCCCGCAGAGATAGCCAAAGGTCGGATAGAAGGCATCATCCACTTGGCCTCGCCACGACTACGAACTCTCTTCTGGCTGCACTTTGTCCAGAGATAGTCACTGCCCCACACTATGCAGCCAAACATGGCACAGTACAGCTGTCGATTAGAAGCTATTAGGACTTGATGGGCTCTCTCAGACTTGCCTGCATCCAGGTCGGGCGCAGCCAAGATGATCTGCGGCTGTCGCTCCACATCCGCGTGGCAGCCAGCACGAGGAGCTCGGCCCGTAATTGCAACACACGCATCCAGGAAGTCTGCATACTTCTGAGTTCCTAGGGGAATTGGACTGCAGACATCGTGCTCATGCTTCGTGATGCTACAATCTGCGGTTGAGAGAGGCATCCCCTTCAGGGCAAGCTGCGTGCTCCAAGAATGCTGTTGGCAAAGACCACTGCATTGGACTCCCCCCATCCAATATGCTCCCCACGTCGCGGTGCTGTCTCCAGCAGGTAGGGTGCGCAGGTAAAGCTCGGCTGGGCACCCATATCCAAGTATGCATTCGCAAGAGCCTCCGCTGGCTCTCCGGACTCTTCTGGAACCCCAAGAGCACGCCAATTGAAGCGATCCACAGAGATGGCATTCAGGGTGGTTGGGACCCGCACCTGCGCGCCCCAGCTTTGCAGCTGCTGAGCAAACCGGAGGCTCGCGGGACCAATGTAAGTGCAGCCATCAATGTGTGACTGGCTGACGCTGATCAACTCCTTGGTTCCCTGTACCGCGGCCATGCGGCAGATGATGCCTTGGGGAAGGTGTCAGCAAACTTGTTATGCTGCAAACGCTGCTTAAAAGGCACACCTGGAAGCTTTCCTAACTAAGGCTGAGAGCATCTGAGAGCCACGCGCATGGCCACTTGACGTGCGGATCCCTCCAGTCCCCGAAGCATGTTCCGATCGTCCGCACTCAATGCCACCTCACACAAGGAGGAAAACAGCGAAACGAACCGCAGAATCCGACCTCCAGTCCGCATCTCACAAGGCTCTTTGGTGCAGACAAGGAGCCTCTTCCTCCGAGACGCTTGGCTTTGTCGGCTTTGCTGGCTTTGCTGGCACGGCTTGGGAATGTTGAGTCATGTCCGGCCCCAGGAACAACGAACCAGCTTCCAGGTGAGCCAGATGTGCATGCCACGTCTCCGACAGCAAGCGATCGAAGCCAGCATCCTGCAGCGTTTTGCTCTGAGTCTGTCTACATGAGCCCCTGCACTGTCCGAAGTACAGTAGCAAGTGCATCCCGGCGTCTCCCACAGACAATACTGGCAGTCGGATACCAAACATCTCGTCTGCCACGACAGCACCGAGCGCAATGATCTCATCCGGGTCTCGAAGCACGATGGCAGCGGGTCCGTTGCCATTCAGGAGCAGCTCCAGTATCACCTCGAGAGGTGTGTGAGCACGAATGAGCAAACGAACAATCGGCCAAGCTACGGTGTCTTTGGCAACAACCTCTCAGTTGACAAACTGAGAAGGCACTGAGAAGGCCAAACTGCGAATGAACAGGACGACGCGACTGCATCGCCAAGTCACCTGGCTGCCTGTGCAGGAGCCTGGCAGGCCCAGTCACCAAGTACCAGTAGCATGATCGACGTTCAGCTTTGCATTGCTATCTCAAAATTTCAAAAAACCTCGTCCACCAGGCAGTGCCAGGATCTTGCCGTGAAGATTTTCCCCATGCAAAGGGTGGTGGCGATCAATGACGGCACCGGTCTTCGGGGAAACGCCCCCCCAAAAGCTCAGCCCCATGGAAGATGCAAGCACCTGCAAGCAAGAGTCTCAGAGCGCGAAAGCATCCCAGCAGCTCATGAATCCCCAGCTGCCGCCTGACCGGAAGCCTTGCCGGGGACGAGGGGTTGCCCGCGAATCTCATCCGTAGCAGCCATTGCTCACAAGTGTCAGTGCGTCATCATGCACCAGTATGCTTGTAGAAGTGATGCGTGATCTGTGGCAAAGAAATGCATGGGCTTGGGGCGAGGGGTCGAGCGTCCCAAATGCATCGACTCGAGAGCTGTTCTGCAGCAGTTGTTCCTAAAGTCCCATTGTTTGCGGATGTCTTGGCGTGTGGGCAGCTCGACTGGTCGGGCACATTCGGGCACATCGCATGTAGAGACTGTGCACCCTCCCACCCCCAGCCCAAGGCTCTGCAGGCCTTCTTAAGGGCAGCCCGCGCATCCTCAATTGCAGCTGCTTGCGCCTGCACCCGCAGCCGAAGGCTCCCCGACTAAGACTCTCAGTCAGCTCTGAGTTGATAAGGCATCACCACCCATCCTGCTGGGTCTCTTCGGTCTGGGCCAGTCGCCTGCGGTTGTACTTGACGGATTGTGGAGAACATGGCTCTACATGGCTCTACAACGCTAGCGACAGCAGTCGCCAGCACCCAATGGCCTCTCGACATCCAGCAGCCGGCTGCACACCCCGTCGAGAAGCCTTCTAGCATCTTCTAGCACCCCGCTACCATTGCGGAGCACAAGTTGACAAGTTCACCCCATTTGTTTCTGTTTGCCAGCCTGCTCAACCGGAAAAGCTCTCGCTCCAGAGCAGTCTCGAACGTCTCGGCCCTCGCCGAGCAGAGCGGACTGGTCGCATCAGCATCCACCATCCCGGGGCAGAGCGCTGAACAAAAACTACCTACTGTCGCTTGCGGCTTGCGGGTAGAAGGCTTAGAGCAAGACACTTTTTGGGGCTGCTTTGCCAGGCTAGGAGCGCTACCGTGAAGCTGAATGGCTATATTTAGAATTGGACTCGAAGTGCTTCACTGGGTTCTACCAAGGTTCTACAAAATGTAGATACAACATGTAGCAACATGTAAGAATACCGAGACAGAGCCCTGGAGCTGCAAGGGCGAAGAGCACACAGCAACTCCTTGGGGCGAGCTCGAGCCGAGCCGCTCTTTAGGGTCTTTGTGTCGAGCTTTCTTTCTTTTGGAGGGGGGAAAGGGAGGGGGAGGGGAAGCAGGGATAGAGGGGGAGGATCCGCTTATATAGTAAGGGATTCGATGACTAGTGTTGCTAAGTTGGACCCAGAAAGCCATCCTACTCCAACAGGTAAGTCCCCACAAGCCCTCCCATGTGGCGCGCTTCTTCCAAGTTGGAGCTTGGAGCTCAGTCCTGTGGAGCTGCAGCAATCCGCCAAGTCATGGGGCTGCGCCCCCGCAAAACCACCTTTGTGGCCAGGACCTCGGAACGCACCCATATCCACAGGAGGACCGCCGCGAAGGTTCCCAGATCCGCGCCGAAATGCCAAAACACGTGCAAATGCAACTGGCGTACAGAGTGGCAGAAGTTGCGGTCAGCGAGCCAGAGAAGGAAGCCACCGGCGTAAGACAACATCGCAGTGATGAAGAGAAGCCACGACGTGCTGCTCGTGGAGTCGCGACAGAACTTGTATGAACGCCACACAAGATAGAGGACACCGCTCCCATAGCACAGCAGAAACACGTTTTGATTGTCGGTGTCAAAGACAGCAATTGCCAGAGTGGCCAGCACAGTCAGTACTGCAAGCACCATACCTTCACCAACCCTGCGGCTGCCTCGTGCATCCTTCATTGAACGACAGATGTAGATAAATACGGTGTTTGCCCACACCATCGGGACCTCATCCAGCAGCTGCATGCTTCGGAGAAGGGTCCCATGAAACGCGAAGCTGCCCAGGCCAATAACCACGAAGGAGAAGAAGGCTAGGAGGTAGCGCAGCTCTACCAAATTCACATGCGCGTGGATGCCATAGATGCCGGTGGCAACCAGGCACAGCGAGGTCACCGAATTTGCAAACTCGGCAATGTAGAAGGATACTACATAGTCCCTCTCACACCAATTCACAGATGCTGTTTTTGCTCCCCAGAAGCCCGGCGTTGTGTCACCGGTACCATCCACAGGGCCGCGAACTACGAGTAGAGCAAGGAGTGGCAGTATCAAGACCAAAACAATCGCCAGAACCCATTGCAAGTGCTTCAATGCCATGGATTTTGGCACCTCCGGGCCTCGCGAACTTCCTTGGCAAGCCAATCGCTGCGGCCACATGCGCTCTCCAGCGGTCAGAAGGCATAAGGCACAAGCTGCACAACCCAAGCTGCAGAAGCTCGCGACTAGCAACGATCATGGGGTAGACTCTTTGCGGGCAACCACGACGGGTCAAGAGGTCTCAGAGAGCGGCACATGCATGACTGGATAGTCAAATGCCGTCGTAACTTAGGTAAGTTTCAGTTGGCCAGTCACAGGCACACGTCGCTCGAGAATACGTTATCTGCCCTAGACACTACACACCTGCTCTGCACTTTGCAGTTGGACAAGGAGTCGGCCAGTCAAGCTCGATCATGCCAGCTGCCCTTTGAGCAGCACATGATGCATGGTCCGACTGTGCCGAAGCAGGACCTACCGTTCAGTGCTTAACGATCTCATTGTCCCTGCGAAATGCGATAGCGAATTCCACGTTTGCTGGTAAGAGCATGGGGCCACAATCCTCTTGTTCTTCTGTGCTTGACAGCAAACGCGGTTCGTCTGCACTCAAAAGGCAACAATCGGCAAAAGAAATATCCGAATTGAAGCACCGATGACACAAGTATGTGACTGAAATAGTGGCAGGGCATCACGGGCTAAGTCGCGCAGCTGACCTTCGAGACTAACACAAGAACTTTTTAAATTCAGAATACATCTTTGGAAAGCCCTAAGCAGCAACATGCCGCAAGCATTGGTGCATTGCAGCACTTCAAGCCTTGGGAGCTTCTGCTTCGCAGCATCACACCTGCATGTGGTAGACCTTAGGCAAGTGTTGGCAAGTGGAGACACTGCCACTTTCAGCACACATCGCGGTGTGGAGCAACGCAAAGCAAAACCCCGAAGCAAAGCCGCAAACGGACTCCAAGTCGTCTCCAGAAGTCTGCAGCACAGCTGGCTACATGTTACAAGGTCCACATAGGAAAACAGAATGGTGAACATTGAACGAGTTGGCAATCAAGAGCTCACCCTGCCCCGGCCCCCCCGCGGCCCACCCTCTTTCTCAAGTAGAAGCCGCCAGCGGCTCCAGCAACGAGGAAGAAGGGAACGAGGAGAGCGGAGGCCTCAGAAAAGCGGGCCAAAACGGCGCCTTCCTTCGATGACTGTGACTGCGATGGCTCAGACTAGGACGGAGCTGGATTTAGCTGGTGCCTATTCACAAGTCGCGCACTCCGTCAGGTTTCAAGTGGCTTTCATTTAGAGGCTAGGATTGCGAAAAGGGGGCCTCTGCAAAGGACTCTGGCTGGCTGCCTGCCTATGAAGACACATCACGGAGCGATCCATTCTGCGTCGACGGATTGCACTTAAAGCTTCTAGGAACTCTGTGGGGAAGGCCTGCCTTCTCTGCCTTCTGCTGGTTTTTGGTCATCTCCTTGCATCTTGCCCAGACTCAGACGTGGCCAGATTCCGCCCAGCCACGCACCCCGACTGCGCCAGCTTGATATGCCAAACAACAGCATACAGGGCATACTGTACACTCCTGTATCCTCTGCTGAACCTTGGGCAGGTTTGCACAACCGCTGGCTCGACCATTTCATGCGCATATTCTGACTTTCCCTCTGGGCAAGGCACCTCATCGGCCTGGCCACCGAATGATGCAGCCAAACAGAGCCATGCTGGTTTCAAAGTATCTGGTACTTCGGAGCGGGCAGGCCCGACTGGGCTTTAAATTGAGGACCAAGGACAACCCTCCAGATAGACTGGGCCCAGCCGTCAAAGAGCGAAACATGCCCCTTAAAGACCTTCTTGTTCCAGGCTACGCAGCATTGCACGTCCCATGCAGCAGAAGTAAACTCAATGTAAACTCAGTTTCATGCCACCGAAGCAGAATCCACCCAAAACTCGAAACTTTACCAGCCCAAAACACTACACAGTACAACCAGTACTTCACCTCCTACTATCCCCGGCTGTAGGGGCTGTTGTGGACCTACCATGCCCTAAATTCAAGTCGGCCAGTGGAGCCGCGCTCTGTGCTTCAGCAGCGGTACTGTCAGCCTTCTTCTCAACCTGAGGTCCACTCGCAAAATCGACCACTCCGCTCCATGAGGCAAACAGCATCGCCAGTCTGTCCGGGTGCCCATTCACTGGTCTTCTTCTTCTTCGTCCTTCTTCTCTTCTTCTGCACTGCTTGGCCCCCCCAATTGGTCATCTCAACTTTGTTTACATATATATATATATGTATATATATATACGTATATATGTATGTATGTATACACGTACTTTATCTGGCTATGACGATATACTTATAGTTGACATACACAGGCTGAAAGCTGATGTGGCTTGCATGGCTGTGACACGGACATCGACTTCTGGGCACCCGTTGCCACCACTTCGTTTTGAAGCTTCATGTTGCGGAGCTTTGCTTTGTTTTCGTTTCTTCTTGTTCTCTTCTTCTTCCTCCTCTTCCGCGGGGTTAAGGGCCGCTGAGGGGAACCGGTGGACTCTCCCTCTCTCTCTCATTCAACGCAATGCATGGATTGAAAAACTGATGAATCTATGTTGCTGCTGCTTTGTACCGCAAATGCCAGGTAAGCCTGGAGCCGATTGCAAAGCGCTGCTAAAGCCATTCTTCAAGGAGTCGGAGACCTGAAGCTTCCCATCCGAACACGTGCTACACGTGCTAAGCCTGAAGTGCGTGGCCTGGTTGACAATGCTATCTGCCCCGGACTCAATCTCCTCTGCCTGCGCAGTTGCTTGGCTTGTCGTGGGCTGTGTCGCACCCAGCCATGCACGTAACTTCGCAAAGCGCCTTCCTCTTGAAGCGATCCTCCATGTCCGCGATGCTGGCCTGCAAACACGCAGGTGTGACATCTGCCTGGGGGCCCCGAGGCCGCAACGACAAGCTTGCTAGTACAGAATAGTACAGATGTAGAACGTAGAGAGTTTTAGATCCTGAGCAAACGTGCATTGCAAATGCACACGTCAGCTCATCCACCCTCATCCTTTCAACGAAGAAAGCACTGCTCATGGCCTGGTCGTCGGAGCCCGACTCAAACATCAGAGGGCCGGTCACTGAAGGCTTGGCACTGGAGCCGGAGTCAGTCGATCCGGCCTGCGGAGTCAGAAGCATTGGTGAAGCAGCAGCAACCCAGGACAGATGATCTCCATCATGGGCTCCTTGGTTCCTCCGTAAACTACTTACTGGTAGAAGGAGTACTAGCAAGCACAACTTCTCCTAACAGAGAGGTTGCTGCACCTCGTTTCCTCGCAATTTCGGAGTGGCTCTCTTGGCCATGCGACATCTATTGACATCACAAAGACTCGGTCGCCCAATCAACCTGTAAGGCGCATTCTCCCTGGGCTGAAGCTGGCTGACCAAGTGTGGCGCCTTGCCGGATCTAAACAGGCAAGGCGCTCTTCTGGTCGATGGAGTCGATGGCATTCCCAAATTCAGCTGCCGATTGCACTAGGCATGCGAGGCGTCTCTCGTGCTTGCGAATGACGGTGAAAGAAGGGGCGATGCGCCATGGCTTGCGCCGCGGGATGTGCGTAAGGACTCGGGACATGCGCTTTGAATGAAAGGGTTTGCTCCGAGAACCCATGCAAGAGAAACCTCGAGGATTATTAACAAGCAGAACTGTTTAGAAAGGTATTTGTAGGCCATGCGCCCAGCATTGCCGTGGCAGGCCCTTGCTCACTGTACTCACTGTACTCAAGTGAGCTCAAGAATCAAGCATTTCAGAACAAGACCCATTGCATTGCTGGCCCTTTGATGTTGCAGTGATCCTTCGCAGCTTTTTGTAAGGAACTCTTTTGGGAGGAGGAGCATGCAGCATCGTGGCCAGCGGCGATTAAAGCGGATTTTCCCGTGCAACTGAACGCACGGCTCGCAGAAGCCTCAACCTGAAGCCTGATCGTTATGAGTCCTCAACATAGCCCATACGTCGTAGCATCAGGCTGCTGGGTCTGCGAGACTTTGTTCTCAAAAAACACTGCGAACACTTCGGGCACTTCGGGGTTCGAAAAGAAGCCGATTAAGGGGCCAGCATTGCCGACGGGTGAGCGAGGCTCACATGGGAAAAGGGAATGCAGCCCCTGTCGCTCCTTAGCCCCCCAAAGGATGGAACCTGGCTCAGTGCCTGTCGCGGGGGTGCGATGGGCTTGCGGCTCGGGCCGTGGGCAGCACCAGCTTGGTCCTGGCACTTACAAGCGTAGGAGGATGACAATCAGAGGCCGCGGCAGACAGAGAGACGGAGAGAGGGAAAGAGCAACTTAAAACCCCCTCACCACCCAAACCACGAATGACTTCCCAAAATCCCCGAAATTCTCCCCACCTCCCACCCCCCTTCCGAAGAACGAGGGCTTGGACCCCCGCCCCTTGCGGAGCTGAACGGCCACCAGCCGGGCCAGGTATGGGGCGGAGAGGGTTCGAGACCGCGCCGCCTTGAGCTCTGCAGGATTTGTCGGTGCTAAAGGTGTTAAAGGACTTTTCAGTCAGGCTATGAAGCTCCGATGCTGAGGACGGTGTTACTCGTGGGCAGATGTTCAGGACTGGGGCCACTGGTGGCATTTGGAGTGAAAGGGTTCTTCGATGCTCTCCTTCCGGTTTGGCCTGCTAGCGCTCTCTTCTTCTTCTCCTCCTCTGCCAGGTTGTTGTTTTCAAGATACCTTCCCCCATTTCCGGCTAGTGTATGCCTTGCTCTCTTCGGACTTCTGAGCTCGATTTCGCAGATTCTGCTCAAAGAGCGCACAAAAAGGACCCGAAGATGCATCAAAGCTGCGCGGTCCGAATCAGCATCAGGAGCGTCCACGCCTTCAGCAAATGTACCCTACCTACTCCCAGAATCCCCCAACTGCTTCTAAATATTCTCAAAAAGAAACGGAAAAACTGCTGGGTGGAGACACCGTCACCGTCTGCGACCGGTTCCTGTGCCCAAGTCCTTATTCGCGGTCCCAGGTGCAGAAAAGCGCGCGCCCACACACACACACACACACACATTCGGCAACTGCTATATCCGAGGCTGGCAAGAGGCTCATTGCACACAACGGCTCCAATGAGCAAAGCTCCTGCCAATCAATGGCTTAGCAAACTGTCTGCAGAAGTCTTTTTAAATGAGAGAAGATGACAGAAGTACCGAAGCACCATCGGCCTCCGAGGATTTCATGGGGCTGCAGCACCTGGGGTTTGCGTCGTTTGCGTGTGCGTCTCCCCGCTCTTCCCCCCCTCAGCCTTAAAGCATTCTGAAGTCTAAAGACAAGTTCAATGTTTGGTGGTTTTCCAAGTTAGGGGGAACCTTATTGGGGTCCTTCTTACAAGGGAGTCCTACTATTTGGGTGTCTAAACTTGGAGGCCTATTTTCGTAAGCCCCCAACTCTTAATTTCACCTCTGGAGCACGTCACCCAGAAGCGCCATGGCAGCCACGGCCGCCCAGAGTGGCTCGGAGGCTGCAATGAGAGCCACATCGGAGCCCTTGACCCTGCGGAGGGCTTCGTTGGCCAGCCACATGGTAAGCACCTCGGGTGCCGGAATGATTCCAACATGGCGAAGCTCTCAAAGAGGTGCTTTGCGCAACGAGGGGGCCCGAGTGAGCCCGAGAGCTGGAGGCCGCGGCGTTGCCCACGAGCGCTGAGAAGCAGAGAGGTCCGAGGAGACCCGGCGCCTGGAAAAAAGAAAAGCAGGTGCTTCTTCAATGTTGTTTAACTCGACGGGAGAGCCCGACGGCCTGTTTACATGACCTAACTTCTGCGCAGCCAGGGACAGCTGGGAATGCCACTTTGGGTTCAGAGCTTCCGCTGACATCCCCCGCTGACGCGTGTGCCACTCTCAACCGGAAAGCCAACCTATCCCTTCAAACATGCAAGCCCTGCCCCTCCCTCCTACCGCGGTTACAATATGCTGTGTTGGGCTTGGGCTTTGCAGACGGCTTCGATCCACTGCCAGTTCGCACCATTGATACATACATAGACATACGGGTAGCACCAGTCCCTAGCCACCTTCACTCAGCAGCAAGGGCACCTGGAGAAGCTGTGGGAGCTGCATGCCCAGCTCCGCAGCCGCGAGCCCACCCTTCTGCCAGGTGAGCCAGCCGACATTCGCCAGGGCCGTCATTGCAAGCTGAATTGCCGTCGAGGGTAGCGTATCCTGTGGATGATCTTTCCTTGGCTCAGGCTCTCTAGTCTTCTCTAGTTGGCTTATGGCAAATCCGCGGCAAGCTTGTGACTGTAATGTCAGGCATGCTGAGGCTCATCGTTCTGCCAAGCACGTACCATCCTGCGCCGAAGGAGAGCGGAACCAGGCTACAAACCAGGTCACCGATGCCCAACTCCAGTGAGCCACCGCCGGCAAATTCCAGGATTGCGACTCCTGCACCATCCGACATCTTCCCACATCTTCCCACATCTCCCCGCGACATGCCACTTCTGTTTGCTGCTCTTTGCTTTGCTTCAAGTAAAGTAGGTGGAGCGGCCTGTGACGGCGATTACGGCCGCGGCCAGGGTGCCCATATTCAATCGCCCCGTAACGATGCAGGTGATTCCTCAAGGGGATTTGGGAGGCGATTTGGGGGCTCGAGGGCAGCGCGAGGGTTGCACTACGTGCATCAGTTGACTATAGTTCCTACTTCGGAACGGATTACCAAAGCACACATCCACCCGACACCTGCACAGACGACGGCTTGGAGCGAGCCGAAGAAGGAGGTCTTCGCTGCCGTAGTTCCCAATCCTTGATCCGGAAACCCACCCCCGCGCAGACGGGAACTTCAGCATGCTGCTATAAGGCTATAGTTTTTTGTATTCTACTGAGAGTACTGGTAGCTATTCTGACCCTGCAAACTATGACTCAGCTTTCCAACTCACGGCCCAGGTGCCCAGGGCTAGGAACATTGCCACGTATCCTGCAAACAGGGCTGTAACGAATGTCCAAGGTTGCACAGCTGCAGAGGGCCACAAGCCTGCCCCATAGAAGGCCCCAACCTTGCAGGAGCCGAGCCTGGGCTCTCAGGGTACCAAAGAAAAAGCGCCAAACCACCTTCTAAGTTGATCGATACAACATGATACAACCCCCTTTCTTTGAGTACACAGCGTGGCGTATGGTCCTTTCAAACCACCCCGGGCGGCGTCAAAAGCGCGTCACAGCCTAGCGGGCTACTGGAGCCTCGGACCCTTCTGTTCCTTCATTGCACGGGGCGCGTCGAAGCGCGTTCACTTTACGCATGTTTAAGCTGCTTTCCATTCTCTTTGGTAAAGCCCGTGAGATTATGGGTTCACGGTACGATTTCCAGGCGCTGCACCGGACGCCCTAAACCTTAATAAGCATATCTGGGGCATCATCGTAGCTGCTCGTGCTTCCGGGCGAGGGAAAACCGCTATTTTCGGGAACGCGAAAAGAAGGCTGAGCATCACGACCAATCCTAGTTGCGGAAGCTTGGACGCCAGATTTCTCTCATTTCTAGTGCCACCCAGACCTTAGTGCATGTTTAAACCTCTTCCGGGTGGGATCCCTCCAAGGCCACGCTCGGAATTAAGAACATTAGAAAAAGTTTGTTCCGACAAAGATGGATCACTGGGACCCCGGCGTGCTCTGCAGCGAACTGGAAGAGAAAAGCCAGGGCGACAAGCACAGCGTGGCAACGGTGAAGCGCAGTGCTCCAAAAAGCACACCAGGCTCCTGCGGGGCTATCCAATCTCCGAAACCCGCATCTCCCTGCGGCGCCATGAGGCTCAAGGAAGCACCCGCATGAGCGTCCTCAAAGCCAGCAGATGCCAGCGCATCAATGCCAGCTTTGGATGATACAATGCTACCTGTTCCGGTGATTCCAGGATGAATGCAGATGCAAAGCTGCCGGAGTCAGCGAAGAGGAACCGACCGTCTGCTTTCTGCTCCCGTATTCCTCTTTGCTAACGACCCGGACGGTGAACACCAAGCAACCAATCCACGCCCAAAGAAGCCCACCGGCCTCCCCACATCATGGCGTTGAACATGCCTCAGAGATGTATACAGGCAGCGGTCAGTGGGAGGGTGCAAGAAGAGGTTGCAAAGCGGCGAGACGGCTCGTCGTGAGAAGGAAAAAGTGGAGAAAAGGAGAGCCAGGCGATCTGCCCTCCAGAATGCCAGGCTGCCACCCCCCCCCCCCCCCCCCCCCCCCCCCTGGCCCCCCTGCCCTAAGAAAGGCGCGACAGCTTCCGGGCCCGGACTCCCCCCCCCGTTACGGTTGCGCCAGGAGAGGACGACGAGGGTGGACGCCGCGATCAAGCCCAGCCTCTCACAGCCATCGGCGGCCCCACCAGAGGCAATGAGGCCCCAGAGTTGCATGACCACTGAGCCTTCAGCTGCTGCCCTTCAGGAGAAAAAAGACAGAATGGCCAGTGAGAACGCGAGACAGTGCGAGCCTGAGAGCTTGACTCAGGAATTGGTTGGAAAGAGTGAGGATGGCGAGTCCAGACAGGAAGCAGAGGCAAGGTAGATGGAGGCAAAGCCCAGAGCGAGAAACCTAGGTCCGTAGTTCATGCTTCATCAACAGACGTGTCAACAACTTCGCCTGAGGCTGACACTGACACACTTCCTCAGCACTGAAGCAGGCATACGGATCCAGACAAATCTCAGAACAGCATCAGCGACAAGCATGTCTCTCCAAATTCTCAAGCTTCAGGTTTCATTGCTTCCATGAGACGCCGAGGCTCCAAAGCAACTCGCTTTCCATGGGGTTGGAAACCTGGGCAGCTGCGCCGGAAGGCGCAGGTCCAGCTGTCTTGACCGCATCGAGGTCAGCCGCGGCATGTTCATGTGTGTCGGGCCGGCTCCTGCACAAGATCTTGCAATGCGCTCTATACTTGTGCAATCAATGGCGCACATTTTTACACACTCACACTCACAAGATCTCACAGGCTATTTGGAGCCAAGTATCTTCGTCTCAAGGCTTGTCAGGCCAGGCACGAAGCTCTCGTGCCGAGTGAGGCTGGTGCGTGTGCCATGCCTTCCAAGGCAGTCTCTAATAATTGAAAGACGGCTCAAAGCATCACACTGACCTGCCTCCAGGAAAGACAGCAGGCTCCGCAGACCACCAAGGCGAAGACGGCCTGCCAGTGATCAGCACAATCGGGACTGTTTGACATGAACTTGCTAGATTTGATATCAATGCAATGGAATGGGTTTCCGAAAATCCCCCGGGTCCCGGGTGTAGGCCACTCCTTAATCCCCTTGCTGACGGCTATGCACCCGTAAACCCCCTATGGACTTCGCCTATCCCGCTGAGGCGGGGCGTGTAAGTGCTAATGTTAGGGGTAGATACCCTCTCAGGATTCCCACAATATCAGAAGGGCTATCATCTATTTGGGGCATATCATGATATCCCCTATTCGTGGGAGATACCTACACACTTTGGGGTACATCATGATATCCCCTATTTGTGGGAGATACCTACATACTTCCCGTGTGATTCGGCCAGGCATGTGGGCAAACGAGGCGCTGCCTTTCGACGTGTACGGACACCCATTCGTCGGCCCAGCTTCGGCTCGGGCGACTATCCGTGGCTGTGAGCCATCAGAGGCTTCGAGACGAAACATTGAGCATTTGCAACCTTGAGCGCTTAGCCCACAAAGTGAAGCAAAGCAAAGCAGACCACTTGCCTTGCCGCCGCCTCGGCGTTGCTAGCATTACTGGTGGCACCCTCTGCAACAAGTGGGACGATTCTGAGATGCACCACATGGGTCACGAGATCGCAGCGGCATTTTCATAAGGGTGCTTTTCGGTTTCTGGACTGTTTCATTCAAGCGCAAGCGATCTTGGGGCGACGCCTTTGATCCTCTCCACGTTGGTGTCGTACTGGCCTGAGCTTTGCTGAGCTTAGGGCCCACAGAGTAAACGATGGCAGCTCCGAGGGCCGCCACTATCAATGGACTTCAGTGCGAACTTCTGGTACTCCTAAAAAGTCCAGCGAAGCTCCACAGTTGTGTGAGGATCAGTGACATGGATCCTTCGGCACGTACTTCTTCAGCTGGTCTTCCCTGCATTGGTTCAAGATGGTCAAGGCCCCACATCTTGCGATGGGCTTTCGGACCTGGCCTGGCTTTCTTCCAGGCATCGAGCTCAGCGATGGTCGTGCAGTCCTAAGTGCCATACAGGAGCCTACGAGTACTATGGACTCTGCTTCAGATGCGCCAGCAGCACGATCGGTCCGTGCAGATGTCTCGCCACTCTTTGCAGGTCACTTGCGGCCAGGTCTCCGCAGCATCTGTTGGAACCGGAGCCGGAGTCCTAGGTCTGAGGCGTATGCACCGCGAACTGCCCTCATTACACCCTTGCCTGGAGCTTGGTTGGAAACCCTGAACATCCTGTAGGCCCTAAGCCCTAAACTCTGAAGCCCCCGACCAAACTATCCCAAAATCCCCAAGCCTGAAGCCCTTTGAGGCCCCATGAGGACCCGGCTCTGTAGGGGGCGCTGAGGCTGCTGCGAAGAATGCCTCAACATCGGAGGTACGTATACAAAAAACATCATACGGCTTCTTTTACCTAGACTCTATAGACCATAGACAATTATATTAGAAAGTGCACATACGGGGATATAAGCACTACAAACCAAATCCTTTCCAGGGTCTCGGAGGCCCAGAAAGTATTTTTCAGCACCATCTCCAAGCTGAATGCTACAAGCCCAGCGGCTGCACGGCAAGGTCTCCTCTGCTTATGAACAGCAACCCTTAACTTGAAGCTGGCCCGGGGGCTACCATGAGAAGAAAACTTGAGAACACAGTGAACACAAGAGAATGGGAACAAGGGCGGGTAAGATGGCTTTGATGAAGGTTCAACAGTTCATGAACTCAGCCAGGCTCAAGTGCATCGGGGACTGAGCCATCTCGGGACCCAGCCTGAGGTGATCCGTGTGCTGCTCCCTTGGCAACCTTGCGACAACCGACACAGTGACTTATCCAGAATGCCGTGTTCTCGTGCTTGTCCTATGCGATTACACCGCTTTAGTGTGGAAGGCCACCCAAACACTGATCCCGTTCTCGTGTGTTCTCTGCCCTGCTCAGAACTTCACCGCCGCATAGGAGACATGCAGCATGAGCCGATCTGCGCCGGCCTTGTCCTTGGCCTTGGCCTGCTCCATCTGCTTCGCCTCAACTTGCTCAACTCAAAAAGGTTTGCGGTTTAGGGTTCCAGATTCTTCACTCTTTGGTGACTGCATTCGGACTGGGCGTCGCCTGCTTCGCCGCCTGTTCCGCCTGCTGGGCAGCCATTGCAGCCTGCGCGACAGTCTCCTTTGAAGGTTCCCCGGGTCAAAAGCGACTGTCCAGAAACCCCCTGCCGGCCTGCTGAGCTGCCTGTTGGGCGGCCACCTGTGACTCGACGCCAGGCGGCAAGAACTGGGCCCTGCCAAAGCTCACGCAGGACACGAGCGGGAGCGCATGGCACAATCGTAGCGGCTCAGCATCGGACCGATAGAACTGCCCCAACTGGTTTGCAAGCTGGGACTGCGAAGCCTGCACCTCCCAATTCGACTCTTATGTGCTCTGCTCGGAGATCCCATAAACCGGGCAGCTCATTCGCAGACACCAAGCTGGGCGTCATGCTTCAGAGGCTGAGCCGCCGAAGGCTCCACCGTAAGCCTCGTGTGTGTCTCAGTCATTCAAACCTTCCCAACTTTCGCGGTTTCCGCACCTGACCGACGTTTGTGCCCATGGGACCATAGGAGGAGCCACCGCCGTACATCCTTGGCGTAAAGGTGAAATAGGAGTACTAACTAACAGATGTGCTCAAGCGTGCTGACTTTCTTGACGGTACCGGCATCTCCAACTGGCAGGTTGCCACGGCACTTCAGAACTGGGCACACGGCCCGCCCATGCCGGACATACCAGGCATGCCACCCATGGCCGGCGATGCCGGAGCAGGGACCTGGTAGAGCAAACACAAAAGGCACAACAAACAATTGAAGCATACTCGGATACCCATGGCCAGTGGCTTTCAGCAGAAAGGGCCCCGGACACCCTGCTGTGGCATGGCGCCTTGCGTTTGCATGGTCATCGCCTGCCACGGCAACCCGAACCTGACCACTAAACCTCCCCGGTAGATGTGTATTCAACCGGGGGAAAGCATGAAACCTTCCAGCTTAACTTCTGCCAGGAGCACCGGCACGCCCGGGGCGTACATCGACCTGCACCGTGCTTCGCCACGCTTTGCCATGCTTCTGAAAGTAACCCGTACACCGTATGCATTGAGTGTGGGATGGCCGGACTGAGACCAACGCCTGTAGATGCCACCAATGTGGTTGGCAAGCTGCGCTTGTTGCAGCGATGCCTGTCAAACTCTCTTCTGCCTAACGTCCCAGCATGCTATTGAAGAGGGATACCAAGTGTGGTGAGCTCAGCTGCTCCCGACGGAGGAGTGCGTTAGTTCACATGCTGCTCGCGGTGAAGCAGTCTGAAGGTGCCCCGAACTAGGCTAGACAATGCACATGCTCTCACTCCCCCAAAACCTCGATCTGCTCCGTACCCACACGGAGTGGAGGCATGCAATCAGGCACAGGAAGCAATATGAAGCACTCTCACGTCATGTCCGCATTTTGTCGCATTCAAAAACAGCGATTTGTAGCATGCATCCGAGTCACATCAGGCAGAGCCGGAGATGCTGTCGCCGGTTGGACCGGTTGGGCCGGCACAGAGGCCTTCCGTTTGGGAATCCACAGAAGGCAGCTTTGAGGCCAGCTTGGCGAAGCTCTTTTTTTGGGGGGGAGGGGGGGCGGGGGGCAACATGGGGTAACCTCTCTCGAAAACCGCCCGAACGCCTGGTCACCGACAGCTCCGGCCATCAGAGCAAGCGACGCTCCTGAGCAGCGACATGTTCGCGCAGAAGCCACGAATGGTTGCCAAATGGTGCCATGCTGGCGCTACTTTTTGGGATTTGTGCGAAGGCCTCTGAACTGCACTGGACACATACTTCGACGTGCAGCGGACCGGGCCTACCCGGCCCAGTCATTCAGATCACCTCTACATATAAAACTCTGGCATAAACTGCAAGCTTCCAGGTAGCCAGATGCCTTCTCAAGCATTCTGATCTCTCTGGTCTTGCTTTCCCGGAAAAGCCCAGAACGTAAGTGCGCAAGGCGACTTTGTCGCGCGCAGGGCTCGGGCAACACGTAGAAAGTTACAGAGGGGAACAGAGCCTCGGCAATTTAGCTGTAGGTTTGGAATGGTTCGGACTGCACCGGTGATGCAGCGCGATTTGTGAAATGCCTCCTCTCTGTCACAGGCTCTCACTGGGCTGGCAATCTGTAGCGGCCCTATGCGGCTCTAGCAAACCCTCACCCGACCCCTGCGAGCATCGTGCCGGAAAGTGCTGGTCTGGCGCCTGGGCTTGGAGCAAGGGCAGATGCGACCACCCAACACAGCAGTGCATGCCACACCAAGCTGGCCGGGTGGCATCACTGAGAGCAGCCCAAAGCGCTCCTCTGCGGCCAAGTTCTTGGCCTTCGGCTTGGAAGCCCCCGAAACGGACATGAAAAGGGCAAGCGGACAGTCGTTTGAAGTTTCCCAGATGTTTCCAGTTCCAGCAGTGTCAGAGTCAAAGGGGCGCTTTGTTACGGGGATGTTCATGAACTAATGCGCCGGCAAGCACGTATCCGAACATGGCAACATCAGCCAAAGAAGCCTCCATTTCGCTTTCGAAGTCGTCCAATTCCTGGCACACTCTCTCGCACCAAGATCCCACGACCCAGTCAGAGGATGTCAGAGGGACCCTAAAGCCCAGAGCCGCTCCTTCTGCTTGGACTCAGGCAACTTGTGCTCGGCCATGATTTGCTCCAGCACGTCTGGTGGCTTGGGTGCCTTGTGGGGGTGTATGCAAGACCGTTCTTGGATTTGAAATGAGTCAAAGGCCCGGCCCCCCAGCCTTCGTCGGAGAGTCCAGTGACCACGTGGACCCAAGGCTGAATCCTGCCCGGCTCCGGAGCAATTTGTGCGCAAACAAACTCAAACAAAACCTCGAATGCTTCCGAGCAAGGCGTCGAATCTGCACGAAGACAAGTGATAACTGTGCCCACATGTGGCCACTCTGCAAGAAGCCACCTGTGTCGCGGAACGTGCCCGTGTCGCGGAAGGTGCCGGTGCCGCGGAAGGTGGAGCGGAAGGTTCCAGTCTCACCGAATGCGGTCGATGCCTCAGCGTAGAGCCTTGGATACTTGAACTCAAGTAGGTTCAAAGCAAGTTCAAGGGAAATGTTCAATTTGTGATCGGAACTTTCCTGCCAGGAAGCTCCTCCCAGTCCTTCCCTGCCAGCTGTTCAGCGAGGGCGCCGGCCACCACCTCGGCCTTGGCCATATTTCCAGGATCTTCAAAACCGGGAGATCTCAAGATCTGGCCGACCCTACAAGTATCCGGCCTGTGCCTCCACCTCACGCAGGGCCATGCCATCCTTGACCTGCTCCTTTGAAGTTGAGTGGGTGTTTAGGGGGCTCATGGACTTTGGAATAAAAACGTGAATAAACGGGAACTACGTGGAGATGGCATGTGAGACACTAATATGGCCCAGTCGGCCTCGAGCATGGCGAGCTCTTTGAGCAGGACCTGTGGGGGTAGCATGGAGCGGCAAACCAGCGCGAGCCCCCGAAAAAAGGGGACCCTAATTGTGCCCTGAGTTAGAACCACCCCCCCCCCCCCCCAAAACATCAGGAGGGTTGAGATGAGACCGGAATCAGCAGATGTGCCTCGTGCCGTGCATCAGGCAGCTGCCAGGCTTCTGGAGGGCCACCTTGCAGTCTAACTTTGGGGTTTTTTGGGGGGGGTCCTTTTGTGCCAGTGAGGGAGGTTCCCGAGGTTCCCTCCGACGTTAAATCAGTCAGGGCACTTAGTCGCGACTCCTCCAAAAGCTGCTCAGCGGCCGCCTGGGCATTGTCCAGGGATGCCTCCTGCCGAGGGGATTTGACCGAAGCTCCGAAGACGACCACTGTTCTGTGAGACCTCTTTGCCTGTGGTTTTGGGTTCCCTTGAAGCACAGCTCACGCATGCTGGGCACCTTAGACAAAAGGCTCTGGCCAGAAAAGGGCACTGTTGGTCAAGCCCCTCCGTTGCAATACTGGTCCTTGCCCTCGCGGTCTGAGTCTTTGGGGTGACTCAGAACAAATGCGTGCGTTGTTTGCCGCAGGGCACGCGATTTCTCCTCCATGGTGCGACTTTGCACAGGACTGGCATTGAGCATGAAGAGATCTTGTCAAGGCCATGAACACAAAACTCCTGCACGGAGCGCAGGAGCTGCTTCACTATGGAGTCCAGGGATGTGTGGAAGTGCGCAGGGATGTCAAAAACACTGCCGGATCCAGAACCTTCGGAAACACGGACATACAGAAACGGGCAACCCCTCCAATCAAAATAATAGGATAACGATTGCACAATCTTGCAACAGATTGCAATAGTGCACCCTCCCATGACCCTGGCCAAGGCTCTCAGGTAGTCCACGTATGCCACCACTCCAGCACCCCAGAGACTCCAGCAGTCGGCCGACGAGCACCTGCTAAACTCCGGAGACATTGCCCAGCCACGCATGTACCCTAAACCCTAAATCCTTCTTTTGTCCAGCTCCCTGAACCCTAAAAAAACCCACAACTTCCGATGCTGAAGGCATGGCGCGTCTGGGCGTCGAATGCCAGGAGGTATCTGGTGGTTGCTTCCAGGGGATGTGGCGACAGGATGAAGTGGTCATCCTTAAGGTGCTCGATGCACATCGTCTCCAAGCCGGCACGTATCCTGGAAGAGACTTGGTAAGAAAAAACATAAACGATCAAAAACCATGGAAGGAAACAGAAAGGACAACCAAGGCTCATGTTTTCCACCCACAGCGCATGGTGGTCGGTTTCGGTGGACTTCTCCATGGAAAGTCCCCGCACCCGCGACAGGATCACGGAGGGCACTAAGCCCCTAAGCTTTCATCATGGCATGCGCGCCGGTTGTACCTCGTGTATCTGCTAGAAGTACAAGTTGCATGTCGCAGTGGCTAAGCCGTGTTCCTGTCGTCGCTGCTTGTTTACCATTCTGTTTTGCAGTGCTCCAGCCGCTACAAAGACTTTTGGCAACCTTCAACCTGCATAAATGGGCCTGCCGCTCTGCGATCTCTTGATAAGCCAGGTGCCAGCAAACTTGACCACCAGGTGACATGTCAGCTTCAAACACTCAAAAAGCCTCGTCCCTACATGCTCTTGGCCTCCGCACCTAGGATTGCCTTCATCGCTAGCTGTTTGACGGCGCTGGCCTTGCCATGCACTGCCACAAGTCCACAAGTAGAAGCCAAAAGTGGCTTTGTTCGGCATTCGACCATGAGAAACCAAGGAGGCAGCTGAGGAATCGCTGCACACACACCCTACAGGTATGTCCAAGAGCCCCGTGGCCGCGCATCCGAGGGCAACTTGCTTGGCTGAGGCAGAACTGTCGTATTTTTCTGAGCAGCTGCAGCTCCATGCATGATCTGCGGCTTTTCTGCAATCGACTTGCTCTCTGGCTCAATGGGCTTGGTCATCCGCTGCTCTCACTTGTAGTATTTGCTGCGGTAAATCTGGCGGGAGGACGGGCAAGAGACAACAGGGAAGCCGTTCTGACGGCATGCTAAAGCAACCATACCCTTTAAACTCAAGTGATTAAGCCTTGACGCCCGGATTGTGCTTCTTTGTTGGGAGGATGCCTCCCCAGTTTGCCTGAGCACAAGCGTGTGAAGCAGGTCCTCAAGGTGTGTCTGGCCACTGCACTGAAGACTTGAACATGTCTCTAGCTGCAAGCGCCTCTAAACCAGTGTACTCCCTGCATCCTACACATTTAGACAGATGCAGGCTGTCAGTCCGCAAGGTGTAAGCGCAGGGCTCTCCACAGCGAATAGACTCGCATGGGAACTTTCTTGATCTTCCAGTTTGGGGGCATTTCCCGGGGCCTGGCACGTGCATGGCAATCGCTGTCTCAGGCATTCAAGGGCGCAAATGTCGGGACGTATGAGATCGTGTGAAGACGCCAGCTGTACCCTTCTTGGTTGGGCGTCTCTCGAAGGACCCGAAGCATCTCCTGCCACCAAGCAGGAAGCCGAGTTTTCACCCCAGCAACTGCACGACATCGGCAAAGACTCAAAGACACGTGGCAAAACATGGCAAAGCACGTGGCAAAACAGTTGGCATCGCTAGGCTCCCTAGGCTTGACAGCCGAGTCCGAGACGCTGCGCCCGGCCTTCTCGAGCCCCAAGTCAATTGTCAGGGGCAGCGGAAGAAGCATGTCGGCCTTCGCTTGCCCAGGAATCGGGAATCTCATGCCTTACATACACAGTGAGAATAAAGTTCAAAAGGGAAAACTAAGTCCGAATGCCCTACCCATTCCGATTCCCACCCAAAATCCATAAAGTACCCTTAAAGTACGAAGAAGTCAAAGGGGCCTCGACGTTCAGAGCTCGATGGCCTGCGTGCTCGGAGAATTGGGGCAGGTGACTGGCAGTCTTTGCCCCGTAGGGTTGGAGGGCTCATGGAGAACAGTGGACCGTGGGTTCATTTCTTGTTCCCCAGACAAGCGAGCCTGTCTTGCAGAAGAATCCGTCCTCGACAAAGCAAGCTCTGAAATGTTCTGAATCACTGGCGTGAACGTGCGCTAGATTCGCTCATCCAGAAGATGGCCGGCGTCCTCATCAAATGCCTGCGGGCACACACGCGCACACACACAGAGAGAGGCAGTATACACGGCGCATGCCTCTTTGCTGCATGTCATTACAGCATTCCTCGCCATCCCGCGCCTCACTAGTACTGCGAGGACGGCCGTGGTATCTTCTGAAGATGCCATCTCCCTTGACACGAAGCTCACCTGAGAAAACATCCCCAAGGGATGCACGGCAAAGCAGAATTTCGAGACTCGGCCTTGGTCTGCACGCCACTTGAGCCCGTCGGCACAGTAGCCCACGGTCTGCGGCGCATCGCCCTCCTCGCCCTCGCCGCCCGTCACGCGCCACGTGCCCACGTGCCCCCGCACATGTCGGATTGCCAGCGCAGGGCAAGCCTTGTCTACGTCCACCTCGGACACTGTGTACAGGGTCCCGGCCTGCGGACTCACTCGCAAGTACAATCTTAAGAACCCTTGTATAAGGTCAGCAAAGGTAAGCCACGCAAAGCCACATTTTGCCACGGAAGCTAGCACAAGACCAAGGCTTCATCAAGATGGAAACTTTTCCACTTGCGGCATGTGGGCCAACGTGTGGCGAAAGCTGCAGCGTCAAGCAGCGAAAATTGGAACAGGGCTAAGGGAAAGGTGGAAGCGGATGCACCGGAGGAAAGATGCAGTGTTGTACGCTTTCTGAGCTGGTTCGCTTCCTGGTGCAAGGCTCCACTCTCACCATCCCAGCAACCCCATTCCCGGAGCGCACCACAGCCACATCAATGTGGTATCATGGCATCGCTGAAAACCCAACAAATTGTCAATTTAAAGAGGAGACCAACGAAATCCACTACGACATCCATCACGCCATCCATATAACGACGACATATAGCAACAACTCTTCTGGAAAACCACCTCCGCTGAAAAACCCTCGGCCGTGCTTTCGGGAAAAAAAACAACAACGCCCACCCCCCCACAGAGGCGGAAAGCCCCGACATGAAGTTGAAGCCTGCACAGCCTCAATGCGGGTAGAGCCTCTGTGGGATGGGATATGCTTTGTGCCCCAGGACGTCGGCTGGAAGGCAAAAGTGCTACATCGAGGGCTTCATGCGCTCGCAGGTCCCTCTGGGAGGGCGCTGTAACTTGCATCTGCCAGCCCAGACCGGGCAGAGCGGACAACCTAGCAGCAAGATGGCAGCCATCCGACACTCAGTTGAGGATGAACTCAAGTTGGTTTGAGGCCTGTCGGATCATCCCCACGAGCAACCCAGACATCGTCATGAAGAGCATGCTCGCCACCTGCAGCCGGGGAGTTACGAGAACTAGTAAGTCAGGTGAAGTATGGTAAGGTCAGGCAACGCGGTACATCTCAAGAATTCCGCTGCGTGAGCAAGCCTAATCATATCTGGGGCTCCGCACGAAGAGCAGACTCTGGCCTCAGAGCTACTTCGGTCTTGGAGCTACGAGTATGCACAGGCACGAACTGGAATCTTCAGGAGGTCCACAAAGGCATGGCCCCAGCACATTTCTACCCAACGTAGATTCTGAGGTGATGGCTGCGCTCGTCCGCCGTTAGGCTGACTGCCTTCGCCTACCCGCGCAACAATGAGCAGCGCACTTGCATGTACTTGGCATCACGAAACTCGAAACGTTCGTGAGAAAAGTTCGCGAAATTTCACTAGCCAACTCTCGCCTCTCCGAGGAGGTCGCAATGGCAGGCTTCACGCCCCCAACCTCAAAACATTTTAAGATAAGCGCGCGGGGACTGCACGCGGACTGCACGGGGCACAGGGCGTGGGCACTTTGCCCGAGATCAACCGCCACCAACCACGCAAAGCACAGTACAGAGTGGGCACGTCTCAAAACAGCACGCCCGAATTGGTCTTCTTCCGCATACAAACAGACCGCCTCGTTGCACGTGTCCGAGTCTAGAGACACACGTGTACCGCTGACTCGAACTCTCAACCAAAGAAGATGCAACGCATGCAATTCCTACTGCTAATTGTAATGAAACAGATGTACACCTATGCGAACCTGGAGTGGGGGACGTGTAACCGCAAGCCGCCAAACCCTGAAGCCGTGAGGGAGTACATCTTCTCCACTGAGCACTATAGAGGTCGAATCCCTCCAAGCGATGGAGGAATCCAACACCATTCTGGTGCGCCGGGTGCCCCTTTAGCGCCCAGCTTTGGCCACGCCCTGCGTTCCCCCGGCATGCACTCATGCGCTCTCCATCGCGTCAAGGGTTCAAGGTCCGGTGTCCGGGCGCAAGGCCAGGAATGGCGTCTGGCAGTCGACGATTCAAGGAACAAGACACGGGCGATGCGTCACGTGCTGCTGCAACACCGAACCGGCTTGGCTCCTGGCCTGAGACAATCTCCGAGCCGATCATGCCCTGATCCTGCCGAGGTGCCGTGTCAGATGTCGAGCCCTGTAACGCAGCATCACGCAGCAAGGCAGAAGATTGAACTGCACGGCCACTCCGTGTGCGCCAGCGCATGGCAGTGCACCTCTCAGCAGACTTGGACTTTTCGTCACGGAGATCATGAGCATGAGGGGTGCGAAGTGGTGTCAGAAGCCCAGACCAAGAGATGAGCGAAGTTGATCAAATACATGGCACAGCTCACAACTCACCGTATGAAAGTTGAGGTGCCACTTCCGGGCCAGCGAAATCGACGGTGCTGAAGCGGACCGTCGCCTCGCAAAGCCGAGGGCTACTACAGCACTCCACTGGCGCACTGTTGATGAGAGGAGCGTTTGCCAAAATGTCACGGGATCCCCGCCTGAGAATCGAGCACGTTTTGGTACGTGTCATGCCAGTCGCCTGCCTCACAGGTGTTAGGCTGCGTGTCTACACTCAAACTCTCCCCATGCAGAGACAGGGTTGTAGATTTAAAGATAAGTGTTTCGATAGGGTTCCGACAGTGTTCCGATAGTGTTCCGTGCGGCGAGACACAGTTCCAAAGATCGCTGGATGTTCAAGGCTATGGCTTTCTCTGTGGTCTCCATGTCGCTTGTTCAGCGATCCAGAAAGGATGCCATCTTCTGACGCAAGTTTGAGGGCGTCTGTACCATGGTATAGAACCTGAACCTCCCCAAGCTTTGGTGTAGAGAGCCCACGCAGGGACATGTCGACGCGGGTATCTTGAAGTCTCTCAGGGGTCCATGGTGCTTTGGGTTGGTGCTCCCTGTACACTAGTTCGCGACTCTGCGATGAACCCAATGTCGAATCTTGTTTAACTCCCTTGCTGACCAACATGAGTGGGGGTTCGGTGCGAGAGCAACTTGTGAAGACGCCCGACACCCACTTGGCCTGGAAGTAGGGATCCTTGCCGGCCGGATTGCTCTGCAATTGGAAGGGCCAGGTGTGTTGGTGAAAGCCTTGGCGACTCGGAGTGCTTCAGGATCAGAGTCGTGATGGTTGTAAGGCGTCCTGAAGAGTAAATCATGGATCTATGATATCATCGTTAATTAGTCAAGGTAAGCATGAATCCGAGATGCTGTGTTTGTCAAGCCCTGAAAGCTCGCGCTCGGCAACGGCGTCGCGAGGCCACTGATGCAGGTACTTCTTGGGGCCTTCGAAGAGGTGGCCGTCGATCCACCGCGTATGAACTCCCTGCCCCATGGGGGTCTTGCAGGCACAGTCCGGTGTGGTCAGATCGCCACGCAGGTCCTGCAGGTACGTCGGCCGGCTCGGAGGTCGCCATGGTGCCAGGTCCTCTTTGGGACCCTCTGTACGGACGGATCGGATGGAAAACAAGGGCCCCACAAAGGACTTGGCCCCCTGTCCAGGACTGGCCAGGGAAGCTATGGTGTGATTGGTACCTTCCTCGCTACCTGGGCAGCGTGCGACGAGATCTGCACGTCCTCCGGGAGGCAGGGACACGCGAGATACCCAGCGCGGGAAGTCATCAATGTAAATACCATCTTTGGCGAGCAACGCAATCTCGCAGCTTCCGAAGTCTAAGAAGAGCCAATCAGAAACACCGGCCATGACCAAGCGCAAGCGATGCCACTTCGTTGAGGCCACAGTCAGAACAGGCTGCACTGCACCATTCACCAGCCACAGATCTTCGCTGGGTGAGCTCTCGAAGAGCTTGTCGCCGGAGGCCTCCCAGGCTCAGCTTCTATATCCTTTCTTTCGTCTTCGAGCGGGCTAAACTTCTAATTACGGCTCGACCAATGCTGGTGTTGGCGCTTCAATGTTAGATATGGGTGTCTTGCCGCCGGCCCCTAGTGAACAAGCAAAGCTGGTCCCTGCCTGCGCAGCCTGCGTGAGAAGTGGCAGAGGCAAATTCCTGGCACACTGCTTCATCAAACGAAGGTGCGTGATCGCTGATACTTAGAACGGCGACTCGTCTTGGTGCACGAACGCAAAGTAACGGAAAGCATGCTGAAGTCCATCCGAATACTCTCTTCCAGGGCGGAAAACACTGCAGAAACGAATCCGTTAATGTCTACTCATAAATCAGGGTATGTTGGCCCATCTTCCGTGAACAGGTAGTACCATACACGCACTTTTCAAAATGAAAATTGTGTGGGCGGGTTGCAGCCCGATCAAGGGCCAGCTTGCGGGCGGGTCCCACATGCAGACGGGGGGCAAAACACGTCGTGAAAAACGGTTTGGCTGCGGAATCTGGGGATAGATTCACAGTCTCACATATCCAGGGAGTGCCACATGTCAGGTGAAAAGGGAAATGCCGCCCGCGTTTGTCAAATGAGGGACATAGGCAAAGATGCATGTCAGCTGAAGAGGGGCTGCGCTGACCACTGCCCAGAACAGCTCGAAAAGCACTTTTAGTGGTTCTGGACTGGAACTGCAAAGGGGGCGTCGGCAGGGCAAACTCCTACACACTGCACCCCGGATGTTTTTCATGTGTAAGACACTCCAAAAGCACTCGAGGATGACCCCACATGACACTCCAAAATGATCCCAAAACAAGACAACTCTCCAGCTACGTCTAACAGAATTCAGCATGGCTCAAACACACATCACCCCGCGCTCAGCCCCATCCACTTCACTGACACTGTGCCAGTCTTGAAACTTCCCTAGAACTAAACCTTCTCTGGAAATGCTGGGACCCTTGCTATGACAACTCTTGCCCTAGCCCACGCCACCCTATGAGCAGGACCATCTCCTTGCTGCCTCCCACCATTGGGCCCACCATACCCCAGCTTCACTTGGCAACAAGCACACGAGCACAGACAACAAATGCACCGAAGGTTCTCTGACGCTGCCAGCTTTTAATTATAGTTACTGCCCCAGCAAACCCAGGCGTCCCCGAAACTTTCAGGAATCAAGGTTTCGGGTTTACGGGCCGGCTGCGCATCGATGTCTTTTTCCTCAGCCCGTGCGGGCTGGAAAGTCACAGGTGCACCGCTTGGACGGCCGACGTGCATGTCCAGTGGCTTGGGCTGGCCGGCCTGCCGAAGCGGTGTGCACCAACGTTACAACTATTGCAACAGGATTCTGAAGGGGACTATATAGGAACGACAATCTTCCCCCCTCCTTCCCAGTTCTCCTGGCACGCTCCTACCCTCAAGCGATCACAGGCCGGGGAGGCTGCAGCATGAGGCTGTGATCTGCCATCCTCTCCAGCTGAGGCGACAGGAAGCCTTGTGCAATCAACGACATCGGACACAGCGCACCCCAGCTGACCAAAGCTGACCAGAGCTGACCAGAGCCTGGTGGATCTTGCACCACAAGAACCGAAGCAGCCCCGGCACCTGCCTGCATGACCTGCAGGTTTTGAGCATTTATCCATGGCAATTTGACAGAAAACTTTCGCATCAGTATGTCCAAGAACAGTCTCGTAGGAACCAAATTGGCAACATCTGGGAGCTCGGCACTGGAGCCATGATGATGAGGGTGTGCCCAATAGGTACCAGGAGAGTGATCCGCGATGATTTTGTAGTCATACCTTAGGTGATCATTCGCGGCTCCGTGCCTAGGATGGGCCATTCGATCAAAGGTCTGCTGCGCTTGTCATGCGAGTCGCACGTAGGACGTACCCGGACCCAGAACTGTGTAAAAGACATCGTCGGCCGGGGCATTGGGCGACACATGAAGGCCTGTGCGTTTTCTGCGTGCGAGTGACAGTGTCTGACACCACAGTGCTGGCACTAGTAGTTGAACTAGCTGAAGGCAGTCATGACCCACTATGGCCTTTTTGGGGTCTCGAGTATGGTCCGGTATGGTTCTGTCTTTCTGGTCCTGGGAAGCCCTGAGGCCAGGGCCGTGAACGTGGAGGTTGGTGGTGTTCGGGAGCTGGTACTTGTCATCTTGGCGCCGTGTTCAACCGAATGTGTGGGCGTGGCGCGGATCTGTCTCTGAGCCTGCCGCTGGCAACCTCGCCCAAGGGATCCTGGCACAGCTCTCTGGAAAACAAGTGAGCTTCTGAGCTCATCGACTTGCTGCATCTTGGGGTGGCCCTATCCCGGTGAAGGCAGGGACATGCCGAGGGCGAGGAACAGATGGTGTGAGTGCGGGAGCATGAGTGAGCGATTGACAAAGAGTGAGAAGGAGTGTGTGTGAAGGAGTGGGAGTGAAGGCGAGTGATAGTGCCAGAAAGTGACGGTGAGTGCGGGGGGAGCTGCGACAGAATGGGGCCGAGAAGGCATGACCTAGCAATAGTCAGAATGAGTGTCATGACTGCGCGTAGGGCCATGCAGCTACGTGCCTGCAGATCGTTCTGCACGGCGATCAAGAGCCTCAACTTCGGCCAGTACGTCGTTGTGTCAACCATTGTCAACTCCCCATTCGCACACCGTGCTTGCGACTAGTTTGTGGTCCTCTCTCCCTATGCACACTTGCATCGAAATAGAGGCCTGTCGCCAGGCTTGATCATGATCGTGGGGCCCGGGATGAAGTCGTTGTATATCCGGGTCACAAAGCCTGCTCTGCGTGGAAGGTCATGGCAGGCCACTATGGATAGGTACGAGCACGGTTTCGTTGGTGGTTTCAACAAGCGGGGGCCTTGCGTGCGCATGCACGTCACGAGACGAAGTGCGATGGCCAGAACATGCGGAAGGCCGCCCTGCATGCCTCTTTGTCCCCCTGCCAACCGTCCCTGTGCTTTGTCTTCTTCTTCCTGCAGGTTCGCTCCTATTCTTACACAAGGACCATCAAGGACCCCCACCTTCCCGGACGCGATGGCCCGCTACACTGTCCAGGTCTGCTCTGCTCGTCTTGGCGACTTTCAACATCAGCAGCCCGGCTCTCTCTCTCTCTCTCTCTATCTTTCTTTTTCTTGGGGGCATGGGGGCAGGCCCCCCAGCTGTTGCCTGCCCCGGTATTCGGGACCCCTCGGTTGACTGCTCTCTCTCTCTCTCTCTCTCTCTCTCTCTCTCTAGTTTTCTCTTTCCAGTCTGTTCTCTATTGTTCTCGTTTTTTTTTTTTTTGGGGGGGGGTCCTTTCTGTCGTTACTCTCATTTCTTCTCACTTGTCGTGTTTCCCTCTTTTTTGTTATTTCTTCTTTTGTTTCTCTTTTTCCACCTTCTTTTCGCTTTGTCGTCTTCCCTCTCTTTTCTTTCTTTCTCCCTTCTCTCTTTCTGTCTCTCTGTCCTTCCCTGTGTCTTTCTTTCTTTCTTTATTTCTTTCGTTCTTTCTTTCTTGGGGCTTGAACTTCTTTTCTCTCTCTCTCTCTCTCTCTCTCTCTCTCTTTCAGCTTCCTGTGTCCCGCTCATAGTTTGCTGTATTTCCAACGCATTGGCATACTGCTCAAGCGGCTGATTGCTGGTAGTGCTGCATTCATGGCCGGCTCCCTGGCATTCCCTTCGCCATCTGCTATTGCATCTGGGGCCCTCGCAGGACCTTACCAGGGACTCTACCGTGCCGCGACACGACTCCGCGACATGCGCGCGCATGCTGTTTGAGAGTGCGATTCTTTCTGCAAGCGCCAGTTGAGGCCTTCTCTGGGCGGATGCGAAGACGATAAGCCGGGGCACCCCAAAACATACCCAAACCCTCGTGTGAGTGCCCGGCTGATGTTGTGCCCCACCACTCGGGCCGGCCTCAGCCTCGCTCCGAGGGGGAGCGGGTGAGGTGAAGGGGTGGGAAGAAGGGTCCGTGGGCTCAGTATTGAATATCGGAGAGAACTCGCAAAATTTTGCAGAGCACTCAGAATCACTTGAAGTGCAATTTTATCGGCGCCTCAGCGTGCAGTTGAGCACACCATTGGAAGAGCGGAGGGCCGGCACCTTATCTTGAAGCACTCCAGGGTGTGGGCAGAAACCAAGCACGGAGGACATGCAGGACCCAAATCTCCGCAGAGCCAAGTTGCCTCTGGAAGAGGAGCACCTCGAGGAGGCAGCCGCACCTCCCGGTGGAAAAGCACTGGCTCAGACAAGTGGCTCATGCCCCCGACTGCGACTAATTTAGACTGCTGACCCGCTTGGATTCGCCTCGGCCAAAGGCTCAAGAACCGCCGCCACCACCTGCAGACTATGCAGACTCGACTCGGACTCGACCCTCGCGGCGAGCGCGGCGCGTGCGAGCGCGCAGTGGCGCGCGCAGGCCCTTCAGAGCATCCTATGAAGAGTCTTACGAGCTGAAACACGGGAAGTCACTGAGACTCACTGAGACCTCTCAGATCCAGGCGGACACGTGGAACACGTGGAACAGCCGCAGCAAGGGTGCCATCGCTTTGCGAACCCTTGGAACCCCTACCTTGGCCCGATGGATCTGCTAGGTGCGCAAACCTAGAAAGACTCTGGAAAAGCACAACGATGTTCTGAAACTGCTTTGCACCAGGTTCAACTGATCAAGGTGCTCTACGACTGCTGTCCTTCTCTTGTCCATGGCTGCCATGTCCTGTCTTCGAACCTCTTGCAAAGCCAGTCCACAGTCACAGGCCTAAGACAAAAAGCAAGGGTACTGCAAGGAGGCGTCTTGTAGTGGTAGCGTCGCCAAGTCAAACCCCGACCCCTGCCTCCGCGCAGCTAAAATGCCATGTGAGAGAGCAGCTGAAGATCTCTCGCCAGCGCGCTGCCAAGTCCTAATTAGTTGCGTCCAGCGCTTCTTTGCAAACGAGTGCACGATTTAGCAATGCTTCCCTCCTGCGATAGGACGGTTCCCGCAGGTGCCACCGCAACGAAGTGCCTGAAAGGCCTCGGACGAAACAACGGATGTGCTACCCACGCGGCATCCTCTGAGGCAGCACTCGGGCAAAGGCTTCTCGAGAAACCGAGATCGAAGTTTCTCCCTTAACGGGGCCGCCAAGGACTCGAAGCTCTTTGCCAGATCCCAGCACCACCTCAGCTCTGATTTTTTATGATCCTGAACCAGGCTAAAAATGGATGGAAGCCATTCGCCCAGGACCCAGACTCCGAGCCAACGAACACCACTGAGGCTTCTTTGGCCTCGTCAATGGCAGACCAGAGATCCTCAGCCGCAACTTGCATGCGAAGGCAGGAAACCACGAATCCAACAAGCCCAAAAAGTGACCCTAGTTTGGGGAACCGTATATGGGGCTCCTGCCCAAACAGATTCTCCCGTCGAGCAGAGGACACAAGCACCGGAGGCCAGTGGAGCCTGAGAGTTAGGCGTCAGCAAATCATCAGCAAGGCAGACGTCTAGCATTTTAGAATCCAGAAAGGCAGACGCACAGCCCGGAAAGATGGCGCCCAACAATCTGAAGGGCTCAAAATCTCAGCCTCCACAGCATCCACCACGGCTGCTGCAGAACCGGCGTCGAGTCCCATGGACAGGACCTTAGACCGAAGAAAAACAAGAGAATACCGGGGACTGTGGGGACTGCGACCATCGGTGCCTAGCTGCAATGACTTGCACGCAGCCTTGCGTTGTTGTTGCTGTGCCTCCCTTCGCCCCTGACAACCAACTTCCTGGGATCCGACCGTGTCCTCGGCGGTGAAAGCCCAGTGTGCTGCAGATCTCGACACGCCTCGCTGGCGCGGATTCTTGCGGTCATTCGCGGCCGACCCTATCACATGTTGCTAAGGAGTCTGCGAGCACTGAGTGCCGCGGTGTCGACCTGTGGATGTATGAACATGGCCCCACCTTTATAAAGGTGGGATGGGCCACGACTTGGCGATACTTTTGGCTGCCGCATGCGCCTCGGCTGCCCTTGGTGCACTCGACCCCAAGGTGGGGCAATGGGCCTCAGCAGTGCCAACGCATGGAAGACTCTCAACCGCTCTAAACCGTAAAAAGGCACTGACAAAGAGAAACATGGAAGGCGCGGCATCACCTCGCAGTCCTGGCGCGCAAGTCTGCGCAACTCTGAACCCCGGGAGGCGTCGAAGGGCAAGCGGCGAGAATGGCAAAAAGCTGACCCTCAGGGCCTTCGTTCGCTGGAGTGAAACTTCCTGGTTGGTCGAGGGCAGGCGACTTCCCCCAGGTGTTCAAGCAGTGGGAACTTTCGAAGACAGGCGCCTTCGACAGCGAGGGCGTTCGCACAAACAGTGCCAGCACCCAGTCGTCGGGCGGCCTCGTCGGGAGGGAGATGACGGTGCTCAAGCCCCTCGCTTGCTTTCAACACGATGTTGGGGTTTATGACAATATTCAGGTGGCCACAGTTGAGGGCACCAATGGGTAAAGGAGAAGTGTGCCGGATCTGGCATCAGAGCCTCTTGAACGCTGCTGGCTTCACTGCTCGACGCATCTGCAAGCACCTTGGGGTAATCATAGCACGCTCGAAACGTGCGCCACAGCATGGAGTGCTGTGTAGTATTACACTTCGCTCGCTCGTTTCAGGATGCTTCAGGCAGATTTGCATATGCAATATGTACGTACGCACAACAAAGTACAATACATCTTCGATTTTCGGTGGAGAAACCCGAGGTCATCTCAATCACTACACCGGACTTGCCTCTCATGAGCCAGGACTTGGATAGACTGAAACACTCGGCTGCTCCTGTGGAATCACTTGGTGTTGAGAGGCAGGGCTAAGGCTCCCCGCGGCCAGTTGGATCCGAGCTTCGGCAAAGAGCGCAGTCAGCTCCTCAACATTGCAGGCGCCCAAAATGTATGTAGATATTGCATTTATATATATATATATATATATATATATATATATATATATATATATGATATATATATATATATATATATATCCATATCCATATCTAGTGGGGTTTACGACTATAGGGTACCTTATTGGGGTTCCTATTCTACCCCATTAGAATGTGGAGCGTGATAGCAGCAGCAGCCCAAAAGGAAAGGCGGCAGCCACCAGCCCGTCCTGTGTGTCATACGCCGATGAGTCCACCTGAACACTCTGGCTTTTGACCTTCTGTTTGAAGGGCCTGTCTCCATGCAGAGGCTCCTGCCGGGGCTGCAATAGCCTCCTTGCCTTAGCAACAGAGATGTTTAAGGTCAAGAAGGCAACTTCAGATGTCTTGGCCGCCCTACATTGCCTTGCCTCTCTGAGCTTCCGGCGAACCGCCCTGAGAGCCGCCGCGAAGCCCGGGGTGTGACGACCTTAAAGGTACAAAGACCTTTCTGCTGACGAACGGAGGCTCCGAGATCAAAGGCCCAGGCCGGAAACGGCCACGCGAGGGCTCTGGAGGGCACCCTCAGAGTCCTCGGAGTCACACCATGTCACAAGGTGGTAGCGCAATGTTTTCCACGGCTCATGGAACTTACAAACTGAAAACAGGTGAACACAAAACAACCCCCCTGGAGTCTCCCTGCCCACACCTTGGAAGTCGTTGCCAAGTGGGAGAGTCGACCGCGGAGGCCCAAGCGAATCGACTCCTCTCGCTCTCACACACCAAATTCGCCCTGAAGCACCTTTTGCCCCCCATCTGTTGCCTTTTCCTTTAATTGGGCTGCCGAACCACTGGAAGAGCTCCTCCTGCTGCCGCAGTTGTTCTGCGGAAGTCGCGATCCACCTCTGGAGCCAGCTGACTCCGGGGGGTCTCTGCTTAGTGACCAGCTGAATTTGCATGGGCTCAGCATGCAAGTCGCACATGGTTTCGCCCCTGCACACTTTTGTTGCATTTGCGGCACGGGTATCTAAGCCGCAGCTCACGGCATTCGTGGAGAAGCAGAAAAATCTTGGCTGCAAGCCTCCCTTAAAGTCACGTAGCAACAGCAACACAAATTTCGGGACGAACGTATCACTGCAAACGGGTGCAACTAACTACTCAGGGCCTCATCAATAATCAAGTGGCACAAGTAGGTTGATGTGAGACATTGCTGGAACCAAACATCCCAACCTTCCCACCACCACACGGGTTGTTCTTGGACAAACTTCGGATTATAGACATACCCGGCCATATTTAACTTTATGCGACCGAAGGCGAGGATGCTCTAAGTCTTTCAGTCTCGTCCACCTCAGGCATTCACGTCGAACTCGCAAGGCTGTCACTTCTGCGAATGCTCTCGTGAATCGTGGATGTTTTGGACTGCTCTCCAGGATGGTATGCGCAGCCCTCAATTGCCCTCCCGCCTCGGCGCTTAATATCGCTTAATCAGCCTTTGCTTCCTCGGTGGTCTCCTCCGCCTCCTCAGCCTTCTCCTCCTCCTCCCTGAGGCCAAGGAGTGTTTACGGAGGAATTGGGGCAATTTGGGCTTCCACGCAGTTCTCGGGCGTTTTACCGTGCCTTATGTGGCAGGGGCTGTTTGAAGGCAAGGGGCCCTCCGCTGATCAGCTTGAAGCCTCCCAGCAGGATAACCAGAGCAGCCACTCCGGCAGCGGGGTGTCCCTTCAGGTACCTGGAAGGGTTTGGCTGCTTGGCTGCTGTGCGCTACCAATCGAGCGGCATGTCGCGGCACGGCAAGGGCAAAGACATGCGGCCAAAGCACGCGAAGGCGGTCTCTGCGAAGGGAGTGACCAGGCGGCCCACAAAGAGCGAGATGCCCATGATGGTTGCACCAATGCCTCCCCCGACTCCCCGCAACTGCTCCACACTGCTAAGGGGCTATTGTACACGTTTGGAATCATCAAACCTCCTGCCACCCCCCACAATTCCCGTATCTGCCCATCCGGCGCAGCCATGGGACCAGTGGAGCGCGCGTAGTTGATGGGCTTGAAGTACTCACCGAAGGACAGCCTGCTTCACACGCACGCAAACGAAGGAGGCACAAAGGAACGTCGCCAGAAGTGCAGCTACTGCGTGCGGCCAAGCTGCTTCTTGTCCTTGGGCTGCAGGGTGTATCCACGCCACTCGTTGCAGGGCGAGGAGATGATGCCTAGGGCGAATCCGGCCACTCTGGGTCCAAGCATAAGGGCCTGGCATGACCCGCATGCTCCGTCGGTGCCATCTGGCATCTTGGAAATCCTCGTCTTGCTTTCCTCCTCTTGCTGCTAGACTACAAGCTGCCCAGATGACGAAGGCGAACACAAAGGCCTGCCGAGAAGTACAGCCTTTCGAGAATTTTCGAGATCTAGGCTTCAGCGCAGAATCGTCCCATGCAAGAGCCCTGCCTCCTGCGTAAAGGTCTGGGGCTTCCACACCCCTGCAAGTGCGACCGCCACGAAGCCACGAGCCCAGCCGTACAGAATGTCGCGCACGACCGTTGGCACCTCGGCACAAGGGAACTCAAGGAAATCTAAGGCTGGCGCTGCCGAATCCGCATTGCCTGCACCCATTCCGTGGTGCTCTGAGGGAGGAGCATATGCCTGGTAAAGAAGGGCCGGCTTGATCTCCCAGCCCATGCTCTTGCGGAAGCGGTAGTTCGTGACCTCACTGCATCGACCGCCACTGCTGGACAGCCTGACAGCCCCTCTAAAACAAGCCCGTGGCGGGCAGCATGGCAGTGCAGAACAGGAATCCGCTGATGGTGCCGCCTCAATACACGAAGAAATTCGACTGCATCTCTGCCACTAAACTTTGGTATCTGGCATGGCACCACCAAATGTCAGCTTCGGCACTCAAGCCAGGGCTGAAGGCAGTGAAGGTCATGGCCATGTTGATGATCTCGAAGACAGGGAACTTCAGCCTTTCAAGCCCCAATCACGTCTTGCTGACTCGGCCGTGCCGCTTGTTTCGCTTCCCTTCGGGGTTGGTGCTCTTTTGGCTCAAGCTTGAAGCGGTCAAGGCGCATGTTGGTGGGGAAAGTCGTCAGGAAGAAGTTGGAGATGAGCTTGAAATTCATCTCCTTGATTGCCTGATACATGCCACCGTGCCACCCGTTACTCCGCCCACTCGCTTCGTGGGCGGACGCAAATGACATACCTGGACTGCCAGGACTTGCCATGCCTGAGAGACCGTCATCCGCTTCACCAGCAGGCGGTTCACCTGCGACAGAGCAGCTGGCAGCCAGACGTCAGTGGATGTCAGTGGACATGCGCGTTAATGTGTGCTCCATTCGGCTGAGAGGCTAGGGGCTCGCAGATGGCAGAGAGAATTGCTGCCACAAATGCCGCCTGCATGTGCAATTGTTGGAGAAACCTCCGATATGCCCGGGAGACGTTGTCAAAAGCCCCGTTCCAAACTGCAACTCGGGCACGGTGGCTCCCTGAGCACCGGCGGCGAACACCTGACCGTCTGGTTTGATCAATTGACTTTCCTCTGGGCCCTAAACCCGAAACCCTAAACCCTGCTGTTACACGCCGAAAGCTGCCCCGAGCCTTGCTGAAGAAATTGGGTGCTGCCGCTGCAGCCGCCGCTGTCGCAACAGAGGAGTGGTCACGGGGGAGGCTCCCGGTGGCCCATGTCCTGCCCGAAAAAGGAAAGCGATTGGAGTGAGCCGAACGCCCCTTCGAAAGCAGACCCCAGACATGACTGACCTCTTAGATACGACATAGTATATATATATATATATGTATGCGTGTATACATGTGTAAATATCATGTAGTAAACATGTGAAAGGTCAATATGTCAATAAAAATGTTCACACATTGTATTGCAACATTGCAATATGTATGTGTGTATATATCTATAATTATATATATAGACATATAAAAAATATATGTATGTATGTATAATATGTGTGTTTTCCTATTTCTAAAGTAGTTGTATGTGATTATCTTCCTTGAAGCGGAGGATCGCGTCAAGGCTGTGGAGCTCTCGTGCTGGACACCAACCGCTGGGCTGGCAAAGCTCCACGACTGGCTGGCACCCCACCTCAAAATGCGCTCTCACATCTGATTCTAGACTCATTGTATACTCATACTATTGCTCCCGTGGATTTGCTTAAGGGACGACAGCATGTTGAAAGCCGCGCGACACAAGGCCGGTCGCCAAGGCGGCCAGGATCGGGGAACGGCGGCGGCTCTGGTTCTGACGGGCCTCTGAAGGGTATTCTGAAAGCCCTAGTCTCCGAGAACTCGAATGCTTTGAATGCAAACGAGTCGCCATTGTTGACCAAGTCTTGGCGGCTCGCGGCTTCTTTTGTGCCCAAGGCTCTAAGCCAAACACATGCGAGCATGCGCATGACCGCATGACCGCTCTAGCAGCCTCCCGCACACTTGCCTGAAACTACTTAAAGCTTAAGGGTCTGGTTCCCTAAACAGTGTGTCAATACTAAGGGCTCCAACGTGAAAAGCAAGAGGGGTTAGATTCATGCGCTTTCCGGAGAAACCTGATGGCATCTTGGACGAAAATCGCGGTAGGCGCAAGCAAAACTGCGCTTGCCGTCATCAAGACTGTCATCATGTTTTTGCTTCTGGTTTCGCGAATGAAACGCTGTCATCAGTTTTGGACGTCTGGGCTCGCAAAAAGCGAAACTGTCACTCGCTTTTGGACGTCTGGGCTCGCGAACTCTCTCACCGTGCTGGCATCAAGTGGTTTATGACCAGGGCTTAGGGCGCAGGGCTTAGGGCCTAGGGCTTAGGGCCTCTCTTTGGAACATGAACCTGCATCCCATGTCTCGCCACACGGCTCCAGGCCTGAGCACAGCTGCGGGAGGCTTCGACAGCTTTCGCAGCATGGCAAATGGCTGCAAATTGGCCCCCGCAAGTCATACCATCTTCGGGTGGCTTTTTGGGAGGGGCTGATCCGAACAGCGGCTACCCGGGCATTCTCAGCAACTCTGCTTTCTTGATTTGGCTTCGTTAGGTGACTAGTACTGTTGCGAACTTATGATGAGCGCGGCCGAAGCTGTGGAGACCAAAGATGCTTTGCCATGTGTCTGCTGCTGTCTGCTCTGCGGCGCATGTCGTTCTCATCCTCAACTCGCACAGTCAGCTCTCGTGCGAAGCACAGAACCGCCAAATCCTAGGCGCAATCGCTGGAGGACCTATGGTGCGGATAGGTTTTGCCTGGCAATGGCATGCATTGCGTCAAGGTCTAGACGCCTCAACAGCACCAGCGCACAAGATGGGTCAAACTAGCGTTGACATGGAAAGGTCACGGCAGTTGAGAAAGTTGAGAAGACGCAAAGAACATCGCTGGTAAGATGCTGAAGCTTTCTGAATGAAATCCTGCCAGCAGTGTACCGCTTATGCAGTCATGCTGGAAGTGCCCCGCACGGGCCGGAAAACTCTGACCTCAAGCAAAAGGCTTGCAGGCAGCAAATTACATCATATTACTCGGTTACGTTACGTATATTCTACCGCCGCTTTTCCAAGCAAGGCAAGACCAGCTGGGGATCGAAGCTGTCCTTGCAAAGCTGGCAGGCTTCTTGCTTAGTGAGATGTCTGAAAGGAGGTGCGCCGCAAACTGTGCCGGGCCTGTGGTTGTAAGCCAAGGGCATCGAAATGGTCCCTCGGCCACCTACTTCTCCTCGTCTGCCTCCTCCTCAGCCTTCTCCTCTTCCCTGAGGCCAAGGTGCCAAGCAGCGTTTACGGGGCAACTTGGGGGCTTCCACGCAGTTCTCGGGCGCTTTACCGTGCCTTATGTGGCAGGGGCTGTTTGCAGGCAAGGGGCCCTCCGCTGATCAGCTTGAAGCCTCCCAGCAGGACAACCAGAGCAGCCACTCCGGCAGCGGGGTGTCCCTTCAGGTACCTGGAAGGGTTTGGCTGCTTGGCTGCTGTGCGCTACCAGTCTAGCGGCATGGCACGGCACGGCAAGGGCAAAGACATGCGGCCAAAGCACGCGAAGGCGGTCTCTGCGAAGGGAGTGACCAGGCGGCCCACAAAGAGCGAGATGCCCATGATGGTTGCACCAATGCCTCCCCCGACTCCCCGCAACTGCTCCACACTGCTAAGGGGCTATTGTACACGTTTGGAATCATCAAACCTCCTGCCACCCCCCACAATTCCCGTATCTGCCCATCCGGCGCAGCCATGGGACCAGTGGAGCGCGCGTAGTTGATGGGCTTGAAGTACTCACCGAAGGACAGCCTGCTTCACACGCACGCAAACGAAGGAGGCACAAAGGAACGTCGCCAGAAGTGCAGCTACTGCGTGCGGCCAAGCTGCTTCTTGTCCTTGGGCTGCAGGGTGTATCCACGCCACTCGTTGCAGGGCGAGGAGATGATGCCTAGGGCGAATCCGGCCACTCTGGGTCCAAGCATAAGGGCCTGGCATGACCCGCATGCTCCGTCGGTGCCATCTGGCATCTTGGAAATCCTCGTCTTGCTTTCCTCCTCTTGCTGCTAGACTACAAGCTGCCCAGATGACGAAGGCGAACACAAAGGCCTGCCGAGAAGTACAGCCTTTCGAGAATTTTCGAGATCTAGGCTTCAGCGCAGAATCGTCCCATGCAAGAGCCCTGCCTCCTGCGTAAAGGTCTGGGGCTTCCACACCCCTGCAAGTGCGACCGCCACGAAGCCACGAGCCCAGCCGTACAGAATGTCGCGCACGACCGTTGGCACCTCGGCACAAGGGAACTCAAGGAAATCTAAGGCTGGCGCTGCCGAATCCGCATTGCCTGCACCCATTCCGTGGTGCTCTGAGGGAGGAGCATATGCCTGGTAAAGAAGGGCCGGCTTGATCTCCCAGCCCATGCTCTTGCGGAAGCGGTAGTTCGTGACCTCACTGCATCGACCGCCACTGCTAGACAGCCTGACAGCCCCTCTAACACAAGCCCATGGCGGGCAGCATGGCAGTGCAGAACAGGAATCCGCTGATGGTGCCGCCTCAATACACGAAGAAATTCGACTGCATCTCTGCCACTAAACTTTGGTATCTGGCATGGCACCACCAAATGTCAGCTTCGGCACTCAAGCCAGGGCTGAAGGCAGTGAAGGTCATGGCCATGTTGATGATCTCGAAGACAGGGAACTTCAGCCTTTCAAGCCCCAATCACGTCTTGCTGACTCGGCCGTGCCGCTTGTTTCGCTTCCCTTCGGGGTTGGTGCTCTTTTGGCTCAAGCTTGAAGCGGTCAAGGCGCATGTTGGTGGGGAAAGTCGTCAGGAAGAAGTTGGAGATTAGCTTGAAATTCATCTCCTTGAGTGCCTGACACATGCCACCGTGCCACCCGTTACTCCGCCCACTCGCTTCGTGCGCGGACGCAAGTGACATACCTTTCTGCCAGGACTTGCCATGCCTGAGAGACCGTCATCCGCTTCACCAGCAGGCGGTTCACCTGCGACAGAGCAGCTAGCAGCCAGACGTCAGTGATGTCAGTGGACATGCGCTTTAATGTGTGCCCCATTCGGCTGAGAGGCTAGGGGCTCGCAGATGGCAGAGAGAATTGCTGCCACAAATGCCGCCTGCACACAATTGTTGGAGAAACCTCCGATATGCCCTAGACTAGAGACGTTGTAACAGGCCCGTTCCAAACTGCAACTCGGGCACGGTGGCTCCCTGAGCACCGGCGGCGAACACCTGCAGGCAAGAAGCCTACGGTTGACTACGTAGGGATTCCAGAGGTTCAGGCAAAGCGGGCATGGCTCAACTTGGCATGTCACGGGTCATGTGGCGTGTGTGCCCAGAAAAAGCAAAAGTTCAAGCCAGAAAGCCTCAGCACGCCATCAAGCTTTCCGCAGGCCTTGCTGAAGAAGTTGGGGGCCGCCGCAGCAGCCGTTGCCACAGCAGACTGATCACGCGACTGCTCACGCAGAGACCCCACCGTCCAAGTCCTGTCGGCTTTCTGGAGGCATCTCCACTAGAAATCCACGATCGTCCGCGTGTCCTGCTGCTAGAAGACCGTGTCAGCGCAGTGGAGCTATCGTGCTGCACGGCGACGGAGGGGCTGGCAAAGCTCTGGTGCAAGCCCGCATTCCACCTCAAAACCCAAGCCAAAGCGAAAAGCGAACAAAGGATTTGCCCCCCTTCCCCTCCCCCTCTCTGCAAAAAGAATCAGGCAAGGTGTCTGCCAAATTGCGCTCAGCCACAGGAGGCAGCAGGCCAAGGCGGCAATGAGCGGAACGGTTGATCGAGTGCGGGTCTGGCGCGCCTGGTCTGCCCCAAGTTCATTCGGTGACAGCCTTAAGAACTTATTGACTAATGCGATCTCATGAAGACAAGGATCCATTCTGAATGGCACGGACGGGAAGCAGACGGCTGTACGAGCACCAGCGCCCAAACTAACTGCGGCCACTAACTGCGGCTTAACAAATATAACCTAGAGAACATGCAAGTGCCAAGCATGCGTTTGCTGCAAGCATCAAGGAAAGCAGCACAAAACAAGACTATGTCGTCTGCTCGTTTTCTATTCGACTCTATTCTCTCAACTGAGCGGTTTACGTGGGCCGTAGCCTAGCGCAGAAAACCAGATCGAAAAATGCAAGGTGTGGCTACATATGTAGCGACAGGTTGCGATAAAGATTCGCTGGGAAAGCTGCACTGAGAGGATTCCTCCGTGCCACAGCATAGTTGCTGCGGCAAAGAGATGTCTGCCAGATTCACTTGGGAGGAGCCGGCCAGGGCGCGCCAGGCCGACATTTACCTGACAGACGGTGTGGCGCGAGTCGACTTCGCAAAAGCTCGCTGTGTCTGTGTTGCGTCCCCGCTGCTTGGTTGCCATGACGATGGCAATGATGATCACCGCCACGGTGGCCATGGCGATGGCCGTGTGTTCCTTAAAGTACCTTAGAGTCGCGGCATGTCGCGGCACTACCAGAACCAGCACTAGGTCCCTAGGTGCTTTGTATGGAATGAAGCTCCCGTGATCGTGCTGCCATCAGCGCCGAGGCGCCCGAAAGCCTCCTCAGCATACGGCGTCACCAGCATGCCGAACATCAGCGCAATGCCCATGATGGAGGAGCCGATTCCTGAACGAGAACGTCCCATCTCTCGCAGAACAGAGTCCGAGGCCCTGCACCCTTCTGCCCGCTCCTGTGGATCGTGCATAGTTGATGGGCTTGAAGTAGATGTTGAACGGCAGCCTCGCACGATGCTCTGTGCAGCAGGGCGCTCGGGCCAACTGAACTGCAACAAAGCACCGGTGCTCTTTGCAGATGAGCGGCTTCTTGTCTGGGGGCTGCAGCGTGTACCCTCGCCACTCGTTGCAAGGGGAGGAGATGAGGCCTGTCACGCTGCCACCGCTGTTCTCGCTAGATCTCGCTGGTCTGTATATATGCGTCACTCTATGTGACTGTGGCGTACTGTGACCAACTACTTACTTGCGATCAAGCTGCACGAGATCCAGATGGTCAGGCCGAAAACCATTGCCTGGCCCCGGGAAATGTTGATCGAGGCACATGAGGTTTGGGCGAATCCAGCGACACATAGACTCACGGACTCCTATCGGACTCCTGGCATCTCCTGGCATCTCCTGGCATCTCCTGGCATCTCCTGGCATCTCCTGGCATCTCCTGGCATCTCCTGGCCTTGTGGGTGAAGGTCGAAGGGGCGATGGTGTCCTGCAGGTAAGTGTTGGCCAGTCCACGAGCCCAGCCATAGATGATGTCGCGAGCCACGGTGGGGACCTTGAAAGGGGCAGAGGGCACAATGCAGGAGCTTCAGCAGCTAAGTCGCTAAGAACAACAGTGACACAAGTCGCTCACTGTTGGTCTGAGGCTTGCACGTAGGCTTGGTACAGGAGCGACGCCTTGATCTCCCAGCCCATGCTCTTGCGGAATCGGTAGTTCGTCACCTCCCGGAACTGTTGAAGATTGTTGAAGTCAACTCAGAAACAGGCCAGCGTCTAGGCTAGACGCGACTAGTGACTGGAACGATGCGTCGGCACTGTGTTCTGCCGTGCCCCGAGCTCCACACGGGGAGCATGATGGTGCAGAACAGCCAGCCGCTGATGAAGCCGCCTGAGGACAGCTGGGATTCCACACTGTCGCAAACCCGGTAGACTCACCCGAGCAGGCTCCAACGAAAAGCACTCAACTCACGCAACCTGTCAGCAGGCGCCGGGCACCGGGCTCAGTCCCGGCGACAGGCTCGTGTACATCATGGCCCTGTTGATCACCTCGAAGACAGGGAACTTCAGCCTCAGAATGCAAGGCCATGAGCTGACACAGCGTGTCCGACTGGGAGTTGCAACTTTGGCACATGTTGGTGGGGAAGGTGGTGAGGAAGAAGTTGGCAATGAGGTTGAAGTTGACCTCGGCGTAGGCCTGCACCGCCACCAAATGACAAGTCGCTGAAAACCAACGGGTCGCGTTCGGTAGGGTTTTTGCACTGCCTGCGCCAGGGTCATTCGCTTCACCAGCAGGCGGTTCACCTGGGACAGTGCAGATCTTTCCTTGTTTTGCAGAGAGAGGGGGGGGGGGCATGTTGCAGCCCAGTGGCAAACGGCTCGCAAATGGCAGACAGGATGGCAGCCACGAGGGCCGCCTGGGCCATGTCATTAAATCGAATGTGACAAGTGCCACTCAATTGCCGGTGCCAGGATGGTGCTAGGGCTTGGCGTCCGAGAGGCCGTGCATCCCTGTGCAGCTGCCGCGAAGACCTCGGGCCCGAACTTGCGACGCAGCACGACGGAGCGAACCGTGTGCGAGAGCACGGGCGAGAGCACGGGCGAGAGCACGTGCGAGAGCACGTGACGTACCCCCAGCCTTGGTGAAGAAGCCACCATCATCCGCGGGCGCATCATCCGCCACCACCAGGGCCAAATCACGCGGCAGCGCGTCCGTCGAGGTCCACGTGTCCCTGACCATGGTGCACAGGGATGTCGCATCTCATATTATCCTTTCGTGGCACATGCTCAGTCCAACTTCAAGTCCGAGTTGCAGGATCATGTAGACGGCGGTGAAAAGCAGCAAGGCCCCGAGGCCATTGGAACGTCGGGCTGCCTCACTTCGCAAAGGCTCTCGACTCAGCGGCCTCACGCACCTCACGCAACCTCACGCAACCTCACGCAACCTCACGCAACCTCACGCAACCTCACGCAACCTCACGCAACCTCTTTTCCAGCTTGTTCCAACTTGGCCGGGATGCCATGATTGTAATCTGTGGACTTCTGGACACTCTCGACGCCGGTTCTGCGGACCAGTAGTGAGCCAAAACGACCGGCGGAATTTGCAGAATGCAAGGGAGCCAATGTGGAGCAATGGTGTCCCTTGCTCTCCCTTCCAGTACAAAGTTCAAGGCACTGGTCGGATCTGTGTCCAGGACACTTGCACCCCGCGGCAGAATCCCACAGAGCGATACGGACGGCAGCTTTTCGCGGAAAAGATCTCAGCGCTTGGTCACGCGCTACCAGAAAACTGCATCACGACCTGGACGGGTGTTGGATTTGGGCACGTTGGACCTTCAACACGGCAAAAGGGAAAGAAGACCACGCAAGCGCATGGCATGATGCTGCAACATGCTGCAGCATGCTGCAACATGCTGAAACTTGGCAAAAGGGTGGCATGATAGAATTTGATAGACCTCAGCACCCAGCATGCAGCTCGGGGTTCATTTACCTTGGCTGAAGGACGCAGGCAATTGAGTCAGTAGCCCGTTTTGTCTCTTTTGACTGGAGCCCATGCGCGAGTCGACTTCGCAAAAGCTCGCTGCGCTGTGTTGCGTCCCCGCTGCTTGGTTGCCATGACGATGGCAATGATGATCACCGCCACGGTGGCCATGGCGATGGCCGTGTGTTCTTTAAAGTACCTTAGAGTCGCGGCATGTCGCGGCACTACCAGAACCAGCACTAGGTCCCTAGGTGCTTTGTATGGAATGAAGCTCCCGTGATCGTGCTGCCATCAGCGCCGAGGCGCCCGAAAGCCTCCTCAGCATACGGCGTCACCAGCATGCCGAACATCAGCGCAATGCCCATGATGGAGGAGCCGATTCCTGAACGAGAACGTCCCATCTCTCGCAGAACAGAGTCCGAGGCCCTGCACCCTTCTGCCCGCTCCTGTGGATCGTGCATAGTTGATGGGCTTGAAGTAGATGTTGAACGGCAGCCTCGCACGATGCTCTGTGCAGCAGGGCGCTCGGGCCAACTGAACTGCAACAAAGCACCGGTGCTCTTTGCAGATGAGCGGCTTCTTGTCTGGGGGCTGCAGCGTGTACCCTCGCCACTCGTTGCAAGGGGAGGAGATGAGGCCTGTCACGCTGCCACCGCTGTTCTCGCTAGATCTCGCTGGTCTGTATATATGCGTCACTCTATGTGACTGTGGCGTACTGTGACCAACTACTTACTTGCGATCAAGCTGCACGAGATCCAGATGGTCAGGCCGAAAACCATTGCCTGGCCCCGGGAAATGTTGATCGAGGCACATGAGGTTTGGGCGAATCCAGCGACACATAGACTCACGGACTCCTATCGGACTCCTGGCATCTCCTGGCATCTCCTGGCATCTCCTGGCATCTCCTGGCATCTCCTGGCATCTCCTGGCATCTCCTGGCCTTGTGGGTGAAGGTCGAAGGGGCGATGGTGTCCTGCAGGTAAGTGTTGGCCAGTCCACGAGCCCAGCCATAGATGATGTCGCGAGCCACGGTGGGGACCTTGAAAGGGGCAGAGGGCACAATGCAGGAGCTTCAGCAGCTAAGTCGCTAAGAACAACAGTGACACAAGTCGCTCACTGTTGGTCTGAGGCTTGCACGTAGGCTTGGTACAGGAGCGACGCCTTGATCTCCCAGCCCATGCTCTTGCGGAATCGGTAGTTCGTCACCTCCCGGAACTGTTGAAGATTGTTGAAGTCAACTCAGAAACAGGCCAGCGTCTAGGCTAGACGCGACTAGTGACTGGAACGATGCGTCGGCACTGTGTTCCGCCGTGCCCCGAGCTCCACACGGGGAGCATGATGGTGCAGAACAGCCAGCCGCTGATGAAGCCGCCTCAGAAAAGTGAGGGCTGTGAATACAAGCCGCAGCAGTAGGAAAACATACAAGCTTGAATCAGATCCGAAAAGGACCGCATCTGGCTTAAGCGGAAAGCGACTGAAAAAGTAAGCGCTGAAATGGCACGTGCCCTCACCACCCACAACCGTCAAAAAAAATTTAGTCTTGTGGTCAGGAGGTCATGGCCAAAGGCTCTCTCTGAGTACCAGCAGCAGCATCAACAGGCACCCCTTTGCAACGCGACTGAAATTCCGGGAAAAAAGTTAAATCACCTGGTTCTAGGTCCCAACCGCAGGATCGAGAGCTCCATCTCAGCCCCCGGAAGGTTTCAGCTTGAAATCCCAAGGCCCTCTGCCTCTTCGCAACGCGCCGGAGTTTTCGGAAGCTATTTGGGCATGTTCACAAACGGTGAGACTCCCCCCCCCCCCCAAAGACCCAACAAAAAACAAAAACTACTCTGCGGCTATTCCTCTACAAGCCTCTGTACTATCCCCCTCGGTACGGATACTGCCGAGGCCGCTCTTTGCCGGCATGGCGGCTTTCAGCGAATCAGGCAAGAATGTGCAGCTCATGTGTTGCAGATTTTAAAGTTCCACGGCGTCGGGGACTTTCCTGCTAGGGCCTTCTGTAGCCTTTTGTTCGTGGCACCGCGATATCCAACTTCGGGAGGGAAGCTGCTTTTCCACTCGGGACTTATTGGCGGCCTGCTTGAATCTGTGCTTTCTCGTGGGGCCCTCGCACAGGGGCGGCTTGATTTTGGGTGATTCGTGCCCTCGCAGTTTTCGACCACCGGCTTCTTGACATTCAGCCTGCGGTTTCCGATCCGGACCATGCCCTAGCTGTAGCCCAACTAGGGGGTTGGTGGGCTTGATTCAGTGCCCGGCTTTTTGATTGACGGTCAGCACTCAACTCACGCAACCTGTCAGCAGGCGCCGGGCACCGGGCTCAGTCCCGGCGACAGGCTCGTGTACATCATGGCCCTGTTGATCACCTCGAAGACAGGGAACTTCAGCCTCAGAATGCAAGGCCATGAGCTGACACAGCGTGTCCGACTGGGAGTTGCAACTTTGTCACATGTTGGTGGGGAAGGTGGTGAGGAAGAAGTTTGCAATGAGGTTGAAGTTGACCTCGGCGTAGGCCTGCACCGCCACCAAATGACAAGTCGCTGAAAACCAACGGGTCGCGTTCGGTAGGGTTTTTGCACTGCCTGCGCCAGGGTCATTCGCTTCACCAGCAGGCGGTTCACCTGGGACAGTGCAGATCTTTCCTTGTTTTGCAGAGAGAGGGGGGGGGGGGCATGTTGCAGCCCAGTGGCAAACGGCTCGCAAATGGCAGACAGGATGGCAGCCACGAGGGCCGCCTGGGCCATGTCATTAAATCGAATGTGACAAGTGCCACTCAATTGCCGGTGCCAGAATGGTGCTAGGGCTTGGCGTCCGAGAGGCCGTGCATCCCTGTGCAGCTGCCGCGAAGACCTCGGGCCCGAACTTGCGACGCAGCACGACGGAGCGAACCGTGTGCGAGAGCACGGGCGAGAGCACGGGCGAGAGCACGGGCGAGAGCACGGGCGAGAGCACGGGCGAGAGCACGTGCGAGAGCACATTACGTACCCCCAGCCTTGGTGAAGAAGCCACCATCATCCGCGGCCGCATCATCCGCCACCACCAGGGCCAAATCACGCGGCAGCGCGTCCGTCGAGGTCCACGTGTCCCTGACCATGGTGCACAGGGATGTCGCATCTCATATTATCCTTTCGTGGCACATGCTCAGTCCAACTTCAAGTCCGAGTTGCAGGATCATGTAGACGGCGGTGAAAAGCAGCAAGGCCCCGAGGCCATTGGAACGTCGGGCTGCCTCACTTCGCAAAGGCTCTCGACTCAGCGGCCTCACGCACCTCACGCAACCTCACGCAACCTCACGCAACCTCTTTTCCAGCTTGTTCCAACTTGGCCGGGATGCCATGATTGTAATCTGTGGACTTCTGGACACTCTCGACGCCGGTTCTGCGGACCAGCAGTGAGCCAAAACGACCGGCGGAATTTGCAGAATGCAAGGGAGCCAATGTGGAGCAATGGTGTCCCTTGCTCTCCCTTCCAGTACAAAGTTCAAGGCACTGGTCGGATCTGTGTCCAGGACGCTTGCACCCCGCGGCAGAATCCCACAGAGCGATACGGACGGCAGCTTTTCGCGGAAAAGAGCTCAGCGCTTGGTCACGCGCTACCAGAAAACTGCATCACGACCTGGACGGGCGTTGGATTTGGGCACGTTGGACCTTCAACACGGCAAAAGGGAAAGACCACGCAAGCGCATGGCATGATGCTGCAACATGCTGCAGCATGCTGCAACATGCTGAAACTTGGCAAAAGGGTGGCATGATAGAATTTGATAGACCTCAGCACCCAGCATGTAGCTCGGGGTTCATTTACCTTGGCTGAAGGACGCAGGCAATTGAGTCAGCAGCCCGTTTTGACTCTTTTGACTGGAGCCCATGCGCGAGTCGACTTCGCAAAAGCTCGCTGCGCTGTGTTGCGTCCCCGCTGCTTGGTTGCCATGACGATGGCAATGATGATCACCGCCACGGTGCCCATGGCGATGGCCGTGTGTTCCTTAAAGTACCTTAGAGTCGAGGCATGTCGCGGCACTACCAGAACCAGCACTAGGTCCCTAGGTGCTTTGTATGGAATGAAGCTCCCGTGATCGTGCTGCCATCAGCGCCGAGGCGCCCGAAAGCCTCCTCAGCATACGGCGTCACCAGCATGCCGAACATCAGCGCAATGCCCATGATGGAGGAGCCGATTCCTGAACGAGAACGTCCCATCTCTCGCAGAACAGAGTCCGAGGCCCTGCACCCTTCTGCCCGCTCCTGTGGATCGTGCATAGTTGATGGGCTTGAAGTAGATGTTGAACGGCAGCCTCGCACGATGCTCTGTGCAGCAGGGCGCTCGGGCCAACTGAACTGCAACAAAGCACCGGTGCTCTTTGCAGATGAGCGGCTTCTTGTCTGGGGGCTGCAGCGTGTACCCTCGCCACTCGTTGCAAGGGGAGGAGATGAGGCCTGTCACGCTGCCACCGCTGTTCTCGCTAGATCTCGCTGGTCTGTATATATGCGTCACTCTATGTGACTGTGGCGTACTGTGACCAACTACTTACTTGCGATCAAGCTGCACGAGATCCAGATGGTCAGGCCGAAAACCATTGCCTGGCCCCGGGAAATGTTGATCGAGGCACATGAGGTTTGGGCGAATCCAGCGACACATAGACTCACGGACTCCTATCGGACTCCTGGCATCTCCTGGCATCTCCTGGCATCTCCTGGCATCTCCTGGCATCTCCTGGCATCTCCTGGCATCTCCTGGCCTTGTGGGTGAAGGTCGAAGGGGCGATGGTGTCCTGCAGGTAAGTGTTGGCCAGTCCACGAGCCCAGCCATAGATGATGTCGCGAGCCACGGTGGGGACCTTGAAAGGGGCAGAGGGCACAATGCAGGAGCTTCAGCAGCTAAGTCGCTAAGAACAACAGTGACACAAGTCGCTCACTGTTGGTCTGAGGCTTGCACGTAGGCTTGGTACAGGAGCGACGCCTTGATCTCCCAGCCCATGCTCTTGCGGAATCGGTAGTTCGTCACCTCCCGGAACTGTTGAAGATTGTTGAAGTCAACTCAGAAACAGACCAGCGTCTAGGCTAGACGCGACTAGTGACTGGAACGATGCGTCGGCACTGTGTTCTGCCGTGCCCCGAGCTCCACACGGGGAGCATGATGGTGCAGAACAGCCAGCCGCTGATGAAGCCGCCTGAGGACAGCTGGGATTCCACACTGTCGCAAACCCGGTAGACTCACCCGAGCAGGCTCCAACGAAAAGCACTCAACTCACGCAACCTGTCAGCAGGCGCCGGGCACCGGGCTCAGTCCCGGCGACAGGCTCGTGTACATCATGGCCCTGTTGATCACCTCGAAGACAGGGAACTTCAGCCTCAGAATGCAAGGCCATGAGCTGACACAGCGTGTCCGACTGGGAGTTGCAACTTTGGCACATGTTGGTGGGGAAGGTGGTGAGGAAGAAGTTGGCAATGAGGTTGAAGTTGACCTCGGCGTAGGCCTGCACCGCCACCAAATGACAAGTCGCTGAAAACCAACGGGTCGCGTTCGGTAGGGTTTTTGCACTGCCTGCGCCAGGGTCATTCGCTTCACCAGCAGGCGGTTCACCTGGGACAGTGCAGATCTTTCCTTGTTTTGCAGAGAGAGGGGGGGGGGGCATGTTGCAGCCCAGTGGCAAACGGCTCGCAAATGGCAGACAGGATGGCAGCCACGAGGGCCGCCTGGGCCATGTCATTAAATCGAATGTGACAAGTGCCACTCAATTGCCGGTGCCAGGATGGTGCTAGGGCTTGGCGTCCGAGAGGCCGTGCATCCCTGTGCAGCTGCCGCGAAGACCTCGGGCCCGAACTTGCGACGCAGCACGACGGAGCGAACCGTGTGCGAGAGCACGGGCGAGAGCACGGGCGAGAGCACGTGCGAGAGCACATGACGTACCCCCAGCCTTGGTGAAGAAGCCACCATCATCCGCGGGCGCATCATCCGCCACCACCAGGGCCAAATCACGCGGCAGCGCGTCCGTCGAGGTCCACGTGTCCCTGACCATGGTGCACAGGGATGTCGAATCTCATATTATCCTTTCGTGGCACATGCTCAGTCCAACTTCAAGTCCGAGTTGCAGGATCATGTAGACGGCGGTGAAAAGCAGCAAGGCCCCGAGGCCATTGGAACGTCGGGCTGCCTGCATTGTCAAAAGAGTCTCACCCACCACATGCCGAATAACATGCATAGCATACCCAAACCATCTTGGCCGCCCACCATGGCTCCGCAAAGGCGCGTGGTGGAATCTCTGGACAACTGGCTTGAACCCCACAAACTGAAAGCCTTATACTCAAAGGGCGCCCATGCCATGCAACCGAAGGGAGCTCTCCGGGCTGTTGCTATGTTTTGTCCGCTCTGCCTGCTGACTCTGCAGAGTCACTGTAGAGATGCGTTAACGTACGCACGGCTGTGCGACCAGCCAAGCACCAAAGTCAGGCGGAGCCAAAAGTCTTGCTGTATCATACTCTTAGACGGGCGTTGCCCATTCAAAGGCCAGTTTTCTTTGATGCCCAGAAGGAGCTATGAATCCCTAGTGGGTGACACTTCCGAGCTGTGCTCAGATCCCAGGCTTGCGATAAATAAAGACTGGCCTGCAACGCGAAGACAAGTCGGGAAAGGACAAGGCAGCTCGGCACACTGACACGATCATATCAATACAAGTGATGGTTAGAAAATGTTCATTTCTTGCTTCCAAGGCTCGCATTTCCCGAGCCGACTGTCCGGTATAACACCTGGCATACACCCTCAGTACCCCTCAGTCAACTTTCAAACCGCTGCTTTGACACATGTGTCTCGAATATCGAGCAAGGTACCTGTCGAACAAGCTGCAGACCATGAGGTGTATCGAGTGGTCTCCCGATCGAAGCAATGCGTGTTCCCGGCTGCGTCCTGTAGCCGCACTGTTTAGCTTGTTCAACTTGCTTGTCTCCTGTTTGGCTTGGCTAGCTGTTGCTTAGCTCATGTGTGGCATGTGGCACTGGCGGGGCCGGGCATGTGCAGTCTGACGATCGGCTCATTGGGGGAAGGGACCTCCCCAAGCCAGCGGTCACCCGCGCCACGTGGGAATCCTCCAAAGCCTCGCCGCTGACAAGGATGGTGCTCGCCTCCGGTGCCCCGAAGATGCAACAATCAATTCACGAGATTTCAGTTCAGGCATGGCCGGGCATGGCCAGGCGTCCTGATGCCAGTCATTCTGTGAGTCCAGGAGGTTGCTGTTGTAGAGCAAGACTCGATTCTGAACCTGGCGTCAAGCACTCCTTGCCCTCGGAGCCCCGACCCTTCTAGCAGCTTCAACACAGAATGGCGCAGCCCGATTCCGACAACCGAAAACCGCAACGAAGAGCTCAGGCTCCCCCGGCTCCCCACGGTTCAGCCACGGTTCAGCCTCTGTGTCCAGCCGCTCGACAGCCGCCGCTGCGGCCTCATGGAGCGCTGCGCAGCTCTCGATGCCGCAGGCAAGGCCTCAGACTTTCGCTCTCTTCCTCTTCCTCTTCCTCTTCTTCTTCCTCTTCTTCTTCCTCTTCTTCTTCCTCTTCTGTTGTTCTCTTCGTGTCTTTTTAGACTTTTTTTGACTCAACTGCTCTCCCCACCCCAAGTCTCCTGTACTCCTCGCGGAGAGTTTCCCTGGAAAAATCTGCCCGCAGGATGCCCACCCCAGAAGAATCCCAAAATGTCCAGCCCATTTATCCCAACACCATACCCACTGAGCATTTCTGGAGTATCAACTAACTAGGCTTAGGGTGGGGATCGATTCAACGCATCTCGCGTTCCGCAACATCATGCAACAGACAGCCTCCAACTATGACAACAGTCAGACCCCTAACCTGCGCGACAACATGCCACGCCACAACTTCCATGGTTAGACCGACAACATCTCAACAACCCTTTAAACAGCGAATACCGACCCACAGGGAACCTTGGGAGCTCTTGACTTTGGCTTTGCCGACCTCGTGGCACGAGAAGCGCCCAGGCTACCGCCACGCGCGCGACGCCGCTGCTCAGGTGCAGGAGCCTCCGTGGCACCATGATCGGTCGCAGGAAGCTAGGAAATGGCACAGATGCGCATGTCGGTCTTTTTGCAAGCACATGTCTTGCGGCAGGCATCGGGTTTCAACTCAAGAGACTTGATGCTCTTCTGCATCGAACACATGCCACCAACGCCGTGTGAGAATCGCAAAAGTAGGGCCGCCCAACATACAGACTCAAGGACCTCCAAGGGCTCAACAATTGAATCTCAAGCTTGAGAGACGTTCGCAGCTCGCCGCCAAGGAATAAGCATGTGCATAGCACTGCACGCAGCAATGCTGGCGCAGCGGTCTGCCTCCATTCTAAGAACCGGCCATTCAGGCGGCACGCAGCTGCTGCGCAAACACCATTGCGTTCGATCTCCAAAGAAGCCACGACAGTCAGCGCCATTACTTCAGACAAATCTGCTCCTGACTTGCCATGTCCAGTTTTCGTGATGCCTTGCGACGCATCCACGTCGTTGACAGAACAGCCCCAACTCCTCCTCGGCCCAACCAATCTTCATAAGCCTGAAGATCCCTGCTGTGTTTGGAGGCCTGGGTCTGGCGCAAGCTGCGCCATGCCGTTCACTTCTTGCTCAGACCTGTAAGCACTTGGAAGGACCACATGATCTTGATGGAAATGCGGCCACCGGCCTCGGCTGGCATGATGGAACATGTTGCTTCCGGCTGATGGCTGATTTCCACACAAGCTTCACCAGCTGTGAAAACCTGTCAAAGTTCCTGCCTTTGCTACCAGTGGCTGCTCCCACGATGCGGCTTTGTTAGGACCTGATGGTTCTGCTTATGTTGCACGACTGACGTTATTCTTTAGGGAAATCCACGGTTCGAGACACGCAGCGTCAAGTTTCGTTGATTCAATTCCTCATACATCCATGCCACCAAGATGCGCTGTGTAGAAGCGTGGATATGGATTGTCTGTCCTTAGGATAAACATGTCCGAGTGTGGTCCCAAAGGCATGTTCGGGCTGCCTTCTCCTACTATTCTCATCTGTTCCCGGCCGAGCTGCCATTTCGAAGGACACGGTCTGTCTTGTTTCCTTCCGGAGATGCATGTCCGGTTGAAGTACAAAGACTTAGGGTTCAGGTCCCTGCCGGGGGAGGGGGAAGGGGTGGGTTGGTTTTCGGCAGGTGCTTCTGAAAGAAGCGGGGGCCGGCACGGAGCTTCTGCTCATTTGCGAACCGATGAGAAGATGAGAACTAAGAACCCTGGCGCCAACGTTGTTCATGTTGTTTTGGGTTAGCCGGTTAGCTCTGAGGGGGGGCCTCGGCATGCTGACACAAGAGATCAAGCCCCTAACACGACAGAGCAGTCACCATGTCAGCACTTTTGAACTCGTGAAGACAAACTCCATAAAAACGAGTTATGAGGATCTCGAACCCGACATGCCCGTTCTCTGCAACTGTTGGCAGGAATGACGCGAAACAACGCCACATGGATGCTACAGCTGAACGGCGTTCTTTTCTTTTCTCAACCATGAACTGGTGTACACTATAAACCTCTAAAGAATATGCCTTCCGCGGAACGTATTCCGCATTCCTTCCACGAGCCTTCGGGACCCGACTGCTACAACCACTTGTACCTGTCGAAAGGGAGGCTGCTGAAAAAGCCAACCCCGAAGAGAATTACAAGTCCAAAATACGGTTTAGGGCCTAAGTTTAGGCTTTAGGCTGTAGGGTTTAGGGCCCACCACACCAAACGTTACGCACCCGTCTTCGCACAGCAACACCACACGGCCTGAGCTCGCACATGCAGTGGTCCGCGAAAGACTGCGCAGAGTAGATAGGCTTCCTTTGCATCCAACATCCAACTGTCAGATGACGAGATGAAGCCCACTAGAGCCCAAAGCTATGAGATGCCTACCAGTCAGCCCATGTCAACATTCAACAGGCCGTAATGAGTTCATCCCTGTTCATTCTCTAGAGAAAAGAGGAGACTGCTCTTGCCAAGGGGCAGATGGTCACAGTCCGGACCAGTTGGTCGAGCACTTGCGACTAGTTCCTGTGTCTGCAGCATGGCCACCACGGTAGGCTTGAACATGAATCCGAAACGCGGAAAGGTTGACGAAGCGGCCAGCAGATGCGACTGCCCTTCACTGACCTGCACGGTCTCTCCCTCAAAGCCTTGTGCAAAAATGTATCCAGAACTCCAGCTGCTTTGTGGTTCAGCGTCTTTGCACATCATGCCGACCGCGTGGAAACCTTCACCATGGCTGCCGTACTTGGACGGGACACAGAACTGACCAGTCGCCACACTGAGCCGTTGGCTTCTCATCTCTGCTGTTACCCGACTGTCCCAGACCCCGTCCGACCAAACACGTCCACAAAGAAAGGACGTGCAACAACCCGAATCCAGTGAGAGGAGGCTGCCAGCCCGGTGGCAGCCACCAACGAAGGAAGCAGACATTATGGGATTTTGGCCGAATTCATCGCACGAATCATCATTCACCATTTCTATGACAAAGCCTGACATGTGCACTCGGTTCGCATCATTGAAAGGCGCCTTGCACCAATATCGCCGTGCCAAAAACGGCAGCGTTGTGAGCATGAGATCTGACAAGGACACTTGGAAGGGAAACAGGCTGCTGCGCGCGTCCACGTCCTCATCAGCCCAGGGAAATTCTTCGAGGAGGAAGAGTTGGCTCAGAGACACTCGTCCTAACACCTGGTACATGTCCTGCCGGACTAAGCCGGCCTGGAAAAAGAGAACTTCCGCAGCGACGCTCTCTCGCATGAGGTCGAGCCACATGTTCACAGCCCTGGTCTCCATGTCTCGAACGGAACTGGTGTCATACAGGCCTTCATAGGTTACGTACAGGGGCCGCGAGTTGGCTTCATCTGCTTTGGCCACATATGTTTCGAACAAGTTCTGAGCCTTTGCTAGCCACGATCCAGACGCCTGCCTGGCGCAGGATCCTGCCACCACGGGCACAACGGACAAGCTACCAGCAACCCCCTCCTCTGAGAAGTCAAACTCCAACCGGGCGACAACGCGTGCGTCTGCACCCGATTTCACCAGAAATGTTGTTCCGTTGTCGCGGCGCTTCAGCTTGGCGAAGGAGATGTAGTGATCATGGCCACCTATAATGGCGTCCAAGTGAAGCCCTGCATGCTCAACCGCTCGGAACAAGTTTAGGTCATTTCCGGTTCTCGTGTGCGTCATGGCAACACGCAAGCCGCAGCCCATTCGTTCCGTCTCCCAAGTGCGAAGAATTTGGACCGCAGCTGGTATGTCTCTGATAAAGCCATCGACTTGCTTGCCGGCCCAGCTCATCTTGTCGACATCTGTGGTGCCCAGCACACAGATCTTGATGCCGTTCTGCGCAAGGATAGCCCAGCCTTGCCCCCACGAGCTGCCAGGGATCTGGTGCAGATGCCTCCAAAGGCTCGCGTTATAGGCACCACTGCTGGCCTCCACTTGCCAGGAGTCCAACATCGGCTGCTGGATCTCCTTCCCCGCCTTCTCTCGCAGGTTCGAGTTCAGATAATGAAAGGCCGACATCGCCATCTGCTGCCTTAAGTTCGTTAGCTTGAAATCGATGTCATGGTTCCCAATGTTTGCCAAATCCACCCCCATCAAGTTCATCATCTCCACAAGCTGCGAGCCCTTGAAGTGCTCTGCTAGGTAGGACGGAGCGATAAAGTCGCCCGCAAACATTCCCACGGCGATCTCTCCCCGCTGCACTGCCTCATCTTTCAGCCACCTATACGTTGCCCCAAAGTCAACGAGACCCCCGTACGTCAGCTCGCCCGACGCCTTGAGATCGGTTTCCCGGGCCACGCAGGGTCCAGCCACAACAGTCACGCCCTGGCCATCATGAGCATGCTTCAGAGACAGCTTCTTTGTTTCAGGGACTTTCGCAGGAAAGCAGGACTCCCAGAAAGGACCCGATCCACATGAACTCAGATCACTTCCACAGGCTGCCCCATCGCACGCCGCCGCGATGTCATCCAGATACTCGACTCCAGCTTCCAGATAGTAGTAGGGAAGGTCGCTCGTCAGCGGAACAAGCTTGTAGACGTCACTTAGAGAAACGATCGTGACTCGCTGCACAGCGAGGATGCACACGTCCAGAAAGGAAGGCACAAGCCAAAGGTAGCCAGCCATGGGGCGCATGACAGTCATGAGATTCAATGTTTGAGGACCTGTCTGACTGGGTCGCAGTGTCGCTCTGCAGGTTTTGTGATAAGGGGGCACGTCATCGGATTGGATTCGGGTCAAGGGCTAGGGGTGTGCTGCGTTCAATTCACGCTTGATGGCTCGAAGGAATCACTTGCCCAACCCCGTCGCAGTACACGATCACTGAACCTGGAAACATCCGAAGGCATCACTGGCCCCTGCATGGCCCAAAAGCCTTCAAGAGGCGCTTCTTTCTCGGAGAAAAAACCCTAGCATAAATGGTACATGATATTTCACGAGCACACTACCCTACAGCGATTTCCAACACCCCCAAACTTCCCAAAACTCACACACCGAAAGACAAGACTAAAACTGAAAACCTCGTGCTCAACTTGCGCCTCTCGCCCGGCTCGGGGCTGAGGCAGGCGATCAGAGCTGCCGTTGCTGGAAATGTCAGTTCCCTGGACAGAAGAAGGGCAAAGATCTTTAAGAGGGTCGCGGGAGGGGCGGGGGGGGTGGATCAACATCATGGGCACCCAAACTGCTTTCGCTAACCCCAATGTTTATCATGTTTACCAGCTGTTCTGAAATGGATCTGCCATGCCTCACCGACGTAGCGCATGGCCGCGGGGGTGGTGCGATGGAAGACGACGCGGGCGAGCTGCCACATTGAACTGAATGCGTTGGTTTTCTTATGTTGGCGTTTGCAAGGCGCAAGAAGCGCAAAGCTTCTCACTGGCCTGCAAGCCGCGCACCAATCGGTGTAGACCTGCAGTGGGACCTGAGATCCGGCCTTGGGGCCCTAGCCTGGATTCTGTGAGCTTCTGCGTGGACTCACTGAGCCTCCTGCATTTTGCACCAATCTCCCAGTGCATTGCAAACAACGGCCCTGGGCTGCGTGCGAACACTGTACAACCTCGGTTCGGTGTCATGTACCGCAAGGTGAGCCATGATCCGACGGAAGAAATCCCATGCAAACAAGCTGCGTCGCTGAGCACGAAATGAGTCCTTACTGTTACAAAGGTTGCGCATGAAATTTGACAAGCCGGCAATGAGCTCTGGATGCATTTGGCAGTCCCAGACTTGGATCCGCTCTGCTTACATTACTTGCAGATTTACGATTGGATTGCAACGGAGGCGGGGTCCCCTGCACTTTGTTTTGTGTACATCGGCTGCTTGTTCGGTGATGTTGACATTGTATACCAGGTCCCATGCTGATTCCTTTGGGCGATTCAAGATCGCCGACCTGCACTGTGAGGCGTGTAGCACTTCCGAACGGGTGCTGCGGGCAGCTGTCAAGCTTTCATTCAAGGAGTAACATCTGCCCCCGACCAGATGGAGAGACACAGCTGACTTAGTCAGCTAGGGTTCAAGACATGTCAAGAGCAATGGTTTTGGCCAGGTTGCATTGCTGCAAAGTCAGTGTCGGCAGCGTTGCCACCAGCGGTCCAAGCCTGCAATGTGGCGAAGGCTCGATGTGCCACCGAACAGAATTCGAAACAGTGTGCTGCCAATGTGCCTGTGCTGGCATCGTCATTGTGGCATCTGGCGATGGATCGGCAGGACGAGGCGTTTGTTGCCGCCTATCAGCCGCAGGCAAACAACAACAGTAGCGAAACGAGTCACTGATATGACATATGTTCTAAGGTCCTAGAAATACCTCTAGACACCATTGCTCTTCGTCTCGCTTGACTATTGCCAGATTCACCACCTCTCCTATGGGCTGCATGCCACTACGAAAGACAGCGTGGTCCCAACAACGTCAAATCATATGGTTCGCGTGAAATGCTGCCATCCTGCTGTGGAGTTGGGCAGAATGCACATGGATGCACAAGCTGTGCCTACATCCCGGTGAATGTGCTCCAAAACTCAGTTTATACACCCACGTGCCGTCCAACAGAGAGACACGGGCAGGCAGGCAGAAACACTGCAGAGGACTAAGGGCAAAAGGGACTGCAGTACAGCTCCTGAACCACGTCTATCCTTGTCAGCTCGCTTACCTCGCCAGGTGTTCGGCGTGCAGCTGCTGTAGAAAGCTGTTCGCCTGCACAATGAAAAGAGAGAAACACTCGAGTCAATGTGAGTGCTAGGCTATGCTAGGCTGATCACTAAGCCCAGTGGGCGTCTTCAACTCCCAAAGCCACGCCTGCGAGTAATGGCCATTTGCCAATTGACGCGCCGCTGTTGGGCTGCCAATTCGAAGGCGTTTGTGGAGTCGAAGGCAGAGCCTTTGAAGGCGACGGGTCTGATCTCCCATCCGACCCCATCCTACATGCCTTCACCGAATGTTCGCCTCTCTTCTTCTAGGTCTTTGTTGTGTTCTTGTGCTTGTTTCTGCCGATCTCAGTTTTCCCTGCCAGGATGAACATGACACCAAGGGCGCTGCTGCTCTTCATCCATCGAACGCTTCGGGGCACAGGGAGTTGGAATCCTTGGTTCGATCAAGCGACGTTTACGTTCGTGGAGCTCATTTCCCAATCTCCTAATACACAAGTGACACAGACGCCGATCACTTCGGCATCTTTCGATCAGAGTGTCTGAAGATGGTGAAATTGTGGACGCATTGGAGTCACCACCGCAGCCGCTCGCATGTAGCGCTACATGCATCAGGAATCACACATACCGGACATCAGGTCATACCAAGGAAATGCCAGACACGTGTGCCCTAGCCATCCCTAGCTACTCACACGTCTCTGCGGACCAGACTAGCCATACAGTACCGTGAGAGGGGGTCACCACCTAGCTTGTCTGTGTGTGTGTCCGCTGTCGACCATTCTCGGCTTGAATTGCAACTGGCAGCAGGAACGCCATGACATGCCAGACAGCATCCGACCCTGCCAAGGGACGAGTTGCATGACCACTGTCAGGGGCGGATCGTGAGAGGACACATGAGGACACTGTGACATGTACACAGGCTCACCAGGTGCTTGCTGTTGATGTTTAACTTCCTTGGTTAAAGAAAGGAGACGATCTTGGAGGATTATCCCGTGCTCTCAAGTCTTGCTTGTGTGGGCAACAGCTTGCACATGCTTCGCATATAGCTCTCGCGGTAACTTCCCTGCTGCGCTTCCGTTCATAATCCACACGCTCTGAGTTTTTGACGGCGGCGCATCACCGTCATTCTCCGAGAAGGGGCAACCATACAAACCACGGAGAATTTGGCACGCAGCCTTGCGCAGACGTACACTGCCATTAAGGGCTTGGCGCCAAAGCATCTACAAGCAGTCCCACTTGAAAAAACAGCGTGGCTCAAAAAACAACTTCTGCAGCTCGGCAAATTCCTTGAGTTGCTTGGACTGAAATAAGTTCCCTGTCCTTCCGAAAGTGTACGGGTTAAGGGAAGTCTACCTGCCCGTAGACTTTCCTGCGGAGCTCATGGCCGCGGATGCTTTGTGAGAGAACTAGCAACAACCCCTTTTGGGATGGCCAGCAACAGTTACGTGCCTTCGATCCCCAAAGATACCTCCCCTGTTCAGGAGCACTTGATCGTGACGGCAGCTTGATTGCATATATTGCAGTGCACAGCTTCACTCATGCATGCGAAAAGTGCGTGTCTGGGAACAACCTGTTATACATTTTGGCACGTCTGCCTTGCAATCCTTGGTCTTCGTGCATGTCACGCGCAAACACAATATCTCCGGCACCTTCAATGATTACTTTACGGTAATTCCTTGTTGTGAGAGCATATACCAACAACACTTTGTTGCTACCGCCCCCACCGTGTTTGAAAACGCCTCCTGCTGCGCCAAGTCTCGTGAAGCTAGTCCAGCTGCGCGTCGGAATACAAAACGCCCAACGTGCTTTCGGACATTTCGGAAATTAGCGCATGAAATCCAGGCCTCTTTGGGCGTCCAACATTAAATATTTCACGAAAGCACCGCGAAGGTACACCACGGCACCTACACCGCATCACGTACACCCCAACACCTACACCACAGCATCTCCGCCACACCTCGTAACGGCTTCGAGCGTGTTTCCTGGGGGCAGAAACCAGACAGCTAGGATTTGTCTAACGGCTTCGCGCGCGCTTGCTCCGCAAATGCTGGCTTATGCTGTGTTTCTATCATATAGAAAAAGTCCACACGCCGGGGTTTTGGTTGGATTGCATACAAACTGCACGGGTTAAAGAAAGGAAATCGATGGTTTCCCGCGTGTTTGGCTGCACATTCCCATGAGGAGTAGGTCTCAGTTTTCGCGTGCCTCAGCTGCTTGACACTGGCAGCGCGCAGCGCATGAACTTCATGGATAGGGGGCAGGCGAGACTTTGACCCTGGCCCACAGACTGCGCAGACTACCCGGACTGCCCGGACTGCCCTGCGAGGTCCAGGTTTTGTTTCGTGTTTTTCTGGTTGTTGTTTCGATTTTTTCATGGCTTAGGGTTTAGGGTTTAAGGTTTGGGGTTTAGGGTTTGCTGTAGTATGGTGTACAAGCTGTAGATGTGACGGTTCCGCCCACTTCAAACTTTTGGGCGTGGTCGCAGAGGGGTTTGCAGGGGCTTCAGGGGGTTTGAAGGGGTTTTGGCGGTCCCAGGGGCAGCCGGGGAGCCGGCATTGTTGCTGCTCTTGAACCAAACTGGCAGCCATCCCAACACATGCCTGTGGTAACGACCTGTATGACACGGGGCCATGGGCAGTCTGGGCAGTCAGTGGGTCGGTCTGGGTCAAAGTCTCGCTTGCCCCCTATCCGTGGACTTCATGCCCACTGTCACTGACGGGCAGCTAAGCGCGTGAAAACTGAGATCCACCTTTCATGGGAATGTGTGGCTTGTCCAAGAATGACTTGTAAGTCCTCTTGAAAACTTACCCGGCGCAAGACAAAGAAGCAGCGCACATGGTGGGGCCATACACCTCTGCTGAAGACATGCGCTGAAGAGCATGGAGTAGAGCACCATCTTGCCCTAGTTGAACTCCTGCACCACAAGATACTTGCCAGCTACTTGCCGAGCAAACAGACTGAAGCGGTAGCTCAATGTGTGACCAGCCTCAGAAAGAGCAGCCGACCATATCAAACATGACCAGTCCATTCTCGTGACTTGGCTTAGGCTTCAGACAGCTCAACAATCCCCCGCCAGGCACATAGTGAACAAGTATAAAGTTTATGAGCGCACAGCAAGACAACTATATCATATGCGCGCTGTTAGTATTCTATTTGCCCGCTCATGAAAAGACTTCTTGCTGCGTTCTATTTCTTATGTTTCACACGGGCACATATTGTATTCTCTTTTCGTGCCCGTATTTTATTTTCACTTCATATCTACTATTATGAGTTCTACTACTCTATTTTATTGTTCTTATTATTGTTTGTTAATATTGTTACGTTAGTATTATTATTATGATTATTAGTATCAATATGAATTATTTATTTTCTTAATATTGATACAATTATTTCTTATTATTATTGTCCTTATGAAGCGATGTAAAGAGCGCACACATGACTGACTATCCTAATAGCAAGAGATTACGAAGAGAATATTTTGTGGGACTTGTATAGAGTGAAACGAATGCACGTGTACATGTAAGTCATCCAAAAACACAGGACCATACAGGACCGCTCGCACGCTGTTTCTCCTGCTCCATTCGCTACCACCTGTATCTTGATAGAGTTAGGCCTGGGAGGTGACTTCCCATGACGCTATGTGTTCACTTGGCCGAAATGTTCGTCGCTCCGAGGCCCAAGCGGAAGATTTCTCTATCAAAGGCAGAGGCGGATGCTGGAGCTCCGACCCGCTGACATTTTGAGAATATTGTGCCTGAGCCGGCCCTCACGGAGTGGCTCACACGCTGTGGCTCTCACGTGTTCTTCCGGCGCTGGTCCTGCTAGGCAAAATGCAGAATGTTGTGTGTCGTGTGGGGTCTCGGAAGTCTCATCGCAGCTCATCGCACTTTCCGGGTTTATCGGGGGAGCGCAAAGATGCGAAGAAGGCATCAGAGCAGGCCATACACATGGCACAGTGCGCGCCTCTCGCTGCTCCTGACACATCCGCCGCAGCTCCGCCCTGGGAGCCCGAGCGCCCTGTCCTGTGCACTTAGGACGCTAGTAACACTAGCGTGGCACTCCTGGCATCCGTCGCCGCAATAATATGCTTTGACAAAAAGTATGCATCATCGCAGGTCCTCTTCTTCGCTCCTGGATGTCTTCCAGGGAAAGACATTGCAATTCTCAGCGAACGTGTAACACGACAGTCGCACCTGCGGTGGAGACTCCGACTCCGACTCGGACGATGAGCTTGTTGATGAAATTATGGTGGCCTCCCACCCCAGCAGAACCAAATCACCCCAACTTGTTTCATGAGAGAAGCCCTCATCCCAGCTGCCATTGCCCCCGAAAGAGTTGAGCTCATGCCAGGACGCCTCGTCGCTTCTCTTTCGAGCTCGGAGCGGTGGCCTCAGGCACAGACAGGCGTTCGACTTGCAAGTAGCGGCTGCGACCATGTCCAGACATGAGCAGGTCAAAGAAGCTGGGGGAGCTAGCCGTTGATTTTTCTTTCCCTTCTTGCCTGCTCCCTTCGCGTCCGGGCTCCACTCATTCCAGTTTTCCTGGAGGCATCACTCCAAAAAAAACAGAAAGGCTGCCAGAAAATCACATCGTCACAAGGTCATAAGTCGCTAGAGTAGGCTCAGTAGGCTAATAGGAGGCCCTCTCACCGTGTCTGCATATGATGTGTTCATATGTGTTCTGCATGCGTCTGCCCTTGTGCCTCCCAACCACGCCATTCACTCCAGGACTTGCCTGTCCAGCGCTGGGGCTCCCAATCTGCCCAGTTTCCTTTGCCTTCCTCTTCCCAGGCCCAGCCCGCCTCCCAGTCCTCCCACTGCGGCCTCTCCTGTGGCTTTGCTTGCCGCTTTGCTTCCTGGCCCGTGCCTGGGCTCGTGCCTCCTCGCCTGCCCTTTGCCTGTCCTTGCCAAGCCTCTTGCCAGTGAGCTTGAGCTTGGGGCTGAGCTGGGCCAGCTGGGCCAGCAGCTGGGCGAGATGGCTGCGACTGTTGCGGGCCTGGGCGACCTTGACTCTGTGGGTGCTGTGGGTGCTGTGGGTGCTGTGGGTGCTGTGGGTGCTGTGGGTGCTGTGGGTGCTGTGGGTGCTGTGGGTGCTGTGGGTGCTGTGGGTGCTGGGCCATGGTAGATGACTGCACATTCTGCAGGGCTTTCTGAAAGACCTTCGAGCGCCGCCCCTGCTGGGCTGTGGGAGCAGCATCAGGGCTTTCCCGCTGCCAGGACAATCCGGGCTGAAAGATCGGTGCTTCTGCCGAGAGCTTCTTTTTGGTTGGGTCTGCAGGAGGGCCCGGAGGTTCCCGTAGCACGGCTGGAGGTGGCACGTCCGGCCTCGAAGATGCTCCAGGTAACGCTTCAGTGATCTTCGGACTTCACTCACACTTCACTCACACGGCGCACTCACCTGGCGACAGCAAGAAACTGAGTTTCGGACGGGCGGGGTCTTGAGCTCCCCGTCCACTCAGGCCATGGTCGCCCAGGCACTGCACGGGGCTGGATGCGAGATGGCCAACTTGGCCGCGGCGGCGCATCGTCCAACGGGTTTGGCCCCAAGCGACTCTTCCGAGCCTGCGCCCCATCCAAAGGCTCTCAAAGGCTCTCGAACCGAAAGCACATGATGACATACTGACTACAGCTGACTACGGACCTCCAAGGTTTCCGCCAGCATGGCCGCCTGCACCCTGACGGGAAAAATCAACCGGGATTCTGCCGTGTCCCTCCCAAGCTTGGAAAGAAGCTAATGTGCCCCCGTGCCCATTCAGGCCTGCCAGCTATGACCTGCATGGTGGTCGCTTGCCGAACGGCGTGGCGGCTCCTGGCAATAAATATCTGCCATCTCAGAAACCTGACCACAAGCGGATCATGCGGATCTCTCCAGCCTGCCCTCGTCCGATTGCACTGCGGGCTGCTGTTGCATGGGCTCCTGACCCCAAGGCTGCGACCCTATGATGCTCCATGATCCAAACGGTCTCCATAAGCCACAAGCCCTGCGGTGTCCAAGCCTCCGCACCCACCGAGAAATCCAACGTTTCCTCCTTGTGCAAAACAGAGAAAGACTTGAGCAAACCTAGCATCGCAGCATGCGGGGAGCGCTGCTTCTCCCGGCCTCATATGCATTCGGCATCTTGTCAAGAGGCTCCTCACCTGGGGATCCGTAGCACTACGTAGGACTTTGTAGCACCATCTGCGAGGCCGTACGACAGACATGACAGCAGGCGGGGCCACGGCAGCCAAAGCTTATTGCCACCAATGGCAAGGAAAGGAACCTGCAGCACAGGCAAACAAGTTGCAGGGCCCTCTCATCCAGAAAACACTCGTCGCGCCTGTTGCCCTGCTGCCTCATTTGCGTGGCCGTAGGTGTTTCCAGGTGCTCTGCACGTGACGGTGGCGCATCCACCGTCTGCGGATAGTTGTCCGCTATCGCTGATTCGACCGCAGCCAACAGAGCAGCTCCCTGCAGGTTCCGGTCCAAGTTGAACTCCTGCAGGCAGATGAACGCAAGCACAAAAGCACCGAAGCACCCAGCGAGGGTCAACGTAGCCTAGCGACAGCCTAAGCAGCCCGCCTCCACAAGCTCGGTGAAGCTTTTCGTGGAACCGTGTGCAGGCACAGGGCTGGGTGCTTCCGACACCTCCGGAGACTCCGGAAGTCCCGACTGCGATCGCTCCTCCTCCTCCTCCTGCTCCTCCTGCTTCCCATCATCAGGCTCCTCATTGTCATCATCATCTACCATGTCGGCCCAACTCGCAGAATTCCCTCGAGTCCGCTGTGGAGGCATGATCGGGGTCATCGGGGTCGGCGGCTGCGAAATCCGTGGCGGCTCGCTTGTGGGAGAGACTGCCAAGTCCGTGGAGGAGCTTCGGTGAATCGGCTCCTCGGGCCTCAGACTAGCACTTTAGGCTGTGGAGACTGCAGAGATCGTGCGAGCACTCAGAGCAAACCCAAGGCTGAGAGTGCTACGCAGGAGGTTCTGGAACGCTCCCATCATCTGGCTCATCTTGCACGTTTCTTGCTTGCGGTCTTCCTGCAAACTCACATTGCAGGCCGTGTCACCAGCAGAGGCTACTGAGGCCGCGGCCTTTCTCGTTGACCGCCACTGTGAAACTTACAAGTGTGCCAACGGTCCACTTTCCGGCGTAGTCCTGGAGGCCGGAAGTGACCGCGGCTTTCATTTCAAACGAGCATGCCAAGTCAGCGCAACCGCAAGAAGGCGGCTGAGAACGGGGCGCCATGTACGACATGAATGTCCCTGGAATAGACACTTGAAAGCTCTAGGCACTTGATGAACCCATACCTCGCCAAGGTTGTACGGCTTTTTTGGACAACGGCATCCACGAGCTCATGACGTGGAAAGCTGGGGCGCGCGCATGTCACCCACACTCTTTATCCTTCCAACATAACGCCGCGTCTCGTCGCCGTCGCTCGACCTCGACAAATCTGCAAAAAGAACGCAGAGCCGTGCCGAGTCCCACATTGCCGCACCGATCCGCACTGCCATCAATGAGACAAATCTCAGCCCGCCACATCTCTGGCATTGGGTTCATAAGCGGCTATAAGCGGCTAGGTCTCGTGTGAGGGGTTCTTGCTGGTAACTTTAGCATTGAAGTGTGGGCGAGATTGCCATTCAAGGTTTGGGGATGACTTGGGCATCTGCTGAGCAAGGGTTGCCATGGCAGGTCGCGCAGAAAGTCGCGCCCTCGCCTACGGACATGAATGGTCTTCTGGACCTCGCGGGAGTCTGGGTGAGTTCTGCAGATGCTGACGTCCACGTCCGAAGACGCGAACAATAATGAGCTGGGAATCGTGCTGAACAACCGCTGCGGCTGGAAGTTGCAATTCAGATTTTGGAAAGGGCTGTTGGCGGACTGTGCAATTTCGGACTGTGGCTCCCACATGCGATCAATCATGATACCCAGTTGGGGGTTTTTTTGCCACCAGCCTGGATTGACTGCACCACTGCAGGGCTAGTCGAGGTCGTTAGGACACAGGCATTATGGGATACAAGGCGACGGACAAGGTTTTCGTTCGTCTTGCCTGGCTTTGCAGGCTTGTCTCCCTTCCATTTGTTGTTTGCTGACTGTGTGCCCAGGTATTCTGGACTCACTGACTCACTGATGTCTCACTGATGGAGGATCGAGATCATGGTGAGCTTGCATCAAGTGCCAAAGTCTTGCCAACGGCCTCATAAGTCGAGGGTTCATGCACCATCATGCACCACCCTCCACTCATCAGCTGACCGACGAACATGGACAACTGCTGTCCTCGTGAAAGTCATCTGAGAAGCTTTCGTCACTCATCAATTGCCTGTCTTGCCACCAGTGCCAAGGCAAAGCAGAGATGGGCACTACGCCACCGTGCGAAACTGTGCGCACATTGCGCGCAGGTCAATCCGGCCAGAAGCACGGCACACCGACGGAAACGGCAAGGTTTTCCACCTGCGGCTCCAAGTGCCACTAGGCCCCCCTCAAGTCTGAGTCGGGCTGCGCTCTCTGTGTGCCTCGAGGGCTAGCGCGTGCACGGCGGAAGCGAGAAATTCCGACTCACCGACGAAGCCGTCCTTCCGTGTTCAGACACCACACAGGACCTTTAAAGGCAGCTCCTTGCCGATTCCACGCCCCAAAGCACCCCTATCTTTCACGGGGCTTCTTCTGGGGAGAGGGCCCCGTCCAAGTCCATCCGCTTGAGCCTTGGGAGGCGGCGACAAGCGGAGGCAGCGGGGGAAAGCGGGGGAGGGGGGGCAGCAATCAGCACCTGCTCGATGCTGCTCAAGACGAATTAAGAGACCAGGGCTGAGGCAGGTTGGAGGCCAGGGTCTCAGACCGAGATTGTAGATGAGTACAGCACCTTAGTGTGTGCACCAAGAAACTAGGGATAATCAGGCAAACTCGGGCTCTTTCCAGAGGGTGAACTCTGCCACAAACCCAGCGCTGGACTGCTCGGCAACTCGGAGTGCTGTGGCCTGGAGACGCCGACTCCCTAACAGCCCATAAGAAGCCCCCACATGCCAGCAAATCCTGCAAAACACCACCCAGCAGCACCTTGTGCTTGTCCAGCTGTGGTTGCAGCTCCTTCAACACCGCCGTAACCTCGTCTGCAGGCCACGGGGAACTTCTGGGCCTTCTGCGAACTGGGGGGCATGACATCAATCGCCCGTTCTGCTTCATGAAGGAAGCTTTGTCCCAGATGTACCTTGCAACATGCAGCATGAAACAAGCACATTCTGGTCCAAACGTGCTGAAAAATCCTGACTGGACTCCCTGCCTGCTGGAAGAGGCTCACAACCTGACCAAGCGCGCGGGCACTCCTTTCCTTCTGAACCCTAATCAGAATTTTCCAATCAGAACCAGAAACGTCTGCTGGCAGCGATCTTGGGTGCCTGCGAGTGATTGCGCCAAGACGTCCGGAAAGGCCACGAGGTGCGCCAGCACCAACTCCTTCGCTTCGCTTGGCTCTGTTCGTCAGAGTTTGTCACTAGGAGAGAGACTCTTAAACTAAACCACTATTGAGTTACTAGATTATGCAACTAAAATTATGATTGAACTACTACTAACGTACTCTCTCAACTACTCTCAAAATTGCTGGTGGTTCTTGGGATCGCTCCTCAACCTCCTCCAGGTCGAGGCCTTCGTCCCGTGGAGCGTCGCGGGCCAGGACCAGGGTATCCTTTGCGGAGTGGACGACTCGCCACGCGAATCTGTGGAAATTTGTGCTAATGTGTGGCATTTGTTTGTCAGGCTCTTGTGGGCTACCGGGACTTGACGCTGCTAAAACTTCCGAAAGCACGTAAGACGTAAGTCGAGAGCCCAGACGAGACTGACGGACTCCAAATGCTGACCTCATCTGTGTTGCAAGGGTGGTCATGAAGATGCCAAGGCATGCAGCATCCTTTCTGAATTCCAGTGACTTCCGAAGCTGCAAGAACACGGTGCGAGTCTTCTGGGTCCTAGGCCGGATTGGAAAGCCTTCGGCACAGGCACCACTGCAAAGATCTAAAGTGGACGCCAGATCATGCTTGACAGCCTCCAACTTGTCTTGAAGCTCTCCCCGCTGCCACGCTGCCACATCATGCGCGCCTGGGCAGTTGACACAACCCGTGATTGTGTGCCATCTGCAAACAGCAGGAAACCTTCCAAGATACCATGAGTCGCCAGCTTCTGATCCTTGCCACTACATCTAGGAGCTTCGCGATGTATATAATCGAATTATGGGCAGCAGGCTGCAGCAAACTGCCTTCTGCCCATGGCTGCGCTGCGAAGGCAGGTTCTCGTGCTTCGCACGTTGTCTGTCTGATGGCACGCCAATGCCAAGGCACCGCCAAGCCCCGACAAAAGCCCGAGACATGTCTTGGGCACCCGCCAAGTGAGCCCTGCTTCGCAGCTTGGTGCCTGGCACAAGCTGCGCAGTGTGCGCTGCGCTATGCCGCGAATGCCAGTGTGCCAGGGGAGCACCAGCTGCTTCACTCTGGAAGACGTGGCCAGCAGCACGCAGATATGGCAGCATCCCTTACGGTATCTCGCGCTGCACGGCCCGGGTTGCCATGGGTTGCCTCACTGCAAACTTCGAGCGTAGCACTATGACTGGGAGAACATGGCAGAAGGAGAAAGCTGTGGATGCAGCCCGCAGGAGAGCTCGCAAGGCCACCTCATCCATCGTCGGATTTGAGCTCGCATCATCAAGCATCGTCTAGCAGCATTCCAGCATGCCTTACCCTGAGATCGCCCAAATATATCCTCAGGCTGGGGCGACTAGAGGATGTCGGCTCGGGTCGTCAGTTTCGCCCGAGGTCATTGCCAAAGGTTCAAGTATCTAAACTCAGTCGGGCCGACGTTTGAAGCATGTGCTACGTTCGTTCTCAACAAAAAACACCTGATCAAGTCCTTGCCGCTTTGCTGCGGTCTTTAGATGTCCTCTGTTTCGGACGCAGTGCAGCGAAAGCTTTACAAAATCAAATTGCGTTCTGCCTGCGTGCCGTCATGTCTTGAGGAGCTGCTGCAGGTTCTGGATTCTTTGCAATCAATCAGCGAATTATCATCTGTCAAGGCTTGCCGCAAGATTGTCCAACAAGTTTTCAGCATTTATTCGCCTGCACCCTGCTTCTGCCGATCTGTGAAACACCACGCACATCCCTAGTCCTCTCCGAAACAGGAGCTCCACAAGTCCTGCCAACCAATGCACAATCTTGCTGACCAAGGCGGCAAGACATGCAACTGTCGAGATACTCTTCCCTGAACTCCCTGCATGTCCGTACAGAAGTTGTTCGGCGTGGGAGGCGGCTCTTCGTCCACCCGTATGACATCTCGAGGATCAACAAGAGCCCACTTAGCGCAGGCTGCCATGTTACAGATGCTGTGATTGGTTTCGGGCTTAGGGCGTTTCGGGATACCTGGTCTACGTTACGCGGCTCCACATATGGCTTCAGATAGGTCTGCAGACGAAGCCAACACGAAAAGGATGTCGAAGCAGACATCCTGGTTGATGAAAACTAGTGTTACAACCGCACTGCGAAGAATAAACTCAGCAAAAAACTGTAATAGTTGTATCAACTGTTCTCTACCCGGTGTTGATACGTCTCGTAAGAACAAATAGTCTAGGCAGACGTTTGGGGTTTTTTCGGGCTTTCGGCTTTGGGTTGAAGGGCTTCGCGGATCTAGAGTTTGGCCCGAAGGAATGACCGAAACACGACACCAATCGACGGACCATTTGGGCCCCGTAGTGAAGTTTGGGGGCTCAGCGCAGGATGCGTACAGGGGCTCTTTGTTCTGTTCTGCACTGCTCTGACAAAGCAATTTGAGGACTTCACCGGGTCAAAGAGCCGGGGGCCACGAGAGGCGCAAAGAGTCGGCTCCTGACGTCCAAACATTCTCGCTCCTCTCGTGGAAATTTGCCCAACTCCATACGCAAGTCTCTTTCTCACATTCGCTCCCTCAGCTTCCTTGCCTCCGCTATGTTGGAGAGGTTTCTGCGAAACTCTTTTGTAGTCCTTCACAGCAGATCGCCGGGCGCTTCTGAGCTGCACTTTGGACGCTCGAAACTACATCTTCGACCCCCCAAGCATCAGAAGCTGCACTAGGAGCAGCTACCTTTCCCCTTAGGTGCTGAACGCACGAGCCTGATGGCCGATATCAAGCCAACGCAATAGTAGAATACAATAAACCAATATGTACATATGCGTGTGTATATATATATATATATACAAATATGTTTTGGTCATGCTTGAACTCTAAGGCTTCAAGGGCCACCAGTCAGAATGAGGATCTCACAACAACCAAGTTTCGACGGTCGACGATACCCCTGCGATCCCAAAGCTCCAAAAACCCCTCACGAATCCACGTTACCAAGGCCGAGCTTAAGTGGGAAAGCTTCGAGAGGATCATGTGGATAGTTCTCTGAATTAGGGTCCCGTTTGGCGGGTGTCCCTTTTTTTGGTACGTTATGTATTATATTTTATGCTTTGATCAGTAATGACTGATGCCCGTCGACTTAGCAGGAGGCTCATGAGGCTGCTTGCAGGCGTGCCCAAAATAATATAGGAGTCCCAGAACTTTTAAAAGCGGACCGTTATTCGCCTATTATTAGCTAGAACGCTTCACTGTTGGACAAAGGGGACTGCCTCTTCGTGGCAATGAGAAACACATGGTACACCTTGGCATGCAGGATGCACCTGTCAGAAGTCAGCAAACGACCTCTAGACATGTGTGGACAAAACCTAGGCAACACGACACTTGGATCAGAGCACCCTGTAGTTCCAGGTCATGGCTAAAGACCAAGGGCCCAACCCACAGCACAAAAGAGAGGAGCGTCGCAATGCCAACAAGGGCGCCGAGCCTAAGCATCCACTGGCAATATCGTGCCAAGTTTGATAAACTTTCATCGGTTGTGCGTGCCAGGTAGCGCTATGAGAGCGTAAAAGACGGGCTGCAACGCACCGCTGCTCACGTGGATCATGCCATCCACAGCCAACTGGCACAGAAAGCACAGGAAAGTCGCATGAGTACAAGTCCGCATGTCCTTTGGGCTTTGCCCGTCTTGGTCGGGCCGCGTATCTTAACAGGGTCGAGTCTGGTCCAACCCTCTCAGGCCTCGAAGTTCTCGCTGTTGAGGAACCAGAAACTGCCAGTTTTCGTTCGGTTGTCAAACGGAAGATGCCAGCAACCAAAGCATGCACAAAGCAACACCAGGCAAGGGCACAGAACCGGCAAGACCATCATAGCCAAGCAGAGGACCTTGCAGCATATTCTGACAAGGAGTCAAAACACAAAATGAGCCGCGGCTGAGAAAAGACAGCTTTCCCAGGCGGCGGCCGAGGTGACAAAGCCGAAAAAGAAGTGGTAGTTGCGCTGCCCGACACCTCGATGACACGAGTGGCACACCCCCGACAAGGCCATGAGTCTACAGCACGGGCAAGAAACTTTCGTGTTTGGGCAAGAAGCAATTGTTGACAAAAGGACAGTGGTGGTCGTACCTGCAAAGCAGGCATCAGAGTCAGATGCTACCCGGCACTTCGCCTAGTGGGGCACCGCAAGACACAGTTGTCGCAGTCTGGACAGTGAGAGGAGCGCGGCGGTCTACAGGCAGGACAGCTACACAGCACACAGAGGTCGAACACGATTCATACTGCGACTTACTGTTATCACGATTACTTGCAGTAGGACTGCTGTTACTGCTGAGTCACTGATACTTGTGTTCAGTTACTGTTGTTGCGAGTATAACTGGTAATCTTGTGGCTACAGCCACGGCCTGATGATTCGGCACGTCCGGCACCATCTGTAGCCACGACCTGGCGAGCGGAATGATGCCCGTTTGTTCTATTTGGAAGAGGAGAAAGGAGTGTCCACGCCCAAACCAATGCAACTTCTGGAAATCAGACGGCAGGGCTTGTGAGTTCCACGGGCAGGTTCCGGCCCCCTCCCCTGGCCCAGAATGTAGTGTTTCGCCAAAAACAGGAATGCCGCGACATGTCTATTGCTGGCAATTTTTCTTGACACGTGCCTGCCATCCAGTGGAACCGTATCGCTTGCCAGCATATCCTCCAGCAGTGACAACTTGTGCCCTGGTCTCAAAGACAAAAACGAAGAGTCGGATTCATGGGCGAAGAAGCTGACTCGCCGAGTCGCAGAAAGCAACAGCACATGTGGCGTCGCAGCTATCAGCACTGGGAAAGGGTTCCTGATCTGCACATCTGAGCACCCAGCATATCCAAGCCTCTCCTGCAGCTGCTGAGCTGTCTTGGTCGCGATCACCACCTGCCACGAACGCTTAAGGCTTAAGAAGCATCCGAGTCCAGATGCTCATGATGCTTGTGGCCCTGCGCGCCTCCCGGCGAGGGATGATACCAGGATCAGAACAACATGTGGCCAGGAGAAAGCCGGTCGCCATCAGGAATACCTGCTCACGCGGGCACTTCCCCGAAAAGGGGTACTCCTTATACTCTAAAGTAGGGTTTCTTTTTATGGTCTAGTGAATGTACATAGGGCTCCATACGGATGCCAGCGCATGTGTATATATATATATATACACATTATATATGTACAAACATATTCACATATATATATATATGTATGTATACATGTAGATATGTGTCACGTGATATGGGGTGTGTCCTTTTTGGGGCACGAGTACTAAACACATAAGTACACATACACTAAGCATACTGCAACAGCCTTAATCAGGACCCCCAAGCTAGCATAAGCTACTTACCCCTAGTTTAAGGGAAAGCCCCATGCCCGTATGTTTCAGAGGCAACGGCCTCAGAAAGGGAATCCGCCACAACTCAGACGAGGTACGGCCAAGGTTGCAAGGGGCAGCGCGTAGCAGCCTTCCCGCCACAGATGCGGAAACACCTTCATTCTGATGATCTCAGGGGGGCTCTCCGACTCCAATTCAGGTCTTACTCTACAACTCTACGGAGTTCCCTCAAAAGTGCGCCAGGACTTTCTGCATCTTCTGAGAGTAGTGGGTGATCTACTCATCCTAGGACGGGACGACTCCTCAAAGTAGACCCGGACTTCGCAGCCGACTTACAACAAGATCACATGCCTGCGAAAGGAGGCATGCCATAAGAACACAATGAACGCATCTTGCGCTGCCGGAAGACCGACACCATGCCGACAACATCTCAGCCCGGGGCCCAAATAAAGTATAAGGAGCAGGGTGCCAAGATGCAGGTCCAGACCTAGGGATGAACAAAATGCCCCCAGGAAGCTTCGAGTAAGCAACTATTGATGCCGGGTTATGGAGTCCGACTTCAGCTGCGGAGGGCCCACTTGAAGTGTACGTACGGGGTTCAGTTGACTTGTCAAAGACCGGCCAGACAAGCAACAAAAAACCGGCAGCTGTCTGTCCCATGGCTGCTATTGGCATCCCCCCCAACTGACGGGCACAAAGTGCAACCTACGACGCACTCAATCCCACAAGATTGCTTTTCACCTGGCAGATTGTCGTGCACAATGCAGAATACAGAATACACAACTGGGAGGGGGGAGGAGGGGGGGCGAGCAGACAAAGGGAGAAAAGGAGTCCAAAGGAGTCCCGGAACCTGGCCATGGCTGGGAACAGGACTTGTTAGGCTGCTTGGGGAAGTAACCGAGGCAAAGCGAAGCGAAGCGAAGCCAAGGGAAGCAAAGGGGAGCAAAGCGGCGTCGCGGCCTTGGGATGTAGAGAACGAAGTAGAAAGAAAAGCACATGCCACGAAGAAGACCCAACAGCAAGTACTCCTAACTGTGCCTGTGCTCACAGCGGAGATGGAAAGGCCCCGACGCAGAGGTTTGGAACGGAACAGTTGGGAGTGATTCCCATTTCAGTCTCGCCACCTTGTCAAAAATGAAACGCGCAGGCATCGCAGCCAATCAAGCTGTGCCATCATGTCAAGCTGCGTCTGTTGATGCCAGCGCAAGGGACGGACTCAGAAGATGGGTTGTCTGTTGAGCACGTGGGAGCGGGAGAAACAAGTGCAACAAGCCTGTCATCATGGTCCCTCTGCAGAAGAACTTGTTCCGAGAAGGCCAAACCTCAGTTTCCCATCATGCCAAACACACCTGCAACACGAGTGTTTCCCGCAAGGATGCGGCGTTGTAGAGCCTTTTCTTTGGGCGCTCTGCCTTCGAAAGGCTTTCATCCCGGAGCATCCCGGCTCAGACAGCTTCTGCCCCCGAAAAACCCTCCCTGACGCCTGCTTGCTGGGATGCGATGGTGATTTGTCCTCCCCGTTCGCTCCTGCAACCGCAAGCACATGCACGCGCATGCACGCGCTGCATCTACTCCCAGACTTCCAGGCATCCACTTTGCCAGCCCACCTGTCAGCGGCTGCATCTCCAAATCTTGGGGGTCTCGTTCACCTGTCGCGAAGCTTGCAGGTCGGAGAGTTTAGGGTTGTGCAGAGAGATGGAATGAGGTTTTATTTTGTTTGTCCTGCGGCTTAAGCCGCACAAGCTCCAGGAGCACCTTTGCCGAGAACCGACGGAGCAGCGTTGGATGGAGCAGACGGAGTCATCGAAGACGAGCCTCCTTGTAGTCTGCAGGGAGAACTGAGGCACTGACATGAACACGTTCGACAAAGACTCGAATGAAAATGACAAGACAAGGGCACACCATGGGGGTCTCACAGTCTTCTGCGTGTGGGGGAAGGGGGGGGGGAGGAGGTTCGGCACGTGATTCAAGATGGTAGCCACAGGATTCTTTCGTTTGAGGTTCGGTTCCGGGGAGGGGAGTACCGGGCCATCCCTGGTAGAATAGAACCCTAGAGGAGACGATAAGCCGCTAAGCCTCAACAACCACCATGAGAGCTCTGCACGCAGGGACAGCATCGGGAACCCCCCAACATGGACCCTACTTTGAGAATTGAGAATTGCCCATCTGGTGTTCCAGAAGTCTTGGGCACCACCGTTCTGGTGGATCAAGCTGAAGCTCATGATCCCGAATTGTCACGTTTGGGATCTCAAAGCCCTGAAACCACAAACCCTCCTACGAGTGTCTAACGAGAAAAAGTGCTAACGACATGCAAGGAGATGCTTGTAGACGTCACCGGAGGACAAGAAGGAGATACGCAGGAGACTGTGAAATTTTCATGCATGCTCATGTTCGGGAAATCGAAACCAGCAGGGGGCCGCATGCAATAGGAGCGGTTCGGCACAGACAAACTGGACATTTCCCGAGATAGTCGTCCCTCCATCTACCCCAAATACCAGTGCACATGCGACAATCCTCATGAAGAAGGTAGTTACCCCCCCATCAAGAAGAATAACGAGGAGATTGCTGTCATGTCCTACTCTCAACATCTCCAAACAATTCCATCTCCTTGTCTTGGGCTGAAATTGAACCTCGAGCTGCCTCGATGGAACAAACACGAAAACACTGAAACACCGCTGCAATGCTGCAATCGAGCACCGGACTACGATCGTCCCTGAAGGAAAACGCATCCTCACTGTCCTGCGATGCGAGGCATTAGGAATGACAGGCATTCATGCCCCACACTTTGCCATCTGCACGCTGTAATGACGACATGACACAACAAGTACCACGACCACGACAAGTCACAGCTGTCCGCATCATTTGTGCTGAGTTGGTTTGCCGCCATGCGGATTTGCACACCATGTGCAACACAAACACCAACGCCGACTTCAACATATCAAGCATGAACATACAAACAAGCATAGTCGTTGCAGCTGCTGGGCGGACCGACTCCAGGATTTCAACGTGAAAATAGACAGAAGCCCGGGACTTGGATCGAATGTACTCTGCTCTTACAGTACGACGACACGTCATGAAGCGGTCAAGACATTCATGAGCCAAACTTCGGACAAAAGGATCTCGCAATGTTCCATCGGTCTCAAGACGCCGGGCAGCGGCCCCTGATACACGCAAGCCTGCCGCATTTCTGCTTTTTGGAGCCTTGTCGGCTTGGCCGGGCGTTTGCCTGGCAGCGCTGCCAGTACCCAGTCTAAGACTCAGAGCCCCTTCCGCCTTGGAGGTTCTACGAAGTGCCTTGATGTCTTCCCTCGAAATAGAAATGGTCCGACATACCTCTGGAACCTCCTCCGGCCGGTCAAGTCTCAGCTAAAGCATCCCTTCAACAGGTTCTGTCAGCAACATCAGGCTGTGCTCCTTCCACCCATGCGGGTGTATCTGGCTTTGCCAGCGATGAAAATCGAAAGAGGGAGTCCAGTCAAGATTCTGCATGCGTGACAGCCGGCTGAAAAGAGGGGCGCATGTGCTTCGCACGAGGCCCCAGCAACTTGGTGCGAAAAACTTATGGCCAAAGTGCAGGCTCTTACTAATGTGCTCTCCAGCAGCGTGCTCCTTAAGTCAGAAGCCACTGCGACAAACCGCTTCATCGGACTCCTGCGGGTGTACCTCAGCACTAGTGCTGGCGCACGAGACCTGGGTCTCTACTGAGTACGGGGTTGAGGAACCCGTGAGTGGGCCATTCCCATCCCAACCAATGACGAAACGGAGAAGCGCCCAAGATAATTCTGCACCCAGTCTACGTCATTACTTGGTGACCATCCAGCTCTGAACGCTTTACTGTATTCTGCTTCTCGCCTAATTCGCCTCGGCTTCCTGCCGCGAAGCGTCTGGTGCAAGCAACCTTGATTGGGCCTCCTTTCACCCCAACTCAACCCTTCCCCCCAAAAATTTTGTGGCGGACCCCCCGCCCTGTGGGACCCCCCCATCGCTTGGAGGAGCTGCAAACCGAGTCGGCGGCAGAGGGAATGCACGAAAAGGCACCCCCCACCCCGGCCCCCCACCCCATCCCCCACCCCCCCAACCCAACCCCCCCCGACCCCCCACCCCCCCCAACCCCCCCCCAACCCCCCCCCAACCCCCCACCCCCTCCGCCTGGACCTCAAACACCCTTAACCGTTTAACCTCCCTACGACCCCCGGACCTGGACCCTGCCTCCCCGCGCCTGGCAGAAACCCTCTTTCCTCCTTTCCTGTCCTGGGGCCGGCCGGCTGCCGAGGCGGCGCGCGCAAGCGGTTGCAATTACACACGGTCGCCACATGGCTGCAAAGCCTTAATTATCATACACGTCCAGCCTGTCCAACCTTGCACAACCTTGCACATCTAAACTCCAACATACACAAGCTCAGACATGGAAACCCCCCGCCTCAGATCATGGTCACCGGAGTATACGCACGAAAGGTGCGCTCCGCAAACTGGCCGAGGGCTTTCCACTGCCGCAGAAAAATTATAGGGACTGAAGCGTGCATGTCTTGTTCTGGGCGCAGGTAGTGACGGCAGAGCTACTGATCCACGGCAAGTCATGCGGAGGCTGTTTGAGGCTGCCATAGTTTCCATAGTGTCACGTCTTACCCCGCATCCTCGCGCTAATTACAGAGCCGGGGGCCTGGGAGTTTCGTGATTAACCTGATCTACACTCCCGTTTCGGCTCTTGAAACGTGTGCACGCCCGAACTTGATGGCGAATATTCCACTCCAACGCGACAACATCATCATGGCAGCCATTCTGCATGAGCCCGCCCCACCCACCTCAATGGCCGCTTCTGCAGCCAATCCCGAAGCTACGAAGGTGTATGTCGAATCCTGCAACGTTGAAAGTATAGAGCAGCAAAGCTGTTAATTCTCGAAGGCTGGCTTTCAGCTCAACACGATCCTTCTCACCAATCTCGTAAGTCGACATGAGCGTGCACCTCGCTCTGCCACTGGACGTGCGAGCCACAAGAAAGCAACAGTCCGATGCGATCTGCGATCGACTGACTTGTACATGCCTGGTCGTGTTGCTGCCAGGGATGCCTCGAGGGCGGCCGGACCACGAGACCCAGAATATAAGTGCAACATGGCGCAAGCAGACTCACTGCACCGCACCATGTAGAGTAGCTATGAGTAGCCCTTGGGTGCCTTCGAAGCGGAAGGCTCTGCACACGACGCTGCGCTGGCACTCTCTGCAACAGTGGTCTGGCGTGGAGACCTGTGTGAGAAGGCAATAACAGGCTGTTGCTCGAGGCTGCTTCATGTAGCTGAAAGATGGTCTGCAGTGTGCAGTATTCATTACACCGGAGCTTCGAGAACTTCACCAAAAGGTGCCCCTCATTTCCAAAAGTCCGGAATCCCCATCACGCGGCAGAGCGGCTTTCTTGTCGATGACCCTTCCCGAGCCACCTTTGATGTGTACTCTTGCTTCGGGTCGATGAGACAGTACTAACACATTGTATCTTTGCCACACCTTGTGTGGGTACGTGTTGGTACGTGTTGGTACGTGTTGGTGTGTGTGTGTGTGGATATCCTCCTGAGTCCTCTACCGAGTGGATTGTAGCTGACGCCGCTGGCCTCAAGGCCGCACCTGGGCGAGGTTCTACTGAGCACGGAGCAACCGAACTCCACTCCGCAGTCTCAGCCAGAAATGCGGCCAGCGACCAGAAGTGGATCCAATCATCTTTTGGAAACCCCGTGCGGAGCCTCGGAACCCGATTGCCACGCGAATCATCAACATGCCTCTTTCTATGACTTTGTGTCTCTTCACAGACACGAAGACACGACGCACCTTTTGCATTCGAAACCTGTCGAGCCATTGGGCAAACATGGCGAGGCCGGCATCACAGCCAAGCGGCCCTGCAAGGATGGCCTCGGTGTAGGGCATCTCCTTCGAAAGAGGACTTCGAAATGCTTTCACAGATGCTTTCACTATGCCCATCTCTACATCTCGGCGATTCCCCTTGCATTCTTGCGTTCATGGTTCTCTTCTTTTCTTTGTGCACCCCGTCCTGAGCAAAAGTCATGGGCTGCAGGTAGCCTGTGCATGGACGACAGACGCATCCGCATCAGTGAGATCCGAAGCATGCTAGGATGGGCGACCGGCAAGTTCTGTTTAAAACCTTACATGCAGGTACCTTTGGTCTGCATGGCTGCCTCCAGTGTGAACCTCGAAGACAGTGGCCAATGCATGATGATCACTGCCCCCAGTTCCAAGATCTTCTCTTGCGACCACGCTGGACCTCATGAGTTCTGGCGTCTCTACACTTCAACAGCTAACCTAGTCCTACACATAGCCGGGCATAGCTGCCTACTGTACATCGCAAGATGTGATGCAGGCGTTCCTCAGTTACTATGGCAGCCTATAGAACTTAACTGAAGCACCTCGATGGCCAACAAGGGGCGCCGCCACGGCTCGGGTAAATGCTCGACCGACACCACCATGACACAAAGGGTTGGGTTGTGGGTTGTGTCCCCACACCACACCTGGCCAGCAGGCCTCAACATTTCCCCAGGTTACCCCGCCTCACCCGGCTAAGTCAGTGCGACTTGGGTCAGTACAGTCTGTACAGTCTTGGTTGGCTCTGGCTCCGAATCGGGGTATGTCGCACTGCCCAAGATTAGGGGTGTCGCAGCAACCCCCGGTACATGTAGCAACCCCACCCCACCCCACCCCACCCCACCCCACCCCACCCCACCACACCCCTCCGCCGCTCCACCCCTCCACCCCTCCACCCCGCACTCCACCCACCCCACCCCCACCCCCCCCCCCCAGCGCATGCTCTGCAAGCCAGTAATTACAGGGCAGAAATTTGGATTGCGCATGATGAGAAGTCTTGTCTGAAGTCTGTTGTCACATAATATTGAAGCCGCAGACTGAAAATAGAATCCAGGCGACGGGGCCAAGTTCGAGAAGATGTTGTCAATGCCTGCGAAGATTCTGCCTGTGAGAGGCGGTGTGTGCCATGGCCGGCTTCGAACATGCATGAAACCCTTGCTGATGACATAGAGTGATAGAGAGCAGGGCCGGAAGGAATCCAAAGGCAGCCAAGACAGAGAGAGGCCTGCTAGGGCATGGGTGAGGCTTTTCCGCAGCTCCTCAGGGTGTTTCCACCACTCAGCGACGAGTCTCTTGCTTTGTGCCGGTCCTGAATCGTGCTCGAGGCGGGGTTCGCATTGAAGTCGCCAGCCAAGATGACAATGTCACCTTGCTCTCTTCGCACGAGCTCTCACAGGCTAAGCCCCCCCCCCAGAACCTCGCCGAAACAAATCCAGAAGCACGAAACGGTCGACTGAGTCGGCAGCCGAACTCGCTCTTCTCCCGGATGACCCTGCGCAACTCAATCACTCGAAAACCATCTGATGTCCAACAGAAGGTCGCAAATCGTCAAATATCGTCAAACTTAACTTGCCCGAGTTGCTTCAAGATGTTTCTGGCCGTGCGGAACCCGCCACAGTCGCCCCCCGAGTTGATAGCAAGAGGACCGTGAAAGTTCGCAAAAAATACCTGGAGGAGTCACTACCCCAAGAAAACTCATCAGGAAACACTTGAAGACTGAAACGCGGCCGTGCTGCACGGAGGCCACTTGCTCTGTGCCACACGCGCGCCCACATGACGCCACGGGGCCCAAAGTCGTTCCAGTAAGTGTCCGCAGCCTTTGTTGGGGGCTGCCGAGGGCAATTGTCACGCACTTGCAATCAGCGCGCGAAGCACGAAGCATACGGGAACATCATCTATGCCTAACAGGATTCGGGTACTGCTGCAGGTACGATTGCACTGCATGAGGTTGGCGTCTTTGTTGATGGGAAAGTCACATGCACTCCCATTCACTACTTGTGAACACTTCTTTTTCAGCAACTCGGCTTTGAAAACCCAATGCAAATCGCTTGGCGTTTCTCATTGCTACTAGTATCAGAGTCATCTCACACACAGACCCACACACACACACACACCCGCGCGCTGACAGACTGACTGCTTGCCTGGCCGATTTACTGACTGACGCCGAGCAAACACAAACATTACTAGTAGGGTCAATAAAGAGGGAGCTGGAGGCGAAATCAGGCTCATGGGATGATAGAACTATCAGACGGAGATCATTTTAAGTCATCCTACAACCCAAGCCTCGCAACAAGCTGGGGTGGCCGTCATCTTTGATGTAGTTGGAAAGGAGATATTTTTAGGGGAAGGGGCCGCTTGTGGAGCATTGCCTGCCAGGCCACAACATCCTCCTCACCTTCCTGCAGCCAAACCCATGCATCCTCGCCAGCGACACCAGTGGCCACAGAACACAATGTCGAGAGATGAAGTTGTGCTTGAGTGCAAACGCCGATCGTGGTTGTACATGTTGCTGGGCATCCACAGATCAAAGACAAATGGGCTGTTCCCACGCAAGTGTTGAGAGGACTTGGGGGGCTACTCTGCTACGCTCTTCACAGCAGCAGCGCCTTGTTGAGAGCGATGCATTTCTCGTACTTTCCGCCAAAGGTATGGAAGCCTTAGCATAGCTACACTTTCGGGGACTCTCCAGACATGCTTTCAACTTGGTGAGGCCACCTGTCCGACTCAACCTCACCTCGAGCTCTGCCATCCTAACGTCGGGCCTGCTCGAGACGGTGAGTCGGGAAACCAATTTTGGTGAGACACATCAAGACTGATATGTTTTACACGTCTCAAGATGTATCCTGATCTTTACATGAAGCTGCTTGAAGAAGAGACTTTTGGCACACTTTGTTTTGCCATGCCCCCCCCCCCCACCGGTGCGGAGAATCTGCTGCCGATGGACTGCGCAAGAGACCGGCGTCGTGCAGCACCCGGTCCTTGTCCCCTTGGCGGCATTCTCACTATTGTTATTCTTCTTCTTCTTCTTATTCTTACTTCTTATTCCTATTATTATTAGCATAACTGCTACTGCTATTCCTAATGAATATTATTACTACTATTCTGATTATGATTATGGTCACAGTCATTGTCGCTAGGACTGTTGCGATTAGATTGCTCATGCCTGTGAGCATCATCATTCTTGTGATACTCAGGATCGCAATCATACTCATTCTTGTTATCCGTCATGAAGCTTGTCTTGCCTCAGAGCAAACCAAGGAGCGGCACTCCTGAAATGCAATCAAGTCTATGGGCTCTCGCCTTGGCTTCTCGCTGGCCACAGGCACTCTACACACTGGCACAAAAAGTTCCTGGAACACTCTGGCTTGGCCAACTCTACGCTGAAGTGCACAATCCCTGTTCGAAGCTGAAAGCGTTCGTCTCCAAACATAGCTCTGTGCTCGTCGCATGCAGGAGAGAGCAAGAAGCATGTTCACTTTGTCAATCACACGCGTCGAACAAGCTCAAGACATACCAGACAAAGCCGATGCTCTTCCCGTGTTTCCGATTACGGGTGACTGCCGAGGCACACCATTGATGTCGCAATGACCCCTCCAGCTGTTCCATTGTTTCCATGATGAACGCCGAAGAGGCTCCACCAGAAGATGTTGTAAGTGACGACCTCAGGGGGTCCCTACGACGGAGTCCAGTCCGAACATCTCTCGATCTCTCCCCACCCAGTCTCTATCTAGCACATGGCATTCATCGTATCCACTAGGCGCGCCTTTATCCGCACGGTCTGTGGAACAGGCATCACTTCGTTATCGTTCTGGAACGGATGTCTGCTCCAAGTCACAGACCTGGTAAAATGCAAAAGGGGCTTCGGCAAGCTGTCAGGACATATAAGGACTTGCTGATCCTGACATTTTCTGCAGAAACCGGTGCCCGTCCTGGGTCGGTCGACTTCGCAACAGCAGTGGTAGCCCAGAGAACCATCAGCAGTTGCGACACCGCTCGCGTTAGCCTTGCATGTCTCCAACAATATGGAGGAGACGGCTTTGTTGAGTCATGACGTTCGATCACTTCTTAACACATGGCTGGGCCCCACTTAAACCTCCGTACATACAGTGCACAGCATTTCAGCTTCGCTGGCACCAGGACAGTTGCATCGTCTCGATTGCCGGCCTTCACGTCGGCGCCGAAGGAGGGGCAGGACCAGGTCTTGCTGAAATTGCAAGGAAAGTCTTGAGGCAGCAGCTTGCCTCAGGACCCAAGAGTTCCAACACGCTTCCCTACCAAGGCCAGGACTTCTGCACTTGCTATTCGCCAGGGAAGCCAGACAAGACAAGGCAGGCGGTAGATCAAGATTATGGAAACGGTGAAGAAATGTCTCGCAAACGAGAAGCAAACGAGCATAACGAGTGCAGCCACGAGTGCCACTCTCGCTGCCACTCTTGCAGAGGCCTAAGCGTGGCCGTATCGATGGCTCCGCGATGGGCAGTGCCTCCAACTCAGAGGCAGAGATGTCTTGTGCAATGTCTTTTGCATGGCACTCATTGGTGTCCATTGGTGCCCTTTGCTTTGTTACTTTGTTGATGTTTACCGCGTCATGCCCTACCCTGGCCTCCATGTTGTCCTGCGGGGCACTCTTTGAGCAGAGGCCTTTGGCGGATGCCTGGTAGTGAGCGAAGTCCGCTACCTGCCCGAACTTGTAGAGACTCTCCTCAGCATTCTAGAAATCTCGAAGCAGTGAGGCGATCGCACTCAAAATATGGTGACTGATGGAAGGGTTGGCAGAGGTTTTTTGCGGCGCACCATGCGACGTTGTACGCTGAAAGTAGACGCGCTACATTGCTACATTGCTACATTGCTACCAACTGGCGAATGCAGGGGGTCGACTCCGCTCCCTTCGCAGATGCACACCGACGCCAATGAAAACTGAAAGACCTGAGATTGTCAGAGAGTCAGAGCTATGTAAGGAGCCCAACAGATCCAGAGTCAATTCTTGCCTGTGCAGCCAAGTCGCTCAGAAGCAAGGATGCCTGGGAAAATCTGGGCAAGATACGGCTTAAGAAGCCACAAAGTGGCTTAGGGTTGAAGCCCGTAAGGTGCTGGCGATTGCTGCTGACTTGTATGTCCAGCATGCAGCAACCTCGAGCTTACGCAGTGGCGGCAGAGGACGCTTGGGGGAGCCCAAGGCGCCCGGCAGCCGGGTGCGGAATCCGCACGCTTTTACTGAACGCAGGCTCGGCAAGCAACTGGGTTTCCTTCAGCACATCAAGGAGATGTATGCACTTCGCCCCAAGCGATTCTTCACTTCGTCCTCGTGTAGAGCCATGGTTCGGCTGAGGCTTTCGAGCCCCATCGCAGATACCTTGAACGCGCGACAGCTTCGAAGGATCTCCATCGTCTGTGGGCAAGCGGGAGCCTCTGCTGGAGCAGCCCAGCGGCCAAGGTGGCAAGGAATCAAAGGCTGGCAGCTTAGGGCTTAGGGCCCTTAGGGCTTAGGACTTGGGATGTTTTGGGTCTGGCAAGGTTTGGGGATTCAGGTTTCGGTCATAAACCTACGTAGCGGCCCCCATGTTAGGTGAAGAATGAGGGCACCGTTTAGGGGTTGAGCTGATGTCTAGAACTTTTAACTCTCTGGGCTCGGAATTTACCCGCATGCGGATGAAAGCAGTCTCCATGAGCTAGAGCCCACACTGGCAGCAGGAACCGTTCTCGCGTCGCGAATCCAGACTCTGCACCCGTGTCGGCGCGAAGACGCAACATTGCGCTTGAACGAAGGCAGCACGTCTGCACGAGCTGTTTACTGGCCTGTCGGAAACCTCGACCTACCTGCGCTCACCGTGCATTTCCACCAGCCACATGGTTCGAAAGAACACGACATCGAACCCCAACGAATGCTTTTTAGCCTGATATAACGTGCATTGCTACAGTGAGGGCATAGTGTCGAAGGCATCACCGTACCCGTACTAGCGGGGAAACGTGGGGAACGAAGAGGATGTTTCAAGAATTTGCGAGCCCGCGCATGCAATGAAGCTTCGATATTTGCGGCATCCGTTGAAGACCACGGACACTACTCGAAACTTCTCGAAACATTGATACGGGCAGTGTTTTCGAGGGGTCACCTGCGCAAATCGCTGGAAGTACCGACGACATCGACCCACTCGGCAGAGAGCTTGAGCAGAAGAGAGCAACATGAAACGGTACACCTTCAAATGCTAAGGCTTACCGACTATACATACTGACCCAAGCACTCCCCAAATGAGAAATAAATTAAACATGAACGCCCCAATTGCATGCTTACGGGGACTGGTCGTTCTTGTGGTCGTCGCTTGTGGCCATTAGACACGGAGATTTCATGCTTGATGTAGCCAGTTGACTCAGCTGACACGCTGAACACCCTAGCATGAACAGTGTGCCGAAGTATGTGCGTGCTTGCGGATTGCAGTATGGCGCTTGCAAAACAGTAACATTCGTGAACTTCGTGAACTGCACTACCCGGACGAGGTTGACATGTCTGCTCTGCTACGAGTGCTGGCGGGCAAGGAGGCTTAGCAAGCCTTTTCGATAGCACCAGCCACTCAGACAGTCGCTAACGCGTCTTAGTTGAGTCGCTTCTAGCTATTCTAGCTATCCGGCTACCCAGTCTGACGGGAATGAGGCTTTCTAAGCTGCAGACACACACTTGTTGGACTGAGAGGAATCTGAGAAACACCTGCTTCCTGAGGCTCAGCAGCCGCTTGAACGTAGACGTACACAGCATTCGAACCTGCTTTCCTAGGTACAACTCCCCAACCTCACTACATGGGCATCCTGAGTTGTCTTCGCCTTTCGGCGGGTGCCTTCGGCGCTATTCACCTAAGGTCGCCAGCGCCTAGGCAAAGAGTGAAACGGAAAATGCAAAAGCCAGGCAATTTGCCCAAAACCTGCAAGTTCCTCAAGGCTCCGAAGGAGTCGAGATCCTCACCTGGGCAAAGCAGCACTCGGTATTCCAAACTCATGTCCCACGACTGCAGGTGAGGCACATTGTCTGGTGCTCTGACCCCAAGAACCACAGAAGACGTTTGAACCTGAATCAAAGCTGTTGCTCCAACGATCTCACGACTGGTTCGGTATTGGAAACCTACTGAGGGCAGAACTCTGGCATCTTCTCATACTCAGTAGTTGCCTCTGTCTTTTGCGGCCTGGCCGAGTGGGCACACTCCGCAGCCGCAAGCAACTGAAGCAAACGAGTCTGTTGAAGGCACACGGCTCAAATCGGCTCAAATCGGCTCAACATCTGCGTGCAACTCGCAGCCTTCGCTTCTTGGCATCAGGTTTTGTGGCCCGGCTGGCTTGAACTTCCTGACAAGGCCACAACACTTCAAGTGGAGCACAGGCCCTTCGTTGCCAAGGTCCTCTTTGTCGTACTGCATCCATGTTGGAAACCTCATCAAGCGCCCGGTGAGTCGGATCCTTATCTCGAAAGGCCAGGTTGCACGAAACCAATACAAAGCCACTACGCTTTTCACTTTGGGACTCCCGGCTGCTTCTCCACCTCGGTCCTGCGCTTGATGGGGTCGTAGGCTGAAGAGTGCTGGACCCTGGGCCACACTCTTTGCACTTCTCCACGGCCGACGGGCAGTGCTATGTGAAGCTGTAAGGTGCGCACCGACAGTCAAACCAGCGCTTCACTTGCTTCAAGAAGTGCAGCTTCTGGCAACGCATCGCTGTCGAGCGAAAACCCAATTTAGCTGGACAGCCCTTCAAGAGGCGGCAAACTCATCCGACATCCACTATAGTTCTCACATCAAGCGCGGTATCTTCCTTCCTTCCTTCCCTCCCTCCCTCCCTTCCTTCCTTTTAGCACACACTCCTTCCAAAAGCAAAACACGCTGTGACACACCAGCCCCCGGCAATCCAGCCGGCGCGCACATCCTCGATGGACGCTTCTGCAGTGTTCTCAATGGACATGCCGATGCGATCCCGGCGCAGATCCTGATAGGAAAACGATGCACATTTGGCATAAGTTGGGCCCACTGTGGCCCACACACGCTTCCCGTCCCGCATTGAAGAATATCACATGACACTTTCCAGCTGTGCCTTCACTTTGTCCATATTTACCTCAAGCCGCCAGTCATGCCAGTCGAAGAGAGACAAGCAGAAACCTTCTGCAAAGGTGTCATTGCCCAGTCAGATATGATGTTCCATTATACTACTGCGTTCATAGGTGAGTAGAGCTGCTGCGTCGTCTCGAGTGTACGGGCAAACTCCCAAATAAGATCCAGTGCTTCCATCCAAGTGCTTGCAGGTAGGAACCTCCAACCTCTACAAAAAAGGCAAGAGGTTGACGTGGCCTTGGGCCGTGGCCTCGTTCCAGTGCTTCTCCAGCACTCGGTGATTGTGGGCCAAAGCCTTAGCGACGTCTTGCTCTCGTGAAGCCTGCAACAAAAGTCGACTCCTCCGCTTCGTGTGCTTAGAGGCAGATATTGGGCGGATTCATCTTACATAATGTACCCTTTCTGCTACCCTCAACGATGAAAGGCAGAACGCATCCGCATCGACACTCTAAACTATAAACTATAAACATCTATGAACCGTAAACCCTTGGTACCAGAAAATTAGAAGACACATGCATTCATCCGCCTAAGGCCACCGCTCGCATGTAGGCAACGTTCCAATCTACCTTTCCAGGGTTTAGAGGTCCGGGTCTGGGGGCTCTGATGCTCTCTGTCTTTTCCTCTCGCTTGGTGGCCTGGTGCCATCGGACCTTCTTTGGATAGATGACATCCATCATCGTCAGGATGATGATTGGAAAGCCCGCCTCAAAACAGCCCATGACGTGCCCAATTCCGCACATCTCCAAGGCCCCTGAGACCCGGGCCGTGAGGTCACGCGGGTTCACGATGTCAAGCTTGAAGTACATATTCACCCAAGTCAACGTCATGTCCTGATGAAAGGCCGGGAGGAGGGAAGCCCCAAACATTTTTCCCAAGACGCACCTGAATGACCTCCGCTGTCTCGATCTTCAGCTGTCTCCGTTCTTGAGCCTCCGCAACTGGGGCTCTCATCTGTTGACGAAAGGGGTCAGGGGAGGAAAACAGAGGGAGCAGACCACGTGCACCTTGCCCCGGCAAAACATGACACGTATGCTATCATACTAGCGAGGACTGCCCGCGTATTTCAATGGCATCCACCTCCCTCGAGCCTTCCCCCGCAATCTCTCGACCCAACTCTCTCTCCTTTAAGATGAGCTCTCCAAAGTGCGAAACACGGGGCGCCAAGAAATCAAAGCATCAAAAGACATATCGCTCAGGTACCAACACGATGGATGTTCCAACAAACAGCCACTTCTGCTACCATGGCAACGGGCTTGAAGGGGATGAGACGGTTACTTGCACCAAAGATGCTTTCGCAAGTACACGTGTAGACGTAAGCTGGAAGCAACATCTTGGGATGCCGACGTGTGCGACTGCATGACGCGGGCACAGTAAAAAGGTGATGCCTGCTGGATGGAGCGGCGCCGCTCTTCTTTGACTTCCGCAGGCTGGCCAAGCAGTGCCATTGAGCATGCAGCACATTGCAGCACATTGCAGCACACTGCAGCACATTGCAGCATGAGATGCTCTGCCAAATCTCGACGAATCTCGCAAGTGGAGGCCTTGAACTGGTTGGAGAACCTTCGTCGAGCATCGCACGTGCAGACCGAGACTCCCTACGATGCCTCCACGTGCCTCCTCTAAGATGCCTTAAATTCAGGGCTTCTGATTCTCTTGCGATTTTTTCCTGAGCTTTTTGCCAATTTCTCACTCCTGTAGCTTTTTCCGGCTGTCTCTGCAGAAGAGGGGCTCACACTGCGCCCGGAAGCGCACGATGGGCGGCTTCGGCGGCCAACTGCGCATGGGAGTGGGGCTTGTCACTTTTTAATACAGAGACCTGCTCTACATTTCTGTTTCTAGTGCATCTACATGCATACTTCGAGTTATACTTACTCCATATTCATATATACCTATTCGTTTATATGTATGTGTATATATTGTATGTTCCAGGGATCTAGGAGGAAAAGATGCTTGGAGCGCGCCATCGTCCTTGCAAAGTCGAGGCCCTGTTTTGCGCGCGAGCTGCAGGGCTTCATAATCCCCTTTCTGCTGCATCTTTCTGCACCAGGGCACGTTGGTCACGATGGCTGGCGCATGGAATAAACGAGATAGTCTTATAAAGGTTCCGAAAACAATTCACAGCCTTCGCTCTCTCTCCTTGAAATTGCAGACCTCTGCCAAGAAGCACACAGCTAAGGCGAGCTGCATATGTCCACGTGCCCTTTTACTCTATGCTTTTCTTGAATGCTTGCCAAAAAACTGGCCTGATGCGAGAATGGCGGACATCAACCTTGGACAGCGTTGGCCTCTGCTGCCGAAATCTTTCGATCTAGCGTCGGGCTAGATGCGGTCTCTCGTGCGAAGATCATATGGAATCACATGATAATGTGAAATAGCGATGCTGGCAGTAAGAACTGTCTCGCCCATCTGCCACACAGGCAGGCCGGAGAAATCACATATTCGGCAGAAGCAATTCAAACATGATCGGCAGGAAGCGTGAACTTCGATTACCGCGACTCGCACTAGTGGCCGTGCTGTGCGCTCAGCTTCCATTTTGCGTGAGCTTGTCTCTCAGAATAGGAGGTGCCGCCTGACAGCATGTGGGTGCATTCATATTGCAATGTGCGCATCTTTGACTCTTTGACATCACCAGACTTGGAATGGATATGGAAGACCCCACCAGCCTTCGGCTTTGGCCTGGCAGGATCTTCACAGCATCCAACATGCGACAAGTGTCTCGCACCCCTCTCGTCCAACGTACGCCAGGGACTCTTCGTAGCTGGCATCGCTTTGGTTGCAGCCTACAGCGGTGATTTATTGTTTTTTGAAGCACTCCGCAACGATGGCAAGCAAGGGACCGAGAGGCAGGCCTTACTGGACGCAGCCTGAAGGCTTTCAGGTGGAGCCTGCACACCGGGACAGAACGCAGGCTGCATGGACCAAGACACGAAATCCGATGTTGGCGATTTCATGTGCCAACACTACTACTGGCAACACCAAAATCTAAATTCCCACCTTCCTCTGCACGGGGGGAGAATTCCCATTGTTCGCTGCAACACCGTTGCTAGGTTGAGGCGGGCCTGACAGGTAGCTTGGCGAGCGCGGCGAATGCATCTGATGTCAGAGCCGCTCTAGGCACGCAGCCTTCCACGGGCTCCATCAGCTTCTTCGCATGCACAGCCTCGACAGATGACGGGGTGATGGGTGACGACGGTGTACGTTGGACCGGGTGACCCGCCTGCATGAGCTTCTCCATGAGCTCTTGGCTTGGTTCCGGCTTCGACCGGGCTTTGGACCTCTACGGATGGTTTCCGAAAATACAGGATACCCTTTTTTCAGGTTCCTTCAAAGGGATTATATAGAATTTTGGGGGATTTAAGGGGTTACCCCTATTTTCGGAACTCCCCATATTGAAGCTTGAAAGAAAGCCAGGGGATCTGACAAGTGCCAGGTCGGCCTCGTGGAGGTAGGCGCACTCTTCTCGGCAGGGAGCCCCCTTGTCTGCACGTCATTGCAAGTGCACAATGCGGCAGCTAAGTGGTGGGAGTAGGGGCGTGCGTGCATGTGTGGGGGATGTGCAGAACGCCAAACAGTGCGACCGAGACTGTGTTTGAAGGGGCCGACGTGTTTGACCCAAACCCCTAGACGCAGCTACAGACAAGAAAATTCCAAATCGACACTGACCACACCTCAAAGCCGGGAAATCAGCGAACACGAATCGCAAGAAGACGTGCTGATAGACACTGTAGACAGCAAAACCCGAAATGACAACAAGCACAGATCGAAGTAGATGCAGCTCGAAACAAACACGCCTCAAAAGCGAAATCCTTCAGAGCAGGTCGAACGAAGCCAGGGGCAGCGAAGGCGGCCAAAGGTCCCCCCAAGTCCTGCTTGGCCTTAATCCGAGCACCCGATTAATTAATACCCCCACATTTAAAGATTCTTTTGTCCGGAAGCCCGCCGGAAGACTACTTTCCATTAGGGGGGATTTCGTATGGGGAAAACCCCTCACATCTAAAGAAATTGTTTTGAGAGGGGGTCCAAAAAATCTGTCGGCAGGCTTCTTGTTTTGCTTGCGGAGATGCGAAGCTACAGCACCTCAGGGATCTGCAGCCTATTGTTTTTAATGGAGAATCAATGCAGGGCCATGGTCCAATAAGATTATATGCGGAACCCTGCCTTCCTTATTGCGGTGGGGCGGGGGGGGGGGGCCCCCCCCAATTTAAACAGGTGCTCGGATTAACCCAAGAAGGCTGTAAAATTCGCGCGAGCCCCCAGGTTCTACCGTAACTGTCGTGCTCAGCGAACACGAAACCCCCAAGTAGAGCAAAAACCAAAACGCGACGCGACTAACACCCGTCGCTGCATTGCGGGTTTGAAGTTTATAGCTGTCTCCAGACTGCACGTCGTCAGCTCCACTCTTTGGTCTGCTCCCAAATAGGTTGCAGTCTGTCTGTCCGACCCAAAGCCGGCCTAGTTCACTGATTTAAGGCAACCATCATTTCACCAAAAAGCAAGATACTGGCCTGCAGCTGGCCTCTGAAATCAAGTATGAGCTTGGCAGCTTTGCTTTCAGGAGTCCCTGCTTACCAGTTCTAGCTACTGCTTCAGCATGCCTATCTCGAAGCCTCTCCAACCCATTCTGGCAACACCTCGTGGACTTGCGATCTGTAAGCTCCATGCGCAGGCACATCCGAGGCATGCGAGCTCTGCCTGAGTGCTGAATGCCCTCTCGGCAGCTCTTGCCTCTTGGCATTCTGACGCAAAGTCGGCACTGTGCCCCAGACTCCAGCATGCCAGGTCTGGCAATCCTGGCGACATGCGGCGACTCTGCTGCGCCCGGCAAACAGGCAAACAGCAGCAACCACGGCAGGTTTGCGTGGGTTGAGGCACAGCCTGACATGGGTCCCAAGGGTCCAACGACGCAACGGGTAGCCAGATCGCAACGGAGGCCTTCTTCGTAGCACTGGCCCGCGGTACTGGAGACGGCGGCTTCTTAGCCGATGCAAGGCTTCGCAAGAGGCTTCGCATGATGCTACATATTATGAAGCTGCACATGAAGCTGCAATATGAGAACATGGACTCCTGCTCTTGTATAACCTCAGCGCCAAACATCCAGGAAGCTTGAGGCGCGCCTGAGCAAGTCACACAATCTGTGTTGGCCTCCTAGCCCAACCTCGTAGGGCCCACTCCGCTTGGAGATTCCACGTTTGAGGCTCCAACCTCGAGGCTGCCTCCAGCCAGGGATCCTCCCTTGGCGCTCTGAGCGGACCCAGCCCGCCCCCAAACCCTGGCCCCGGATCTCTTCTGATCTCTTCCGGCGGCTTCTAATCTTTGGGAGTGGGCCCTCCGGAATTGAGGCTTGGGCGTTTGCCGAGCGCCATCTTCGACCATGGCCTTGAAAGCCACGATGTCCCAAAATGTCCCAAACCGTCAACAACCATCAACCACGTGCGCGGTGCGCGCACGTCGGGCACACGCAGGGCCCTGCAGCGACTGTTTCTGGGTCTCGCACTGACTTCGGCTGAGCTGCAGCAACCTGCCACGCCATGTTGAAACAGGGCGGTCACAACCAAGGCGCTGCGGTCTTGCCGCTGCCATTCCGGGCCTCCTTCTCGTCCTTCAGGGCCGTCTCCTTCTCCGCAAAATGTTCCACAACAAGCTGAGGAAATCTGTGGACATTTAACCTTTGTAAGGTTTGGGCTTTGGGTTTTGGATTTACAGTTCTTGTGCAAGCTCCTTTGCAGCATCCCTACGCAAAAGTCTGCATGGCCGGAGCCACCCAATTTGGAAAACAACGCATAGCGATGTGAATAAGCTGAAACCACCCTCTCGCATGACCGCATGACCACCAATATTTGAGATATCAAGAAGAAGGTCACCTAAACTCGGATTTTGGCCCAACACAAGAAGGTTGCAAACAACAACTCGCGCAGGCTCAGGACCTACCTTCGTGATTAGATCTTGCTCGGTTGATGAATGTCGGCATCTGCGAACTCGCTGCCCGGCTGCCTCATCGTCCACCTCCTCCTCATCGTCCTCGTCGTCCTCGACATCGGCCCAGTCCTCCAGCAATAACACAAAAAAGCGCCAAGGGTTCGTCTACTCAGAACCGATCATGGTCATGTTGCCAAAAGCGCACCGAGTTCAGTGCTGCTTTGGGAAAAACTCATCAAAAAAGACGCACACAGTCCTTGCGTGCCGGCGGCTCAGAGGCTTCCGAGGCATCCACGCGCTCGAAAGGGTCGAGGCCCAGAAGATCCACCGCCTGCGAAGAAGCGCAAGAAGGTCCCCAAAGGGAATCGGGGAAACGGCCCCCCCCCCAAAAAATTAAAAGCACTGGGCTCCCGGGCAGCAGCCTTGCCTGCGGGCGCAGCTGGCACTGCCGGAGAAGGCCTCTTCGGGGCCTGGAAGAGTCTCCGGACACCGACGGAGCTTGAACAAGACGCGGCCAGGGCAGCGGCAGGTGCGGAATCAATCTGCCTCGACTCCAGGGTGGCGATGCGAGCGGCCTTGTCTGAAAGTGGAGCGGGCAAGTCTTTGCTCTTTGCTCAAGATGCATGGCAACATTCCCTCACGAACGACATGCAACATCTCCCAAGATAAGCTTGACTTGATTCTTTGAATACAGCTATGAGTAGAATTACTAACAATCATCTTCTTTCGAAGCCATGCGCCATGCGTTGGAGACGCTTGCAACAAACATGCCGCGGGCCTGTTGTTCCAGGGACTCCTGCAACACAGAAGCCCATTGACCATCACATCCATCATTCATCACGGCATTTGCACCTCCATTTGTGCCATGCGTTCCCCTTGCTTCTCCACGTGGTTCTTCACCTCAGGACTGCTTTGCACTTGCAGAAACCCGGGGGGGCTTCTGAAGGATGCAATGTGCCAAAAGTCCTATGAGGTGGCGACCCACCATACGGTCTCAAGCAAGGTCGCGATCAACTTTGCCTGCTCCTCGTAGGGCGCTCGGGCGCACTCCACCATCTTCCTCAGCAACGACTTCCTCGTGCCTTTTTGGGAAAGGAAAGAGGTGGAAAGGAGCTAAGCCGCGAGCAGCAGCTTGTCATCGCTTGCCTCATAAGACTCTAAGTGAGATGTTCCAAAACGAGCAGAGCAGAGTCCACGCCAAGGCGGCCGCTACCGACTCCACCACCATCTTCGGAGTCCGGAAGACAGGCTCGGTAGAAGCTATGGTGAGGGGCTGGTCTGTTGTGCTGAGCAACTGAACGGGTGCTGCCTGCGACACACACTACTATGCTCTCTTGCATTCGGAATCTGAGTCGCATGTCTCACATGTCTTAGCTATGCTGTCTTTCGCCAAGCCTTACCAGCTTTAGAACCTCCATGTCTACTCTGCAAAGCTGTCCAAAGTTCTGGAAGCGAAACGGCCAGTGGATCTGTTGGGCAGGATCCAAGCACCACCGCCAGTTAAAGAGCACCATAGTTGCTGATTGTCATCCACTGCCCCCACTCACCCACTCATGGGGACCCAGGAAGGGCGCACTCGTCGTCCGGCAGGTCGGATCCTTCGGAATCCCCACCGCTGTCACTCTCCTGAAGTCAAGGCCATTCAGCATGAATCCGGGCCAGATGGAAGAAGAAAGAAAAGACGTCGCACATGTTTTGCACAACTGGGTGCCTCGGAAGAGCGTCTGGAGTTTCTTCGCGAGTTCCTTGGATGCCGCTCAGCTGCTTCTCCCCGGTTCTGTCACCAAGGCCGACTAAATTGACTAAATTATGTCGAGCGTCGGGTTGCTGGTGTTTGTGGCGCTTGCTGCAGGGGCGCCGACTATGCTGATCACCGGGCCCACGATATCTGTCTTTGGAGAGAACTCCTCCTGTCAAGAAAAGGAAAGCGCCTTGCTGAAGATACCCGTTACGTGTCCGCGCTGCCCACACTGCACTCACATCCAACGTTTGTCAAAATCTGTCAAACTAGCACCCCAGTGGTGCGTGAGAACGGGGCGCGGCACGAGCAAGGTACGCACACCATCGCACACCTCTATCTCTCCGAAGGCATCATCGTTTTCGTTGTCTGATGCGGAGGACTTCTTCTCCTCTGAGTCCTCCAACAGTCAACTTCTCTTTCCCTGTGCTCTGAAGCTCAGGTCGTGTAGCACTCTTATCAGCATGCGAGACATGAAAGCTGCAACTTCGCACCTCCGCTGGAGGAGGTGGCGGTGGAGGCGGCACTATCTCTTCAGAGCCCTGCCAATCTAGGAGCTTTGCAACAGCCGGGAGGTGCCGCAAATTGGCGCAAGTGCCACCATGCAGCCTCTGCTGGTAAGGACGATGAGGAGCCTGGCCCCAACTCTTGGCTGTGCTCCTCCTGAGCCAGGTACACCAACGAAAAAGATCAACAACACTTGGCACATTCAGGTGCGTTCCTAAATTGTCCCGAGAGGCGCGGCTAGGGATTCAAGCATCACGACGTTGACAGCCAAAAAGGCAAACTACCAACCGAACCGCTGAACGGCTGACGCAGGCTCCTCGACAGTGTCCTCCAATTTTTTTGTTGCCTCACCACATCAGTCCACGGAGTGCGCAGGATGTTTCACATGTGCCCAACAGTGCTACAACAGCCAGCTGATCTGCAGATCATCACCACAAGACAGGACAAGCGTGAAGCTCTATGAACCGTAAGCTTTATGTTGATGGCATGAACGTGCATAGCAATGAAAAGAAATACACAAATCAGCTAACCAGCCTGGCTTTGAAGCCTTGCAAATGAAAATCATGACAGACACCTGCGTAGCCCTCCCTGCCTGCTTACGTGCCTGCTTCCGCGCTTTATCGGCGGCTTGGGCCTTAACGGCGGCCTCCTTGGGAATGTTGCACGTTGTTTCGCAAAAGTCCGCGACTGACCGGGGCTGAGCTGACTGCGACCGTGAACGGTACAAAGCGAAGTGAGGTGCGAGCTGTCTCAGCTTGGCGTCGCTGCTCGTCTGCCACCGGGTCCTCAAGAAAGAAACGCATCATGAGATTCATTAGCTGCAGCATGCTGCTCCACAACTGCACCCAAGGCCTTCAGGTGCAGCAATCCTGGAGGAGCATCCACGGTGCCTTGCAAGTGTAGCTGCGTGTAGCTCGCAAGCTGGACAGCTGCGAATGCTGTGAAACGAACTCATGCGCTTCCCACGTCACGAGCAAACAGCACACAGCAGTGTTGACAGCAATTCAGCATTGCAACCTCTCTTCAGCTGAGCCCGCCAGCCCTCCGCATTGATGGTCTTAAAGCCCCTCTGCGCGTCGTCGCTGATGCAAACATTGCTAAAGTCAGCAAGAGCCTGGAGCAGCGGAGCAAGTGCCTTGCAATGCGCCGCGCACTGCCGATTTTTGCCCTCCAACCTTCGCAACGTCGATATACCTCATGAAGTCATACGGCTCACTGAACCACGTTGAGGAAATCGAATCCAGTTGCGCAGTTCGCATGGCAGAGGCTGGAACGATCAACAACTTCCCAGCCTTTTTTGAGCCGAGCTCAGCTTTCAAAGCTCGACATATCTCAGAGAATGGTCGTGTGAAACTTCGTGACCTGAGCAGCATTGGCCCTTCACGACGCACGTACTGCCGGGGCGTTCATGCAGTTCTGCATCTCCGGGCAAAAAAATCCTCTGTGCCTCTTTTTTTACCTAAGTCATGCAATAACATAAGAACAGAAGGATTGCAGAAGCCGTCTCTCAGCTTCCGCTGGGCCGGGAGCTCCAGCAGTTCATGGAGCCTCCGCCAGCTTCTCGTCCTTCTTGTACTCCTTCTTGATTTCGTGGCTCATCTTGTTGACAATCTTCTCCATGTATTCTTGCATGGCGTAAAGCACGGCGTTGCAGAATTCACCCTCGGTCACGGCTTCCCCTCCGTCACTGCTCTCTTTTTGCATGGCGATGACCTGCTTCTGGAAGGTCTCGATGAACTTTCGCTCGCTGCCCCAGCGAGCTTGGTCTTTAAGAATGCGATGAAGGTACATTCTCTCCATCTTGGTTAGCTGCTTGTACGGAAAGTCAGCACAGCAGCCAGAGTCGACGTTCACGGTCTTGAAGAGGTCTTTGGCTTTCTGGAGAACAGCATATTCCTGGCGAGACAAGCACAGCCACTTGAAGCACGTCAGTATCCACTTGACCGGCGGAAACAGCCGAAACCAGAAGCAACACGTCTTTGCCGTGGACCGGAGCGTGCTTGCAATGCCCCCCTCATCACTGCTCGAAGAACTTTTCGCGTCGTCGGGAACCACTTGGGCCATGGTCCAAAGAAAGCCGGGGAGGGGCGGAGACTGGGGGCTCGAAGGATCTCGAAGTCTAATGGGCTGTGGGAAGCCTCACTCAAAGGTACGAGCAGGTACTAGGTACAAACAGCCGCAACGCAGCAACAACATGCAACATCTCAAGTTCAGCATATCGAAGCTTCCGCTTCGACCATGAGGGCACCTGCCCGCGAACTCCAGGCTCACCTTCTCCTCACTCTGCCGAGACGGTGATGCAAGGGTGGCGTTGCGACCTGAATCATGGAACGGCTTACCCGGCCACCCCCAGCCCAGAGATCCACAGCACTGCGGCCTACCTCAAAGACCAAAGCACAGCAAGACTCAGCTCCTCAGTAAACTTCAGTATACTTCAGTATACTTCAGTAAGCCCCTTAGGAGCCCTTTGAGGGCGGCGCAGGTCGCCTTGTACCTCTCCGTGTCTGCCATAGTCTGGCCCATCTTCCTGACCCCATAACAGCGCCACAGCAGATGAGTCTGAGTGTTCAGAAAGCAGAACAGATTGCAAGGTCCCTCAACCACTCATGCGTCACTTATCTTGCACAGTGTCCTGAAGAACTCCGTGCTGTCATGATTGCCAGCATTCCACCTCCAGGCAACTCAGAGGCGGCGTAGCATCGATCTGTGATCGCTAGTTAGTAACGCATGAGCCTTCTCTCACACAGGCGGCGACTTGCGCAAATGTAGGGACTATGTAGGGCGCACCGCGCAGTCTTCTCCTCCTCCTGTCTCCGCCTCACCTGCGCCCTCAGCGGCTGAGCTGGTGCACAGGGCATTGCAAGAGCCGTGCGTAAGCGAAGCTTTGACAGTTTCAGGCAAAACGCTGCTGAAACTTCAGCGATCTACAAACCGCCCTCCACAAACTGCACTCAAACTCCACTCTCCGAGGCGAGGGCTTGGAAGCCTCGACGTAGGAAACGGACCAGCGCGCGGAATCCGGGAGCCGCTCACTGCAAAGGAGGCTTGGGTTTTGGTCCCTCGTCGCTCGTCGCTCGTCCCTCGGTCCCTCGTCCCTCGTTCTTGCAGCAATACAGAGCCTTGCATGGCGCACTGGGCTACGCTGTCCCTCGTGTTTTGGTCCCGGCGGCAACAGGCAGTCTCTTGCTGCTGGTATCCAAATCAGCTATGGACCCTACAGTCGAGCTGAAACATCAACGACTGCTACGACACCTACCTACACACCTTGCTTCCGACATTGTCACTGAAACTGGTGACCACGTCCATACTTGTCAGTGCACATGAGATCTTTGGGAGCAGTCTCGACCTGCCAAGCAAGGCATGGCCCGAACGGAAACGCAGTGAACCCGGAAAAAAACAAGCCTTCGCGCATTGGTATTCCAACTGCTCCATGATCGCCAAGAACTTTGTGTCACTCCTACATGACAAGCTGGCTGAACGCATGTCATGCACTTAGGAAAGGATCTGCACAGCACTGGCCTGTCAAAGTAGTCATCGTTCTCGCTCCAAATGATGGGCTTAAACCTCTGTGCCAAAGCGCACTGAAGCTGTTGCGGAGAGAACCCTCATAGTTCTCTGAACAAGCGGCTGATAGATGGCACTCATCGCCCCCAGCACTACGTTCGTCTCCATGCCCTCAACATCTATCTTGATGAGCCTGCAAGTCTCGCGCGATGGCCTGGTGAATAAACTGGCTACCCGCAGAACTGGCCATCGCAGAACATGGCATGACTTTCAGAGCCTGATGCTGTTCACATGCGGTGGCTTGAGGTCTGTCTGACCAGAAAGCAAGTCGTCCAGAGTGACCATCAGAGTCCTCACAACGAAAAATTGAAAATGAAAATGGTTTGACAACGAATGCTCTTTAACAAACAACAAAAACAGAGAAAAGTGCGCCAATCTCTCTCTCTCTCTCTCTCTCTCTGTCTCTCTCTCTCGCTCTCTCTCTCTTCAACCCCTCGAGTCTTAAAAGAACGATAAGAAGATATATAGAGAGAGAAAGAAAAGACAGAAAGACTGACAGATTGAGAGACAGACTGAGAGACCATCGACACAAACTAGTGGCTGCCAATCCTCTCACACATGCTAGGATGACTAGGATTTGCACGGAAGTGCAACCCCCATTCTTCACTCACACCCTGACACACGTACGCGCACACACGCACGCACAAAATTCGGGGAGTTCTCTGCATCGATCAGAGAGTCTCTTCCGGATCAGTCTCGAAGTCGTACCTGGATGCGAGGTGCGTGCTGAACACTGAAGACCTGTAAAGAAACCCATTGCCTATGGCCGGACAACATGGCTTTGCAGAACGAAAATTGCTGACAAGGGACAACTGCACCGCCTGGTTGATGTGCATGCCTTAGTTGACAGAGATTCAACATGTTGTCCCTCCAAGCGGTTTAACATGTGAAAACTCCACTTGCCTGCCAGAGAGCTCACACCTTCATAACTGGCCCTGCTGGTCCAACTCTCAAGCATCGGAAGATACTGTCAACCCCTATTGCTCTCCCGTATACGCCTAGATCATCAAACTCCCTAAGCCCCATTTGCCATCCGGGTGCTCTCTTGTGCACCCGGAGCTCCATCTTGCTCAGCATAGTTTACCTCTGGGCGGCACAAGGTTCAGCCAGAGTGGGGCTGAGCCAGAGTGGGGCACAGAAAGAGTCAGGCCTTGACACCACCGGGACTGCTGAAGAAGCGAAGCTGCGGCGGACGGCCGAAGAACCGTTGCTTGCGCTCTCCGAGGGCCACGTTGAAGGTCCACACCTTGCAAAGAGTGGGCTGCGGCTGCTGTGCGCGAGCGCAAAACACTCAAGAACACTCAACACTTTCTCTGGGGCTGCAGCATTGGACAGCCCATTCCTGAGACATGGAAGGCAGTTTGTGTGAAGTAGCGGACCGTGAAAGACGGCGACGGAGCACGAGATTGAGAATGTCGAAACGCGTGTGTGCCATCAAAAACTAGCTGCCAGTGAGCTGCAAGGCAACGTTTGCAGTCACTAGTTGGTAGAGCCAGCCTCAGAACAAAATGAACAAGCAATAGCGAAAGCCCCGAGCAGCTGTCTCTCCCTGCCACCACAGGCACGAAAAGGCTCGAAAGCCAAGACCTTGCCCTCACGCCCCACTCTCTCGCCGAAAGGGATTGTGTAGGATCCTCATGCGGGCGATACAGCGCATGGCGCTGCGTGTGATCTGCGTTTTCTCCCAGCTCCGCTCCTAGGTTGGCGCCCACATCCACGACGACATCACCTTCTGGACAGCAACTTCGGGAAAGCAATTGTAGATAATTGTAGCCACTGCATGCCACTGCTGTACAGGGTCAGGGGCGGAGAGGGGCCGAGGGGGCCTGGAGATGGTGTGGAGAGGGCATGTCGAGTGGCCTGGACGCAGGAGCGCCTGCATCTGGTAGTTCTGCATGGGGTTCATGGTGCCCATCTGCATGATGCCGTGAGCCTCAGATGAGTTACTAGTGAAGGCCCGGGATTCTGCTGGTCCATGCTTCTGCCAAGTGCTCAGATCCCTACGATGTTGGTATCGTAGAACGGGAGCGCAAAAGCATGCATTGGTGTCTTGGACAACACCTGCAATCTGCATTCCAAAAGGGACGGGTCATCAGCATGTGTTCACCGCATTTCTTCCAGCACCTCCGTGTTTGTGGAGCTGTGCAACTCCGCAGTCACGGATCCAGGACCCCCTGGCTCCTGTGCAAACAAGACGCAGAGACAAAGCTCGTGCTGCCACCCCAGCTCCCCAGCTCCTGGTATGCGGATTGCTTCACCGCGTTTCCACTTCCCTTCCATTGCTCCTGACCCATGCAACATCAACCAAAGCAGAGAAGCGCGCATTGGCATCCTCTATCTCCGGTGGAACAGAGATCGAGGGATCACGGAAGTTGTAGACTAACCTTGGCTCTTGTCGCACATTTCGCCATGGTGGCGCAGACTCCCGGCGCATGTGCCAGGCAGCGAAACAGGCCAGTGCTGGCCCAGCACAGCGATGCCCTTGGCCTCGTGGCGAGCTTCCCGCGGCTCTGTTCAGAAGATTCGGAAGGCATCAGAAGGACTGTTGCCCGAGGCCGCCAGCCTCGTCCGTGCTGCGAAGCATCTCACCACACCTGTTTGCCACCAGTTTCACATACGAACTTTGGTCTGGCTTGTTTTGATCTGTCGCTTCCCAAAACAGCAGCATGGTTGGAGGCTTGCTCTCAACACTGGCAAATGACCGGGGGCGCCTATTGTAGATGCTGTGATTCAGGTCCGACTCCGGCGCCCCACCATTTGCCGACAGCAAGAACTCCTTGCAGCCCTCTGTGGTTGTGGGCATGCTGACCTCGAGGAGCGTGTATTCTTTCAAGCCAGCCACACCAAGCCCAACACACTGAACCCTTCAGATTCCCTGAGCGGACAACGTTTGAAGGCAAAGCATTGTGTTCCCCGACCTCGGAGGGCGCCCTGCTGCCAGGTCCAACTCCACAATGCAAGACTCAGACCCACCACAGCCACCACAGCCAAGTCGCTTTCAGATTTTTGCTGCGTGCTCGATCTTCCTGACAGCGGTTGAGCAACTGAGAAACAACAACAGATCATGGATCCATGATCACGCCTCTGCCTGCTGACAAGACTCAAGTACGCGCGCAAACCAGCCGGATTTCTCGCCGATCTCCGGCCAGTTTCGCATCTGGTAGCAGCCGTCACACCCGCCACCGATGGGTGCCTGATGCTCTGAGGTGTGGTACTGTGACAGTAACGACTGACTTGCAGCTTACACCTGGCTTCTTGAGACCCCTACTATCCCCTACTGAATCCCACGCTAAGCTGCGCAGACCTGCCAGGAGACGCAGTCGGGATTTGCTAGGCACTGCTGGTCGCAGGCCTGGCCGAGGGATGAAAGCACATGAAACTGCGCAAATCCTCGTAGATCTTTCACGCCAGCCCGGCCTCTGGTGTCAAGTCTTGCGCCTTCCCGATCAAGGATCGTGCAATCTGTCTGTAGTCGAAGCCGCGATTTGCAACATCCTGAGGCTGGCTTGAACCGAGCTTGCCAAAGACCTAGACCGCGATGACGGGCAATTTGGGCAACTTCGACAGTAACAAGCCGTCACCCTACTGCCTGCAAACATCTAAACCCCTCAAGTCCCCACCCGAATCCTGGACCCCATAAACCGAAACCCTCACAAAGACCCCCTTAGGTCATCTCAACACCAAGGCTCGCTGAGCACCAGCCCCAGGGCCTCACCCTGGAAGGCTCCGAAGAGAAGCGCGCTCCGAAGCGCAGCCATCGCGCTGTGACTTTTGTTGAGGTGCTCTCTGTGACATGTCCTTATTGTCTTAAGTGGCTGCCTTGTGTCTCTATTCCGTTAAACTCTATGAGTTGTTTTCTTGTTTTTTGTGGGTCTTACGAGTACTCACCTAGGTCCTAGGTCTGATCGTACGTTGTCGTATCGTGTCTTATCGTTATGCACTTCCCGCCACTATCTTGTCGCACCGATGCTTGTAAATCATCGTTCTACTTTGTCTCCTGCGTTCCCTTTCTTACCGTTCATAGTTGCATCATCTTGAGAGTAATTAACTAGTCTCTTTCTTCTCCTTGTCATCGTCTCGTCTGTCTCTCAGCTGTCTCATTTTGCTTATTGTAATTCTCATTCTCGTTCTCTGCAGGTGCTGTCTTTTCGCTATGCTTCTCTCTTGCAACACGTTTTCTTCTCATTGCTTCGCTTTCTTCTCGTGCCTCTCTGCCGTTCTTCTCGTTCTGACCATTCTAGCAATCCTGCTCTTCTCGGTCCTCGCTTTCGTCTATTCTCCTTTCTTTCTGCTTGTCCTCCTGGCAGGCTTTGGGAATGGGCCGGGCCCATCCCCCCAGGGCGTCCCCAGGAATTTGTCGAGGTCCACAGCCCAAAGTGGAATCTCTCTTGAAGCCTCTATGGTCCCCGGCCCGCGAGGGCTGGGAGACCGGTCGATCCTTGTGTCGGAAGGCCAGGTGTGTGCTAGCTCCTGCATTGTTCACCGAATCCTAGAGCTACTGGCCTCTCAGAAAAAGTCGTGTTGCTCGGTTCGTTCGTCGTATTCTGACTCTTATTGTTATTGTTTTCTTCTTCCTGTGCACACTCAAAACGGCTGTGTCCGTCTCTCTTGCGGATTCGAAAATCCAAGCCCAGGCCTTTCACCCCCACAAGGTCGCACTTTTTCTTAAACGACTACTGTCATGAATTGAATACCGCAACCATCCCCATCTGAAATTGAAAGCCCCTAAACTCATTTTGACCTCCTTCTTCTTTCTCTTTGTATAATTAATATTCCGACTTTTCTTCTCATTATTATTTTTTATCCTGCGCTCGTTTGGGCCCCCGATTGGGAATGGCCTCTCTCCCGCTGCTGGTATTGAGAGTTGCTCTGTTTCCTATTACTCTCTCATCTATACTCCTCCTGACCGTCCTCATCTTACCTTTTCTCTTGATTGCGTTGTTCGTCTGCTCTTATCGCCAGTCTGCCTTAGTCTCATCGTTCTTGTCTTTCTTCTGATCGTGCCTTATGTTGGTTGTCATAGTTTCTTTGTTGTGTTGTTTCTTTCTGTGTGTTCATGCCTGCTCTTTTTCGAATAGGTGTATCTGTGGGCCGCTGCATCCCTGCATGTTCGGCTGCATTGGCAATGATGCAGCGGGGGGAAGAAAAGACCGCTCCTACAGTCCTTTGTACAATCACATGGCCAACTTGAACACAATCTCTAGCTGACGCAGTTCCTGCTGAGCTGAGCTTGCTGGACTCCTGAAAGTTGAGTTCAAAGTTTCCTGGACATGTGGCTTGTCTGGCTGGTGGTGTGGCTTGTGTGGCTGGTGTGGCTGTCTGCTACTGTAAGCTCATCCGCTGACCGTCATGCACGACTGCGCACACGAAAGTGCAATGCGGATACTTGGGTAAACGTTCTTGAGCCAATGGCTGCTTCCTGATCTGCTGCAGGGTAGCAAGGCTGCATTTTCGACCCACAGATGCATGACATAGATACAGTCCTTGAACATCCTTGCCATTGACATACCCATTAAAGCCACGACGGCCTCATGTGCCCCACAAGTCCTACAATGTCATTGCAGCCTGGCAGGCGCCAATGCCATGTCCAGCAAGCCCGCGGCTTTGCCTCACGGAGCAACGCACCAGGGCACACCGGAGTCCCACTGAAACAGCTTAAAGGCTTAGGTGATGCGGAGAATGCTTCCCTCTTGCTCTGAGCCTGCGGAGGCCTCGCTTCATGGACTCACGCTTGGAGCCAAGCAGCAGGGCAAAAAGTCGACTGAAAATTCCCTCAGCTTTTTTCTGGTCAACGAAACAGCTGTCAAAACTCAACAGACTTCTGAAACAGAGGCGGGCTTGAAGTGTAGCTCCAGCTTCCGCGCCATTTTATAGGTGCCTTTCTCCGCCGTTGGTCTGTAAGTGGCAGGGACCGCAAGGAAGCAGGACATGCATAAAACGGAGGAGATGCGACGGCTTGAGATGCCGATGCCTGGAGGTGAGCTTCAGTACCGATGCTCCCGGAACTCTGCAGACTCTTCCAAGCGGTCCCAGCCCCAAATCCCGGAGCGAAAGAATCTGCAGTTTTTCTCGCATTGCGAAACCTACAGATGGCATGTAGACATATGTAGACTCTAAAGTTCTAAAGGCATCCAACTGTCCAACTGCACATTCCAGGAGCCCTGGCTGCATGAGACCCGCAGCCACAACGCCTTCGGGCCTTAGGACTGCATAGGACCTTCTCCTTTATTTTTTAGACAAGCTGTTTATGTAAGAATGCGTCAGGGCCCCCCTTACTGGAGGCAAAACTCCGCTGAGTGGCTCCTCCTCGCCCCGCTTTGCCAAAGTCAAAGAAGAAGCACATGGTATGAGGTTTGCCACTCAGCCTGGAAGAGGCTAACGACATTACGAACAGGAATCTAGGATTGGCCAGTGAATCACTTTACTTCGTATCTTCGAACCCGTCCGTGAATGAGAGCCACCGATCCCCAAGACCACCCACGACTCTATGTCCGGTCCCCTGCTTGTGGAGCACCTGAAACCCCAACTGCTTGGAGTAGCGTGGTTTTTGGCTCAGCCCCTCGTTTGACCCATAAGATACCCATAAGCCATAAACTCTTAACAGCTCCCGTTCCATGCCACTCCATTCAGCTGGTCCCATCAGAAACGGTGTGACACTAGTGTAACATTGGTGAAGATTGGGCAGTTCAAGCACAAGCACGAACCAAAGCAGCACATAACAGCTCACAAGCAACATGACAATGAGCTGATAAGTGCTCGTTCTTGCCCAGGGATGCTAACTACCAAGCCGAGCTCTTTGTCCAGGCATTCATCAGGACTGCTACAGGCACGCTTGACGTCAGTGCCACCACCCGGCACTTTTGCCATGGCTTTTGCCCTGGCCCTTCATGACCTTCATGTCCTTGCCCTTCATCTCGCCCTTGCCTTTTCCGTCGGCCTTGCCTTTTGCGTCGGCCTTGCCTTTTCCATCGGACTTGCCCTTGCCTTCGGCTTTGCCTTCGGCTTTACCCTTGCCTTCGGCTTTGCCTTCGGCCTTGCCCTTTTGGCTGCCTTTGCTGCCTTTTACATCCTTTTGGCCCTTGGAGGAAGCCTTTCGATTCCTGCAGCCAGAAAACACGTCAGCACGGAAACGAGCGCACAGCACAAAAACTGCAAGAATCGCGTCGCCGAAGCCTCCATTCGTTCGCAGCGGCCGTAATCTCTCTCCTGCTCCCAACGCAGGAGAATCTCTTAAAAGACTGGCTTCTGTGATCCTCGTTTCAAAGCTTAAGCTTCGAGGCTGTCCGGCCTCCTTTCCTCTGCACCCTTGGCGTTGGAAGCATCCTCCTTCGCACTCCAGTAAGACTTGGCGTCAGCATCTGAATCTTCAACTGGGTATTCAGTGAATATTCCTTCGACTCTGTGCAGTGGACCTTTCTGGGGCACAGGGAGCAGTCCTCTGCCCAGGCCCACTCCGGGCAGAAGTCAGACCTTGGAGTTTTGGAGCGCCAGTCCAAAACAAACTATTAACTATCAGGCATTCAAGGAGCCATGCGCAATATGTGGCTCATGTGATCTCATGTGACTCTGCGGCAACCGCAGTCGGGTGGCTTCTTCCAGTCGTCCGGTGACCACGTTTCCCAGCCTGGCTTACTGAAGTGCACTCGGGATGGAAGGGCGTTGCTGCAGAAGTGCTGCAGAAACTGGAATGTTTGCAGGCACTTTTTTGTCCGCATCGAAATTGCCACTGCAAGCTCTGGAGACACGCAATCGAATGCAAATCTTGTGTCCGAGTTGTCGGGGGATTGCGGAGGCACTGCTGGCATTTACTGTCAGCGATCGCCACGCACAGGCGATCCTGCGATAGCTTTCCGTTGGGGCTCGGAAGCGCTTTGTTGACCCAGCATTGACCAGCCTATTTCAAGGCTGGCACGGGTCGCAATCGCAGAGATCTTCTCGGATGTGCTGCGAGGTCTGGCGATGCCCAGCTCTCAGCCACGGCTGCCGCGGGCATTGGAGCCAGAGTTCCTGGGGCCCTGCCAGAAACACACAGGTACGCTACATGGCACGCTCAGAAGCGCTCTCAAAGCATCGCCCGGCAAGAATGCAAAAGATAGCAAGAGCCTGCTCCTGCCAATCTCTGCCGCATCCGCCCTGTGTCTAACGCAGCGTCGCGCAGCGTGGCGTGGCGTGGCGCAGCGTGGTGCGCAGCGTGGCGCGGAGCATAGCGAGGCATGGCGAGGCATGGCGCAGCATCGCGCAGCATGATGACCTGAGCACACTTCAGGCCTTGTGATGCTTGGCGATGCGGTGCAGGGCCGTCACAACCTCGGCATGACAAGTGTATGACATCAACCATATGCCATACTCACATCTTGCGATTTGATGCAAGCATAATGCAGTACTGCAAGCAAACATACAAGTCCTTAGCACCGGCACTGCAGATCTCTAGACTGAGCGATTCTGGCGTTCACTTGGTTGAAGTCATCCAGGTTCTCGTCGCAAATCTTCAGGACCCCGTCGGAACTGTCACAAGCCAGCAGGTCCTCCAAAACGACAGAAGAGGAGACTGAGCAGTCCATTTCAACTAGCTGAGGCCTTGTTGAGCTGGATGTTCCGCCTGATTTGGCCCAGCATCCGATAACACAACTTACCGATCGAATGTCAAAGCGCACGAAGCCCCCAGGGAATCTGAGCCGCATGCATCTTGCGATGGAAGGCCTGAGCAGATGCTCTGGTACGACGCTGAGAGCTCACTAGGCCAGGGCGGTCAAGTCGGAATGGTCGACACGCGCAGTGACTCAGAGAGTCACACAATGCCACACAAGCATCGGAGAAAGCTCACCCACTCCATGCACACCACTGTGCCCACCTCGTGGCTTTTCACCCTGGCAGCTTTCCTCGCAGCCTCCGATGCCGCATGATGCCACATGAAGGCTGCACGTGGCCGTGCGCATGGCCTACTGCCACTTGTTTTTGACCCATTACTGCCGTCCTCAAAGTCACAGGCGAAAAGGTGGCCTCTTCGTTCCGTGCCCAGTCTGCGGAAGACACGTGGCCGGAAACCCTGCGCCTAGCCGGGGACACCCTGCTAGCAGCGGCTGGACATCTAAACAGGATTGATGTGCTGCACCGGACCTCCCGGCGTCGCCAGCGGCCGTGCCCTGGATTCCCTGGATGTCAGATGCACTTGAGGGGACCGGTGACAGTGGACCACAAGAGGCCGAGGCATGTGTAGGTGCACGCAAAGATGGCACAGGCAGCTGTGCTCTGCCTGCTGAGGTGGTAAAGATTTGTCAGCTGAATATGCTGAATACTTTGTTTCACCGCTAGCTGAGGACATGTTCTCGCCTTCTCGCGCGGTGTGGCCTCCAGTTGCCCACTTCATCATGGGGGGTTGCATAGGCTGCGGCATCTCCTCCACCCCAGCGACATCTACAAGCAAAAGAACTTGCATGATGCCGAAGCATGCATTGCTTCGGGAAGCTGCGGAAGGGCAACGCGAGCAATCCTGACCCGGCCGCATGGAACTGCCGCCTGCATGATGGACCGAAAAGTCCGGAATGGCAGGCATTTGCATGGTCTGCTGGTCCTTCCTCGGTCCAGCTTGCATTTGCAAACCACATCAAGGCTTCTAAGGGTTTCATGTCTCTATTGGGGGAACGGAGGGGAGCGGTGGGGAGCGGAGGGGAGCGGAGGGGAGCGGAGGGGAGCAGAGGGGAGCGGAGGGGAGTGGAGCGGAGGCGCCTCACCAAGAACGAAGAATCAAGAGCATGCGGCGTGATACACCAATGATGCTGCATTTGTGGAAGCGAGGCTCGTCTGCCACATCGCTGGGTCTTCAGGCTGACCCCACATCGCTGGCGCCTCGAAGTGCAAAGCCACAGACGGCGGGCGAAGGCGAGTCCCAAGGAAGCGAAACCCCCAAGGCAGTCCAAGGCAGTCCAAGGTCCAAGGCAGCCAAGGCACAGCGGAAGCATATGGATCCCAGCAGGGCCCTGCCTCCTGGACATAGCCGCTGGCATAGCCCCACTGACCTGCCAGATGATCAGATGACAACTTCACTTGAGGAGATGTCGCTTTTCAAGCGCAAGCATTAAGCTGCGCCAAGTTCTTAGATGCTCAAAAAGTGCTTGGAATGCCAAGCGACCAGCATCGCCCCCATCCCAAGAAGGAGCAAACCAGCTTGCCGTCGGCTGCTGGCTCTGGCGTGGAAGCATGCGAAGAAGGGGCCTTCCGAGAGGCCTCACAAGTTCTTGATTGGCAGGGCAAGACATCCATGGGATGTTGGTATGCTTCGAGCAGCAACTTCATGAAGCAACCCCCCGCCTCACACAGCACTGACGGACACAAATCATTCAGAAATGGCTGGCGCTAAGATAGCTGCAGAGGTATCACAGCACGTGCCTTTCACCAAGCGTCTTTGCAACTGCATACTAACATTTGACTGTGTGTACCAAAACCAAGAGCTACATTGAAGACATGGCTAACACTGGTACCTGTACAACGTAAAACGAGAAGTTTGAAATCTGGTATGCGCAGGCAGCGAGCATCTGCGAGAACTGGGCTTGAGCCATGACACGCAGACATGCTAGCTTGCTAGCTTTCTTGTTGAGAGTCAGTTTGTGCATGTTTGTGCAGTGGCGGCTCTTCAACGAAGGTTTGAGCCATCCAAAAATCCCTCATCCTCCCTTCAACGTGGATAAGCGTGGCATGGAAGGCCGTCCGCATCTCCGAAAGGCTTTCCGGCTCCCTTGCCGGTGTTGTAGCCGCTCCCTGCGCGGAACACTGCGACGCACGCAGCAGCCACCAGGCACATGGACATGCATGGACCATGCGCGATTCTGAAGCTCTACATGCGCACTGTTCAGATACATAGAAGCACTTCGCAAGCTCGACAGGCCTGCTTCCATCCGTCGCATGGAGGGCATTGCAGGAGCCGAAGGGGCCGATGGGGATCGCGGCATCGGGGCCGGAGGGGGCACGGGCGTTGGTGCTGTCCACGTGGGCATGGGCGGGGCGGTCAGCATTGGGTTCCTGTTTGCTTCACCTGCACTGAATGATGTTGCAGCCATCTGTCTCTCGGCCAGCAAGATGGCCCGCACCTGGTTGCCTGGGTCAGGTTTCCACGTCACTTGCGATTCACGAGAACATCAACAGCCTGCATGATCATCTAGATGCTCCCTCCGGCACAGATCCAGCGCAATCAGTTCTCTTAAACGCCCACTCCCCGTGCTTTCCTGTGACTTTTCTGAGAAATATGGAAACTGCTCCCCCCTCGGCACACTGGCACAACTTGTCGCACGACCTATGAGTTCGCCACACAAGAGCCACTGCACTGCAGCTGTTCGGACAGTTGTAAACACCTCTTGCTTCCCAGAACCTCAACCGGAGCCGGACCAGAACCTGCCATTCGTGTCCATTCACTTCTCACCTGATCTTCTGAGATTCTGGCTTACATCCGGCGGTCGGTAAGGTGGTGGGCCACAGCTTGGATACGGTAGGCCCTGCACAAGGCAGAGGTCGCTCTCCCTCTCTGCCTCACGGTCTCTCCCACCAGGTCTGCTCACGAGCCGACTTTCGGAAGACGTGCCTGCCAGCCAGCAGCATACGATACCTGCCGAAAACAGCCCCAAAAAAAAGGGAGTTTGTTGAGAATGCTTGGATGAACAACGCGACCTGGTCACTACCTACCCACATCATTCACAAAACCCACGTCGAGGGTGACACCGCAAAAGGCCCACCGAAAGTGCATCTGCATGAGTCTCTCAGGCCCGAGCCTGCTGCGGAGGCGCCTGGCTCACAGAGCATCACAAGCCGCGCTGTGAATCGAAGCCACTGCATTGCAGGCACGACATGTCCGACATGTCTGTTTGTCGCTCGTTAAGCCATTGAAGCTATCAAGTCCTCCGACGCTTTGCAGCGGAGTCCGCGCTAGTTTCTTCTTGGCTATCTCCCGCCAAGAACTTCTCGATGTCATCAAAAGTATCGTTATCTTTCTTTGTGATGACCCAAGCTTTGGTCTCGCCGTTGAACTTTGCTCCAAACTTCTTCAAGTCCTCCTTGATATGGAAAGTTGGACCCGTCAACGTCATGGTGTTGCCTTCGATCTTCGTGATCACTTTTCGACGCAGGGCAGTCGAAGGTGCCGAGGTCCCAACAGGCGCAGGGGGGCCATCAATTTGTTTTCCCGACAAGAGATTCTCGATCAGTGTTTGATCGTCTTGCTTGAGCTTCGCAAAGCCCTGGATGTCCTCCCGCGACTGAATTTCCTTGTTGGCGTTGGTTTTGTAAGTGAACGTTTTCCACAGGCAGGCTGGATGGTACCAGCCCAGCTGGGTGCCACGGTGGTCGTCCTCAGGCGCTTCAATCCCAATCCGCAACTCACCTGCGTCGATTTTCTGCTTGCAGCGAAACTCCTTGCAGCTCGAGCGTCCAGACTTGGCATAGTCTACAACATACCACGATCCCTGGCTCCATGCCCACGACAGCTTGTCCGCCATCAGCTTCTGTCACATCGGCACCAACTGAACCGCACTCCACAGGCAAATGTAACGATACATGTAAAGTTGAACATTCCCAAGTGAGTAGAGCACGTGGCCACTAGTCACTAGTGATGGACAAGCAAGACGCTGACTTTCTGCCAATCACACCGAGCCGAATGGATTGCCATGCCAAGTACGATCCATTTCTGCGTGGAATCTGTTCGGTAGGTCGCCGTAGGGCGTCTCTCCACTTCATAACCGGTTCACAACTTGACCTCACTTGATGTATAGACAACCTGGACATGGACTGCATGACTTGCACACACGGAGTTGCACAACACAAGGAGGGGTCCATGCAATTCCCCGCATGTCCGCGCTTTAAACGAGACGGCATCACTGCATTCAGTTGCTCGTGCGGCACATCGTACCTGCAAGGAGCGCACCCGACAACACACCCGCAATCAAGACTTTGCAGCTTTCAAAGCTTTCAAAGCATTGAACCAGGGCCACAAGTGTGCCTCAAATCGGAGAGCGCCATCGGCTGGCTTGGAGCTGCCTCCGCTTGGACTCTTGCAGCTCCGCTGAATACTTCTGAGCGGAAGAAGCAAAACCCTGCTCTCAGAGTCTTTCGGAGTTGTGTGCTCGCGACGTGTGTCATGTCCTCACTGGCCTCTTCGGCCATCTCTTCCTTCGCTGCTATCACCGCCTCAGCACAGCATAGTGCCAGGCACTTGGCATGAAGAAAAAAGCCCAATTTCTGACACACGTCTCCTGAATCTCAACAGCGCAAGGACTCGCAAGGACTCGCAAGGACTCGCAAGGCGGGTGCCGTCTCCAGCGGCTCCTCGGCCTGCGAGGTGCGCCTGACCGCAGCTCAGTCCCTCAAAGCAGGGGGTATACTCTGCCTCACCATGGCTGGGGTGATGCTTCGGCATACATTGTCGGCTGCGTTGATCTGAACCCACCTCAAGTCCGCAAGGTTGATCCTCTGCTGGCGCGGGGCCTCAGGCTTGCACAGGGCAGCGGCTCGTTTGACGAAGGGCTGCAACTCAGATAGCTACAAATAAACTCCAATGCTCGGGCCACCACCTGTCGCGCGGCCTCCTTCTCAGCGGCTTCAGCAGCGGCGGCTTCGGCGGCTTCGGCGGCTTCGGCCGCCATCTCGCACAAACGGGGCGCACGAATGCGCGAACCCTGCACAACACGATGCGAACCATTCTGTGAACCCAAGCGACCCACACACACACACACACCCGAAAAAATACTTATCCCGAAGATCCTCCAAACCCAACCCCCTCCCTCCCCCCCCCCCCAAAAAAATAAAGCAAATAAACGACAGAAAGAAAGCAAAAACAACCAAACCCCAGACACTTCGCGGAGGCCTTGGCTTCCTGGGCTTCCTGTCAGAGCTTTGGGAGGAAGCTTCGACTTGGGGGAAGAGAGAAAAGATGAGAGAAGACTGCAATGAAAGGATGAAAGGGCACATGAGTGCCCCCTGTACGGCCCCCCCTCTATGGCCCCTCCCTCTGTATTTCCCAAGTGCTAGGAGTAGATGCTCTTGCTGCCGACAATCTGGTGCCAAAAGCTGCTACAAGCTTCCCCTCTTGCTTTGCCCATCGGAGCGGCCTTGGCACGCAGGTCGCGCTGGCGCTGCGCCTCGCGTCGGATTGCGGCGCGCGTGGCTTGCTCCTGGCGGAGATGATGCTAAACAGCTGCTTCTTAGATACCATCCTTTTGGTATCCTTGGGCACCCTGAACCCTCGCTGAACAAAGGGATACTTAGGAAGGTGCTGCAGCTGCATACCCAAAACCGACCTCCTGGACGCGGCGCTGCTCGCGCATCTCTGCCTTCTTCTCTGTACGGTTCTTCACCTCAGCTCTCAATGCTCTCGCAACAGTGCTACAAAGAGCTGCAGCCCGAGCAGCACGGTGACTTGAGCTGCTCCTACAATGGCCTACGGGTCCGGGCCACGGGCCGTCTCAAAGTCGAGGAGCTCATCAGAATCCACCTGTTTCAATGCCCGTCGCTTGTGTTCTTGTGGCGAAGAACTAGAAAACAGCGCAAGGGCCTCCTTCTCCTCGCCCTGCACACAGACCTCAACAGTTGAGGCGCTCGCATTCGAGGCTCCCAAAAAAAGGGGGAAGCGGGAGCGCCCTAAACGCTCAGGTTCCAACCATACCAATGCCCAGTGCAAGGCCGGTGTCTGCAACAGGGTTCAAGCGGCCCATAGCCTGCAGATCTTCGTGGACTTCAACATCTTCAAAGGGCTTCTTACGATGCAGAAATTGAGGACTTTAAGCAAGTCGTCACTACATCAATACTTCACATATCTTCACGTCTCCACGGGGCCCTGCAGCTCAGCCTTGCCTCCTCACTAAGGATGCTCGACTGTGGGACGACAGGCTCCTCCTGGTGACGAGATCTGACTTGGAGCTCCCATGTCCCATGAGCTGAACAAGGCGCAAGACCTGCGTCGAGAAGTGCAAGTACTTAGCACAGCAGCACTCCTGTGCTTCTTCCTCCTCTTCCTCCTGCTCCTGCTCCTCCTCGTCCTCCTCCTCCTCCGCGTCCGCCTCCGCTTGCTTTGGCTCCGTCTGGTCGCTGGACGCTGCTGGTGAGCTCGGCGACGTCTCCTCCACCGGTGGCTGATCGCTGTTTCTCAAAGAGGCAGAGCCGAGCGAACCCCAGAAGATCGAAATCCCGAGAAGAACAACAGAAATGAGCTAGTACACTTGCCCGACAAAGATGACAACAGCCAAGAAGGCCTTCACAGGCTGCACCTCTGCACCTGCGGCCTCGGGCAGGGATGGCAGATGCCCAGATATGCCGGGGATGGCATGGAGTCTTGAGCAGCCAGGACCATTGAAGTGGGAAGCAAGCAATTGGTGGGGTTGGGGGGGGAGTGGACATGAGTGGACGAGAGTGGACGTGAGTGGACGTACAAAACGTGCAAGAGCAGAGCATTGCCTTCTCCCGCAGTAGCTTGCGCTGGCGCTCTGCCTCCGCGCGGGTGGCTGCTCGGGACCTCCGCACGGCTGTGCTAGGGACTGGACGGAAACCAGCACCCCAAACAGCGTGACATAGCACGAACATAGCACTAAGGTCAGCACTCCAAGACACTCTTCAGGTTCCTGAGTCGCCTTTCCTGTCGAAGAAAAAACATCAAACACAACTAGCACAACCCATCAGTCATTCGGGAAACAGTTGCCCCCCTCGGCTGTGCCGCCTCTTCCTCATGGCGCTCCGACGGCTCAGGTTCGGGAGTGGCAGTCGCCTGGTTCAAATGGCTGTTGCTCCGTTGTGCACGCTACGCTCACCCGGCTCAGCCCTTGCCTCCTCATGCGTGTCATCAGAGTCAATAGACTTCGTCTTGACAATCCATCCTTCGAGCAGCTTCAGCGCTCAAAATGCTCAAAAGAAACATGGATCAGCGTGTTCAGTGTTCCCGGCAAGAACAAAACACCGCTTGCAGGGTACAGCTACACAAGAAACTCGTGAAGCCAAGACCTGTAGACCGAAGTCCTTTCTTTCCACCCTTCTTGTCTTTGCCCTTGTTCTTACCTTTGCCCTTCTTTCCATGGCCCTTCTCCTTTCACGAGTCAGTGTGCCCACAAGAGGGGCTCAGGGCAACTCAGAAAACAGAACTCGCAGCTTCGGAAGCTGAAGCTGCTGGTACGCCAAAATGCCTGCTGCAATGGTCTCGCCCCGGAGTCCTCGACGCGTTGACCGTTTGGAAGAGGCCACTGTGACACGCGCAATGACACTGCCTCATCCTCAGATGAGACGACCACCATGGGTGAGCTCGCCTCCTCCAGGAGTCAACAAGTTCTGTGGCGTAGCTGTCCCGTTCGTTCGCTTACTCACTTACTTATATTCTCAATGAGAAATTACATGGTCCTTTGGTATTATTGTAGCGGCCTTATCATTCTCTTCTTCTTGGCCGCACTTATTCTTACCATTATTATGTAGAGACTGCAATGATTCATTTTACAAACGAAGTGAAGATATGAACGAAGTGCGTGAAATTAGTGAATGCATGAACGAAGTGGTGAACCATTAAAAAACCTTATTCATCATTATGACATACAATCGCTGTTTCGGACTGATGGAAGGTCCAACCTTGCAAGGCAAAATGCCTTGCTGCTCATGCAGGCCAACGTTGACTTTTTAGAGGTCCTTCTCCTCATCTTCTGAATGCGACTCATGCGATGCCACGCTCCATTCGGCATCCGAGTCCTGTCAATGCAATACTGTACCTTCTGCTCAGATTATATAGTAGTAGTAATGATAATGCTAATCATAGTAATATAATGATAATTCATAATAATAATAATAATAAATAATAATGGTACCATTCACCGTGGACATTGTGTTGCTTGGCCACTGTCCTCGCCATATCGGCGGGGGCCGCGGCCCTTGCCCTTGCTCTTCCCCTTGTCCTTCGACCTTGCCCACTCAAGAGGTTGGTTTAACATTTTGAGGCTTTCCGGTTGAAATGTAAAGGCTGCGCCTGTTGTTTATCTTCTCATGCTACGAAGAAAAGCTGACTCTGTGTTTCCATCCAGGAAGTGGATCGGGCTTGTTGTGTTTTGACCCAAACAAGTCGAATCTGCTTTTCCTACTCGGAACTTCTTAGCAGAATGGGCATGCCCATCGAGTATACTCTTTGGGACAGGGTGGGGATGCTCGAAACGATATTCGGAGGTCGGGTTTTGGACGTATGCGAAATACAAACTGTCGTTTCTTGTGGACTCGCGCAATGCAAAGTCGTCCCCGTGCGCCCCCATATCGTCGTGGGCCGCTTTCGGTTTTAGGGTGCTAGGGCCACAACGGCCACCGTTTTCGCGACTGCAAACGCCGGCCTATCTGTCCTCCTATATCTGTTTTTTTTGCAGTCCTGCTATCTCTCGTCGTTTCATGTCGTTTCTATCCTCTTGCCTGTCCTGTGTCTCCTTTGCTGCTAATCTGTCCCTCATATCTGTCCTCGTTCCTGTCCTATCCTATGTCTGGATGAGGGGTACTAGAGCACTGTTGCTGCCGGTGATGCTGCATGCTGGCATAGTCGTCCTTAAAATCTACTAAAATCGAATAGCCCCACTGAGGGTGAGAAAACAGAGAAGCACCAGCATGGACACGAATTCTTTACAAAGATGATGTACGGCACGACCCGGATCCAAAGTCTGGGCAGCGGACTTGCCGCCTTTGCCCTTGCCTTCACCTTTGCCGGCGCCCTTCGCGTGGTAGGCCTGACCAATTGTGAAAACACCATGCTGTTTGCGTTGTAGTGGCCGCACATGGCTCGATGGCATGGCAGCAAGATGCCAGAATCTGCCAGTAGAAGGCACAGTCTTCTGCCCGTCCTCTGTCCGTGGCTCCGCTCGGGGCGCGTGGGCCTGACGGTTCAGGGACGGTTCAGGCAGGTGCTTTTGATCGCCGACGCCGAGCAGCTGGCCTCCTGATCCTTGGCCTTCTCTTCGGCAGGCTTCTGCAAGATGCGCAGCGGCTTCTGCAGTGCGGGGGTGAAAGCACAGAGGGCTTTCCTGATGTGTTGCTCGTGGACGGTTGCAGCTACTATAAGCCTATAAGACCCTGCACACCTGCGGATCGATCTTCATTTGAGTCTGCGTCGTGACTTCCACGTCCTCTCCATCCTCTCCGGGCAGCACAATGGCAGTGCTACATAGTTCGACATCGTTCGACAACATCTGTTATCTCAAAAAGTTCTGGCGTACGATCTCGCATGCAGGCTTCTTGCTGTGCAAGTGCGCCTCGCCCTTAGGGTCTCGCTCCCGCCGACTTCCATCATCTCGCTTCTCGCGAGGTGCTCGCTGCAGGATCCTAGAGAACTCAATCGGTACGCTGTTGGCACTGCCCACACAATGCCCGCACAATAGAGGATATAGAGGGCGAGGCCCGCTGGGTGTCAGTTTCGACACCGGCGCCGCAGAGGAGGAGGCGGGCTCGCAATCGCCTGTACCACACACTGCGCTCCAGACGTATCTCGACTCCCGCTTGAAGCCAGGGTCCTTGGAGGTCACCACCTGCTTCTTCAACAAATGCTCCGGTCTGCTGAGGCAGCGCAGCCTGACCCGAGTATAGAGGCAGATTCAATGCAGACGTAGCCCGTTTTGCTGCCCGGAACTACGGGGGCAAAGAAGTCCTTGTCCGGCATATGCAAGTGAAATTTATACGGTTGCTATGATTCATGAAGCGCGCCTTCCCCGCGAAAATCTTGGCTGATCTGCCCTTCTTTGATGGTTTCATGAGGTCCTTGCCACTCGGCTACATTGCGCAAGGGGAGCCCGACCGTAAACCAAGGAACCTCACAACAGGGTCCTGGAGAGCGAAGGTGGGCGGAGCTCTCTGTGCCTGTCCTGGTGCTACGAGACGTACACGAGACTCATGCGGCATGAAACACGAGACCGTGCAATGAGATGCAATGAGGGAGGCTCTTTCTGAGGCTGAAGCCGAATTTCTGTGCAGCCTGGGCCTGGGCTTGCACCTTCGTCATCGGCTCCATGAGTGTAAGATTCTTTGCCGCGGTCTTCTGCTTCTCCTGCAGAGGCTGAACGAGGCTGGAACTCAGCAACTCAGCATTCTGATGGTTTACATCGGCTTTGGGATGATGTCAGAACCTCTCAGAAAGGTCTTAGATGTTGTCAGATGCTTCTCGGATGTTCTCTCCTTCTTTGACTGCGGACCAGAGGACAGGTCCGGGAACTGCTGATCCGCATTCCCTTTGGCTGGCCGCAGCTCATCCAAATCACCCCACACCTCCGCGAAAAGAGGGCGCTCTGCAGGTTTCTGACGCTTCTGCATCTCAGAGGGAAAAGGAAGGAAAAGGGTGGTGGACTGGCGTCTAAGGCTGTGGCAGAGCAGGAAGACGCTGCCTTGGCAGGTGCCACGACCTCCTGCCGGGACTGGGTTTGACGGCATGGAATTGAATAAGCAGAATGAACCTGACCTGCGCCGTGCTAGAATGCTAGAACAAACTATCTGACTATCCATCTTCATTGTACCATGTACCAAGATCACCGGAACAGGATTGCAGGGCCTTCTTGGGCGGAGGGCGCAGCGTCTCCGCGACCGCAACCTCCAGTCGGGACGGCATCACCTTGCAACCTGCTTCAACCTGACGTCCCTCGGGACAAGCAAGATCCCCACCTGCTTGGGCGGTACGGGAGGAGCCTGCTTCGGCGGCGGCACTGGTGGGGGGATGTAGTAGCTGGCAGCCTGAGAGTGCAGGCGGATGTCTCTTGGTGCAAACCGCAAGCCACCACGAACCATGAAAGCTCAACACATGCTTCTGGCCTTCTTGGGCGGCGGAGGTTTTGGGAATGTAGCCTGTCAGGGCACGTTCAGTTGTGTCCGCTTCCCTTGTTTCCGTACCAGAGCTCGTTTCAGTCTCTCCGTCCTTGGATTGCGAGATTGGGACTGCCTCACGAGTCTCACGAGCCTCGCGCAGGGCAGAACCGGGGGCTCCCAAAAAGAGGCCAGCAGAGCCCAACTTGAGGTTTCCTCTCCGGCCTCCGGAACGGCAGCTGGCGGTTCTGGCGCCGCCTATCATAGTGCCAGCCGTCTCCCACATCCGACAGCTCAGTAGCTGTTGAACTTGCAGGGCCTCTGGAACTGGCGCAGGAGGTGGTGGAACCTGTCCCAACCAGCACACTTTCGCGAAGCGATTTCCTTCGACAACCCAACTCTGCTTGTGTTTGCACCAATGGCCACACACAGACACACACCCCAAGCTGGATAGCGCCCACCTCTGCGAAGGCGGGCGCTGCCACCTGCGGGGGAAGGTGGGCAGGGTGTCAACGGCACGTTCAAACGCAGCGGCAGGTGCACAAAACTTGTGCGACCCAATCAAGGTGCATGCACGGCCTGCTCCAACATCTCTGACTGCATGTATTCATATGGGTCATCCCGTTTGACTTCGCCCCGCAGCACCTCAAAGGTGTGGCCCGAGATCGCTTCTCAAACTAGCGTCAACAGGAGATGACGTTTCCACACGCCAGTAGGACGCGGACCCGCAGTTGTTCTTGGCGTTCCTCATCCTGCAGCACGACTTGCAGAAGGGAAACACATCACCAAGTGCCTACTGACCATCTCTGGAACGACAACCTACGACACCAATGAAAGACAATGGCCCTACAGAAGCTGCCTCCTGTCTCTGGCGTTCCTTAGCTCGCGTCTCCAGAAGACGCAGCTTCTCCTGACCGAGATCTGTAAAGCAGCACATCGATTCACACACTGGGTTGCAAACACTCCTGCGCATACAATGTTCTTCTTTTTCTGCAGAAAATTTAAGCCACGGTCACACGTCCTACGTTCTCATCCACTACCCTGCTCACTACCCTGCTCACTACCCTGCTCACTACCCTGCTCACTCTCCCGCTTGGCATCTTCTGGGGCGTCCTGCCGCTCAGAAGGCACAGGGGAACCCTGGGCCGAAGCCTGGAGCATGTTCGGCTCTGCTCCGGGTTGCCTCCAGGATGGGGCTGATCTGCTCGAGAAACCGCACCTACAGCTTTCAGGAAACGCTCTGCAAGATTCTCTGCAAGTGTGCTGCAAGTGCTCTGCAAGTTGTCGCATGTCGTCATCACGAGGCCCGCGCCTTCACTTTTTGAAGCTGCGCTTTCAGCTCATCCGGGGACAGCTCCCTGCAAGGAGTATGGGCGTAAGAGGCGTAGGCATAAGACTTGCTGAGACGTGCTGAGGCACCTCGCTGCTGCCGCTGATGGCAGGCCTCTGGTCGGATAGCCAGCCTGCAGGTCTCGCCGAGGGCGTGCATTAGGATCGTAAGAGGCTGCAAGAGGCTGCCTTCCCAGATCTATTCCGGCGTCCCCAGCCCTTTTCGTAAGTAGAGCATGAGAAGGCATGCATCGGAGCCACACGTTGCGAAACACGTTGCGTGGGTGCTCGCCATGCGCAGTTTGCAATGTTCATGAAATGTGCAGTGTTGCTGGAGGTTTCTTGTGTCAAGGATCATGCACCCATGCCCGAACGATGACTACACAGAATGCGCGATGTGGGAACCGGAGATGGTGACGACGTGCAGCACGCAATGTGTTTCGGAACGTGTCCACATACGCTCTGAACATCTCTGAACCCGAAAGCACCTCTGCCCTAACGACAAGGGGCAGAACCGCAAGCCACACTGGAACCACCCCCGAAATAGCACAGATGGACGGTGACCCCCTCCCTCCGAGACCTAGTGTGAAAGAAGGGAGACCCCGGGAGTTCTAAACATGAGAGGGGCATGTATCTGCATCATCTACCAGGATCTACCACTGACATGGGACCTTCCACAGCAGGTCCCGTAGCTGCAGCACCGTCATCGAGCGGGCCTCGACCCCCAAAAAAAGAAAAAAGCATCGCAGATGTCGAAGTGTCGAACTTGTGCTCCCCTCCACAGTGCCTCTGCCAATGTAGGGAGCGTTTCCTCGCGTGGGAGAGTTTGCACCCCGGATCACCCCGGTGAGGACACAAGCATGCCCCAAATCTCGGCCCCTACAGGACCAAACCACCGAACATTCAAGGCCAAGTCAAGTCGGAAGAGATCTTTCGCTGTACTAGCCAAGATGCAGTTTTACATGTTTTGCTGCGTGGTGGTCGAAGGTCCATTACACATGTCGCGACAATTATAGAGGGACAGAACTGATTGTGATCTACATTATGCACCGCACCGATTCATCTGGTCAGCCCATGCCCCCCAATGAACTGGCCAAGGTTCTCCCCGAAGGTCCACCATCCGCTGCACGCGTGTTCGCTCAACTTGGGTGGCAAATCGCCTCGGACTGAACCATTGTGAACACGTCCACGCGTAGTAGGAGGACAACCAAAGCCCCACTGATCCTGGAGTGAGTAAGAAAGCGTCTTATACTAGAGATACCAGTGGCCCACTCAAGCTAGAGTGCCAAATGTGCCAAATGAATGGGGTGAGGCACTGCCCCTCACCGCAAAGTATCAAGAAAGGATGGTGGCAACTCCCTTCAGACAATACTGCTGCACCTCACTGAACCTCTGAGCCCCAAGCTCTCGCTTCTGAAGTCGAAGCTCTTGTTGTCGCTGTTGCTGCGACTTTTGCTCCATTGCCTCCGAGGGTAGCTGGTCTCCCATGCGGGAATCATGATCATGCTTGCTTACTTGAAGCTTGGTGCAAAGCTCGGCAGACAAGGCCTCTTCTAACCGCTGCGCCCGCCTCGCCTGGCGCAGGACTTTGCAACTGGCTGTTGTCTACTCCTTCCCACCTCCAAACCGAAAAAACCGGGAGAAAGTCAGAGGCAGACGCAAGGCCTCCAGTCTTTGGAACACGAGGTTGCGCTCTCGTGTAACTTCCTGCAACCACCAAAACGCATTTTCACCAAGGAGAAGCCGAGACGAACTTCCGATGGAAGCACGCCAGCTGGAGCCTGCTTCCGCTGGTCATCATTCCAGCTCGCTGGCTTGGGCAGTGACGGTAGTGGCGCCTGAAAGAAAGAAAGCACGTTTGACAGGCGGGTTTTTTTCAGCTTCTTTGGGAGCAGTCCCCCAGCCTCATCTTTGTCAGCCTTCCCCTGCAAACGGGCCCGAGCCTGCAAGTGCTTCCGGCGCGCAAACCCTCGAGCGAAGCCAACCCAACAGCCACTCGACAGCCTAAACGCGGGTGAGGTTCCCTCTGGTAGAGCTTAAGCTCAAACGCCTGAGGCTTCAGCCCATTCTGCCCTCTTCCGTGCACTCGCACGCAGTGCCAGAACCTCTAGCATGCTCATTTCAAAATGTTGCATTGCAGGCATCCAACACGTCCAGGCCTGGTCCTCTTTCAGACGCCTTTGACAGCGCAGACTTTTTACTTGCATGTGGTTCCAACTTGGAAACTCTGCAATTCTCAAAGGACATTTAAGGACCCAGCCTGCGAGGTGGTCTCGTATCTTCCACCTGAGCAGCTCTTCGCTTTGCTCTGAAAGAGCCTAGTCTGTCCAGATACCCTACCCGGCCTCCTCGGAAGGCGCTGCGTGCTGTGCCTCCAAAACTTGCCAACGAAGAGACTCAGGCCCTCTGTTCTTGGTTTTCTTCTTCTCAAAGAAAAGAACCCCCCGCACCGTAGGGATGCGGTTTCAGAGTCCGGTGTCTTTTGAGAAAGCCGTTTTGGCCTCCCACGCTTTTTGTCCCCCCCGAGTAGTTGGGCAGGCTAATGCAAGTCTGTGAAGCACCCAAAGCTCTCTCTCTCTTCTCCCTCGTTTCTTTGTGTTCCCTCTCAGGCTCCGCTCCTGCAGCGTCACGGCGCCGCCTGGTTGCACAATTTGGCGCACAAGTCTTGAAGAGCTTCTGTAATGAGCACATCGACGCACACATCAGCGCAAACAAAACACCTCGAATAGGGAGCCGCCTCGACTCCTTCTCCACATGCTGGCCCCCATGTTGGGGGACTGCAAGCCCCAGGTCTCGGCAGCAAAAACAGCCAAACATCTCGAGAGAATTGTCTTGGTCAGATCTTGCCATGGACGATTCTAAGTCAAGACCAAGTGCGCGGCAAGTAAGGCTTCCGACGGTACGGAGGACACGAACAAACACAAGACCTGGGAACAGGCACCCCGTAACCAGTCGGCCGGATGTCCCTAATGTTCCCTAATTTCATCACAAGCCAAAGGCAACAAAAGCTGGTGGGGCATTGGGCGAATGTGGAATGAGTCGGAATGAGTGTAGAGCGTACTGCAGTGTATGGAGCGCATGTACGAGGTGTGTATAGGGAATGAAAGCAGAGCGGGCAAAGGGAGATCGCGGAAAAGTTGTCATTGGCATAATGACACACCTCTCAACGCCCACGGCACTTGCCACATGCGGTATGTTTCTTCTACAAAGTAAGGCCCCACGCTCCTGCTGCTTTCGCCCAGCGTCGAAGCGAGGCTGGCCTTCCGGAACAGGCCCATCTGAGAATCTCTTCTTCTGAAGTGTCGTGCTATGGTGTGCACGCGGTATGGGTTAGGTCAGTTAGGTCCACAGGTATAGGATGGTGGAAGTGGGGATGAGCTGACCATCGTTGAAGCTGCCCTTCGCCACAGCACCAACTGTTGCAAGTGCCCGTCCTCCCTGTGGGTGGGGTGTGGCAGCACAGAAACGCGCATTAAGAAACTCAGCACATGATTTAGCATGCTGCTCTGGGCTGAAGGCACACATGGTGCACTCACCCAGGTCGATTGCCAGAAGGCTTGTCATGGAGAAGCCCTCTCTGCATCTACAAGAGAAAGGAAGCTTCATGTCCCTGAACCTCCTACGACACAACTGCTGGAGATACCCAGCTCGAGCCCCCGAGAGGCTCGAACAAGATGCTCCACACATCTCCACACTCCTGCTCATATCGCGGTGCCTTGGCGCATCGCCGAGCAGCTCTGGATATGCCGGACATTCCAACATCTGCCCCGGGCTTATACTTAGATAGTTGTTCCAGGCCTTGATTCGGCACCCTTTCTGACACTACTTGGGATGCACGAGGATTCAGTTTTTGCTTGCTTGCCATCGAGCAGAGCTCGACTATTCGACTTGCTTGGTAAGAGCTGTAAGCCAGACCAAGGCAGAGTTCCTGCCAGCTGAACCTGCACCCATGAGCAGACTTGCAAAACAAGCCAGTACCGTGCTCCTGAGCTCGAGCGAATTGCTGGCGGCTGCGCTCCTTCACAGCTTACAATACAGCTGCTTCACGCCCAAACCCGAAGCATAACCTCAGTCACGGCACGCCTCTTCCTCCTCCTTCTTCTCCGCACGTCGCTTGTCCGCCAGGGTCTTCATGAACTCCTGGCACTTTGGCTCCATGGTACACTTAGGGTTGGCTTGCACACCTTTGTTTTGAGTCTCTCTTCCCCTTCAACCCGTATCTCTGCAGCATGCTTCGCGCGGACATTTTTCACAATGCGACACGTCACCGCTCTCGCAGAAAGACGCGCAGCCGCGGCCTGGGAGACAAACTAAAACTAGCAACAGTGCGCAATGCCTACCGACTGGTTAAAATAACTCAACTGTGTTCCTACTGCAAGACTGGGTGCCAGTCGTTTTTCTGTAGTCCTTTATGATCGCACGCTTCTTCGTTTGCCTTCCGAGGGGGCCTTCCGAAAACGGACTGTGCAGTTTTGTGCAGTCCAAGACAGGAACTTGTGAAAGTTGTGGAACTCCAGCCTGTATATTGCGGAATGGCCGAGATGTAGCGAACCCTCTTGATCTCAGCTCCGACAAGACACGACAGCAACCAAAGGACCGCAAAGGCTGAGCTGTCTCCACGTGTCTCTACACAGAGGCTCGGCTTCCCACGTTCTTGAGGTACCTCAGAGAACAGGTGTATGTGCTAACTCAGAGAGCGCGGGGTTGGCCCCAGAGTGTGGCTCTCAACACCTTTGCAATCAAGAAGCCGATGCTTGGCCATCTTGAACCGCCCCCGGATCTTCGTTGAGACTCCTCGACGCTGTAGGCCCGGCATTCGCGCTGGCAACGCCCACCGCTCCTCGCACACCCAGAGCTGTGCTGCGTCAGCGCTTATATGACTGTATGAATATCGATTTCCGGCCTGCTTCGGCATCAGCGTCGGCACCTGCTGTACTTCAGCTTCTGCTCTAACCATCTAGCCATGTTGACTACACTTACTTTGACTTGCTTTGGCCCTGTGCACGCTCTCGACAGGCCTTCGGCACATGCGCAAGCGGATGCAGGCATGCGAGGCCGGAGAACCGGCATATGGAGGCTGTTTTGAAACAGCTCACCTCGCTTGCAACAAGCAATTGAGACGTCTCGGCCACCTTGGACCTCGTTTCCTCGCTATTAGGTTCCTGCCTGTGCACGCGCCACGGGCTGAATAGCGGAGATAGATGCCCGGAGCGTTGCCAAGCAGCGGTTGAACATGGCTCGGAAACGGCTCGGAAACGCCGACAGCTTCCAGGCTTTATGTGAACTTGGAAGGCATACTGTTTTACTGTTTTACCCCGTTGTGTCTTGTTGTGCCTGGGCTCCAGGTGTTGTGGCGGTTTTTGGTGGTTGGCACAGCACATAGTGCTGGGAAAGCTTGACTATGCTGCTAGAGCCATTCGACGTCGCTTCTCGCTTCTCGGCACCCCAGTGCATAAGGAGAACTTCCAACTTCCGGGATTCAAGAAGTGAGCTCACACCGAGTCCTTGTCGCTGCCCTCGCTTGTGGTGCGCGGCCGCTCTGCCTGAAAAATGCGAAGCTGCAGGACAGAATTCAAACACTATACAAACACTATACAAAGACTACAAAGACAGGCGGAATCTCGCATGCCGAGGAGCTGCTGGAGCCTTTGGAATTGCAGGCTGCATGGGGGCAGGAGGTGTCGAACGCCTCTCCATGCCCTGCAGGCCCCAGCTTTGTCTCGACACATTTCAACTCATTTCAACACCACCCCTCCAAGGTTTCAAGGCGGACTGCCGGATTGCGGGGCTCTCCTTGTCGCTGTCCTCATCCTTGCGGCGCTCCACCTTGCAGATCAGAACATGCCCAAGGCCCCAGCAAAGAAGCCATCCAAGCATGATGCACTCGGCAGCCGACAACAGGTGTGGGAGTCGGCGCAGGTGGAGGGGGCAGAACAGGACGCTTCTCCGAGGCCTTGACAAGTGGCAAAAACAAGAAGCTCCTCATTCAGGCGAGCCATCGTCGTAAGGGTGCGGCCGGTATGGGTGCCCCAATGGGCCGGGACATATTGGAGGACGACGATGACCCCCCCTCAGAACGTTTGCAATTAACTCCCACCCGCCTCCCACTCAAAAGAAACCACCGCAGCCTTTTCTCGTACATTTTCCCGAGAAGTGTCTGCCCTTTGTGGGTCCAAGGGCAAGGAATCACAGCCCAGGTCTGCATTTACACTGGCATACAGCTGTGTACAAGAGCCGTGGGTTGCCAAAGGCATCTGCAGCAACAATGCAAATGCAAAGGAACGCCACCGGAAATTTCTTGAAGCACTTTGCACACAGACTGAGAAGGCCAAGGATTGCAGCCGGAAGGATGCCATCGGCCTCCTTCACAGCTGGCGCCGTGAACCTTGCGCGCGTTGCGCAAGGCCGGCGCCTGTCCCGATTGAGCACTCTCTCGAGGACTTTTCGTTATGGAGTTTGCTTGTTTGCTTGTCACACCACCTCTGATGCCTTTGAAGGGCCAGCATGAATGATGCCAGTGTCTATAATCATGCAAGAGCCGCCGGAATAGGAACTGCAGTGAGGAAGTAACTAAGTAACAATGCAAACTATGTGAATCTGCATGAAACAAGTGAGCAAGGACTGCTCAGAACAAGCAAGAGAAAGACAAACGCGATCATCATAATCGCATTTGATACCCTGACCTCCGATCAGCTCTACGGTTCGCTTCCAAATATTTGAATAGATGACCTATAGCAGAGAGTAACGCACGTCATCAGTTGTGGCTGACGAGGAGGCCAGCAGGAAGCCTTTCCGCGAGGCGTCGGAGACACGGATTCAGCTACTGCGTCGAGCCATCCGCGGGACAACTGGATGAGCAAGGGGGCAATGTTTTTTGTGGCTCTCTACAGCTGAAACCGCTGGCATGCTCCGACCATCAAAATCCAAGAAATTTGGTGTTAACTTCGTGTTGAGGACTGTCTGTTGGGGTCTTCTTCCAACTTTAGCAGCTCAACCATCATAAGATGTGCTGTTTCAGCCCTCTTGTAAAGAATTTGCATCACGTCAGCTGCCAGTGTATTCCGGCGCCTGGGCGAGGGGTGAACTGATGCCACGCCTCCAGAATCTCAAGTAATCTCAAGTAAAGGAAACACTCGGACGTGCCGCACCTCACGGCCGCGCGGAAAAGTAGACGCCTCTGGCACCTTGCCGTTGTAGATCCCCAAGAGTGTGGGCCTTGCGGTTTGGAGATGGAGTTCACGGGATGCATCGTGACATACTCACGAGTGCTACGCAATCTGCGCAGAGAGGGGGCATGACGGACTGTGGGGAGTTGAGAAAGTTTTTGAATAAGCACTCAAGAAGACACTGACGAGAGACCACATGACAGAATATGTGAAAAGCAACAGACTTTACAAGATTTCAGAATGAGGGGAAGCGCAAGACAAGCTAAACCAGTTCCAAGCTCTTCCAGGAAGCATTCACGCCGACCCTGCGCTTGGGCTCGCTCTTCCGCAGGAACTCCGCCAGTGCCGGATTGGGCGAACGGGGCTCCAACTTCGGCTCCCAGCGGACAGCGGGCTCCACCTCCGCGGTCAAATCCGCAGGCGTCTCTGGCTCATGCTCGGCTTCGTCCTCTTCATCTTTCTCATCCTCAACGGGGATACATCATGATGTAAGGGAAATGTTCTTCCCATGTATAATAACAAGCCCTGATGCGTGCTTTGGGTTACCTATGGTTCCCTTCTTGAAGCCGAGCCACCCATGTGTCATCCTGCGTGTCTGCAGGAAGCAGCGGTGAGGACGGCATTCGCAAGACCAGGTTGGCAATCTCCGCTTTCTGGAAGCAAGTCTCTGCCCATTCGACCCACTCAGCCTGCGGATCAAACGACCAGGGCGAGTTCTGATGAGGCGAAGAAAACATAGGAAAGCAGGTCATGATGCGTACACAAACATGCATATTTGCAAGCGCCGGTGCATGCAAGCATGCATGGATGCACGCATGGATGCATGCGTGCCAGCATGCGAGCAAGCAGGCGAGCCATCAAGCATCCGTGACACGATGGTGTGTGTTATGGTTCATCTTGACACAGGCAACTCCCCCAACTCCCCCTGCCCCTGCAGCCCCCACAGGTGCTGAACTTCAATTTGTCAACCATTTACTAAGGAGTCACCCCCACTTTACAAATGTAAAGCATTGGCTTCCAGTACGCCTAGCCGGCATCATGTGCCTGCGTCAGAAGCCCATCGTGGTCCACGTCGGCTTCGTCGAAGATAGCCTCTATGCCTGGGCGGGGGGGGCGGGGGCACGTTGAAGCAGCACCCCAAAATATTCTCCATATTCTTCCCGTCCAGACATGTCGAGGGTCGCTCGATGTCGATCTCCAGATGCGGCGCCGTATCTGCAAGCACCTGGTGACAATGGCGCAAAATACACGGCCATGAAGGGGCATCTATTGATTGGCAGAGGAAGCGAATGAAAATCTATCATGGAGGGCCAACGGCAGCATTTGAGGGTGAAAGCTTTGGCTGCTCTGAACTGCTACCCTATAGGCGCAAGGGACTACAAGGAACTCGGATCTGAATAGCAACAGCTCACTTTGCAACATTGCTCACTCCCACCGGCCTTCTCCATCTCGGCCTTGTCAATAGCCTCATGTTGCGGATGGCAGACATAGGCCCCTCCGTAACAAACAGGAAAACCGTCATCCCCAAATACCTGAAGTTGCGAATGTTGCGAGACCAGCCTTGTCGCCGTTGACATCGTAGGACTGGAAGATTTGAAGGAGCACTTTGTCCTTCACTCCTTGGAAAAGCTACCTCTAGATATTTGGAAAGAACACCGGATACCCACGAGAATATGAAAAAAAGGAAAACATATAACCAAGACCAGACTATACTGACATAATCATACCTATCGCCCCGTACACTGCCCACACACCACAACAACAGCACTCGCTGCCCCAAGCAGCTGGACCAAGGATGCTGGGCCACATCTCGAGCCTTGTGCTTTCCGAGCTGCTCTTGGTCCTTGCTCGCCCGCAAAACACTCCGGGCATCAATGAAGAAAACAGCAAAGAAAAGCTCCTTGCCTTGGTGTCAGATTCAGCTTGATCCGCTGCACGGGCAACCTCAGTGCGCAACAGCTGAGATCATGGCAACACTATGGTCGCTTAGTGCAGGTGAAAGCAGGGGGAGGAACCCAAAACAGACAATAAGGCACAACAGCCAAGTACGCCTTGAAAGTCTTGTCTGCTTGGTGACAAGACTGGTAGACTTTCTGTACAACATAGCAGAAACATGCACCTTGCATTCAACAGAGAGGAGGAGGGGGAAACAATCGCCTCGACAAACTGCCCAACAAATTTCGGCCCTCAATCTGGAAAACCCTCGATGAGCGACGAAGCAAGTAGCCTGCCAATGACCACTGAGCACAACAGTTGCTACATCTGATCTTCACATCACTGAAAAATGCGCTCAGTGAGGCTCTGGGCCTACCCCGTGCTCCCCCCAACACAAGCTGATCATGAGAAGCTCTTGTGCCAAGCAACGGAAATCTCTTCGCCGGTCGATGGCAAAGCACGTGCAGATTCGTAGCCTGAGTGGAGGTAGAAGCATGTTGCACAGCCCATCAGCACGTTCCAGACACGGCACAAGGGCCCTTAGCCGCAGGAGTTTGGGGAGAATTCTTGGGCAATCGTCCCAGGTGCACGCTTTGTCGGGAACTTCGGGTCTCCGGTCTGAAATGGGTATTGGGTATCCCACATACAGCGGGACCCAAGGAATTTTGGGGTCGACCACCATACACGATTTTGGATGTCCACAGGAGAGCAAGTGGTCAGCCTGACTTTTGTGGAAGTCTTTCTGTTGCATGTGTGGACCCCCATGGTCTCATGGACCCATTATCGATCCTTTTTACGAGACATGCCCTGAACGGTTTTATGCCCCCCCCCCCCGCCCGTGGTGACTCTTGTGGAAGTTGATGCTCCATCTGGACCTACGTGGACGCGTTACGATCGCCCGCGGACCTTGATGCGGACTCCCCTTCGAACTCCCCCCCTTAAAGGCAAGCCAATGACCATGATTATGAGTATTTGGAACCAGGAGTGTTCTACACAGGTTGGCACGCAGCTGCTTAGCATCGTCCAGCGGCTGCTGGACTCCCGCGTCTTCTTCGGGGCTTTGACGCCCAGCGCGCCAGCCTCCAGGAGGTCCTATGCCCAAGGAGCAAAAGGAAGCCGCAGAGGTTTGGAATGCACATCTTGCCCACAAAATCACAAGCTTCTAGATGAAAAGTCACTGAGAGAGCTCCCCCCAGTGGCTCCTGCGCTCCCAAGCTCCGAATGGATTCTTCGATGTCCACCTCTCGGAGCAAGATATCGCGTCCTACCTTCTTTTGCTCCCCACCGCTTCGGCAAGCAGTCTGCAAGCAGTCTGCAAGATTGTCCCGCCGTTTCCCGTTTCCCACCTGCAATGTGTCGGCAATCACATCCACTTTGAGCACACCCTGGAAGGGATCCTGTCGCAGGTGAAGCATTCAGCAGCCCGACTGGGTAAGGAATTCTCATGCTTCTCGTGCCTCGATGACAAGACCGATCTCGAAGATTCCAAATAAGGCCCAGCTAGCAAAACCTGGGGCACACTCACAAAACCCCCCAACTGCATCCAAAAGGGGTGCATGCACAGAAGAAGTGCAGACCCGTGCAGTCAGGTCACATGTGACTGGAACCGTATAGGGGCCAAGCACATCCACCAAGGCAAATGGAAGCCTTGGTGCGAGTCTGATGAATTTGCCAGACCTTCACGCGGTCTCTGCAAATGCTTCTGCAGCCACGGAGCGTGAGCATGAACAGGGACAGAAAACGCGATGTGTGCCGCACGTAGCCTGACAAATTCGGGGCTTCGAGCTTCGGCTCCCCTGTCACAAGACTCCAGACTCCCCACAAAAAAGAGCCGACAAAAGAGAGCGAGCGAGAGAGATTTCAAGGAAAGAAAGAAAGTTGAAAAATGATCTGCCAATGCCGTCGGCGCCACTCAGAGGGACCGGTGTCTGGACCAGGCGTTCACAAGCCCCGATGGTTGAGCCTCACTCGCTCCCGTCTGATTGCTTTGCTCGCTTCCGGAAGTGTGGTATTCTATGGTCTTCTGCAGATGTGGCGTCGAGATACTTGGAGGCATGGTGGGTTTTCTGAATCGTGAGGACTAGAACACTTCAAGAACGGAAGGTCTCAAAGGCTCTGGCTGAGCTTCTCCAGATTTTGCATGAGCTGCGACCGCTCACGATTGGTGTACATGGCCTGACCACAAGCAAAAGAGATGTGTGGCTTTCCCTCTCTGCGGCTTTCTGTTCAACAACTTGAGAGCAGGGCAGATGACAGCTAGTACTCCAGAGCTTTTGGGTTGACAGTTCTTGTAGCAACATCTGCAGGGCCAAAGGTGGGCGGGGGTCACCAAAGGTCACGAGGCCCGCGCCCCCAAGGAAGATCGGATGCGGTGACACCCCCCCCCCATGTGACCGTAAATACCTAGGATACCCAGAGGAAGGTCACCTCAAGTCGCTTTTGCTGGCAGGACAGGAAGGTTGCAAACAAGAACCCGCAAGCTCCGAGGAGCTTTCGTGACTTTCCCTGCAACATGCTCTGCCTGTGGGCCCTCGCCATTCGGCACGGACCGGACGGCATGAGCCAACCTTGGGCAACGCATTTCATGGACAGGGCACGACGCCAGCACGGCCACAGCCACACATGCCACATGGTCTTGCAAATCAGCAGCACAGTAAGGTTCGCGAAACACCAAGAAGCTGGTTGACGATGAAGAGAGGTCTGTTGGAGCACATGGGCAGGGTGTAGTCATGTTGGACGTTACCTGGAATGCAGAGCTGCGAATCTCTGGGGGCATGTCAAGAGGACTCAGGGACTCAAGGCTCCGCTCTTCCTATCCTCACTCTGTGCATTCTTCGCTTCCTATCCTCACCCTACTGGGACCGCAGCTTGCCAGCTCACCCTTGGCACCGATCAGGCGTTCCAACTTGGAGCGCATGACCCGGTCCTTCATGAGTTTTCATGCAGTCTCACCACTGTTGATGTCCAGCGCTTGTATATGATGTCCGGACAACGGCCGGACGTTTCGGGTGTCGGGATTACAGGGGCTTCCGGCCTTTTTGCCACGCAGATGCTCGATCATGCAGTATGGGAATGCTTGCACCAATCGGCCTGGGTTCATGGGCTGAAAAAAACTATCTGAGATGACAGCTCACAACCGGGAATGGGGACTACTCCTTTTGACCCCATCACGCCTAATTAGCAGAGCTGCACACGTGAGCTGAAGTTTTTGGCCCCATCTCCGTGCGAAAGAGGATGGCATACCGCGACACGTCCCTCGATTCACAGCTCTCAAACACCGCAAACACGAACGCACAAAGACGCCGCACCTTCCCAAGTCCAAGATCCGCTGCCAAATCTGACGGCCCTCCCAGAAACGCGAGTAGGCCTCACTCACTGACAGGCAGCGTGCAAGCAGACTACAAGGCAGCCAGCCACCCGTGCAACGCATCGCAACGCATCGCAACGCTTGCATGACTTTAACACTGGCTGTCCGAGAAACAGTGTTCGTCCGGAAAACAAGCAGGAGACCCAGAGCAGAGACCAAAAGCGCATGGCCGGTGGTGCTGGCGTGCCAGAACTTTCCCTTGCAGGCGATTTGTTGCTCGCATTTTTTGGCCTTATAGGAATCATGTATGTTAGATACTCCATACGATCAACTCTTCCATAACGTGAGGGCCTTCGGAATCAGGTATCCGTGAGCCAAGCAGACCATGATCGCCACCCCAGTGGTGCAAAGCACGGGGCTCAGAATTCGACGAAGAAGGTTGGAAGACCACAGGCCACGAAGGTTGGCGACCCAGTCCTTACACACCAACTCGCAGTTATATTTAGTTGTGCATTATATGTATCATGCCAGACTAGGTGTTGCGCGTGAATCGTTCGATGTATAGAACACTTAATACTCATTTTGTTTCTACGTTCTTGTGTGATTGTATGCTACACATTGCAGATTCTGAATAATGGATTCTACATGATGTAGTATACATTATCTACTTTACCTTGTACTGTGTTACGATAGAAATAATACATTTTCCCTTGCTCTCTCCGTCTTGTGCCCGCTTCCCGACTACAAGAACCGTATGGATCCCGCGGAACTGAAGCTCTGCCCGGCTGAGCTTCTGCAGGTGCGCGTAGAGACATGCGAGATACTCTTGTGACCTCTTATGCACGTACATGGGCGTCTCATTGAATTAGAGATGCTGCTGCGTTTCTTGCGCCGACCACAACCTTGATTGGTAAGTTCTCTCTCCGAGGCGCCACTGAGGTATACCTGCGCGCCCTGGACGCGCCCTTTGGCTGTGAGCTGCGCCGCTCAGCACGGAGTCCTCCTGGACAGGCAAGTAAATCGACCAACACCATACATCTTCTTACCACTTCCAGCTTCAACCCCCAACTTTGAATGGCACTTTATGGCACTTTACGTGCAAGAAACAGTTTGCTGAGCTCCTCGTATTTGCACGTTGTTGCGACGAAGGGGTGACCGACAGCGCTCGACGGCGACTGCAGATGCAAGGGTGGCAGTGGCAGCCGCCACGACATGGCCATCAGACCCTGCCAAAATGTTGCAATGCATACAGGCACCGAGGCAGTTCAGCATGACAACATCCCTGCACATCGTTCTGCACTCTTTCTGCCGACTGGTGCAGTGCCCGACGTGCCTGACCAGACTCGGTGAACTTCGCAGCGCCCGCAGCGCGCACAGGGCGGCAGCGGCACCACCCGAGAATGTGAGCTCAGGGGTTGCATGCAACTCATGGCCATCTGGTGCAGCCATCCGCAAGTTGCAGGTCAATCCTACATGGTATTACATTCAATGGCACTACTGACATCAAGAGTAGGTCTTAATGCGTTCACTGATTCATCATGTTCAAATCACAGTTTCACGTCGCGAGAGAGCAAAGTCTCTATCATTGCCAAGCTCATGAAGAAAAAGCGAACTCTCAGGTCCGATGCCTGAATGCAAGGCATGCAGATACTGCTGTAGGAAGCTCTGGGACAGTCGCCACTCCCAACGATGGTCCCGACCCAGATCCCGAGCACCTGCGGCCCTGACGTTGGCACATTTTAGCACACCAAGTGCACAAGCATGCAGCTAGGATTGCGCCTTCGGATCCGATCCCAGTGACGGAAACTCCTCCTCGCCGCCACTACACAGCCGCTACCAAAAACCAAAAGATTATAAATCTCACTGCGAGAGCTCACGGCGAGAGCTCACTGCAAGCACCTACCCTTCATTTCGTTGGCATGTCTGGGCATGTCAGAGGCGCTCCTGCTTCTTCTCCACGGGCTCCTGCCAGGCGGTCCCAGGTGCGGGCTGAGCCCATGGTGCCGGCCTTTGAGAAAGCTTGACATGGCAGGGATTCGCAACGCAGGCGCTGCTTGAGCCGCTTCACGAGCTGCTCAGATGCCAGGTCTCCCCTGCCTGGGCCCCGCTTGTGCGGACAACGAGGTCCTTCCGAAAGGCTTTTGACTCCCGATCTCTGCTCTGCAAGGTTCCTAGCTCCACACCTTCCCCAAGCCGTGGGCCGCAGTTGGGCAGGCTGCGACGTTAGCCCCACCCGCGGGTTCCTGCCACGACAGCTTCAGGAATGTCAGAAAAGCAAAAAAAGCAAGACAGACAAAGAACGACGACCCCAAATAAGCCAAAGTCGCGTTGGCTGAGACTCCGGTTCTTCCACATCCTGCTTGTGGCACTTGTGGCAACATGCCGGTTCATGCTTCACCTGCCCCTACAACAGGAGAATAGGCGCAAGCTCCTCCTTGGGCCGACCCCAGCCACCTCCTCCGGCAGGCACCAAGCGAATACCAGGATCCTGAAATGACACTCACGGAGCTCACAACGATCCCTCAAAAAACAATGCGCTGAACACACCGGCCTGGCCCTCGTTCTCGGACTTCAAGGACCCCAACTGCACGGGGCGAGGAACCTCCACCCTGCCATTCAAGGCGATGCAGCAACTACAACCTTGCAAACTAGCAGCATCTAACAACCAATCAAAACGCTTCACATGTACAAACGTCAGCCCAAGTTACCGAGGCGCCGCGTTGCGCGATTGCCTCAAATTGGAAAACCCGACCAACACAAACTCAGACTGATGTAATGGATATGACGGCTCTAAGTCGCGTGCCACATCAGGCAGACGACTTGGAGGGGAATCACGCGAAATGGCCAGGAAGCTGAAATCGGCCACAAGAGATGATGGCTTCACAAATTTGTCGCAATCACTTCCATGTGTTCCCTTCGAGTAGGCAAAAAAAATGCGCGAAAGATGTGAAGGACAAAAGCCTTCAGCAAAGCCCAAGCCCCACCTTCAGTCAAGGAAAAAAGCCTTCATTAAAGGACTGAAGCCCAACCCAGGTATAAAGCCATCAGTAAAGGACAGAAGCCCAAACAGTAAATGACTAAAGCCCAACCCTGGCCAACCCCTCACCTGTGACGAAAAAATATTCTCACTTGTGCCTGTTTTTCCTCGCTTGTGACTATAACATGTTCTCACTTCTGGCTTCTTTAAGCTCACTTACGACAATAAATTCTAAACAACGCAGCTCCCGCTCGAGAGGGGTCAAAAACTCACTTGCGTCTATTTTTTGGGGGTGGCTCACTTGTGACTATCTTGTCGTAACAAGTGAGTCTTGATTCTGGGAATTCGTTACAAGTGAGCGGGGGGTGCTGCTCAACAACAGGGGGGTCGAAAGGACGTGCTCCCCAACAACACCGGGGTGTGGGGTGGAGGGGGGGGGGCCCCAACAACAGCGGGGTGTGGTGGGGTGGGGGAAAAAATAGGGAAACTGTATGTTCTAGGGTCTGGGTCGATGTACGTTGTCGTGTCTGGTTTGACATTATCTTTTCAACACTGTCTCCTACTTGCTGTCTCACCTAGTCACCTACTTCGCTTCTTATTTTCACTCTCTAGGGTCTGTATCCTTCCTATGGTCGCCTACTTCGTTTTGTCTTTGCGTCCTCTGTCTCGTTCTCTTCTCGTCTCTCGCTACTTCGCCCTCTTGACAGACCTCATTTCAGTATTTGTCGCTCCTGTGTCGTTCCGCTTTTTCAGCCTAGTAGATATTCGTAACATTTGGTTCAGGTGTCTTGTTCGTATTTTCGGCCTCTGGGTTAGGCTATAATTGATTTTCGATAGGTGGTTCGTAGGAAAGCCTATCATAAAGCCTAGTCTGGGCTTAGTGTGGGATACACACTCGCAAACTTTGGGTTATTTCTAGGGTTTATGGGTGGTTCTTGTGATGTTGAGCAACATCACCGACGTCATCATTGGAGAGGTGCGCCTGACCTGTTTTAGTCTTTGGTTGGGAGAGCAAGTGAAAGTCAGCAGAGCATCAAAAGCGAGCATTCATTCACGGTTTTGCCTCAAGCATTGTATCGCTAGTGTTGCCAGCCATTGTCCCGACACTTTGCTTTGAAGATGGCCGCTGCCAGTAGCAACGCCAGAGAATGACGGTGACGAAGGGCGCATCGTGACCGACTTGATTCAAGAGGACAAGAAGTCCCAAGAGCGCTTTGAAAAGTTGATGGCAGAGCTTCCCGAAGATTTCGTTGCGAAGATGGCTACACTCACCCTCGGAGAAGCACGCGACGCCATGAATGACCTAAAGGATGAGAAGGACACCATTCGACCTCCACATCATCCCCGCCATTGAGAACTTCCTTGAGAGGAACCACAAGAAGATGATTTTGACGGACAGGGACAGGGGCGACATTCTTCCCGACATCGCCGTTCCCTGTTTGAGTCGTGCGTCGTGAGCGGTGATGTCATCAGTACCTCCTTGCTTACCGCCTAGGTAAAGGTGAAGAAATCCTAAGAAAGACCCCTGGGAACAGGAGATGCGAACCTTTGCTTTGAGTAGATGGTGCAAGGAGACCCCCTAAACCTAAAAATAACACACCAAGTTATTGCTTAAAGCGAAGGCGTGGCATGAGTAACTGGTCTTGTGAGCAACTTGAGACCCTCGCACTGGCGCGAGAAAGTTGAGAGCTTCAGACTTGCTTTGAGAAACTTGAGTGCTTCAATCTTGAGTGGGCAGTTTGAGCCATTTGAGTCATTTGAGTGTTTCAGACTTGCGCGTTTTCACTTCTGTTTAGGTTTCAATCTTGCATAGATTAGATTTTAGGGTTAGAAGTCCTAGCAATGTCGGCGGTCACGAAGGTTCAGGACAGTGTCGCGGCACAGGCAAAGCACTGGCAGACCCGAAGGAAGCGTGAGCTTGAAGAGTTGCGCAGCTTTATCACTGAGTGCGACCTTTCCGAGATGTTCCAGCATTTCCTAGAGAAGAAGAAACAACTACTTCATCCTAGCGGTGATGGAGGAGATGATGGCGACGACGCAGACCCAGGAGGTGATGATAATTCGGATGAGGAAACGGGAAACCTGAAGGTGATGTATCAGAGCAAAACCGGTCCGATGAAGGAGACAGCCCTAAAGGTCTTCTTTGGGGACGACTTCCTTTGTTTGAATATGAGGCACCATCTTCGCCACCATGGAGCATCCACAACGACAAGCCCTTCATCACGGTCTTCATCCACGTCGCATTCAAGAACACCACGGAGAGCATCACGGTCTTCGAGAACGAGGAGATAGCCACCATCAAGAAAAAACTCAAAGTTAAGAACGTCGAGTTAAGCAATAAACAAGAATTCAGTATGACAAATACAACCCAACCAGAGCGTGTAAATATATTGAATTCCCTAAGAGGATAGCTACTAAGAAAGCATGTATTAGTATTAAGAACGACGACGATTATTGTTTCAAATACTGCGTCCAATCAAGATTTTATGAGATTATGAAGAAAGACCACCCCGACAGGATGTATCATTACAACAAACTCAAAGAAAATGAAAATTTGATAAAATGGGATGGTGTACTGGAATTTCCAGCATCAAACGAAGACATTGACGCCTTTGAAGACATCAACGACGGAGCTAAACCGGTTAATGTTTATGACATTGACCATAGCAGCACCAATTCAATAGTATTAATTAGTGAAAATACTAAAATTAAAATCCATCATGTCATGTTAATTTCCTGCTAGTAGAGGAGGAGAACGAACGCTTCACCAGAGGCACGCGAGTATCGTGTCAATAGCCACTATGTTTCAATGATATAAGACTACAGTCGATTAGGAAATAGTCAAATGTCTAAACATACGCGTAAAATGTTTAGTTGTATGTGTTGTCAGCATGGCTTCACAACTGAGAAGCTACTAAACAAACATTTAATCAATGGATGTGTGACACATGAAACTCAACAAACAGTAATGCCAAAAGAAGATGAAAAAATGAGCTGTCAAAAACAATACAAGAAACTTAAGTGCCCTTATGGTGACTTTGAGTGTCTTACAACGCCTTTATCAGAAGGAATAGAAAGCACATACGTGAATGAAAATGGACCTAAGCCACTGAAAGGGGCTTACCAACATCATAAATCATAAACCATGCAGTTTTATGCTAAGTGTAGTGAATAGCACAATCAACGAAGCAACACCGTATTTATACAGAGGCGAAGATTGTAGGGACAGATTTTTCAACCATTCATAAAATCAAAGAAGAGATTATGGACAAGATGAAGGAGAATAAGAAATCACAATGGACGACAAAGCAACAAGAAGAGCATAAAAAAGACAAACATTGCTTTATACGCGGGTCACATTCAACGGTCAATACAGGGGCGCCGCACACAACAAATGTAATTTAGGTTATTGTTTCAAATACTGTAAACCCCCGGTGTTTTTCATAACCTTAAAAATCATGATGCTCACGCCATATTATCGCATACGGAGAAGTTAAATCAAAACAAGGACCAGACAAGCGTAATAGCACAAGACAGCGAGAAGTTTATAACCTTTACAGAGATAATCTAGAGTTTAAGACAGCTTTAGTTTCTTATCTTCATCATTAAACGCTACAACACCACTCCTCCTACCAACAGTGACGCGACAACTGCAACAACCACAACAAGCTGCAACCGCACCAGAACCAAATGTTCAACTGGAGCCTCGGACGGCCTCGAGAGGCTTGGAAATCTGAGGCTCGAAGATGATGTTGCAAGCCAAGTGAACGCTCCAACTATTTAAACCTCAACATGTGACACAATTCACAACACTGTAGAACAACGCATACAAAAAGCAAAATTGTTGCTGGGTTGGAAAGCTCTGCAGTGGATCAGTCCAAATTTGTTCTCTGAGTCTAAGAGGTCATTTCCAACATGGCACAGCTGGCTCCAAGTTATCTTCATTCTCACTTGTTGAAACATCTCGGGCGCGGCGCGTGGAGCGGCGCGGTGACCGCTTGAGAAGTAGCGCCCCTTCGGGACGCCGCCGCAGGCGGCAAGAAACCCACCTTGCCAAATACCCCGACATCAATTCCGAAGCCTCTCTAGACTTGCCAAGCACACATCAAGACGTCTTTTCTGCAAGATTCCCGGGCGCTTCACTTGTCATCGTTGAACAACAAACTGCACTGGAATTCGCGGGCCCAAGAAGCAAGTGGGGTGGAGTGTGCGGTGCTGCTCCAGCACATACACATACATTGTACATGCAAAGACATCAACGTCTAAGAAATTTCATGTGGAAGCTGGATTGAAGACAAGGACGAAGGAAGCTTCAAAGGCTCCGTCTTATCAACTTTTCTGATTTTTCGAATGGAAAGAAGGGAAAAAGACCAAGCCAGAATTGGTTTACTCATGGGGTTTTTAAGAGCCTTTCAAGGGCTTGCAAGGCTGACAAAATTCCAAGATCCCTTAGCTTGCTCCGCGCATGAATTTTCAAAATTAGCCTTGAAAAACTTTGATTTATTGGCTGTGCTTTTTGTTTGTTGGTAAAATTTAGAGGCGTATGATCTGTCCAAAGCAGCTGCGTGCACGTCTTGTCATGTCTTTTGAAGTTACGCTTCAGTCGTCAAGTTGACCAACATGGCTTCAACGTTTTCCGTGGTGCGCAGAGTCGGCCTGCTGGACTTGCAGAATAAGAACGGATTTGGACAGCGAATGTTATGCAAGTCCGAACTCATTCGAAGCAGGATCATCGAGGCCTAATTTTCAAGGTCCCTCGAGATAAAACTTGGCAGCAAAAACAGTCTTAAGCATTCGAGGCCCCTCGAGTTCCGTCGTGATGTTTTGAAGAGTGAGAATGAAGAGGACTTGGAGCCAGCTGCAGCTTAAAATTCAATTCTTTTCACATGAAAGGAGAGGTCGTCCGGGCTCGGGGGAACCCCTTTAAAAGAATTTTAAGTGCGGGTCCCCGAGACCTCGTCATCTTGCAAGCTAAAGGGGTTTTGGGATTTTGTCGAAGCCTCGCGAGGCCTCGAAAGGCCTAGAACCCCATGAGTGAGGCCTTGGTAGGCCTCGAAAGGCCTTGAAACCCCATGACCTCGGAGGCCTGGCAAGGTCGGCAGCTCGAACCCTTGCAGAGTGAGGCCTCAGAGGTTCGCGTACACATGTTTGCAAAAGTTGCCAGTTTGCGCAACTCCAAATCTGGGGTCGAATGCGTGGGCCTCCCCTGTAATTCAGAATTGGAGTCAAAGTTGGGTTCACCCAGCTCCAGTTGGGATCAGCCCTCTGAACCTTAATCCTAATTTTTTTTTCGCTGGGAACACCTGCATCTGCTTCCTGCGCAAGGATCCAGCGACCTGCACGAAGGGGTTGAAGCCTTCCTCAAGCCTATTCGGCTTCGAAGCTTTTTTTGAAGCTCTTCCCCTTCGAAGCTTGACACAGCATGTCCAAATGTTATGTTTTGCAGTTGTTTTACAGTTGTAGCATGTGAGTGATTCGTATCTGCAGGCATCTTTACGGTTGAAAAAAGTTTTCAAATTTGCATGCTTGGTCTGTGCAACTGCGCGTGTTGGCTGTGAAAGACAGCAGACAGCTTTGAGAACACTTGAAGACAAGAGATGCTTACGTTTTTTTGGGCAGGGGTGCTTGTTTGCTCATCATTGTGCTTTGCTGGTGCTGCAACCCTTGTACGGGGTCACGGAGTTTCACGGCAGTGTTTGGACCAGTGTACTCCAGGCCATGAGGCGGTCGGTTCTGCCTCAACTCCTGCTTTGCGAGTTTGTGGATCCTGTTTGCGGTAGTATCCTGAAGTGTTTTACCACTGTTCGTAGTTGTTTTCAGGGTGCATGGTTCAGCACAGTGGTTCCTCCATATCCCAAACTCCTCTTGGAGCTTCCAAGCCGTGGGAAGTAACCTAGCTCTGCGGAACCTGGCACCCTGGCCTCGGCCCTCCTTGAAGATCAGCTTCTGAGCGCATTGCTGGTGACATGCCAGGTTCCGTCCCTGAATTCCCACGTAATGAAACTTCTGTGTCCGACGCAAACCGTTTTTCACGTTTTTCATTGCAATCCGAAGATCCTGCAAAAACCGCGCGGACATTCAGGCCGGGCCTTACCAGGATTTTCTTCAAGTTTTTTCGCATTTCGCCATGACCACATTCCGGTATGGAGAAAAACTGTGGCGTTGCGTGGCCTTGGGCATGCACTTTCCTTGCGGAGGCAGGTTTGCTGAGCGAAACGGTATTCACCGGCGGCTTCTCGGATCTTGCTCCGGGATTCAGGCTTCAAAACAGTTGAAAAGGGATTCAGGCTTCGAATGAGATCAAAAGCTGCATGGCTCTGGAGTCATTGGCGACTAATTAGAGTCAGAGTAACATTTGAGGAAGGGCATGAAAGAATCTGAATGAACGTCGCCTTGATGCTTGTGTCTCACGTTGTGCGGCACAAGCTGTTTCACAAAGACTTGAGACATGCGTGAGCTTGTTACTCATGTTTCTTAGCTGCGTTAGTTAGAGCGTCCGAAAGCCAGAGCATCGAAGTTCAAGCATGTCATTTTGAATGATACCCCATGGCTGGTTGGGATGCTGCAGTGCCTTGCTGCCTTGGCAAGCCTTCTCGGCACAGAGGCGCGACCGCTGCGGATCGCCCAGCGGAGTTTTGACACCCCCTACGCAGTCACTTTTTTGCTTCCTTGCATCCAAGTAAGTCGGCTTTCACTTCTCTCTTGCTCAGTTTCTGTCTTTGTGTATGTTCTCAGAGGCTGTAACCCCAGTGGCCCCAGTGGCCCCAGTGGCCCCAGTGGCCGTGGTCGGCCCGTCCAGCGGCTGTGGCTCGCACCGGCGATGCACGAGTCTGGAGCCGAACGAGTGGTTGGCACCTGGTGAGTGGCTCACAAGCCCTTCTGAGCCTTGAACAGTTAACATTCTGTGAAGTATTGAAGTATTGCAGGTCGGAACTAGACAGGCGATTGTGCAGGCGCCCAGAATCGCATAAGCCTCGACAGGATCGGTACATTGCCGTCTTGCAGGCCAATTACCTCGAAGTCCTCGAGACAGAAACTCGTCAGATGACAATGCAAGTTTGTTCTTCATTTTCTTGTTTTTTTTTAAACATTGTTTCCGTTGTATTTTTGTGCATTGTATCGATTGTGTTTTGGGCAGCGGAGCGCATCTTGCCAAGGCGAGCTTGAGAACGCGCTGGGTCACCCCAGCAAAAGCAGGAATTCATGCCGAGACTTGGCTTGAATCACAGTTGCTGAGACCTGATTTTACTACTGCATTGCAAGTTCGTCTGCTATGTTGCTAAGTGAAGGGTGTTGGTTCCTGATTTGACACTGCACTGCAAGTCATTATGCTGGTGGAGTGAATTGCCGAGGGTGACCTGACAGCGGCGCACGTGGCACGTGGTAGCTTGCAGCTGGAAACTGGTGCTGGTGGGGGTGGACCTTGGATTGAGCATCTCCCACATCAAAGGACAGAGGCTATTGCTTGGATTTTGGTGTTGTGTTGGCTCGTGCAACGTATCTGAAATCGAGTCTGAAGCATGCCGGCTAAGCACCCAGAAGAGGAGCGTCAAAGTACGCTTCACGATAACCGCCACGCGTGGTGGTGGTGATGCGCGGATGCCACAGGGCGTGCAGTTGTCCGAGTTCTTGCTATGGCGTGCAGGCACAGTTCACTTATTAATCGCCTTGCAATGGCATTGCAATCACGCGTGGGTGGTCCAGGCAAGCCAGTCCAGCCGACTGCGTCCAATGTGAGCTGCGGTTCCGGAGTGGGGCCTTCTTACCAAGGAGCCAATGCAGGACATGGCAGATAGAACGCAGGGCATCTGAGAGTTAAATCTTGCAGGACCGCGCAATGCAGTGGATGGAAATCTCCGGACCAAATGGTGGGTCTCATCCGAGCCAAATGTGACTCTTGTCGGCGTCCCAGCATCGAAGACATACAAAAGCTCCCACACTCTTGCGCAATTTGTCTTGGTGTGTGTGTGTGTGTGTGTGTGTGTGTGTGTGTGTGTTTTTTGTTTTCCATCTTTCTCCCTCTTAATTTCTTTCTCGTTTTGAAGACTCTTTTTGTCTTTCCATTGATTTCAATAATATGCTTCGCAAATATGCGTGACTACCCTTAAGATTTGTTTGCATCCAACAAGTGCGAGTACAATGAGGCAATGGACTTCTCGCATCTTCCTCATGATGGGCCCTTCCTGTTTGGCTTCACCACTGGTGATGACATGCCTTCGCGTGATCCTGTCAGCTAGTCGCAGTCAATGACATATGCATGTACTGTTGCACCAAGTCAACTAACGCTGAGGTCCAGTGGCTCTTGGAGGCTTCACTAGATGGAGTCTCTTGGGTGGAACTGCACCGCCAAGATGCTGTTCTGCATAGTATTCTCGCAGAAGTTGTTCAGTGCCGCCCTTCAAGAGAGCACCCTGGTTAGACCAGGACACAAACTTTGCCACGCCGACATCTCGGTTCGCGATGACGCAGCTTTTCGACCTGACGCAGAAGTGGGCAGGGCTACTGAGCCCTCATGGCGAGAGGAGGACAGCCGCAGATGTGGTAGATGCCGGCACCTAGCCACACACCTTTGAGGAGCGCTCCTTCCACAGCTGCAGCTTTGCCCGTGGCCATGGTGCTGACAGACCTCGGTGCTCTAACTCTTAAGCAACGCCAGGCTCTCAAAAGATGCTTGAGAGAAGAGGAACAACAAGAACAAGAACTGAGTGTGTTCTGTGGACCCGAGCGATGACCTTGACATGCTTTTAGGCAGCGCGTTCCACAGCCGCGAACCTGTTTCCAGTGATTCACCCGGGATGGCCATTTGCTGAATGCAGTGGGGAGGAAGAGCCTCCCCAGGACCAGCACGTCGGCCCTGCCGGCTGGTTTATATTGACTCCATAATAGGAGGACTCTCTATGTGGTGCAGCATCGCTGCACCGCTTCCCCTTCCTCCATGGTCCTGTGGACTCCATTATAGTGGGGGTGGGGGGGATGTGAATCTTTAGGGTTTATGGTTATGCTATCCATCCAATATATTCTGGCAGATCGTCAGCCGGCAGGAGCTTAGGTGGTGAGGAGCGAGCACGCGCAATCGACGTAGCCCATGCTTTGTTCAACACGAACGGCATTGGAATTTTAGTTTTCGTTTATGACTGGTTCGTCCGATTGCAAAAAGGGAAAAGGGGGGGGGGTAAACAGCTTTCCATGACCTTTGTTTGGAGTGCAGACAGGAGTATGTCGGAAAGCCAGTGCGAGCATGCTTTTCTATTTATGTCGACAGCATCATGTTCCAGATGATGATGTTTCAAATTTTCCACCACACGTGGCGTGTGGGCGCATCCCATCCTCATGACTGGGTGTGCTTCCAGGGTGGAGGTTGGTCCGACCAGGCTTGCGCATCTTGTCGCCCGCATATCGTGCGCAGCGCAAGCCGAACCCTGCGCTACTCATGCCTTCACTGCTTTCTGCAGATGTGCGATGACACGCCACCATCTGACGCCCCATAGCCAGTGTCGCGCCTCAGGCGGCACCTCGGGGAGGCTATGCCTCACGCCTGCCGCCCGAGCTGGCGCACAACCTGTCGCTCACAACCGACGCAGCATTCGCGCCCCTCTGCCACCGCTGGTTGGGTTGCACGCTCTGCCGTCGTTGTTTGAACGGCCGCTGGCTGCCGAGCCCCCGAGCTTCCCGAGTTGACGTGCGCTGGCAGACTCACGCCTTTGTTTTCGCTCGTCAGTTGTGCCGCGACCGGTGGACAGCTTGCTCGACATCCAGGCGGGTGCGCTGCAGTTGGCAAGCGCTTTGGATATTTCGGCTTGCGCAAAGTAGGTCCAAATTGTCCAAAACTTTCCGTCGCGCACGACGGCACTGACGCAGCCCATCATGCAGGTGGCCCTGCGCAGGCGATGCCGCATGGCCCCGCCCATCACCGTTCGCACGATGGTGATCGCCGCCACGTAGCCTTCCATTTGTTTTTTGCAAGTGCTTCTTTCTCTTTATGGAGCAAAAACGCCGGTGATCAGGAATATGTCCCGTTTACTCACATGTCACATCCCTAAGAGCAAGACTATAGGCACAGCATGAACAGCGTGATCTCGGTCGTTTGCACCATAAGGGAGCCCAGCAGATGCATGGCGACGGCCGTCTTTTTCTGAAAATGGACAACTATCCAAACCCGTGCTTGATTGTTGACACAACTTGGTCTGTCCAAGAATCTGCTAAAAAGAGCGTCTTTGCGAAGAATTAGAGAGCAGTCCGCGCGCACAACAACATTCATGGCGGCGGCCACTTCGCAAACAATTTCTGTTCAAAGTTTCAACTCCTCTTCAATCAGGGCCGCCCCCGCACCCTTGCATCTTTTCGCAAGCGATTCATATCTTGCCACAAGACCCCGTCCGAAGAATACAATCTTAGCAAAGACCTCCAAAAAGAAACACCGCTCACGAAGGGAAACAGGAGCTCCTTGTTGACGAGGTCAGAAGCCGGCTGCTCAACCTGAACATGCTCATCCGAACAGGCTGCAGCCGAAGCACTTCCGTTTGGAAGGGCAGCATCGAACGACGTTGGGGACCACGGTTTTGCGAGAGCACGTGCGACCCGCTGAAAACAATCGCCCCTAGCGATGCCGAGAACCCCGCCGTCTGGTTTCTGCAACGCGGTCAGGCGTGCTGGGCGAGGCCACGCTGTTCAGGCCGCATGCTGCTGAGCCCTGCTCGCCATGGCCGCTGCGGAGAGGCAAGAGCGTTAACGGCCGACTGTGTCGTACCTTGGCGCAAGCGACTCAAGCGACGTGTCGGCGCCGCTCAGCATCCTCAGCGTCCGCAGCGAACTTGGCAACGGATTCGGCGGCGAAGCTCGGCCAGCGCGAGCCTGCTGCAAAAGGTGCAGCCGAGCTCCACGCTAGAAGGCCTGCGCGCGCCCCAGAAGCACCTGTCGGCCCTCACGCCCGCTCTTTGGCAGGAGGGCGAGGAGCAGGCTAGCAGGAACAGCTTCCAAGCTCGGGACGCGGCGGGGCTGCCACATTTGGAGCGCTCACTGCTTTGAGGGTCCGCGGCGCCTGCCTTGTGCCTCTGAAGAATGGCGGGCTTCCTGGATCGTGGGCACGGGGTGGCGTAGCGCGTCAGTGCCGTCCAGCGCCGCCCACTGCTTCGGCGTGATCGATGGCTTCTGCAGGCAAAGTCACCACCACGGCCGGCGGCACAGTGGGACCCTTTCCTTGCTGCGCCGCTCGGCACCTGCCTTGTCGTCCTCCGCCCCTGCGTGGTCCGTGGCCGCGCCGTGCATGAGCCGCCCCCCGCACGCAGGAGAGGCGTAGATGCTCGCCGCGCCATCGCGACGGAAAGACGCTTGCAAATCAAGAGCCAAGCGGTGAGCCGCGGATGCTCTTAATTCAGTTTTGAACCGACACAGCATGTTGTTCCAGGCATGTCCCTTGACGTGTTTGGGCTGTGTCTCTTTTCGTGCAGTGCATTTTGGGAAGCGAATCTTGCTAGGCGGTCATCCCGTCGGGTTAGAGCTGTCTGCAAGGTTGCTGTGCGAAACTTTGGCCCATGTAGAGTTACCCGGGAACCATCTATAAGCAAAAGTTGGCGAGGTGTTAGATCCCGCCGCTGCCAGACGGGATTGTCATCGCAACATATGCTCAGCCCACCTTGCAAGGGAAACTGTTGTCCTCCAGGCACTTTGCACAGCCCAGGCTTACTGTCGCGATGGCCGGGTTTTGCCCCCATGCCAGCACTGCTATGTTCGCAAGCGGGCCGCAGGGCCATTCCTGGCGACCCTTCCGCTAGTCCATGCAACTGGTGTTGCGACACCGACTACGGTTGCTCTTGCCGCCCAGCTCGCACAGATGCAGTCGAAACCGTGCGCCCGTCGACGGGTTCGGTGACCATGCCCTAGCTTGCCCGAGGACAGGTTTGCTGGCACGGCGGGCCCAAGTGGTCGAAAGCGGTCAGGCCCGAGGGCCACGTGGTGCCACAGCAGTGGTTGCGCCACTCGACTGCTCCGAGGGTGCAGCCCGAGGACCGTCGCCGCCTGATTTCGTCGTGTACGGAGCCACGCCCGATGGCAGCGCCCTCTGTTATGACGCGACGTTTGTGGCCCCGTGCACACGCGCAGGCCATCCGCAGCCTCTTTTTTGCGGTGTGTTGTTTCCTGCGGCCAATCGCACATGGACCTCTCGTGGTGATGCCAATGCTGTTACGCGTCTCCAGGTTGCAGCACGTGATGGCCAAGCATTCTTCGCAGTCAGGAACCTGTGCTGGTTAGCACGATAACGCAGAAAATTGATGTCTGGAGGAACATTTGATGACGACAAACATCGTTATTGATACATCCAAGCATTTGGTTTGCCCATTTGGGTGCTAAGTCGTGAAGCGTTTGACCGAGTGGACCGGCAAGCCTTGTGGCAAGCTTTCCGCGACCATGGCGTTTCGCGGAACAAGTTGGCCAAGTGAAGACGCAAAATGGTTCGCGCAAGGAGTTTCCGATGTATCTAAGCAATCGTTGCCATTCTGAATCCAGTTTGCGACTTTACGATGCCCGTACCAAAACATGCAACCGGTGTCACTACAGCGTCGCCTCAAAAGCACGCGCAGGTGCATGGAGATGATATTCGACATCCGAGGTTTGGTCGCCACTCCTGGACAACTGACATCCAAACCATTTGTGCGTGCAACCATCATGTACGATGTCAATGTGAGTTTCCTCATGAAGCCCCACTCGATTTGGTGGCTGGGCTTGGGTCGTCATCAACTTGGTTTTGGGAGCATGTAAAACCTAGTCCACTTGCCGCAAAGATAAAAATAATGAGTGAACGCACCATGACCAGAATTCGTTGCACCGAGAGCGCGAACAGCAAAATGTCGTCGGCGAAGCGGAGGTCGGTCAGCGCCTGCGTTTTCGTTTGAAGCTGAATCCCACCATTCTGTCCCGTTTGCTTAAAATCACGCATGGCCTACTCCAACACAGTGCCAAAAAACAAACGAGGGTTCAAAACACATCCTTGTGGTTGGACCACCTTCGGGACTCGATTGGTCGTTACACTGGCATGAGGTAGTTTTTGTCGGTTATAAGGGTTATGAGGGCCAGTAGGTGGGGTGTTAGGGACTAGTGAGTAGTGAGATGGGTTAGGGGAGGATGGAGCCCCGAGCCTCTGACGGATAGAGTACGGAAGATCATCTAGGTTACTGTACTGCATACTACAGAGGATGGGATCTCAAGGCTCATAAACCCCAACTTCAACCTCTAAATCAAATCCATCCCACAGCTGCGCCCTTCATAGTGCTTGAGCCATGCACATCGGCATGGTACACTTCTCGATTTGTGTCCTCGATTTGTGTCGTTGTCCTGTGCGCAGGGGCCATGCTAATCTGTCCATGACATCATGTGGCGAAGTTGCCAGCAAACAGGTGGGTGAAGCGTGCCATGGGTTGCTCGCCAAATGGAGTGCGCGTTCCTGGTAGCCCTCGCGACCGTTGGTAGCGCGCTTCAAGGGAAAATGCCTGTTGGACAGAGTGCGTGACCAAGTTTTCTTGACGTCGCGCTGGATGCATTCATTGATCCATTGAGAACATTGAACAAAATGATTGATCAAAAACCGTCGATGATGTTTTCGATGACTAGAATGATTCTAACATTGACGTGATGTCATGCTCAATCGCAGTTTGACGCCATGTAAAGTTGAAGCTCCTGGGCTCAAAGTTCTTTTGTTGATGTGTGTAGTTAGTGATTTGTGAAGCCATGGCGTGGCTGCGGGCGATGGCCGTTTGGATGGCCTATGTGGCCACGGTGCTCCTGGCTATCCCTGCAAGGGCGGCAGAGGACGGCGACGGAACAGCCTCGGAGGTGCCCAGCCCTGACGCGAGAAAGATGCACCTGGCGGAGGCGCTCGCTATCTCAGCGGCGGATATCCTGGATGACCAGGAGACCCCAGCGGTGGAAGGCTACGATGCTCTCTCTGACCTGCTTGAGTCGGCCGTTGTGGCGGAGAGCTTCACTTACTGGGAGCTGGCACAAGCTGTGCATGATGTGTTACTGCAGCAAGGCTACAATGAGGAAGTCATGGCCCCGATGATGACACATCTGTCTAGAGCTGCGGCTTCAGCTTCAGGTGAGTTTCTGCCGGCTCGGAGCCGAGGCCGAGGACGAGGTCGTGCTCGTGGCGACAATGGACCAAGGCCGCTTCCGACGGGGCGAGCAGCCTCAGCTGCAGCATCTGGAAGGGGCAGGCCTACCAGCCCAGGCTTTCGAGCGTCCAGATCGAGATCTCCGATGACTGGGGAAGGGGCAGCACGTGCGTCAACGGACACTGGAAGTCCTGGGGCTATGGGTCCGGCTGGGCCGCCGCCGCCAACACCGGTGACCTCAACGGCAGCAAATGCCCCGGGCGGGCCTCCGCCACCCATTCCCATTGCTATCAGCTCGCGGACTGCGGTGGAACAATATCGGCGGACGGTTGGAGCCACTGGCGGCCCGATGCTTGGTGGTCCCTTGATCCCTGGTCACGCACTGCCACCGCATTACAACAGAGCACCTGAGACAATGGGTGCAGGCGAGCTGGTGGAAGAGCTTACATGGCACCTGCAGGGGGCAGGATGGACTCCGGCATGGTGTATGTCGCCCGAAATGCGTCACAGGCTTCAGGTCGTGTTTGCAGTGCTGGAAGCCCGCCAGATCCCACCGGAGGATGTTGCATGGCGACTGATTACGCATATACGTGGACGACATGCCGTGGAGCTCCAACTGCCTTACGCACAGCGGGTGGCGATGCACCTCATGAGGTGTGGGGCCCTGCATGAGTTGAACCTTGAGGGTTGGGGCTGGAAATGGATCTTGTTCCTTAGGGTCTTCAGGGTGACTTCATGCCCACGTAGTCTACCTTGTCTGCCGAGTCCATGCCGATGTGATACCCTGCTCCATATCTGGCTGCAACAGGTATGGCTAGTGGACCGATGCTCTGTGAGAGCAGCTGAGATATGCCACCTGAGCCTGACATGGCTGCCAGAGTTCAGCTGTAGCTTGGGGGCTTGGCAGGAGCGGTGGTTCATTCACCAGTGGGTCTGGTTGCTTGATGAGGGTGGATATAAGTGTGTGGTAATCCCTAACAGGTATAATTCCATGCCGCTTGAGGGCCACTCCTGCAGGTCCTGTAACCTTCAGCTTGCCCCTCCTTTCCGTGAGCATGTCCTTCACCACCAATTGGAGTTCCCATACCAGAATGATAGTCCATCCATTCACTTGCAGCATGCTCTGATGGTGAGGGCACTCGCTCTGGTCCATGTCGGATTGGGGGACTACTCCCTATGCACTACCAATGCACGCCGGTGCTTTTTCAACTGGCTGTCAGAAAGACCAGTGTGCCTGCACCTGCAGCCTGTTGCCCATCGCTTCCTTCGTCATGTGTTCTGGCCTGGGGCAATCCGATCTGCTCTGTGTGGGTGCAGCTGTCTGGACTGGCTCAAGAGCTGGGGGGTGTGCTGCTGGCCTGCCGATGGCCGAAGGCCTGCTGAACACTTTCACAGCGTTTCCTGGCCTGTGTTCTGTGTACTAGGTGATCACTGCGTGGCGAGCCGTGTGATGCCTGATCAAGCTGTACGTCTTAAGCCGGGCCCCCTTCCACTTGGTGTGTGTCCTACCCGTGCGCATGTGAGTTTGGCAGGCGCCTGCGGTATGTTGAAGGTGTCCTTGGACAACGTCGCCCCAATCTGGATACCAGAGGTCCTGACTAGCTTGTACTTGTCCCACTGGTGTCACGCCTGGGCCAGGCATTGCCAAAGAAAATGCGCAGCGACTGGTTGGATTCTTATCAATAGTCACATCTGCAGACCCACTCTGCCAATTTGCCTGACCATGGTTGACCTCAGGTGGGAAAGCTACCGACTGTGTGCCCTACCTCAGGCACCTGAATCTTGCCGTTTGCTCTGTGTCTGGAGAATTTGTCAGCCATACCGACATGCAAATTGGAGGCACCAATGCTGGCTGGGTGGGAACCCCAGACTTCGGCTAGCACGGCCTATACCTGCCCTGCCCTGTCACATCCTCAGGCAAAGCCACAGGCTGGACCCACACCCCGCGCCAACGGAGAAGGCTCTCTGCTTTTCTGCCCTGCTTCCAGCTCGAACCATGGCGATCTGTAGGCAAGCGTGGCGGCAACAAAATGCCGATCTTTGCCGGGTGTCTGGACTCGCTGGACTAGGCTGCTTGCTGCATTGTCTAGCGGGAGTGCTCCTGGTTTTAGAGCGCCTGTGGCGTGCTGTTGCATCCCCGAAGGTATGTCGTGGTATGACAAGGATACTGCGCGGCTGTTGGGACCAAAGCGTGCTGTCTCCTCAGAATCAGAAAGCAGCGTGCTCGATTGGGTGCTGGAATAGGTCTCCCAATGCATCAGAATAGCCAGCAGTGGTATACCTGGTTCTCCTCTTTCCTCTGTTGGCTCAGCCTTCGTCCGTCCACCAATACTGAACCTCTGTGCAATTGCTCCATATGGTCCAGGCCACGCTTCACTGCTTGTGTGTGCACACTCATTCGACCTTTCTTTCCACTGAGCCCTGCCGGTCCCAAATCCGGCATGAGACCCTGCAGGTGTTTTGGTCCGAGATCCATACCGAGGGCCGCACCTATTCTTCTTCTGTGCATCATGGCTTGTTTGCTGCCAGGGTCTCAGGGAGCGAGGGTTGATGTAGTGAGCCCGGCTACATCTGAACCAGGTGCGGTATCTGATGACCATCCCATGCTCCGATCACCTGGGAATCACGGGTTTGAGCCTTACGCATCTTCATATCTTTCATCACGAGCCGCCAGTGTTCTATCGGACTGCACCCCCAGTCAGGTTGGTGTCTCCCTCTTTTCCCATGCTAGGAAGCGAGCCTACAAACGTGCTGTGCATCGGGCTACGCGGGATGGCGGGGCAATGTACCGAGGACGCTGGCATACCATCGCTCAGTTGGGGGCGAAATATGCAGGCACGAAAAGGGCTCCATGCGCTGGCCCAGAACCAGGCAGCCTTGCTGCTGGCCCGGCTCCAAAACCTTCTTCAGGGTGTCGTATCAGGTTTATGACATACAACGTCGGTGGTCTTGCGACGGATGCCTACGATGTCTTTATGGCTGCCATGCTGCAGACCCCCGAGGAGGTTCGCCCGCATATCGTCTGCCTTCAGGAGACCCATTGGAAACATAGTTCGGAGTACTCCACGCCAGGTTGGCATGTCATTACCTCGAGCTGTCCTTCCGAGTTTAGGTCAGGCGGGCTGATGGTCATGATCTCACATGTCCTCTTACCTGCTGCCCAAGCACACCGCCTTGCCTACATGGAGATATTAGTGGGAAGGTTGTTGCACGTCAGGATTCACCTTGGAGAAACGGCCGTGGACGTTGTTAACACCTACCAGAGCGTCTCCACTGGTCCTAAGCCGGTGCAACACTATGAGGCTAAGAGGGCTCAGATGTGGCGTCATCTCCGGGTTGTTCTTGATCGCCTCCCTAGGCGTAATCCCCTGATCCTGGCAGGTGATATGAACACACAATGCTCTGCAATGCAGGGGCAGGTGGGGAATGTTCAGGCCCATGTTACCAGACCTCTCGATGACGATGCAGATATGCTCATGGATTTGATCCGTGACTTTGATCTCTGCTTACTGAACAGCTGGGTCAGGCATGCTGGGGTAACCTTTTGCTCGACGGATGCCAGCTCGCACATCGATCATGTCTATACCATTCTATACCCGTAGGCAGGATGCTGATGCAAGAGCCAGATGTGCACACACGTCAAGCCTGGACTTCTTTCCATGGCGTGAGGGGGGCAAGCATTACCCCGTCCTGGCTGATCTTCGCCCTGTCCGGAGATGCCATCAGCCTCCAATTCCGCCGGGGCCTGCGTGGGATCAGAAGGCCATGATACATGACTACCTGCACCACCCTGAGGCTGTGGAACGTTTCCAGAATCTCTTTGATCAAAAGCTTGAGAAAGCAGAGGCCTCTGTTGCTGGGTTGCAATCTGCTGTCCTGGACAGCTGTCTTGAGCTGTACCCTAAACCCGCCCCACAGATAGGCTATAGGCCAGCGTGGTGTCAAAAGGAGGGTGCCCTGTCCATCAAGGCTATGTGGAAATGCTACCATGCATTTCGTCGACCGCGTGTGGTTACTTTGAAATCCATTCTTCAGGTCTGGCAGGCACAGGCCCGCTTTCATGCATCTCATCGAGACATGAGAAACACTGGGCGCCGACTCCGCAAGGCTTGGCGCCTGACCAAGCTGCAGGAAGCGGAAGAAGCATCGCAAAAAGGCCGGATGCATGATCTGTATGCGGTCGTTCGGCAGCTGGCCCCCAAACAGGTCCGTAGGAAAGTCCGTCTGAGAGGTGAGGATGGCGCCTTGCTGGATCATCATGGAGAAATGCAACTCCTGCAGGACCACTGCTGCACTCTTTTCTCGTCGGCCACAGCTGATGGGCAGGAATATGATCTTACGGGCCTTGCAAAACATGTGACGGAGGAATCCCTGCTGGCCAACATGAAACGCCTCCCTCTGCGCAAGGTTGCGCCCCCAGGGCATGTCCCAGCCGTGGCATGGAAGATGACAGGCAGATTGGGCTGTCAGGCGATTGAAGCCCTTGTACATCAGCTGACCTCCGTGGTTCCCAAGCCTTGGAAGGACGCGTGGCTGGCCTTCATACCAAAGATTGCCACACCCAAAGTCCCAAGAGACCTACGGCCCATCGGTCTCCAGGACATAGATGGGAAATGTGGCCTCAGTTTGCTTACGTTGGTCAGAGATCGACTCGTCAGGCCATTAATCGTGCTCTTTGTCACTGCGATTTCGTGCGCAGCTCCCTTCAAGGTGGTAAGCTGTCCCTGTATGATCGCCGCAAGGGCTGTGTTCCAGCTCGCTCCGTCCTTGGAGGCATCCAAGTGAGTGTGGACATGTCCCAGGCCTTTGACAGGCTGGATCGCACGCTCCTTCAAGCTGCTATGTGTGATGCACATATCCCGTCTGAACTCCAGGCGGCCATAATGGCGTGGCATCAGGATATGGAGTATCACTTGAGGCATGCTGACTTGCAGGGCTCGGTTGACAGTACGGTTGGAGTTAGGCAAGGGTGCAAAATTGCTCCCATTTTATGGGTCCTTTACACCTGCTACTTCTTTCGTACGGCTAGTGATTTTCTGCCACAGGAATGGCTTCAGTCCTCTTGTACCTTCTTTGCGGATGATCTGCACTTCTGTGATGTGATTGCACAGGCGGCTGACTTGGATTCTTTCTTGCAAAAGGCTGGGAAACTATTTCTGCACTTGCAAAAATTCAACATGCTGATTAATTACAAGAAGTCTGCAGTTCTCATGCATCTCAAAGGGGCGTGTACCAAAAGATGGCGAAAACATCATGTCTTTCACCGTGAAGGAGGCAGCTTCTTGCGTATCCGAGTGGGTGAAACCATTGCTTTTCTGCCCATCAAAACTACACATAAGTACTTGGGGATTATTTTGTCCTATCAGGCCTATGAAAAAGCCACGGTTCTGCATCGGTTGGAGCAAAGCAAAGCTGCTTACCACCGCCTCAGGCCTGTCTTGACATCCAAGAGTACCTTGAATCAGCAAGAGCGCTTGAGAGTATGGCAGGTCTGTGTGCTGTCGTGTCTGCGTTATGGACTTGACTCCATTCCCTTGCGGCAAGGCCTGCTTAAGCTCATCCAAGTTCAATGTGCCAGACAAATCCGGGCTATTACTCGCTCGCCAGTCCACCTGAGTAAAGAGTCCACTGCGAGGCTGTACGATCGGCTGCGTATTCCCACTGAGCTGACCCATCTTCGTGGCATCCAGGCTAAACAGCTGCCTGAGGCTCAGTACCGGCAGGTTCAGCGTGGGTCGTTCTGTCTGGAACAGATGGACTGGCTCCTGAAAGTGACTGCTGCCTATGAGCAGCTGCAGGAGCCCCTTCCTCCAAATGCGAGCACTGTGCCTGATTCAGCGTCCGCCTCCACTGCAGCACTCATTCCGCTACCGCTGGCTGTGCGAGGACAGGCGTGTCCAGTATGCGGCCTCTACTTCAAGGATGTGACGGGTGTAAAAATCCACATGACCAGGAAACACCCAGCTTCTCAAGTGGTGACCAGGCCGTTGTATGAGCAGAGTCGCTGTGGCGTAGATGGCATGCCAACTTGTGCTGCGTGTCGTCGGCCCTTCTCCTCGTGGGGTGCCCTGAAGCAGCATGTGCTTGGTGGCCACTGCAGGCTGCCCTTACTTGAGCAAACTCCATCGGACAATCTGCCGCTTCGACAACATCCGCTGGTGATAGCCACAGTGCGAGCCCAAGGGTGGCAAGGCTTGCTCGATCTTCGTCTTGTCAGGGAACGTGTGCTGCACTTCTGCCCGTTGTGCAACCAGTGGTGCGTGAATGCCAGTGGGGTCAAGGTCCATCTTCAGGATGTGCACCCACAATGGCATGACCTACAGCCGCGTATCAAACAAATTGCTTCGGTTTTCCGTAGGGGGATGGTTAAGCCATGCCGGTACTGTGGGTTACAAAACTTTGATAAGTCCCGACATGCCACTAGGTGTCCTGTAATCAGCACCAGTATTCTTCTTGGAAGCCTCCTTGCTGAAAGCAATGGCGGGAGCCAGTGCGAAGGAGATGGAAGCCTTCTTTGGCAGCTTCCGACAGGGGACTGCGCCGATGGAGGACTCCGAGAATCCCTTCAAACGACGCCGCGAGACGGAGGAGGAGGAGTCGAGGGCATGGAGCTCCCAGAAACCCAAGGGCAAAGGCAAGGGCAAAGGGCGTGGGAAGAATGGTGGCAGACGAGAGCAGGCCAAGGACAGATGGACGCTTCCGGAGGACAATTCCTGGAGGGGACACTACGAGAAGGACCTCATGACGCAGATGGCACGACTGATCCTGAGGCACGAGGATCAACTGAGTCTTCAACGTCAAGATTCTGTCCTTCACCTGTGGCTGCGGAACACTGGGGAAGAGTCCATCGTGGGGATGCTGTGGGAGGTGTCCAAAAAGTGGAAGAAGATGAGAGACACCACGCCAGCTCAGCTCCAGGCGTCGTTGAGGGCTACGATGATGGCTGGCATGCTGAAAGCCCTGAAGGACCGACTCCACCAGGTATCCACGGACGAGAAGATGCTGGAGAATGCGAAAAAGGTTCAACTCCTGGATGCGCAGGGACACTGGGTATACCAAGTCTGGGATCACGAGCTGGAGAAGCTTCAGGTGGATGCCAGTCGCACACCCTTGAAAACAGAGGAGATCCACCAGCTGCTTGCGGTCTGCGAGAAGGCCAACGAGAGTCCCGTGCTGTATCGCTTCCATGCGAAGGCCGAATACAGCTTCTCGGAGTTCGTGCACTTCGAGATAGAAGTGGGTCACCGGGGTCAGGAGGCGGCGGACCTGTATCGGAGCCTGAAGGTGTTGTGCCAGTGCTCGGTCTTGCAGATCATAGGTGCTCGTCTTCGCAAAGACAAACCGGGACGGTCTGCCACGGCACAGAGGATCCAGGACTATCTGCGCTGAACCCACTTGGCGTGCTGCCCTTCATGGACGGGGGAAGCTGTGTGCAGTGCATTCATCCGGGAATGCAAGAGGCCCTCCGGTGCAGTTGTCTGCCTGTGTCTCTGATGCATACATGTGGCCTTGCATGGCTGGTAGGCGCACTGTGGATTTTTACTTACTTGCGAGGGCCCATGCCCCAGAATCTGCAGCGTCTGTGGCGGGTGCTTCAAGCACCGGAATCTGGCCCCTTACTGCAAACCATTAAGGAGTGGCGCCTCATCCAGGGGGAATGGGCGAGGTGCGGTTCTCATCACTTTGGGGCCATGCAAGTTCTGTTTCAAGTGCACATGCCAGGCGTGAGATGCTTCGATGGTAGCTGGCAACGTAGATCAGCTACTGGAGGCAAGATGCAGATTTGTGGCACTCGGTCAACCTCACATGGTATTGGCCTACGTGTTCCTGCTGACATCACTGCTGTAGATGTGCAACAATGCCTGGAGGCTTGGGCCTTCTCTGATGAGTTTTGTGGCCTGCTGGATCCTCCATCCGTTCTTTCACTCTACCTTTTGCCTGCGCGGCAGCCCGACACAGATCGGGACCTATCGCAGCGAAGTGATGCTGTAGCTCTGTCTCCGGACGTGCCCAACTCTGCCTGTTGTTTGCGTGCATCTTCACCGTGCATCACATGGGACTGGGATAGCATTCTTGTACCAACCTTTGCCGATGTGTCTTCGCTAGACATTGCATACACCTCATACAGTGTTCAGGCAGTGGGCATGCACTTAGGAGGGGCGTCGGGAGCCTCTCTGGGCAAGTACTGCACCATCCTCCGTCACCGCGATGACTTGCTGCTTGCAAAAGAAGCCCATACTCCGTATGCTTGCACTCTTCAGCACGGGCATCAGCGAGGTGCTAAAATGCTGTGGTGCGTGCGACATGAGCAGCCGACCAAGGCAGCATGCATCTGAGATGAGATGAGATGAGATGAGTGATACAGGGATGGGCTGTAGACTGTAGAGTTTCGGAAGTCCTGACTTCCCTTGTGTACAAACTGTACAAGATGTGAAGATGCGTTTTCTCTCACCATCAAGTTGGCAGGGTACCCTATGGGACCCTCGCGCCTATTCAATAGGCCGGCAACTTTCTGTTTGCCGCACTCTTGATTGCTCGCTAGGCAAGGATAACTTTGCTGCGTCTCGAAAGTCGAAAAAAAGCCATGTAAAGTTGCGCGTGGGGCAAGCTCAATAAGCTGAGATTCATTTTCGTGAGCAAATACTGGTCAATCAGAGGCAGATGCAAGCTTTGCGATGCTGTAGTAACTCTTACGGCGCTGTTCGGCGCTGACGGCGCGCCAGCTGCAACAGCTTGATATATGCCGGAAAACATGTTACGAAGCATTGTTGGACCGAGTCGCGACGCGGATGAATCTTGGGAGGAGACGAACGCCCAGGTATCGTTTGCTTTCCGCCAGCAGTAAGTAAGCAAGTAAGCCCTTCTACGTCCTTGCCACGTTGCATCGCGCGCGAGAATCGCGGAAGGTCGCCGCAGGTGAGGTGGAAGCCACGTGCGGCGTCGCATCCCTGGCAAGACGTGCATCTTCGGCTGGTCCAGCCCGAGGACGTGTGGCGCCGGGACAAAAGTCACCTGGCGTGCCCATCGGCCACCCAAAGATCGTTCGACAAGGCACTCAAGCTGCTTGCCCGCGCGGCCACGCCGTAGAAAACCTAGTCGAGGCGACGACGATCATCCGGAGCCACTCCCGCACTAGTGTGCGTGAGCCATGCAACGTGCCTCTAGCGTCGCCCGCGAAGCGGTGAGCGTTGCAAGGAGGGAAGCTGACCCCGAACTTGGCAGCGCGCCGGAAGTCTGCTGCCTGTTGTTATCCATGCCCGAGCATCGGCACCTGCGGAGCGGCTGCTCCATGCGTTGCAAAGCCATGTGCCCTTCCGCGGCGGCCACTGCGAATCAGGCTCGCGACGCCCTCCGCTCTGCTGGCTACGACGCGACCGCGTGGGCCTCCCTCCCTGACACGTCGGCCGCCCGCAGCACCAAGCTGCCGGGGCGTGCGACTTGCGCGCGTGCGAGACGCGTCTTTCTAATCTCATCCTTGCGTCCCGTGCGCTGCTGCTGTCGCAGGCGGGGCCATACCCCACCCAAGCCATCACCGTCCCGCCTACGCACGAGGCAGTGTCGCGCAGTTCCGCATTCTGCCGCTGCGGCACTTGCGCCTGCCCCTGCCGCTCGCCTCCCGCGCGTGCAGCTGTCGTGGCAGGCTCGATGCTTTCGACAACCGCGCCACGTGCGCTACCAGCGGCGTACTGCGCGCGGGGCCGCTTGAATGGTAATTGCTACCGGCCGGCTTTAGCGCGGTGCCTGCTCTGGAGGCCGTTTTGGCAGTGGCTGACTGCGCTGGACCCGGCCTTCGGCCGCTGCGGCCTTGGCCCGCGAGACCTTCCTGGTGGCGGAAAAAGGCGTGTGGAGACCAAAAAAAATTACCATTCCGCGGGTTTGCCGCGAGTGTCGCCCAATGTCCACATGAATATGGATGTGCCCGTCGCTGACGACAGGCGCGTCGAAGTCGTTGCCAACGGCTTGTCCCTTCTTGTGGCAAGCGTCGCAGCTCGCGGTTGACGCCACACGCGTTTCCCCGCTCACACGGGCGAGTCCCATTTACGGAGTATTTACGGGCTGATGTCGCGCCGCCAAGAACGGACAGGCGGCAAAAGACCTGAAGGAAAACCCCGTAAACCCCGTCGTCCACTAACCGCTGCTGCTCAGCAACTGGGCAGAAAGCCGTGGTTTGCACACGAGTTTTCGCCGAAGCCGATGTCAGTTATATGTGCTACCTTCAATGACCCATGGTGCTGCTTTCCTTGACACGTCTGTACGGCGCTTGGATAAGCACGTGCGCCAGCTGGGGCGGCGCTTGCTGTGTTGGCCAGCAGGCGCACCCAATGCAGCCGTTTTGGGCAAGCCATTTTGTTTGGTCGCCTTTGCTCGGCCATCCCTGGTGGCGTGCACCGTGGTCTTGCTGCTCGGGTCTTTCGCTACACTGTTGGCGTGCCAAGTTCTTGGGCAGCTGGAGCTTCTCAAGCCTTGAGTTCGGCAGGCGTGACGTTGCCTCATGACTTTGGCCAACCTCCGCGTTTTGCAGCGTTGGAGGCATCGTTGTGTACGCCCAGCCCTCGACAGCGTCGGTTGGCGCGCACGCCAGGCTGAGGCATTTGAACTTGCATCACTGGCCGCCTTCATCCAGTGTCATCCTGATTTGGATTTTTCGCAAAACGTCCATGCTTCTCGGCTGCCATCCTCGGCCGTCACGGGATGGACATTGGCTAGGTGTGGCCACCATCCCTTCTTGGATGGTGCTGCCCGTCGCCGTGGCCTCAATCATCCAGGCCTCTGCGGGTGCGATGATTGGAGCCTGCTTCATGCCTTGCGCACTGCTTGCGCACGTGCCCTTTTTTTCGCCCTGGAGGCGCATATGGCTGCAACGCTTGCCAACTCTAGCTGCAACTGGGATGTACTGTCTGACGACAGCCTTTTGCGGCTCGTGTTTGCGCTGCAGGAGATGGGCAACACTCGTTCATCTATGATTGCCCATGTGGTTTTTCTTGCAAGCATTTGCCGAGCGCAACGATCTCTGCTTGAGGGCTTAGAGTCTTAGAGCCTTGCCGCGGCTGTTGTGCCATCACTCCGTTGTCTATATGTTTTCGACTTGCTGCTCTCAGCAGCGGCGCCGTGATGTTTTTTCGCACTGATTTTTGCTTACTTATCCTTTGTACCAGGACGCATGCTGCTGACGTGGCCCATTCTGTATACACACATGATTTGTTTCATTTTTTTGTATTTGCTGACCGCAAGTCGGACTCATGCTGCTGTTACTGTGATCATTTGAACATGCGGCTCAAGTGTTTGAAAAACGTGGACATTATTGCAAGCCATGCAAATTGGCGAACATGTCGCCATTTGCGGGCACAGCGCCTTGTCAGTGTTTGGTGATGCATTTGTGCGCCCGTTACAAGAAGCTTTGTACATTTCAGTGATGAATGCAGCATGAAAAGTTCTAATTGGAACTGGTCATTGAGCCTGGTTTTTCGTCTGGAGCGTGAATCGGAAAACGGGGCCCCCAATCAACTCAACGTGAATCCGAAAACGGGCAGGCTCCAATCGGAGATCCCCAGTCGACAAACCACTTGGAGCCAAATGGACGCCGCGAGGGCCGAATCAAGGAACACGAGGCTCAAACATGACCCATTGCACTAGGCGTATTTAAGAGACCGGGAGCCAACTTGACGCAGGGCAGGGCCCAACATGAAGCGTGCTAGGCGCCTTCGAAACTATGTTCACAGTCGTACCCCTCCGCCTGGCACCGTTGCAACTCTGAAGCTTGTTCGACAAAGCGCGACACGAAACCGTAGGCCCCTACTACCCTGAAAGCCATAGACCCCTATGCCTTATCGATTTATATTCTTATGTAAATGGTTTTAGGTTTGAGGGTTTTGGGTTTTTTCGGGTTTATAGGGTTTAGGGTTTTTCGGGTTTAGGGGTTTTTAGGGGATCGTGTTTTTTCGTGAGTTTTTTTATGGTTTAGGATTTAGGGTTTAGGGTAGAGGTTTAAGGGTTTTGGGGGTTTGGGGCTCTTTAGGGTTTAGGGCTTAAGTAGGGGTTTTCAGGAGTTTGCCGCTTAGGGTTTTAGGGTTTAGTTTTTTTTGGGTTCAGGCTTTAGGGGTTTTAGGGTGTAGGGTTTTGGTTGGTTTAGCGCTCAGGGGTTGTCAAAGTTTTAAGGTTTTAGGGTTTCGGGGTTTTAGGGTTTACGGTTTGGTTACGTGTGTGTAGAGTTTAGGGATTTTGTAGGGTTTAGGGCTCAAGAGGTTTTAGGGTTTTCTCATCAAAGTCTGACTCGAAGATAGGTCTGGCAAGTAGCTGTCTATCATAGGCGTCGATAGACATCATATAGACCTTATGGGTCTTTAGAGGTACCTATGCTGTCAGCCTACTCTCTGCATGCCATGCCCCCTACGCAAAGGCCCTGCCGACTTTCCTATAGACCCCTATGCGGGTCCTCCATTTTTCCATAGACCCCTAAGCATAGACACTATATACCTACTTCTACTCCTTCCCTGCGCGGAACCCGTGTAAAAAAAAACAAACACTTTTACCCCTCCCTACGCTATCCGGAAAGCCATAGACCCCTAAGCCTAATCGATCTACATTCTTATGTAAATGGTTTTGTGGGTTTAGGGCTTTGGGGGTTTTGGGGTTTAGGGTTTAGGGGTTTTCAGGGTTTAGGGCTTAGGATTTTTTAGGGTTTAGGGCTCCGGGCTTTATGGTCTAGGGTTTAGGGTTATCTCGGGTTTAGGGTGTAGGTCTAGGGGTCTTTAGGGTTCAGGGCTTAGGGGTTTTCAGGGTTTAGGGTTTAGGGATTTCTTAGGGTTTAGGGATTAGGGTTTAGGGGGTTGCAGCTTAGGCAGTGCTGATTTGGAGCTTTCCGCGCTTTCTGATTTAGTCACTTAGTCTTTCCGGCGCGACCTAATGACGAGATACGGCGTGGCTGCTTCGGCGCAGAATGGGCTAAGGGAGGGTCCGTTTCGAGCTTCCGCAGTGCTGATGTGGAGCTTTCCGTGTTTTCTGATTTGGTCTTTCTGGCGCGCTCTAATGACCAAGCTTTCTAATTTTCTCTTTTAGACGTGGCGTGGCTACTGCGGCAGGACATGTCTGCGTCGAGCTTTCCTTTTTTGATTCAGCCGCCCCCGTTTTGCGATTCAGCGCGGCACAGTTTCCGATCAGTGCCTGGCGTTTTCCTATTCAGCGCGGGGTGTTTTCCGATTCGCCGCTCTGCGTTTGCCGATTCACGTTTTCTGATTCGCGCCTCAGCCATGGCCCAACTTTCTCATTCAGCATTCGGGGCGGACTTCATTTGCCACGCCACCAATGTGATGGCCCCCTACCATGTCTAGACGTTGTTGAGTGGATCTGTCACGTTACCTACGATGGCTTAAGGTGCGCCAGTCCCCAAGGTCTTGGACCCGTAGCAAATGACGAAATGAAAAAAAAAAACACAGACGACAGTGCTTTTGTCATGCCCTGGCGAGATGCGCACTTGATGAAATCAACATTGTGTTTTTCTATTTTGCCTGACTCCGCGGACGCTAGTTAGTTTTGCGATTCTCACAGCTTCGGGTCTTCAACCCACTGAACAGACTACATTTGTTAAACGCTAGTACTACAAAAACAGAAACCTGAAAGCGAACAAGGGCCCGCAAAAGCCCGGGTCGTGAGGAGCTCACTACCCCACGGTTTGAGAAGTGTGCGACACGACTTGGCCCAATCGGCCTGGCTCTTGCTGTAAGCCTTGATCTATGACAGTCCTTGAACGCCACATTTCCAAACTATCTAATTTCAGTGCACGTAACTTCTGGAAACTACCAAATATTCCCTGACTTACGAACTGCGTTCAGAGTGCAACATCTTGGCAACATCCCCTGAAAGATTCTAAGCTGAGAGAAAGAATCCGGAAAGGACAGAGCACGGAAAACCTTACCAAAAGACATCGTTGACCGAACGACCACTCTCCAACTAACGACTTGGCTTAGAACTACGCCCTCCAGCCAAAGCTTGCGCTGAAACTCTGCGAGAGCCATTCCCTAGGCAGCAAAACATCTCCTACGCACTTAAACACGCTGCCAAGGTCGCAAAAAATTGCAAAGAGCTAACCGGCCCCAGACTACAACAAGACTGCTAAAAACTGCACCGTGTCGCACTCTTGCAGGAAGTATTTTCCAGTGCACGCTAACACGCTTGCCGGGTGTGCAACAGACCCATCAGCTGAGCCAGATTGTGGTGCGAGAGCTGAAAGCCATTTTCCTAACACCTTGGCTTTTCAACCATGGAAGCGCGCAATTTGGAAAGACTTTTCTTTTTTGGGTAACAGTACTTTGTTGGAGCCACCCTTTACCGTCTGAAGTTTTCCGGGTTTCTTCAGTTTCCTGGCACCACGCGCGCCAGTACCAAGGTGGTACATCTGGGCCTTCAAACCCCAACCCCCAACGAATGCAGACCTTGTCCAGCTGCTTGTAAAATTTTGTGTTTTCACGTTTTTGTCTTCGCTTGAGCGTGTTGTTGACGGACAATTTCTGTTCTCTGCAACTTTGCCCGATTAGAAAACGATGACAAGCGGGGGAGATCAATTCAAACTTGTAGGGTGACCAGCGTGACACCGAAAAATGGGGGGGGGGGGTAGCGATTATAACAAGGCTTGGATGGGGGTGTTTGTGTGGTACGGTAAATTGAGTGATTGCATCGCAAGGAATCCATCGAGGAAGCCATTGCTGCCTTCAAAGCAGGACGCTTCGTGATTGTGGCCGATGGAGAGGACCGCAAAAATGAATGCGATTTGGTTTTTGCGGCTGACCAGGCAACAACGGAGGCCATGGCATTTGCCATCCGCCAAGGGTCTGGAATTGTGTATGCGGTTTCGAACAAGGAGGCTTTGCAACATTTTGGTTTGTATCCTGCCACAACTGTGAACACTGATCGGTTCTCCATCGGCGCCTATGTTTCCACGACTTTTGTACCAGGGTCTTCCACTGGTCTTTCAGCAGCAGACAGGGCTGCCACAGCTAGGGCGTTGTGCAACTATAGCAACACGCCGGATGTATTTTCAAAACCAGGTCACATGTTCCCTGTTGCGGCGCACGCAGACGGGGTTCTGGGACGTCCGGGCCATACAGAAGCCGCATATGATCTTTGTCGCCTCAGTGGCCGGATGTCTGTCGCTTGCTTGACCGAGCTGACCACAGAAGATGGCTCAATGCTGCGGTTGCAAGGAGCTGTTGATTTCGGGAAGAAGCACGCCATTCCAGTCATCAGTGTGGAGCAAATCATTCGCCACCGAGGACAGTTCCCCCAATTTCCGAATGCACCCAATCCAGACAGCATTCCCAGTATTCGTGGATTGGATTTGCCAGCTTTTGATGGATCTGGCTTGCGGATTGCCATTGTGGGTGCTCGTTGGAACTCAGTTGTCACCCGCAGCCTGGTGACGGGAGCCAAAGAAGCGTTGGAATCTTGCAACGTGCGGGACATTTCAACGGAGTACGTTGCGGGATCCTATGAGCTGCCAGCGGCTGCTCAAATATTGTTGGAGTCACGCAAATTTGATGGAATCATATGTGTTGGCTGCTTGATCAAGGGCCAGTCAATGCATTTCGAGTATGTCAGCGAGGCAGTCACCCAAGGCATCATGCGCTTGAACTTGGATTACAAGGCCGGATTGATCAGAGCAGCGGTAGATCTTTGCAATGCTGGACTGGTGCATTGAGTGTCGTTGTGACGTTGTGTCCCATCTTTGGTTTGGTGAAGCTGTTGCACAGGTGCCGGTCGTTTACGGCATTCTTTCCGTGTTGACGGAAGAACAAGCCAGACAAAGATCAGGGATCTCCAGTGCTCACAACAGTGGCAAGGAGTGTCTTGATGTGAAGCTTAGCACGCCCCAGTCACAGAACGTGTATGCTTTCTTGCGCTGATTATGCATGCTGAGGTGGGGCATCACGTGTGTGGAATCGTGTTTGTTGAAGAAGCGCTACCTGAAGGCTCTGAGCTTGACAACCAGTCCAGCCAGTTGTGTCAATGTGTTGTGCCGTGGTCTTATTTATGCCGAGGTCTCGCGGTTATGACACAGCTTTCGCTTTGAAGACGTCGGCAGCAGTCAGCAGCACAATGATGCGGTAAAAAAAGCCGAGGTGTGTGTCACAACTGGTGCATATATCTTGACCTGCATGACTCTATGTCCTAAATTCCTAAATGTTCGAGGGTCAGCTTGTGTGTGATTCCTACATCTGAGGGCCTAAGTGTTGGGCAGATCATCGCCAAACCATTCGTGTATGCGGGGCTTTGGCTCAAATGCTGCTGCTGTAGCTGCCCACAGGGGCGCTTTCTTTCTGCCGGGCACCCGGACCACGCATTGGGAATAGGGAACGAAGCTGCCAGAAATGTTCGCATTGGGAATTGGGTCAAGAATGTGTCTGTGCGAGAGTTGAAAATGCCAACTCAGAAGCGAGCGCGACATGGTGCAACATTGTGTTCGAAGGTTCGTCTTGTTCTTTCGTCTCTGCGGGCTCCTCACGTCGTAGAGGTCTGACTGCAGGGGGGTGTCGTGACTCTTTGCGAGTGCGTGGGGCAAGGGCAAGTATGTTATCGTGTTTGCGTTGCGAGGGAGCTTGCCTTCGCGCTTGGTGCATTGCTATTTGAGCTGAGGGCCATGAAGGAGAGCCCAGCACTTCAAAGCCAGCACATGGGCACCGGCTTGGAAAGCGGAAGCCGAAGCGGGACTTCAACGATACAACAGGGATTCAACGGAGCGACGGTTTTGCTCGACACTTGATGGAAGCTGGCTGAATTGGCGAAGCTACCTTTGGCTCTGCTTTGGCTGCACCGATGTGCAACAAATAGTCCGATTTAGGACGCCCTTTGTCACATACACACACACACACACATCCGGCCAAAACCTTCTTCCGCTTGTGGCAGAGAAATATCCGCACCAGCAACGCCGCCACCATGCAGTTCATATAGGCCGGCATATAGGCGATGAAGGCGCTACCTTGTCAATTTCGTGTAGCTTTGTCCAGCTTCTTGTGGCATGTGAGGTCAGGCCTTCTATGTCCAACACTTGCTGCCGGAAGGCTGCGTTGCCTGCTTCTTGTCGTGCTGGCAGATGTTGTCTACGGTCGTGTCATTGCAAATGATGAAGACTCATGGCCAGAGGCAGCCCAATGCATGGAATGCCTGGAAACAGGCCGCTCCAGGCTGGCTTTTTCTCGTCCTTGCATCTTGGTTTCAGGTGCTGATGGTGCGTTTTTGGATGGATATGGCCAGCTGGTTATCACTAGTGGGGCGTTCCAGCAGCTGTGGAGCTAGCAAAGAACACAGTGCCGTCTCCAGGACCTCGAGTATGGCAGCACGCCGACCAGACTGAAGAAGAACACAGGACTGATTTTCACGCCGAAGTGAAGGGTTGGGTTGGCTCTCGTCCTTGGCCTCCCTTGCTGGCAGTTTCCGGGTTTCGATACCTGTTCGCTCACTTCGTCGACACTTAGCGGCAAGATGTGCATGCGTTGTGTGCCCTTGCCGTCAACGACTTGGGCAAATTTTCAAGTAGTCTTCAGATACCGTTTGCGACAGTCTCAGGTAGTATCCCACATTTGCTTCATCGCTGCTTGGACCGCAGGATGAAGGGGAGCCCAAGGTCCTGCGGTCACTTTTGTTGAGGTTCTAATCGCCTGGGTCAGCTGCAGCTTTGCACATTGGGAAGCTTTGGATGAGCCCCTGTCACAACCGATCCAGCTCCGCATCATGTCAGCACAAGAGTTTTCAAGGATGTGGACGGGTGCAGCTTGATGCCACACCAGCTCTTCTGGATTAGTTTGGTATCTGGTTGTCTTCATATGGCCCCAGGCATTGTGGATGCGCGCACCGAACCAGGAGAGTGCTGGAATCCAGCTGCACTTTTCGAGCGCAGGCAGGTTCTCCAGGTTTGGGGCAGTTTAGTCAGTCTTCCGGATGCTTGTTCCTCGTGTTTTCTCTTTTGCTGTTCGTCACTATGGTTTTGTTTTGCTTTTCATTTTTGCAAGTTTTTCCCTTTGGATATGAGATCCGCTGGTGATGTGGTTTTTTAGTGGCCTACTAGCTTCGACAAGGGATTCCCAAGAAGCCGAGGGCGAGTAAGAAAGCATGCAGAGATGTTGTGTTGTTCACAGCAACTTCGCACCCTTGAGCTGTGTTCGCCGCAGCACACGACGAGGCCCAGAACAGCCAACCAGATATCCGGACTATGCGAGATCAAGGCATCCAGTATCTCCAGCAACCGTCTCCGAAGTTTCTTGGCACTGATGCTCGGCCTGCAAACGTTGCGGCGATCTGAGAGCGTGAACATGCAAAGCATCAAAGCAGTTGCACTACGTCATGCACCTCTAATTTGATGAGCTTTTCACGCTGCAAGGATGCTGGGCCCGTTAGTCGTCATCGAGACAGTGCTGCATTGGTTTCAAGGGACACATTTTCCACTCACAGCTTCGCGGAGCTTTTTCATCGCGCCCTCCCTAGTACTAGCACAAGCCGAGCACAAGGGCACATGCTGCATCGTGTTGCATTCACATGTCAGCCTTGACGTGTGCACTGGAACACGTAAGCAGTCAAGGCAAACACCGGAAGGGAAATGGAGAGGAAGCTTCCGGTCGTTGACGTGGCTTCGATTCTGATCATGATTGCATCCTGTCAGCATGTTCCACTTTCAAGTTGCGGATCTTCAACCTTCGTGAGAACATGTCGCTCCAAGTGCAGTCACTCATGTTTTCGCATTCTGGCGACTTCATATTTGGAGTTTCCCCCGTGAACGACGATCAATGCCTCCCAGGGTAGGTATCGTGGTTCAGTGATTCAGCATAGTTAGGTTAGTGTACTGTGGTCTCCAGTTGTGCAGGCTGCACGGTGACAGGGAACCGGGCCGTTTAGTCCCCAGTCTGAACACCTTGGTTTTCAAAAAGGGCAATTGATGTGTTTGGCAAGGAAACGTCTCGGGTCAATTGACAGAGGGAAAAGAAAATTGACAGAGGGTTGCGAGCTGCTGATGGCGCATACTGCGCAGAAACTGTACAGGGCCACTGCATTGAATTTGAACGTATTTTGCCCTAGCTTTTTGGAGACGATTCATGATGGCTGGTGCGCGGGGGGCGGGAGCTGGACCTCTTCTTGGTGTAAACATCACTGAGGATGTGGCGCCACGGTGCTGTTGAGTCTAGAAAAGAACTCTGTGCTGTGAAGGTTTGGCCGAACATCTCGACGCAGATGTTGGTTTACACATGTTTTACCTCGAAGATTGTATTTGGCGGCTCCGAAATTGGAAGAGTGTGGTGCGAGAGAGAGTCGAGCTGAATTTCAGTTGTCGGCTGCAGCATACCACAGCAAGTGTTATGCGTTTGGCCCTGTCGTTCTCAACGCCCTGAACTGTGCAGGCAATGGCCACCTTTTTCTTCTATTGTGGTATGTGGAGTATTGTTTTTGCCTTAGGTCTGTCTGCACACCGAGCTGTTGTGCAACTGTTGCCAGTTGTTGTTTGTTTGCTGGAGGCTCTCCTGTACATGAGAGCGCATGATTTGGAGTCGGGCCTCGCATCTGTTCAAACTTATGTCCAGCTGCTTGTGCGCTCTGCCAGCAGAATCAGAATCATTCCATCGACTGGCGTTTTCATTTGTTGACTAAGTCTGGTGTGCATGTTGGGTCGTTGTGATGCTTGCTGAGGTGTTGTTTCAGCATGCTGGTAAAGCTGAAGTCGTGGCTGATGTTCATTGTCCTGACCCTGGGCAAGGAGTTCTCTTTTGAGTTGTCTGCGTGTGCAGTGTGCAGTCTAAGGTTAGCTACTTGCTATACAGCTGCATTGTCTCCTACGTGGACCCACTTTTCCTGGCCTTCATTCCAACAGTGGGGCCCCATGTTCGGTTGATGTTGCAGTCATGAGTCGTGGCAACCGGGAGACGTAAGGTTCTGCTACTGGTGTTCATTCTCTCGCCTGCCGCAAATCGTCGGCAGGTTGCCTGCTGTTGGAAAATTTTGCTGTTTCACTCTAGCACATTGGTGACATGACCAGCTTTGGAGGCAGTCGGGGAGAACGGTGCTTTGTCGCAGGCTAAGATTTGTGGCATGCGTCTCCTGAAGTTCGGAAGCATGGTGGATCCTCGTTGCCCCCTGACCCAAGGCTACCCACAATCAAGGCAGCATTGCTCGACCTTGCTTCGTTGGCTTACGATCATGCATGAGTCCCCGGCGGCGCGGAAGAAAGGGACTACCTCTGCAGAGATTCTTGCACCCTCCTAGAGAAAAATCTAGCATAGCAAATGCCTGGAGCTGCTGCAGTGATTGCGTTTGGGTTCAAGGCCATTGACTCGTTTATCTGGATACGTGTTCGGCTGGCTGCACGGTTCCGCGCGCCTGTGGTGTCATGGAGTGGACAGGCTCACTGGCAAGTGGATAAGCAGCAAAAGCTGCCATGTGGCATCGCGTGATTTGGTTGCTTGTGTCTCTCAGCTCGAGTCGCATTCAAACACAGAAGAGTTGGGAAGATTGTCTGGCTTCTGCACACCTGGAAATAGACAGGGCGCCAGACAAAAAAGATATGTTTGTCACCACGTCACGTCTGTACAAACGGCACTTGGCCAAACACTTTTGCAAGCTTCCAAGCCGTACTGTCGTCTTGGAGTTGGGAGTGTATCATGGACATTCCACTGCGGTATTGGCTGCAATGTTTCAGCAAGTCATAGCGGTGGATATCGATGAAACATATCTGAGAATAGCAGCACACAACGATCGGAACCATTCCAACATTGTCTTTTTAACAGTTGATTTAATGGCTGGTGGCTGGCACATGTTGGCAAGCAGTGGAGTTCAAGTGGTCGTTGTTGATGCAAATCATCGGTATGAGTATGTACGTGCAGACGCGTACAATGCGTTATCGTACTTACCCCAGCTGGAGTACCTGGTGTTCGACGACTTTGGCCATGAGATCGGTGTGCAGCGCACCGTGAGGGAGCTCCAGAGCAACGGTGCCATCGTAGATTGCCACGGTATCGGTCTTGGTTCGAACGGATCACGGTGGAGGTACCAGAACTGGAATGAAGAGACGGGTGAGACTTTCATGAGTTGGACCAATGAGTCCGAAGGGATGATTTGCAAAAGAGGGAACGTCTCGATATCTGGCTCAGCACAAAGATTTGTTGACCAGCGTTTCTACATCTACAGCCAACCATTGGGGCAGTTTTGTCCGTCTGCAATTCTGCGTCTTTTGCCTGGTGGCAAGCTAGTTACAAGCCTTTGGGGAGACGGACAGTGGAGAGCGGAAAGAGATTCCTTAGGTTCCGCGCAGGAACGTGATACTCTTCTGTTGGAGCTCGCAGGGTTGTCTTCGGACCCGATCGAGTTGCTCTTTAATTCTCCTAGATCGGCTTTTGTTTTGTCACGACTGGGTGCGACAAGACCGGATTGGTTTGGCATCCGGGATCACCTTGTCTTCGAGCCCTTCCAGCGTGCAACACGGCAGTTCGATTAGCAGCCGAGAGAAAGTGCTTCAGTTTATTGCCGCCATTTGCCGCCCCAAACGTAAAATGAGACAAGGGTCGTCAAGGGTGTCATGTGACAAGATGATGTCCCTGCAAGCCGTGCATTTGCCTGTGAGAAGTCTCGGTTCAACAGTCGTGAGCAGATTTTACCGTAGGACCGTAGGATAGCCTAGAAAGCTGCCGAGATAAGTGTTGCGTGTCCCCGAGGCAAGTGTGCAGGGTTTGAGCCTCCTCATAAGCATCGCAGATATTCTTAGACACATGCTGGTTTTTGCAGGTGCTGGGCATGTCGTCGCCCAGCAACACACCAGCGATGCCTTCGGTCCCGGCCGGGGGGCACAGCGGGGAAGAGCTATGAAGAGCTTTGCATTATTTGCGAAGTGCACACTGCCAACCTTAATATTTTTGTTTCCGTAGCCCAATTCAGACTTTCAAGTTGCTGCAAGGCACCTTGGCACATCCTTTCGATTGACTTAGCTTCGTGTTTCAAGGACTGGGCACATCCGACACCCTCACCCTCGCTTATGGCCAAGAACTCAGTTCGGTTTCTATGTGAACGATTCTGTTGATGTCCTGGCTGAATTGAGCAAGAACCCAGGTTCGCATGCCAGACCCAAAAGCCTGGCAAGCTCCACATTTTGGGTCGATGTGGCTCATCTCACTTGAGGGGACTGGGGGCTTGGTCAAGCTTGCCTGACGTGCTCGAGGCTAAATGGCAAAGCTCTACCTGGAATGGATGTGCAGGGCTCTGATTCGTCTCTCCGAACGCTTCTGTCACAGGCAGGCGGAAATTGCAAAACCAAGCAGCAGCTGAGTTGACGGATCAGACCTGACAGGTTTGTGCTCCTTTTGTGCAAGGGATGGTGTGACCTGACTGGATTTGTATGTTCCTTTGGAATGGATGCAGAGCTCTGCGCCGATATGCAGTTGCCCGCATGCTTTCTGTGCTGACGTGCTTCTTCACAAGCTCGCTTGCTACATGTCTTTTCCTACCAAATTCGTTTCTCATGCTGCTTAGGACGGCAGTGGCTTGGCCGCAGTTGTGTTTGATGTCCAGTCTGGCACTTTCTCAAATGTCTTTATGCCTCAACCGTGCAGCCCCCCCTGCCAGGTGGAGCAGGTTGTCCAGCAAGAAGTGGAGCGCCAGGTAAAGTTACTTCGACAGCAGGACCTTTGGACCTATGTGCCGCGTTGGTGTGTCTGTCTCCTGCTCTACTTGCAAGTGTGCTGCATCATGCTAGGATAGCCACGCGTCGATGAGCTGGCCCCGACGACAAAGTAGAGAGCACCAGCAGCAACACTACGGAAACCCTGCAGAGGGCATGCCGTTCGGAAGCTGGGCTTGCAGCAACGTGGATTGCGTTTCAAACAAAGAGCCGTCATTTCCGTGCAGATGTGTGCAAGAAGCTCAGGACACGTTTTCTCAGCCCAGTATGAGCAGCAGAGCCAGGGTGCAGGTTCCGATGCCGGGTGGCAAGTTCTTGGGATTGCACCAGATCCTCCACAGGCGAAGCGGACACAATGAAGCTGGCCAGCGTGGCCTCTTTGCCTTTGCGTGAAGAATCCTCGGAGGCTGCCTGAAGGAATTTGGCTGCATTCATGGGAGGCACATGTTTAGTACACGCCAGGACGAGTGCGAGGCCGACGGGGAGAACAGAGGCAGCGGAATGCTGTGCTTTTGCTCTTTCAGGGGGAATTCGCATGTTGCCTGCACGTTGATCTGATTCAGCATGGCTAGGCTTTGTGCAATCAAGTGAGGCCACCTGTTGTTCTGATCCGGACAGGTCACTTCCAAGCACTTTTTGGTGGAAAAGCTCCGACTTCACACTCAAGGTGGGGTTGGCGCAATCTTTTCGCAATAGCCAAGGTATGTGTAGCCGAGCCAAACAAGATCAAGCTTGTGCAGGTCGTCATCGTTCTCGCAACGCTCCAACGCGACCCCCTCCGATGATGAGGGAGAGCCTCCGGGCCCGAGACACAGAAATTGCTTGTTGGCGGGGGGGAGATTCCGTGGCTGTTCTTTGCCAAGAAGTCTTTTGCAGGCTTCAGCTCCCAGATGGGAGCCGGAGCTCCCGGAGCTCCCGGAGCTCCCGGAGTTGCCGGTGCTCCCGGAGCTCCCGGAGCGCCGGTCGATGGGGGGAAAGACCCTTTGTACCTCCACTGGTCACGAGGCGAGGACAGCGTCTCCCGCCCCCCCCGGACTTTGTTTGCATCATGCTTTTATTTACTTAATTCATGTCTTTATTTATTGTTTATTCATGTTTTTTGTTGGGGTGTGTGTGTGTGTGTGTGTGCGCGCCCTCTACATTCTTCACTGAGAATGCTGCATCTTGAAATTGTGCTGCACCATGCGCAGCAGCCGTGAGGCCAATCGCATCGAGAAAGACCGTCATTGACACCAACGGTTTCTCCTGTGACCCCCAATGTCTCGCCCAGCGGTGGTATCCCACGAGCCACGGTGTGAAAGTTGCTCGATAGATCGCCTTATGTTGATGCGAGGTCTCTTGATCCATACATCGTTTACGTAGGCGGCTAGACTGTTGTGGTGGTTGACTCGTTGCCAAGGACAGGGCACGAAGCAATCAGTGGACTCCGGCCTTTTGGGCAGCATAGAATGCTTCGACGGCTTTCATAATGATGGGAATCGGATGAAGATCCATGAGCTAGAAGCTGAGGCCATCACCCTGATGCCGGGACTTCGCAGGCTGAGGAAATTCAGGTCCAACCTGGACAGCGATCAGGGGTCACACATGCAGCCAGGTAAAGTCGGCGGTTGTTTGCCGACACTGGAAGTCAAAAGGCTGGTGCAGACTTGGTGACGAATGTGCCTACCTCACCTGATTCAACTTCGTGCGATGTATGTTGGCAGTGGATAGTGACAACAGGGTTGTGTTCCTAGGCAAGTTTGCCCATCCGGAACACAAGTGTGGAGCAGGGTCGCAGATAAAGAAGGTGAGTGGCTCAGCCTGCGCATGTGATGCAAGTCCTACCACTGTGGGGTACATTTTCTTGTGGTTGTGGCGACAGGAGAAGGACCGGCCTGTGACAACCAGCAGTGGCAGACCGGCACCTAGTAATCTCCTTGACAAATCTTGGCAAGTCTTGAAAGCAATATTCGGTTGGCTGAGACTTTGGGTTGCGCGTGCAAGCTTTCTGCGGAACAGAGCAGTCCCCACCTTGCATGTGCTTGGCCCGGGAAGTCGCAGGTGAAGTCCTCTGAAAAGACACTTTCCATCAAATCCGGGTGTTTGTTTGATCTGACGCTGTGCCATGCCAAACCAGCGAACCAGGCAATCCTAAGCCAAGCCAGCCATGTCCAGTTCATCCACATTGATCTTAATCAGCCAGACACGAGACAGTCTTGGGCTCGTCCTGAATCATTGCGCAGAAGCGCTGGCTGCAATCGTGCACATATCGCGAGAACAGATCGGTAGCGGCAACGAAGGCAGCAGCAGCAGAAGAGGCAGAGAACACCCGTGCCTGTGTGGGTCGATTGATGAGTAATGTTTCTGGGGCTGAACCCTCATGTGAGAAGGGCTTCCTTTGGTTCTCTGAAGCTGAGGATCAGATGCATCACCGCAGAGCCAGGCGAAATGAGCTACTGCCTTCACCGATTTTAACATTTGGTCTACCCTGCGGTGTAGAAGATCCGCTCCATCAGCGCCTCCTTGATAAAGTTCCCCTGCTCCCTTTCTCTCAAGTTTGAAAGCCACTGGCCTCTACTCCTACCTTTTCTCATTTGCCATGGTTTACCTCCCACAGCCGGAGAGGCGAAGTCGAAGAAGAAGGCCAAAAGCGGCAAGGACCCCGAGGCCGGCTCGCCGAATTCGCCGAACCCAGCAGCATAAACTTGTTCACTCAGTGAGTTGCTTTTGGCTTTTTTGCTATCTTGTTCAGATATAGATTAGTACTGTACCTTTCTCTCTGTCTCTCTCTCTCTCTCTTTTTCCTCTCTCTGTCCCAAACTCTCTTTCTGACTTTTTTGTCGCGCTTAGGTCTTGTCCGGCTTGCCGGCCCTTACGCCAGGCGGGCTGTGCCCGAGCGTGTTCACCTGTGGATGCTCCGCTGCCTACTTCCTTTATGTGTTGCCACTGCGAGGATTGGTGCAGGCCCACATCAGCGCCTAGCGGACCCTGTCTGCATGTTGTGGCGGTTGGAAGTTCTGGTCCAGCGGATGAGTTTGCCTTCCAGAGTCGCCAGCAAGCTAGTAGCCAGAAGCTGTAACAAGCTTTGTTCCGGCTGTCTCGTCTTCCGAAACGGAACGCTCCTTATTCTTCGGCCCTGGTTGCAGCGCTTTGCTTTCGTAGCGTTCGTGATTTAGAGGACTGAAGGTATCGTCGTTGGACGAATGTGGGAAGATGAAAGCAAGTGGTTGCCGAAAGCTGCTGTGTGAAGCCAAAGGCTCACCGATGAGCAGTGACAGGTTCGACGAAAACAATTATCTAAGCACTTCTCCCATGTCTGGGTTCGTCCGGCCTATGCAGAGCATCAGCTGAAAGAACGAAAGAACATAGCATGTGAAGAGGTCTTGCCCTGCTTCGGCATTGCTTGGATGCTTCGGTGGCGCAGGCTGACAAGGACGAAATTCAGTGGAGTTGAGGAGCACTTGCAGCTTATGGGCTACCGGCTTGACAAAGACACGACTGCTTGTATGCCAGACAATCATGAGCGGGGGAGCAGAACAGGAGGGTTCCTGTCCAGAACGTGAGGTGTGCTTGAGCATGCAGGCGCTCTGCGTAGCGTTCTGCGTTTGCGTCTGCGTAGCATCGTTGCAGTTGCTTGAAATACTGAGGGCACAGAAGTTGGGGCCAGGGAGTTCTCCCAGAATGCCAAACTGGTTGCTTTTGGTGTCCCAAGTGCGACGAGGTGCAAAGAGGTGCGAACTCGAAAGACGATGCAAACCATGTGGGTGCATTCCACCACGGCACGTTCATTTCAAGTGGTGAAGTGGGTTGCATTTTTTTGAGGAATGTGTTGCATCGGGCAGGCTTGGACCTGTTTACACCACATGAGCAATCTATCAAATGCTTTTACACCTTCGACCAGAGAAGTTCAGAAGAGGGGTCTGTTACATCGACAATGTTGCGGTGCTCATGTGCCTCCGTGGCCCCGTCGAGCTTCTCTGCAGTGCCCACCCCCAAGAATCCCGCAGAGAATCCTGCCGAGTATCCTGGAGCACCCAGCACCCCAAGAATTCCGCGGGGAAAATCTCGCTGAGTGTGTCTGCTGCGTTGACGTGCAGAGTCCCAGAAAATCTATGCCGTGTCCAATCCATAGAGCATCCCTGGATGCAGCCGCGACAACCTCTTTTGGCGGAGTTTTCGCTGCAATTACCAGTCTGAAAATTGCAGGATGGCTCCCACATTGGTTAGCTTGAAGGTGGGGATTGTCGAAGTTACCAATTTTGGTTGGGCTTTGATCCGACAGTGGTCCCACCAAGACGTTGCTGAGCCTCAACACCCGAAGAAATTGGACCCTTGTTGTGGACCGTGTTGAGTTGGGCTCGTTGGGCTGGTTGGGTTCATGGTTGGGCTGAAAGCTCGTGTCAGAGCGAAGGACAATTCTCCCCAGCGAGAGGAAACGAACCACGTAGGAGAGAGCAACACTACATCCCACATCCAAGCAGCATGCATCCGTCAAGTCGTTCGGCGGGGCATGAGACATACCGCATGTGGCCAGTCGCTTGGGGATGTGTGCCCAATGTCTCCTGCAGCCGGCTCGAGTAACATAATGTAACATAACGCCATGAACATTCAGTGCTTTGTGCCCTGGAAGGCGCATGAGGCCATTGCTTTCTGTCTCATCGATGCATATGAGTTCGGGGGACAACTTGCTGAGTCAACTACGATTTGGCTTGGTGATACCCTTGGCGCGGAGGCATTGCCTCTTGTGCTGGGAGGGGGCCTAGCAAGCAGCGCCTGCTCACTGTGTTGTAGCACGAAATGGCCAGGCGTGTTGGGGATCTTGTTCCCATCCTCTTCGTGGCAGGTTTCCGTGGTGATGAGCAGCTTTGTCTGTGTCTCGGCAGTGTGCTTTCTCCATTGCCAGGGCACTCTTGTTTTATGGCGCGGAGAGATGGGCAAGGGCAATCTGAAAAGGATCGTGGCGGCAGGTACCATGATGTACACTAACCTCACACTCATGCCGGTCTTCGCGTATGCTTGCACCTTCCACCCTCAGTTCATTCTTTTCTTGCTCGCGGGCAAAGTGGGCTTTGCCACGGGAGGACTTCAGTTTCAAGAGGAGATACGACGAGCATGCGGTGACTTCATCAAGAGAAGAAGAGACGCACCAGGTCGGCCTCATCGGCCCCAACCCCAACCGCTTTCGCGGTCCGACACCCTTTGGCGTGAGTTCGAGCTTCTCACGGAAAGCGTATGTGCTTTGCTCTTCATTGACTCGCCGGCGCCCGCAAGCAAAGCATTGGTTGCAAATGCATGCAGCCGGGTAACCGCCACGTTTGGTATTGTCTGGCTGGTCTGGTGGCCAAACAGCTTCTTCGTGATGCCTTGAGAACGGATGGGGACAGAGAATGATGAGAGCGCTCTCAGAAGAAAGGCCGAGCTCCTGGCGATAGCTTAGGCGCTGTAGAAGTTTGGCAGCGACCCGACCTGCCGACTCAGGATGCTCCTTGCGCCGTGCTAAAAAAAGCGACGAAATATGCGTTTCAGCGATGAGGCGCTGCTCGCGCCACTACAGTTTTGTATGGTCTTGTTCGGCAGGTAGCAAAGAAGCCAGACTAGATATGACTAGATGAATCGAAACTTTTTTTTTACTTGTCCTGATTCTTGTGACGATTGCATGCCGTGCGTTTGCGTGGCACAAGTAGGGAGCGGCGATGTGTAGCCAGACACAGTACAACCAAGAGTATCTTGCACGTTATTGAGAGCAGACTGGCAGCAGCTTTACAACACTATGGTTGAGAGATGTGCGGTGCATGTGCGCCAGCTTTCACGGTGATGCTGGCAAAGGACACCTGCTCAAAAGCTTGTTTATTGTGCTAAGGCCGTTCAACAAGTCAACAGGTGCATGAGAGGCATGTGCGAGCTTTCGCAATCCAAGGACAATGGAGGCAATTTGGCATTTCCTGGGCTGTGCATCGATAGAGAAAGCGGACCGCGCAGTCAAGGATGCTTCAGACATGCTTCTAGACGTATATAGACTTGAGCTGAGTTATCTGTCTGTAACCTTGTTCCATGTATTGCCTTCTCTTGCCTTTTAGCCGAATGAGAAAAACAAACACATGGTCGCTTACAGTTGCTTGACCATCTCCCCACGATAGGAGTGGACAAGGTCACAGTTGCGTTGGCTGTGCACTGTCAAGGTTTACTGTCCGAGGGCTCGTGCGGTTGCTCTGTCGATGGACCAAGGCAGCTCAGTGCCTTTGAGTTTCGGCATTACCGAACGGGCTTGGAGCAAAACCAGCACAAACTGGTGGAGAGAGTCGTGAATCAGTGGGTTGCGATGCTGGTCAAGGCGGCTTATGCTGCGTGTGTGTTTGATGCTAACTGATAGGGTGCATGGTGTTACATCGCAACTTTAGTGCTGGATGCATATGTGCTCATGGCAGGGTGTGGTGATCACGGTCGCTGTTTCTGATGTTGATGCGGAGGAGGCTAGAGAGACTGAGGGAGAAAAGACCGTTTTTCTCGACAAAGACTTGCTCAACATGGAAATCAGTGGTGAGCTATACCCCTTGGATGCCTTGTGCCGCATGGAGATGAAGACGAAGATGATGAAAGAGTTTGCTCCGTGGATGCTAGATCTCACCTTCGATTTTGAAGAGGGAAAGACTGCGCTATCTTTCAGCTTCGAGCAAGAGCGTCACCGGCTTCAGTTTGCTCTTATGCTGCGCATATTGCGTGCACGCAGTCCTCACTTGAAGACTCTTGATGACACGCCTCTCGTCTATGCCTAGGACTGCAACACCGGTGAGTTGGTGTTGAATCTGTTGTAATTAGAGTGGAAGTCGCAGAGGGTGTGCAGATCTATTCGACTTCTGAGATCTTGTGATGCCGTCCCACAGGTTCGAGGTTCTGAACCATGACCATGACGATGACGAAGATCCGGCAGTCTCGAATTTCAATAAGCTGGTCAGGACCTGTGTACCCCTCTGTTCTGTCAGCAGCGGGTGAATTCACTGTTCTTGTTGGGTTTTGCCGCTACTTCAAGCACCAAGGTCGGTTCCACTCGATTTGATGTTCAAGGAACCGGCATAACAATTATCATTAGCGTGGACACCTTGCACATCCACCAGCGCCTTCCGTGCAGCAACAGATACAGCTACCTGGAGCTGTTCTCAGACTACCCGCGAAGAGACAAGTTTCTCTACGCGAAGTCCCAGCAAACCTTTGACCTTCCGAAAGAGGTTGTGCTTGGAGCTGGTGATGCCAAGAACGCCCGAAGGGAAGACGAGCATGACCAATCAGACGGGCGAAAGGGCAGCAAGGCAGATCAGAATCTCTGCACGATCAAACTTGGCTCTGACTTGAAGAATGTCAAGCTGAAGATCCCTAAAGTACCATTCACCATACGCGGCCGACTTATGGCACAGGACACATTCTTCGCCACCGTCGTGGCTGTGTTTCAGCTGGATATATCGAAAGGCCACTTGCAGGACATGCGCGAGGCAGAAGTGCCAGGAGACAAGCCGCCGAAGGTCTCAGAAGCCGAAGTGCCTTTGTTGCTCGTTCTTACATTGCAGTTGCTTGCATCACTTGTGATAGGCCGTGGACATCTAGCAAGACTTGAATTGGTTTGGTACAGTAGTAGGTCCGAGCCCTTTCCAGCCCCCTTCTGTTAAATCCATCATTCACTCTTATTTTCCTTTACTACCTCGAAACCGCGTTCATGTGTTGTATCGTGTTTGTGATGAAATCCCCAAGTCGCTTAGTGTTCAGGGAGTGCTTGGGCTTTGTCAATTTAAATCGGTGCGCAAAGTTGTCCAAGGACTTTTCATAATGCGCAGCGCTTTTTCCCGAAGGCTTGAACGAGTGTACAAGCGCACACAAGTTCTGACCCAGCACAGATCTTCGGACTAAGGATAGCTCAGTTCCCATTTAAGTGAACCTAGCCAGTTGCCAACAAGGAAGCCACCGTCTGAAGCTCGTTTGGACAACTGTGCCCGTAGCCCCGGGTAATGGTCATCAAGAGCACAAACGCCGCAGAGTAGTCGTTGGGGTGTTTCCAGTCTCACCTTCACCTCCCAGTCAAACAGAACTCGGGAGAATTGGCTTCCAGCACAGTTCAAGATGCCATCGGAAGTAGCCTTTTTTCCATGTACTGCGATGGCGATGTTGTGGTCGTGCAGTCGCACTGGTAGCATGAAGCAACCGCCCCGAAGTCCATGAAGAGCTGAGGTTCCGGTCTCGGAAGCATGCCGAGGAACCACAGCAGCTTGCAACTTTAAACGTGCGCTTTACTGGTATCTTGGCTGTCATCCAGCATATTAGTTGGCCCTGCACGGATGTTCAGCGGTGGTCTCTGGATTCTCCAAGGCTACGTCACGGAAGAAAACACGAAGAAGAAACAGACAAATGGCGGTGGCTTCGCTGCACTGGTTTTGCCTACTTCAGTAAGATGGGCGGGCACCCGCCACATACTGTACAACGTCCAAGGCAACAACAGAGCATCCAACGAAGCAACCTGGCCGCAGTTTCGGGCGAATCCCGTGTTTCATGGTAGAGGAGCGCCGCCCACAAGATATGACGGTTGTTGGAGAATCGATTGTGCCGGCAGCTTTTGCCTACGAGGTCGGTTCTAGCAGAGGGGAGGAGGAGGACTCGGAGGATGAACTGGAGGAGGAGGAAGAGGAGGAAGAGGAAGAAAGCGATGGCAGCGATGAGGGTGAAGGCCGAGGGCTGCAGCAAACTGTGTGTCATGGTGTTCTGACGCTGTGTCGCTGTTCCTGGCATTGTTTTCTCATGTTGGGGTCGTGTCTGTTGAGGCCAAGGAAACTCCATTGATGGTTCTGGTTCTGTTTCCAAGAGTCAGCAGTCGAGCGCCGCGACATCCAGCACATAATGCTTGGAGATGTTTGGAATCCTATGTTTTGAAGTGCCCGTTTAAAGTAGTTCGAAGTAGTTCGAAGTAGTCACAGTCTCACCATCAACAAGGATGTAATTTGTACGCTTCCCAACCGGAGCAGGTTCTCACCAGACTCACCAGTAGCCTCTCACTGCACAGGGTGTCATCGCCTTGTGCAGATTTTCCCGTTCAGAGCATGCAAAGCATGGCTGATTCCTGTGCGAGATGTCAGAAAACGAATTTCAGTGAAAGCTTGTGGCTTTCAGACACGGGGCAGGGCTTTTTCGTTCTGTGTGTGGTGGGTTAGGTCCGCGCACTGTAGCCAAGCATGCAGTGCAGCCTCACGGCCCTATGCGTGGCTGATGCAGAGCTGCGCACACATAGCAGTCTTCATACAAAAAAAACACAATCTTATCTTGTTACCACCAACCGATGGTAGCTGGTGAACAACAAGATACCGGAATCCTCACGCATTGCTGTGCAAGCATGGGTGGCCAACCTTCTGGCGCGCGCTTGGGAACGGGCCAAGATCAAAGCCAATCTCAGGCGACTTTGGTACCACTCAGTGCAGCGCAGCAGTTGTGAGCTCTGGCTGCGGCAGGAGGACCGATCAGACTTTGTCCTGGAGGCAACGTTGCCGCCTCCCTCCTGATAGTGGAGCTGGCTTTCATGTATCTTCAGCGAAGCCGGCTTGCATGTATCTTCAGCGAAGCCTGCAAGCAGCTTGCTAGTTCTTTGGCCTTGACTGCAGGTCGTCAACCAGACTGGGATGAAGCTTCCTGGTTGCAAGCACGCGCAGCTTGCCGGATCACCTCAAAAAGCCGCAGATCTCTGAGCATTGCGCCCGCAAAGGTTGTACAGATCTCACGTGGACCCGGGAGAGATTGCAGATTCGATTCTTGTCTGCCATGATGAGTGGAGTAGTCGCTCCCCACCACTGCACGACTGTGCGTTGCACTTTCTGGTTCAGTCACTTTTTGGTTTAGTGGTTGACTTGTGCATGCTCTGGTGAAGGTGTAGTAGAGGAAGCAAATGTTGATAATATAAAAGAAAGTAAGTGAAGTGTTGTATGAATCAGCGTCAAGTTTCCATTCGGAGTTTGTGTTGTCGCCACACTACACGGCCGAATGTTGAGAATGTTGTACAACAATGTTGTAAATGCTATGGTCCCAAAGATGCCAGTCGAGTGCAAAGTCCCAATATGGCAAGCAAGGCTCCGCATGTTCATTGGGGCCGAAGCCTTCAAGGATCTCGTCAAACAAAACTTGCTCCACCTTTTGTGTTTGTAAATCGTGGTGCATGCTTACCGGCCAGTCAAGCTACCCTTCTGGTGTCAGACCAAACAGCGTCCGTCCATATGCAGACCAGTGTACGTCCTTCAGCATCAGTTGAGGGGTCTCAGGTCATGCGGCAGCAGAGAGCACATGGGAAAGTCCGTCCACCACAAAACACATCAGAAAAGTCGTCGACAATGGCCTCATTTAGCGCGCGCATGCACCAGAAGGGGCCGTGCGGCCGCAGCAGAGATGAAACATCTATTGCAGAACGCGTTATACTTCCAATAACTATCCCCCATAAAACCACATGAAACCACCAGTTTATTTAGGGGGAGACAACAAATCCATTGCGCGCGGAAACGGGGACTGCGCACCGATAAACCCGCTAAACCCGCTAAACCCGCTAAACCCGCTAAACCCGCTAAACCCGTGGCGCACCGACTGCTGAACCCGCGCCAAGAAACCTGCCGCGCACCGACCGATCCTCAACTATGTCCCTTGCTGACGGTCGCTGCCGCTGCTGACGCTCTTCGCGCTGCGTGTTGCCCAGCCAACGCCCAAGATGAACAAGAAGCCGCAGCCTCCTACGAATTCTCGAAGGTTCACATACCCAAACCACCGCCCTGAAAGAAAATAGGCCCGGGCCTATTTCCGGAAACCCGGAGATGTAGGTTCGGACCCATTTTCTCGGGGGGGTCCCCCCCGCACCACACCTCTCCCAGCCCCGAACAGGGGGGAATTATGCACTTGTTTTGCTTGTTGGTGCGTCGTCGCTTACTAGCTGCGGTTGTTTTGCTTCTTGGTGCGTCTTCGCTTGCTATCTGCGGTTGTTTGGCTTATGGGTGCGTCTGCGATCAGTACGTGCGGTTGTTTTGCTTATTGGTGCGTCTTCGCTTACTACGTGCGCTTGTTTTGCTTATTGGTGCGTCTTCGCTTGCTCCGTGCGGTTGATTTGCTTATTGTTGCATGGGTCTTCGCTTACTACGTGAGGTTGTTTTACTTCTCGGTGCGTCTGCGCTCTATATGCGATTGTTTTGCTTATATTGGTGCCTCTTCGCTTACTATGTGCGCTTGCTTTGCTTCCTGCTGCGTCTTCACTCTATGTGCGCTTGTTTTGCTTATTGTTGCGTCTTTGCTTACTATCTGCGGTTGTTCTGCTTGTTGGTGCGTCTTCGACATTACATCATTCGTTGCGTTTCAACACTTCATACATGCCGCTGTCCAAGAGTACTGATCTCACAGTCGCGCCCCAGTCAGCAAAACAATCTGAGAATGGATGCATCTGTTTCCTTGCGACACTTGCCGGGAGTCATCCTTACCATTGGCGCCCTGGATGAAAAACAAGCACTCAAGTTCGAATAGATTGTTGGCAGCTGCTGCCCGGTGTTTCTGGGAGGAAGAATGGCCGTCAGCGCCCTCATAAGCAAAACAACTGTCAGCTCTCCCCAATAATTAAGCGCAGATGAAAACCTCACTTTGTGCATGTCGTCAAGCCCCAAACCTATATAAACCCTATAACCCTATAATCCCCACACCTCAAACGCTAAGGAGCAAAGCAATTCTTTGCCCTCGGACGTCAGATGCTCTGCCTCTGAGCCAATCTCCTCCCACACCGAAAATGTTCACGTTGTACCGAATCGTCCGAAGTGCTTCATGCCGATCTGTGGAAGACTGTGCAGCGACGACAGCCAGGTGGCGTTAGCCATGCCAACTGAGTGGAGACCGCTTCCTCCCCGCCCCCCCCCCCCCCCCAAAAAAAAAAAAAAAAAGACAAAAAAACAAAGCCGATGCCCACCCTTTACAGGCTGTCTTCCTTGTCCCTGATGCTCCATGTAGTTACCGAAAACCCGCGCGTCCTCAGACCCGATAAACCCGCCGCCGAGAAGCCGAACACCCATGCGCCCGATATCCCCCAAACCCAACAATTTAAGCGTGCTGCGAATTGACGACCCCATGTCGGCTTAACCCGAAAAGTGTCTTGCCGTGAATATATTTAATCATCTGAGCCTTATATAATCAGCGCAAAGCAGCGCAATTCAGCGCAATTCGGCGCCGTGCAGCGCATTGCGGCGCACGCCAGGAAACACAGCGCATGCGGCGCAAATCGGCGCATTCAGCGCAAGTCGGCGCAATGCAGCGCAATTCGGCGCACTGCAGCGCAATTCGGCGCAATGCAGCTCAATTCGGCGCAATGCAGCGCAATTCGGCGCAATGCAGCGCAGTGCAGCGCATCCGGCGTGATTCAGCGCAATTCGGCGCAATGCAGCGCAGCGCAGCGCATCCGGCGTAATTCGGCGCAATTCGGCGCATTCAGCGCAATTCGGCGCAATGCAGCGCAGTGCAGCACATCCGGCGTATTTCAGCGCAATGCGGCGCAAAGCGGCGCAGAGCGGCGCAATTCGGCGCAGAGGACGCGACCTTGAATCCAGTCCCGGAGCCCGCGCCCACTGAACAAATCCATGAACATTGCTTCGAGGGCATGCATGTCACTCTCTCGGAAATCCCGTCCTGGACTTCTTGTAATGACATAGAACAGGAACTCATGAAGGCTTTTCTTAGGATCGAAACCTCTCTGATTCCGGATTCAAGAAGCAAGAGCTGTTCCCTGCTTTATTGGGGCACTTTCTTACTTTCTGCTACAGCTAAAAGGGGCCCTGCTATTTTCCTGAAAAAGAGGAAGTGTCTCATTCTCAATAACCAAGTCGAAGGGTCCAGTGTTTCATTCAGAGGAGCAGGGCGACTCTTGGTTTGACATGGAGAATGTTAGAAGTTCTCTCACAGGGGTTCTCCTATCTTTGATTGCAGTTTTCTCAAGTCTGATTGGAAGCTGCAGAAGGAGGTCTCCCACCTGTAAAGATCAAGAACTTGCAAAGCAAAGAGGATGATCTAGACCTTTCCCTACGACGAACAAATTCCAGCTGCGTAAGCATGTGCTTCTCCGACCAACGCTGCCACCAACGCTGCGGCTGTCACCTTCGTTTCGCTGGCACTGCTATCTCATTGGACTCAACGGTCGACATCTCACCCCATCTCACCTCATCTCACCGCACTGCTGAGCTTTGCTGGGATGTCTCTCATCGTCTGAGGCTGCCCGAGGTCCTGACCTCAAGGCAAACTCTGACCGTTCAAGATGTTGGGCAGCCGGAGGCTGGACTTGCGGGGTATCAAGTTACCTGGCAGTGTGTTGTTTTTCTCGAGCTGCTGCAAGGTTTACATCAACTACATCAGCTGCAAACCTCGTCAGCCAGACCAGGACGGCCGGATACAGTTCTGACTTGGCATCGTGAAGTGTGGCTTGTTCCATGCCAAACGTTGCGAGTCTAAACTCCGTGTAATGCTTTTCTGTTGCACCATGCAAGGCCGGCATGTCACGAATACGTCGGCCAACTGAGATTCCCGAAGCTCTGCCTGTTATCCTGACGGTGTATGCTGCAGTTGTTGATGGCGGGCTGCGAGCTTCCATATTTGGGGGGGCTCACCGGCTGGAGATGGCTGCCATGTTCGATCGCCTTCCGGAGCACGGCGACAACTTACGGAAGTTGGCTTGTCGACAGGGAAGCTTGGGCGTTTGCTCCTGGAAGCAAAGCCTGGCACCGAGAAGTGCAGTGCTCACTGTCACACAACCACCGACGAGCATTTCGCAGCAACGAGCAGCTATGCTGGATGCACTGCAAAGCAGCATCCCCATAGCCGCGAAGCTGCGGGACCAAAGTTCTCCTACAAAAGATGACGCGAAGGAAGAAAGGTGTGAAGCTGTATTGGCACGGCCAGCGCCGACAGATGTAGCAAGCGCGGAACCTGACCCGCCATCGTCGCAACCTGTCAGCGCACCTTCATCGTGCCGTTCCTTGCTTGTACATGTGATCACGGTGGCCAGGGCATGTGGCATAGAGAGGGCTAGTGCATGCGTCGGTCAAGCATCATTGGACATGTGTTTTCATGTTGATGAAAGGTTCTTCTTCAAAGAGCCAAGCCGCTGGGGCAATATTTCATACCTCGTACCGGGACAGATCGGGTCGTGGTTCGGGGACCTTTGGCCCGGATAGCCCATGAGTTGTTTGGATGTCGGTAGTAGATGCAGAGCCGCCGGCCGGGAAGCCAGGATTGAAGGTAACAAATCAGTTACATCCAATTTTCGCTGAAGATGCTGGCACATCAGAGGCTGAAGAGATGCAGGAGACTGCAGTCATGCAGATGGCCCAAGTTGAGGAAGCTCCCAGATTCGACAGCATGGCGCCCAGCTTGGCGCTCAACAGAGAAAGGCACAGGTTATCTATTTGTGCTCTTGGAACTCAGGTGAGCTCTGTGCAAATTCTGCCCCGAGCTGCCCGCCGGCCCCGACAGTTGATGTCCCGTCCGGCAACTCCCCTTCCCGCGGGTTTGAGCGTGAATCTCAGACCGGTCACGTCGATCAAGCATCTTGGTCGGACCTTTGTCGATGCCACGTTCAGCTCAAGTAATTTATGAAAATCAGTGAACGGTACTCTGCATGTTCTTGCTGGGCTAATGCTTACTTCAAGGCTTCAAGCATCTCTGCTCGACCGTGTTGAATTGGGTCATGTGCGGTGCAAGTAAACCCATGGAATTTGTGCGACGTGTACTGTAGTCTTTTTCCTTGCCCAGCTAAGGAGCCTTGCAATCCGTGCCCGACGCCGATCAAGAAGGCACTTCGTGAACTGACGTCACTAGCGCCTAAGGTGTTCTTGAATCCCGAAAAGGAAAGTAAGCAAGCACCCTCGGGTTGCAACTGATTGAACTTGAGACAGGATGCTCCTGGTCGATCCCGCTCTGGCGCATTGGCCTTACAAGTGCAAAAGGCCTTGAAAGAACGACAGGAAAAAGAGGAAGCCCAACGCAAGTGCGAAGAGGAGGAAGCTCTTATGAAGGTGATTCCGACCGATTTCGCTTGCTGTACCATTGCTTCGGCTCTTCTTGCTGCCTCTTGACGCAGATAGCTTTGGAGAGATGCAGGCCAACTGCTCGGCTGTCATAGCTTCCCAAGACATTGAGTATCAGAGGCGCTTTGGCATCGCTTTGGCTGTGTTGATTTTTTTGGTGTTCCGGAGTGTTTCGGATGCATGTGAGGAGTCTTTTGCATGACCAAGTCCGGGACCTGCGGAAGGACGGAGATGCCATGCGCTTGAACCTACATCCTGCGAACGGCAAGCAACTTGACGTTCAGGAGCATTCAAAGCTGCAAGACCTTGAGAGATCATTGTCATCAGCTTTGGACGACAGCCGGCAGCGTCGGCAAAGTGCAGAGACACGGCTCTCCAGGCAGGTTTCCTGAGGGCAAGAGAGGCATTGTCATTGGCATTGCTTGTAGCATGAACATATCGGCTTGAAGTGGATGCTGCCAACAGCTGAGGTATGGTGCGGCGCTTGGAGATTCGCCGTGGTTTTTCTGTATCGTTTGGTTCGCGCGTGATGTTTTGTTGAAGTGCCAAGCATCATCACCCCTTCCTTTCAGCACTGCAGAGTCTAAACGCAACTACTGCCAAGTCAAAGTGCTAAGAGGCGAGAATCCGCGGATCCGCGCGGAAGCTGAGAAAGCTACAGAGGAAGAAAGCGCGTTGCTTCCGGAATTGACAGATGTGTCTCGGCGGTTGGTGCACCTCAAGGACCTTTATTGCTGAGGGGCTGTGGCTGCTATTTCGAGTCTTTTTTGGACGAATCAGAATGAAGACTTTGTTGGCTGGGGACACGAGGAGACACTGGAGGAAAAAGAGGAGCTGTTGTGTATGGCCGCGCTCGCTGATGCCCCGGCCCAAGTGCCTCAGCTGTGTCATTTCAACTGAGCAAGCTGCGAAGCTGAGGACACATGACAAAATCAATTCTTTAACTTTCTCTCGCGTGGTGAATGTGTGGGAACCGCGGGGCGAGATGTTAATGCTTTCTCTGTGGCAGTCCCGAAGCTTGGACTCTGCAGCGCACAGGTAGATGTAGGTCAATGCAGGCACGCGCCTCACCATGAGGTACCAGTGTCGACCAGTTTAGGCACAGATGGCATGCTGGAGTAAAATGGACAAAGTAAGCCAAGTATGTCCAGTCACGATGATGGGGAGTTGCCGAAGCCGCGAGGTTGTTGAATACCTGCAGCATTTCAATGCCCAAGCAGTTGTAGCCAGCATTCCCGGCTGTCACCGAATGCAGCACCGACGTGCTGGGCACGAGTTGTCCGAGTTGCAGGCGGAGGGGTTTGCTTCATAGTAATGATATAGTGACATAATTGGTCATGATCTAGGCCATGCTGTTCAATAGCGGATGATTTTGGATATGTTTCAGCAACTCAACCTTTCGTTGGCTCGCCCCTTCTTTCAATGGTGAGTGTTGACATTATCCAACCTAACTGACATGATGGGCATCATTCATCAGGTTGGCACGATTCAAACCTCAAGTGGGATGTTCTGCCCTACAAATTTTGCACTTGGCCATTCACCTGCCTGGCTGTATCCCCCAGGTATACAGTGCAAGCTGCTGCAATTGAATCTTGTTGCCGTTAGTTCAGCTTTCAGGGAGTGCCGCCCATAGCAGCGGTGGTGCTACACCGCTATTCCTCATTGCTGTCTGTGGGTTCGCCAGTGTCGAACCCGGGAAACCGTGGCAAATCCAACTGTTATGACTGTCATGGTTCCAATTTGGAAGCCTGCAAAACGACTGCGTTTTCAAATGTTTGCCGGTGGCCTCACAGCCAAGGCCGCTCCAACTCGTATGGGTGTCCTTCCATACATAGCCAAGCTATGCCGATTTGTTGCGTTGAAAAGGTGAGATTGTCATCTGCACGGCTGCTTGGTATCGACAACGAACTTGGAGCAGCAGCCGCTTCAATCTTGCCGGCATCTTGGATGCCATGCGAGCTGGCGGCATACCGCGGCAAATCGTTGGTCGAGGTCGGCTTATCATTCTGAAGAGGATCCGCCACTTCCAGGGGGGGAGGACAGCATGCCAAAACCTTAGCAATGAGGGTGGTTGATGTTTTGCGGAGCCTTCGGTTTCGAAGCAAAAGTCAGTGCCTAGAATAGGTGACAACTGACAACCTTCCTGAGGCGGGGACGGAAAGTTGTTGAGAAGGCACAGGCGTCCTTACCGTTGTGTCACTCTACACTTGTGCGTGCCAACGCGGCAGTCGAACACCGCTGTGCTTTCGGAGGTTGCCACTGAAGTGTATGGCGTAGACGAGCGATGCCCTTGGATCTTTGGTTGGTGTGGACATGTGACGATGTCTCTCGCTGACTAAGTCCGGCACCGAGCGTCGAGCCGCCATCTTCTGGTTTTGCTCTGTCCGTGCACAACCTAGAACAAGTGCGCGGTGTGCTGGCTGTCCAAGTTCATTGACACAACCAAGTTCATGAACAAAGGACCAGGAACAGAAAGCCCCTGATGAAGAGTGTCCCGTGCTGGATGCCTCGGCAGAACATTGGACTGTTTTCTCTGCGCTTGTCGAAAGGCACAAGTCCAACACATGCCACATCCTGTGAGCCGGACTTGAGCCTGAGGCCGAGGGCATGTCATTTGCACCGTCGCCCTCGACAAGGTGCTGCTTCTGCAAGTTTCGCCGTTGCCCCTCAAGCAAAATGCGAGTACCTTGACAAGGTTGCAAGCGTTGCGCTGCATTTCGAGAGCCTTCGGCCACAACAGGCCCCTGCAATGTGCCGATGTGCCGAGTGTTAGAGAACTCATGGAGAGGCACCATATTGGAAGATTTGGTTTTGAGGCATCTCCGGCCTCAGCTTTGCTGCCCCCAACGAGGTTGCTTTGGGCACGTAATGGCACACATATCTGGTCCTTGAGCTGCATGCCTGCTTGCGCCTAACCTCTTCTTGAGGAGCACAGATCTCCTGATAAAGGCTTCGTGTTGGAAGGCCGCACTGACATTGGCCGTAGTTTCTTCCAGCAGCTCCTGCGTGGCCAGGCTTCGGCCAGAAATTGCAATTCCAAGTGCTACAGTCCGAGACCGAGATCAACGTCTGACTACATGTGACTTCACATTGTTACGTGTTAGTGGTTTTACATGATGTGGACTGGTCGTGATGTTGAGGTCTACCTACTACCGCTGTGCACTGCTCTCTGTCAACAATGTGGCTCGTTTTCAACTGGCATTTGGGAGGGCGCTTTCTTTCTTTTGGAGCATCTCCTGTACAACTTGCAGGTTGATGCCCTGATGGATGAACTGCACAATCACGCAGATCACGTGGGCTTCTTCAGCTTAAAGACCTGACCCGTTCCTGCTGCAAAGCACTTGCACCTCCTATGCTGAGGCTGAGCCCTACACGCCCTTGTCGCACAGTGATCCATCTACCCTCTTCTGTTGCTTTGGCAAGATAAGACGGATTCGCATCATGCCTCCTTCCTGCGTGCATGCGGCTTTTAAACATTCCGGCACGTCGATGCAGCTGGAGGTTGTGTGTACCGGTTGGCTCAGCTACAGCGGGCGGCCCAGCCCGCAGGCCAACAGCCTTTAACACATTACACAGGAGTGGTACCGAGGCCTTCCAAACAACAGGTCCGGCAGCTTGTGGGCTTCAAGGGGTCAGCGATGGTGCGTGCCGACTTCAGCTCAGTTGGATATGGGACCTTAAGAAAAGCTGACGATGGACACGAGGCAAAGCATGCAAAGCTGAGGCTGGTATGCTGTACATTCGGTTCAGCTGGCCGTAGTTTCCTTAAGTTGCCTTGGGACATCCAGACTGAAACGGCGTTCCCAGACTGAATGTGTAGGATGATAGCTGCAGCTTCTGTAGCCGAGGCCTGGAGATGTCTGGACTTGGCTTCGGCGGTTCCTCTTCGACACTGAAAGCTTCAGGCCGAAGAAGAAAGATCGGTTCGAATACGTTTCATTGCTTTTCAGGGCCCTGGGAGGGTCTTGGGAGGCCTGGCAGCAATCCTTCATCAGCTGCCGCCTTGGGTCCTCGAGAAGGGTCAACGTAAGAAGTAAAAGCTAGTCCAATTTCCTATCTTGTCCTGCTCTGAAGAAATTGCAGGCACCGATTGCTATGGGAGACTGGGCCGACCCCTTACGTCCCGCCAGTTTACTGGCAATGAAGCGCGATTCCGAAGAAGCATCTGGCAGCACGTGTGGCTGCGAGGTCGAAAGCCTTCTGCGGTATGAAAAGCTGCACGGTTGCAAGATGTTGCTCTTGTCAGCTCTAGCAGCTGGAGTGAGGTGAGATTGAGTTTTTTAACGAGTCTTCATACGTTGCGGTGTCTCTGTGTTGGCTGTAAGATGCAAGACTCTTTACACGAGGACATCGGTTGAGAGGCTTCACGAGGTATCGCGAGGTTGCGTGTCCTCGATATGTGGTTCCAGTCGCAAGGACTCCCTGAGCAGTTAACAGAATGGCAACCCCACAAGTCGAGAGCTTCCTTCCCGCTGTCCGGGTCCAGTGAGGGCTGTTGGTTTCTGGATGTTTCTGGGCCATGTCCCCGCTCTCAAGGAAGTGTAATATGGAGAGGCATCCCCAAACAGGGATCATCGGGACTTGGGATGGCGACTTGGGGGGCCATTGTATGTATTTGGGTCCTTTACCGCCTTGAAGGCAACGAGCACGAACAGGGTTTGGGTTGAAAGTTCATGCATAGCCGGGCATAGTCCTGGGATCAACCGAAGTTTTTGCGGCGCATGTGCGCTAGGTACTACAACATTGTGCTCCCGCGATTGCCGGTGAGACGGAATCTTACCATCCAGCGGTCCATTGTTCCGTCGGCACCCAGCAACGTTGGGGAGTTTGTCTAAGCCGTGAGGCCTCAAGCGAGACATGGCCATGGAACTCGTGCAGCTGCCAGAGCTGCGCCAGGACCGATGCCTTTGATGTTGTTAAAACGTGACATGCGTCTTCAGGGTGTCTCGCCAGGCTCTCGCCCAGAACCGGTGTCACTTTGATCACCGACATGCTGGAATGCCGGTTGATGTTCTTCATGGCACGAGCCGTCGGCATGTGTGAAAGCCACTCCCAGTAGACAGCTTCAAACGCTCTGAACTGGCCAGGACTTGGTGCAGTGGGCAAGTCGTCGCCACCAGCATGGAGCTTGTGTCCAAGCGCAAAGCAAAGAGAGTCCATCTTGGCCTCCCGAGGTAGTGTTGGACGATCTCTTCTCGTGAATGTGCAGCTTGACGATGGCTCCGTAGAAGAGGTTCCCTGCGGCTTACTTCGTCCAACTCAGCTGCTGCCTCAGCGTTTTGAAACGAACGAACGCAGCTTGACGGAGATGATTGTTTCGAGGTTTACCAGGAAACGGTCCAGGTCCTTTTCATCTTCGCAGAGTGCAGACAAGCTTTGCCTTCTGCTCAGATCTGAGACACGTCTCGCATGAAAGGCTTCTTGCAAAGCTTGTCACACTTGCAGGTGAGGAGTACCTGCGGCGCGATCGTGCGAAAGCGGTCACTGATGATAAGCTCATTGCTCAGTCCAGCTTTGTCAGACTTTGCCAGACCAGCAACGGCACAGACATGAATCGCCGAGGAACGACTACTTCAAGCCCATTCCAAAATTTAAGAAGATGCTGATGACGAAAGACAAGTGCCCGAAGCTCCAGGGGCACAAGCTTTTACAATCTAGCCGGACTTGCACAAGCAATCTGCTGCAGCGAGGCTTGAGACATTCAGCTCCTGACCATATGGACTCGGCAGTGGTGACGCGTGTTAACAACAAGCAGGAGGACAGGCTCCCATGTAGTCATCGACGTGTAGACGACTTGACGTCCGACACCTGAATTGTTCAAGGACATGGCGCCACAAGTACCCGTGGATCACGCAGTGCCTGAGGCAGTGGCACTTGTCCGTGCAGTTATTTCGCTGTTTCCTTGTTTCGCCGACTATTCTTTCTCGCCAGCAGGAGAGACGTACACTGCTAATGCAGGCCAAATGATGCCGATTCCCAGTCCATCCAGTATGCTTGTTGAGCTTGCCTTGAAGGTTGTGCGGAAGTACACATCTGGAAGCTCTTCAAGGTCACTGCTTCCGCGGCAGGACAGGGGTTTGCGCACGTAAGCTTGGGGAATCCAGCGCAGCCCATCTCAAAAGCCTGGAGAAGTTCTTCTTGAGACCATGCTGGGCTGCAGATTCGGTTCAAGCATGAACGGACCCCGTTTCACCATCGCACTCTCGCCTTGATGCATGGGTGCAGGTGTGCCAGGTATGCAAGCTCCTTCACACCTTTTGCTCTGGAGTGCCCGCCAGCACCGACATATGAGCTTCAGGCAATCGTGAAGTCTCAAGAGAAAGCCAACGAAGCAATCGTGTTGGCACAGAATATGGGCGCCGAAAAAGCTGCTCACTTGGCCAAGCGAGCCGTTGACCATATCTCCATGGTACAAGGTTGGTTCACTTTCTACGCTTACCGAATGTATTCGGACTTGCAGGACGATATCCACGAAGCCCGGTTCGACTTGGAACAGGCGGCGCAGAGTGCATACACTGAAGCATCTGGATCCGAAGCTGGAAATCTTTTATCCTGTGCGGCAGACGATCTGCTGCCGTATGATCCTATGCCAAACATTCATCCGATGGATCATCGTCTCAGCTGCATGCCGGCAGACTGGGCAAGCTTGACAAGCTTGTTGGAACTCAGAGAGGTCAGGTGCCGCAGCAAACGCCTGAGAAATGCGCAGTGTTTCCTGTGAGCCAGAAGATCTTGGCTCCTCTTAACATCACGAAGCCGTTCGGGAAAAATAAGATGGGATCTTGTCTGCTGCGCGTGTAACTGCTGGAGCTTTGTAGCAGAATCGGAAGCAGCGCACGAACATCCAATCCTCACAAGGTGTTCTCTCAGATAGCATCTTTCTGCTGCAGCACTTGCCATGGTGAGACAGGACCGCTTCGAATATCACGAATGGGATTCGGGCGCGAATGCCCGCGCGGAAGTGTTGGTGCGACCCCGAGAACTTGCAGCTTTGTCTAAGCCGTCAGTGTTTCACTAAGCTTTTGGATCCCTTTCAGCATGGAGACCCCAATAGGCCAGCCTTTGTAATGATGTGTACATGGTACCGGAAGATGAGAAGTTGGTTGGGGCAGGGTCTTTAGCAGCAATACCAAGCAGTCGTGTTACTGGCACGTTCCAACCATTCCAACCATTCGGCCTCGTCGCCCGCACTTCCGAACTCTAGGACTTTAGGGCCAAAAAGGGTTCTTTCTGTCGTTGGAGGTCGGGCGTAGCGTCCTGGTGTCACAAGTGCGTGGCAAGTCTTGGCATTTCTGCCAAGAGGCAGTCAAAACCCTTGCTATCAACGTGGGGGGGGGGGGCTCGGAAAGGAGTGGGGGGTCTTGTTGGGTTTTTTTTGGGTATTTGTTTTGTTTTCTAAACCCTAAACCTTAAACCCTAAACCCTAAACCCGAAACCGCTCGCGAAACGGGTGGGAAAAAAACCCGAAACCCTAAACCCTAAACCCTAAACCCTAAACCCTAAACCCTAAACCCTAAACCCTAAACCCTAAACCCTAAACCCTAAACCCTAAACCCTAACCCTAAAAAACCTAAACCTAAACCCTAAACCCTAAACCCTACCCCCCTAAACCCTAAACCCTAAACCTAAACCCTAAACCCTAAACCCTAAACCCTGAACCCTGAACCCTAAACCCCAAACCCCAAACCCGAGACCCTAAACCCTAAACCCTAACCCTAAACCCTACACCCTAAACCCTAAACCCTAAAACCCTAAACCCTAAACCCTAAACCCTACCCTAAACCCTAAACCCTAACCCCTAAACCCTAAACCCTAAACCCAAAAACATACCAAAACCCCCCCCCCCCCCCCCCAAAAAAAAATCCCAAAAAAACCTGGCTCCCTCGGGAAGCATGGGATTGGAATCCAAGGTCCCGGAGACCCTGAGGCTAGGTTAGCTGCCGAATGAGCTATGGCGACATCTTGTGGGGGAGTGCAAGATGTGCTGTCTGAAAGACTTTGAAAATTCGACCCCCAGGTTCCTTTGCATGCTGCATGGTGTGGAGTACAAGCTCAAGATATGGAGCTGCTTGCATTGTGTTGAGTACAAGAATAAGATATGGAGCACCAGAAATGACACGCGAAATGTGCGCAAGTTGCACCATGTGTCACCATGTGTCACAGTTATAGTAGCGGACGGAGGCCCAGCTTTTGTCTTGTTTCCGATGAGCGGAGGATGATCATCAGGATTATGGCTGTACCAAACTGGAGCAAACACCACATGACACCACCCTCAGCCAAATCTTGTTTCAGGTAGTTAGGACACTTAGGCGTGCAGGAAAGTCCGCTGCGCAACAATGACCGGCACCTGTGATTCTTGTGGTTTTCCGGGGTCAGAGGATGTTGCGCAGATGTGAATTCTTGGTTAGCATGCCTGGCGATCGCACGTGCCATATTGAGGGTCAAGCAGGCAAGGCCTGCTTTAAACGCTGCCTGTGATCCATGGATTTCCATGGGCCAGACGGTGCACACAGCTGTCACCGACAAAGAAAGTGGCAATGGTCACTGTGACGTGAAACAGCTGTCGTGGGGCTTCAGTTGTATGCAGGGTTGGCGCCTACGGATGGAGGACTCGCACTTTGCCCTTCCACAGCTAGGTGGAAACTGGGCTGACACAGCTGCGTTTGCCGTGCTAGACGGTCATGGAGGCCGTGAAGTTGCATGTTTTTGCCAGCACCGGCTCCCTTCCACAATCGCAAAGTATCCGCCGACAGACCCTGAAGCTGCTTTGAGAAAGGCTTTCGAAGGCATGGACGAGCTTCTGCGCAGACCCGAAGAGCGAAGCTTTCTTCAATCCTTTACAGGAGCGACCCGAGGGGGGGACACTTTTGAGGAAGCTGGCCGTGTGGGTTGCACCGCAGTTGTCTGCTTGGTTCAGTCTGAGCGATTGATCGTGGCCAACGTGGGGGACAGCAGGGTGGTCTTATCACGCGCGGGTTTTGCTGTGCCACTATCGGAAGACCACAAGCCAAACCTTCCGGCCGAGCGAGATCGAATTCAGAGAGCTGGTGGTGTTGTGGAACGACAGCAGGTGAGAAATGTCACCCAGTATCGTGTAAATGGAAACCTCAACCTCTCCAGAACTATTGGGGATTTGGATTACAAGCGCAACTCCAAGCTTCCCATGAGTGAACAGATCATAAGTTCAACCCCCGATATCACGTGTTTCGAGAGGACTGCGAATGATGATTTCTTGTTGCTCGCTTGTGATGGCATATGGGAGACGATGAGCAGCCAGGATGTAGTGGACTTTGTCAGCCAACGTTTGCAAAGCTCTCAGAGCCATGCAGAGGCGCCACTTTCCCAGATAACAGAAGAGCTTCTGGACTTCTGCTTCGCCCCAGATTTGGCAAAGTCGGGAGGGGTAGGTGGCGACAACATGACCGCGCTGCTTGTCTTGCTCGGGCCGAGGAGGCAGGGAATGATACCAAACGCTCAGTTCTCCAGGAAGTCAGACTTCTCGCCTACAAGCACTTCATGGTGTTCATGTCATTAGCTGTTGCCCAGGGACTGTGAATCCAAAGTCCGAATTCGCACGTCTCCGACTTGCACTTGCCCTAAAGCGGGAAACTCTTGGACTTGCCTCGAGCAGACCCCGCAAGCAGACCCCGCAGCTCGGAAGCTCGGAAGCCGTGCCATTCTGCTTCTTTGCTTCTGCTGACCGCATCTGTTCTTTCTCACGTCCATGGCGCGCGACAATGTCAGTTATCGCACGCCCCTGGCTCTCAGGCTCAGCTTGTTCTGTGCCAACGTTCACATTGCCATGTAACAAAGAGGTGGTAGATGGGTATTTGATATCTTGCATGGAGCAAAGCTCGCCGCCGACTTGTGTAGATAAAGTCGTCGCATAGCAGCCGGGTAGCCTTTCTGTGCCAGCACTTGACACATGGCATTGCGTCGGCGATGCGCTTTCCGGGCTTAGTGGCGTCATACTTTGATCGGAACCCGGTTGTGCATCTGAAAGCCTACTAGGTCGCAAGGCCATGGCCTTGCCCGTTGTAACCATTATATACACCTTCTTATCGCGCAATAAGGTCAAGAAGTCGGACAAGCCCTCGAAGGCACAGCTGTGGACTTACGGTCTTTGCCTGTGGATCGTTGTTGGCCTTGGAACATGAGCACCTGCGTGTGAATTCGTAAAGTGGCAATTGGGCCTAGTCAGCCCGTCCAAGAGCACGCAGCGGATGCATCTGTGTGGATCCGTCCCGTCCGATAACGACCTTCCTTCACTTTCAGAGCAGAGGTGCCTCTGTCCTCTCTTTCTACGCCCTCTCTATTTGAACCGTAGGTTTTTCATACATTTGGCGGTTGAGTTGAATGCCACGCTTGAAGTCGCACTGAATGCACTTCCCCCACTTCGCCTCGACGCCTCGGCTCTCAGGAGCCGAGCACGACTGCCGCTGAGCCGCCTAGGACGGATCACGGTGGCACCATGGCTTCATACTCCTCACGGCTTGTGCAAGTAAAGCAGAATTGTCATGGTACCTTCAGTCGCTCAGGTGGTGGATCGGCCATTCCGGAAAGGAAGCCGACTGAGCAAGAAGTGCAAAGACAGGAAGCAGAGAGCGAGGAAGAAGAAGAAGAGGAGGAAGAGGAGGAGGAAGAGGAGGAAGAGGAGGAGGAAGAGGAAGATGAGGAGCAGGACGATCAGGAGAGGGTAAGGGATGAGGAGGACGACGAGGAGGAGGAAGAAGAGGAGGAAGAGGAAGAGGAAGAAGAGGAAGAGGAAGAAGAGGATGAAGACGAAGAGGGACATGAGGAGCTGAAGTCCGTGAATGGAGAAGCGCAACAGGATTCACCGCATCTTTCGTCTAATCACACCTTGCTTGAAAGCAGCATTGCAGAGCTGCGGGCATGTATTTCATCTAGCCGCAGCCAGATACAGTCTGTACAAGAAAGACTCAGCAGCATTGCCTCCCAACGGAGACCGCAGCAGAGCAGCGGCGAGCTGCAGGCGGTGATGGAGAGGTTGCGCCACGCCCAACACCACAGCGCAGGCCTTGAAGCTCCCGAGCTCAAGGTGCGCGATCTCCGTAAGCAGCAGAGAGCCGCCAGGGAGGAAGTGGCCGCCCTCCGGGATGCCGGTGGAGGTGGCGATGGGCCCTGCCATGATCAGATTGCGTACCTGATGTGGCAATGTGAGAGCATACGTGGGTCGATAGAGGCTGCCGAAAAGGAGGCAGCCACGGAACAACAGCGAATTTCGCAGCTGGAGGCCAAGATGAGTGCTGAGCACCAGGCGGGCGACGAGTATGCCTTGGCTCTGAAGTACCAACTGGCTGAAACAGCTCGCCTTGGAGCAATGGAAAAAGATGCTGCGACTGAAGCTGCCGAATTGGCGGATCGTTACTGGGACTATGCGCCGTTCAGCGCCGCTACCCCTGATTTCACTGCCACGGCCATCGATCAGGAGATCGTGCAGACTTTGCCTCAGCAGCTGAGTATTCTAGCACATGGGTGTGCAGCGGACGATCTTGGCCGGGTTAGTTGTTTCTTGTGATGGCAGGTTGCGGCACCGCGTAGGCTTTGAAGAGGAAGAGGTCGCCCGCCTGGAAGGCAATCCAGCGGGAACGCAACAGGTACACTAGTACGTTATAGGGTTCTTGATTTTCGCCATGGTCGAAGGCATGGTTGAGCCATATTGTAGCTTGCCGAAGTGTGCAAAGTCGATCCGTCTTGGGGCATGGCGCGTCCCGGATCTGAGACGCATCTCGGGCAGTTGGTGTTTAGCGGTGCCAGAATCCATTGGAGTGAGATTTAGGTCCTTTGTTGGTTCCCGGCCCTTTAACAATTCTGGAAATGGAAACAGGATGAGCGTTTGTTGTTTTGCATTGTTTGACTCTCTTTTGCTGATAGGCAGGCTGCTGCAGGCCCGTGCCGGCTGCCAGTCGGCAGGCGAGGAGGCGGTAGCTGCCGGGGTCCCAGCGAACGGAAACAAGAGATGAATTTGCCGAATTGACGCAAAGGAATAGAGTAGAGAGCTTAGAGAAGAGCGGAGACGTGTGTCCCCAGATCGTGTGCCGGTAACTGCCAGTGCAAGTAGGCAAGGTAGGCACAGCACTATAGCACTAAAGCCTCCGTAGCAAGCTAGTGAACAATGAATTACTAGCCCTTTGCGCGTCCGCCTTGGCGCCAGGCTGAAGAGAACAAACATATCTGCAGGACATGGCATGTAGGGACAGCAAATTCAGCAAAGGCTGACTTGAACAGTCTGAAACTTCGAGTGGACATCCAGAAGCCTGTGCGGTCAAAAGCGCAGCTCTGGGACTTGATCCCTTGGATGAAACGTTGAGGGTGGGGTATGCAATGCACGCAGAAAATAAAGATGCAAAGCTCACGTGCCAAACCCATGCTAGGCATTCACATCTATCCTTACGCAACTCTGCCTTGCCCAGGCTTTCCAGCTCGCGCAGGCTCTGCTTGAGCAATCCAAGGCGAAGACTGGTGCCCGAGAAACTGTCACGGCATGATGTCAGCAGTGGTCCACAGTGGCCCAGCAATTGCCCACCGATAAGTAGCAGCAGTCACGAATGTAAAGAGTGTAAACAAGGGGAGGTGATGCACGGCTTCGTTTGTCCGATCTGTGCAGGCCTTGGAGCGTGATGAGGACGAGGCTGTGTGGAAGAAGATGTTTGAAGAAGATGTTTCAAGCGCCAAGTTGTCGTTGTGTGCAGGCTGCCCACGCCAATCTTGAGAACATTGTCACAATGCAGGGACAGGCAGGCCCCGCAGTGCTAGTCTAGCGGTATCAGTGTAGGCAATGCCGTTCAAAATCTGATCTTCCAGGCCAGGAGAAGGCAAGTGCACGAAAGAGAAGAGCATCTCGGCAATACCATGCAGCATGTACATTGTATGTAGACATTATGTAGAGGATTGGAAGTAGGCTGAAAAAAAGCGGAGGCTGGGGGGCACAGGCCTGAAGGCACCGGAAGACATTTTTGCGTGCAGTAATCGGCGTTTTTACAGGTGGAGGCGTTGTTGGAGGCTGTTGGTAGGGGAGGGAAGGGGCCGGAGTCTTGGAGGGCCGGGTTTGGCCCGGCTCTGAATCTGTTGAAGGTTGTGAAGGGCTTGGATCATTGGGTCAGGGCAGGGCGCAAACGGTCTTCGGGTGGGGCTGGAGTCAAGGATAGCGGTAAATGTGGCACATTGAGCTGCTCCAGGTTGCCACGAGGTGTGAAAGCCGAGCCGCTCAAGTCCAGGTGATTCCTTGCACCTTGCTTGGGTTTTTCTAGCGGAGCGCGGAAGTACAGTGCAGGAGATTGAAGAGCAGTCCATCCGAGAAAGTCTTGAGGGAAGCGCTTGGCGAGGTTCGGCAGGACCACACAGCTGGCAGTGAGCAGCAGCGCTGTTTGTGTTCCAGAGGTGCGACGTCACAACAAGGAGTTGGAAAGACAGGCAAATGCTTTCGGGGTGTCATGCTTCGTGCTGCATGGCGGATGGTTGAAGCCCCATGTGGGGATTTCCTCTTTGGAGAATCCTTCTGGGGAGGGTCGTATAGTCGTATAAGAAGGGTTGTACTTGAGCTGCATGAGGACCCTTTAGGGCCCCTGTTTTGGGAGATGCCCATGTGGTTAAACACACGTCCTTTGCCTGGACATGGTTGCAGGTTGAAGCTGCGAGGATTCGTTTGGCCAGCAAGCCATCCAGCAAAGGGCTGCATTGACGCCGGAGTCGAAGATCGATTCGGGGCGAAAAGACGCACCGCTGCATGCCCCGATTGGCAGAGAGTGCACTTCTCAGACACCAAATAAATGTAGGGTATATGTAGAGCCCCTCCACGGTGCGTTGCGGATCTACCAAGCCGGGCCCGGGGATCAGCGCAGCAGTTGTGATTGTATAAATCACCCGATCAACTCTCATCAAAGGCCCTTAGACTCCATGTTGTCTTAGCCCGAAGCATCGCATCCTTAGTCTTGCTACAGTTTTTTGAATCGGTAGAAGCACACAATACGACATGCAAGGACCCGCCGCCAAGCGCAATTTCGTGTGAAGAATCATGCGAAACTGATGAGAAGTGCCCCAAGAATATCTCTCAAAAGTAATATAAAGCAATCGACCTGCGCCAGGTGACATCATGTCAGATTGCGCCAGAGAGCCTATTTTTGGAACCAAGCTGACTGGTGTATGAGCGCAGCAAGAGCGGAAGCCTCGAGGTACATCCCCCAAACTAGTACATGTCGAATGTTCAGTATGTCGCACGTTTTCAGCTCGCGGCTCACAGGCTTCAGGGAATATCATGCTGCATTATCCAGGCCGAATCGGACTGATTCCATGCCGACGCCATCCAACTATGATCCTACTCTGGACTCCAACCAGGAGATGAATGCTTCAGACGTGAAGAGTGTGGCGATCGACGAGCCGAACAATCCGAACAATCAGTTGAACGAAACGAATTGCTCCAATGCAGATCTCCTAGCAGTCCTAGCAGAGATCCGAAGGCTCAATTCTCGGCTAGAAGCCGTGGAAGTGCAACTGGAGCGGGAGTTTTCTCTTGAGGAGGAGAGCAATCAAGTGGTGGACTCGAGAGACAGCACCTGCGAGGCAGAGCCAAAAGATGGCACAGGGGCAGTGAATCCGGTGGTGGTGGTGTCCAGCGAGGCTAAGGAGATACAGGAACCGGACCCCCACCCGCCTAGGAGGTTGTCACAGTCTTTTCGGAAGAAGAAGGAACGTTTCACACCCGTACGTTTCGAGGAGAGTGCCTGGAGCATTCCTTTAGTCATCGGGCTGGCCGATGTTGGATGGCTGGACACTGTGGGTGCCCTGATCCTCGTCCTGGTCAACGTCGGCATGCAGACTGCGTTTTCCAGCATTCTGCTGTCCGAGCCGTTCATGGGGGAGAGCTTCGACACGAACCTCGACAGCGCGAGGATTTGGCGGAGGAGCCTCCGTGAAATTGCGGTCGCGCTTGCCTTTAATTCCTGAGACTTGACATAAAACCCTTAGCCTCGTATTTGAAACTTTCGCCTGCCCTAGACTTAAACATCTTGAACAAAGATTTCGAGCAGCAGATGCAGCTATCAGAAATGGAAGCGCGTGGAAGCACAGCGCTTCATGACGGAGATCTGCCAGTCGTTGAAGGTAGGACCTGTCTCATTCTGACGGACGGAAGCAGACAGGCATTGCACGATATTGCACGCCACGGTATTGTAAACCTGAAAGCATTCAGCCTTGCTTTGCCGCAGAACGTGGGTTCTCCTTGCAACCTGCTTTTGGGGCGTCCAAGCTGCTGAAGCTCTAGTTTTCGCACCCTTTGCTGAATTGCATGTGCCCTCCGTCAGGAGCGTGGCGCACGATGATGCTTACGTGGACCTTTCAGGCCGATTACTAGTGCGAAATTTTGCGCAATTTTGGTGTGGGCAAGGGCTGCACAGATCTATGAATCTAGCATCTAGCTGAATCTAGTTGCTGCTCTTCCAGCTGCTCTCGGCCAGGCACGAGCCTGGTGTCGCGCGTATGTGGTGCTGACGGTGCGTTGATCTTGTCCAACCAGCAGGCAGATATGCTTCAAGTCAAGGGTCATGTTTCTGTAGCCTGACATCGGCAAAGCACATGTACGGACATGGTCTCGAAAGCTGACGTGCCCAAGCACCCTGCTCAGCAGTTGAATGGCATGCTGGTGTCGTTGTGTGGGGCTTGGCAGGCCGCATTGGTGAAACAGATCAACGCCTTCCTGGGCATGGGCAAAGGAGACTTCACGCCCCAGATGTTCCAGCCTGGCGTCCTGCTGTGCATCCTTTGCATCCTTCTGTGGACTCTGTGTGTGTACAAGGACTTGCAGTGGGATGAGCGCTGGCTACCAGTAAAATTACCAGTATAGTCTGTCGTTTGAGTTGCAATTATCTGCAGGGGGTGCACGTGCAGGAGATCCGATCTGTTTGGCTGTCGCTGGAGGCCACCTTGCAGATCCCGAAGGCCCGGAGGACGGCTTTCGACAACCGGACGTTCCTGTGTCTCTCCTACGGCCGTTACTGCCTCCTCCTGTGCAGCTTTGCCGCTCGCGCGGCGATCGCTGCTGTGCTACTCGTGGCTGGCACTCTGTGGCTAGCGAGGACAACATCGATTGAAGAGCTCATGCTGAATGCGGTTGCTCTCCACGCCATCCTGGATGTTGACGAGTTTCTGTTTGCCTGCTTAACCCCCATCAAGATGCAGCATGTCATTCAGAGTCTCGAGCCGATACAGGTCAAGTACAGTCGCCGGCGCAGCCAGTGTGAGACCATTGCCCATTTCTCCCTGATCTTGACAGCAGTGCTTTTGGCTTACTACATACTAATAGCACCCTTGCAAAGCACTATGCTAGAGGTGAAGATCGAATTATGTGGCGGCAACCAGTCCTTCGTGGTTTCGTACAATCGCGATACGCAGGTGACGCACGGGCTTGTGACAGCAAGCGCAAAGACTCGCGACGATGGCCAGTATTCGGTCAGTGAGCTTGCAGTCATGAAGCACATCGGCATCTCAGCTGAGGCCGCACCAGGGTATATTCCAGATTCTTATCTAGCAACGGGCAACATTTTTCACTCTCTTTTAGGCTCTTGGACGTTTTGGAAATTGCTTTGGAGTCCCCAGGGTTTGTCGTATGTCCCCTCCCTTGGTGCTCGTAGGGTTTTGCGAGGAAGCAGGATTTGCTTTAGTGTCCCACCCAAATGGGGTCAAGTAGGCTCACCCCATAGCAGGTTTTCCTTCCTATTTGTGCGAAAAGACCGTGCGAAAACCACGCAAAACTCACCCACGAAGCCCGACAACATTGACCGGTCAGTTTCGTGACTTCACAACTGTCCGGCTATTTCGTTGTGACCATCCCCAAAATCGTCGGTCCCCTGTCATAGCCACAAAGGTGAGACCCACGTAAACCCACGCACAACCCACCGAAACCCACCGAAACCCACCCAAAACCCACCCAAAACCCATTCCAAACCCACTCGAAACCCTGGCAGGCGTGGCAAACCCACTTCACCCCTGCACTGCTTTTGAGTGAACCCAGAGCTGGGTGGTGGGATCGGTGGGTTCTGGGACCCCGTCCGTGTCTGACAATGTTGTTGCCGGATTTCCACAAAGTGGGCTGAACATCTCAATTTACTTCAACCACCCTCTTTTAGGCTCTTGGACGTTTTGAATTTTGTTTTGGAGTCCCCAGGGTTTGTCGTACGTCCCCTCCCTTGGTGCTCGTAGGGTTTGCTTTGGAGTCCCCAGGGTTTGTCGTATGTCCCCTCCCTTGGTGCTCGTAGGGTTTTGCGAGGAAGCAGGACTTGCTTTGGTGTCCCACCCAAACAGGGTCAAGTAGAGAGCTGAAGGTGGTACTATAGGATTTAGTTCTATCTCTAGGAAATAGCTGGTCTGTCAAGGAGTTGAGGTGTCATGAGATTGATGGTGGCCCCCTGGAAAGTACTAATAAGGGTGGTTCTATAGGTGTGGGGGTTTCTAGAGAGTGAATAGTGTGTACAAGTGAGCACGGGCGATATAATATTATAATTACAAAGAACCCGTGATGATAATATAATTGAAGCATAAGGAAACAAAGGAATGAAGACAGGAAATTAATTCACGAAAAAGCCAATTAATTAGTACTTCCAAGAACTCCTTTAATAAGGCTTTTGAATCATGAATGGCCCTTTTATCTAATTCATTTGTATCACTTTTTCTTTGTTCTTTTTATTCGTGTTTCCTTTTCACTATTTGCATTGCAATCCTAATAATTATAATTGAAGCGCGTAAAGATAATAATAAGAAGACCAAAAGTTGGGTGCATGAAAATATGAGGGGAAAAGACCACTTTTAATTCTATAATTTCCCCTTTCTTCATTCTATTTTCATTTTCTACAGTTCTATTAATTGGACATGAAAAATAGTAAACCCTAAGAAGATATTTGAAGTGAAGAACGATGCGGCTCACCCAATAGCAGGTTTTCCTTCCTATTTGCGCGAAAAGACCGCGTGAAAACCACGCAAAACCCACGCAAAACTCACCCACGAAGCCCGACAAGATTGACCGGTCAGTTTCGTGACTTCACAACTGTCCGGCTATTTCGTTGTGACCATCCCCAAAATCGTCGGTCCCCTGTCATAGCCGCAAAAGGTGAGACCCACGCGAACCCACGCAAAACCCACCGAAACCCACCGAAACCCACCCAAAACCCACCCAAAACCCATTCCAAACCCACTCGAAACCCTGGCAGGCGTGGCAAAACCACTTCACCCCCGCATTGCTTTTGAATAAACCCAGAGGTGGGTGGTGGGATCGGTGGGTGGTGGGACCCCGTCCGTGTCTGACAATGTTGTTGCCGGATTTCCACAAAGCGGGCTGAACATCTCAATTTACTTCAACCACCCTCTTTTAGGCTCTTGGACGTTTTGAATTTTGTTTTGGAGTCCCCAGGGTTTGTCGTACGTCCCCTCCCTTGGTGCTCGTAGGGTTTGCTTTGGAGTCCCCAGGGTTTGTCGTATGTCCCCTCCCTTGGTGCTCGTAGGGTTTTGCGAGGAAGCAGGACTTGCTTTGGTGTCCCACCCAAATAGGGTCAAGTAGGCTCACCCAATAGCAGGTTTTCCTTCCTATTTGCGCGAAAAGACCGCGTGAAAACCATGCAAAACCCACGCAAAACTCACCCACGAAGCCCCACAACATTGACCGGTCAGTTTCGTGACTTCACAACTGTCCGGCTATTTCGTTGTGACCATCCCCAAAATCGTCGGTCCCCTGTCATAGCCACAAAGGTGAGACCCACGCAAACCCACGCAAAACCCACCGAAACCCACCGAAACCCACCCAAAACCCACCCAAAACCCATTCCAAACCCACTCGAAACCCTGGCAGGCGTGGCAAACCCACTTCACCCCCGCATTGCTTTTTGAATAAACCCAGAGGTG